CTGATTAGCCGCCCCGGCCCTGCCAATCAAAGTCGGGCCCGGGCACTGCCGGGAGTGGGTGACCTAATTAGCCGCCGGAGCCTTGCCAAACAAAGTCGGGGCCGGGCCATGCAAGGCGTTGGCATTTTTCGGCTAAAGCGCACCCGATTAGCCGCCCAAGCCCAGCCAAACAAAGTCGGGCCCGGGCATTGCAGGGACTGGGTATTTTCCGGCTAAAGTGCACTTGATTAGCCGCCCCGGCCCTGCCAAAGTGGGGCCCGGCAGGGCAAGTGTATTTTTTGGCTAGAGCGCACCCGATTAGCCGCCCAACCCTTGCCAAACAAAGTCGGGGCCGGGCCATGCAAGGCGTTGGCATTTTTCGGCGAAAGTGCACCTGATTAGCCGCCCAAGCCCTGCCAAACAAAGTCGGGCCCGGGCGAGGCAGGGGGTGGGTATTTTTCGGCTAAAGCGCACCCGATTAGCCGCCCCAGCCCTGTTACAGTCGGGCCCGGCACCCGGGGCAGCAGTTGTTTTCGGCTAAAGTGCACCCGATTAGCCGCCCAAGCCCTGCCCGACAAAGTGACGCTGGTGAGTGTTTTTCGGGTAAAGTGCACCGGATTAGCCGCCCCGGCCCTGCCAAAGTCGGGGCCGGTAGGGCGGCGGTATTTTTCAGCTAAAGCGTATCTGATTAGCCGCGGCCGCCCAAGCCCCACCAAACTAAACAAAGTCTGTCGGGCCCGGGCCTTGGCTTGCAGGGCGTGCGCATTTTTCGGCTAAAGTGCACCCGATTAGCCGCCCGAGCCCCGCCGAAGTCGGGCCCGCTAGGGCAGCTGTATTTTCCGGCTAAAACGCAGCTAATTAGCCGCCCAAGCCTTGCCAATCAAGCAAAAAAATTCGGGCGCGGGCCCTGCAGGGCATTGGTGTTTTTCGGCTAAAGTGCACCTGATTAGCCGCCCGGGCCCTGCCAAACGAAATCGGGCCCGGCCCTTACAGGGAGTGGGTGTCTTCGGCTACAGTGCACCTGATTAGGCGCTCCGGCCCTTCCAAAGTCGGGCACGGGGGTAGGGCAGCAGTATTGTTCGGCTAAAGTGAACCTGGTTAGCCGCCAAAGGAAGCGCGTCGCCCCAAACAAAATCGGGCCCGGGCCTTGTAGGGCGTGCCTATTTTTCGGCTAGAGTGCACCTGACTAGCCGCCCAAGCCCGGCCAAACAAAGTCGGGCCCGGGCCCGGAAGGGCATTAGTATTTTTCGGCTAAGGTGCACCCGATTAGCCGCCCCGGCCCTGCCAAAGTCAGGCCCCCCCGGTCCGGCGCCGGCATTTTTTGGATAAAGCGCACCGAATTAGCCGCCCAAGCCTTGCCAAACAAATTCGAGCGCGGGCCTTGCAGGGCATTGGTATTTTTCGGCTAAAGCGCACCCGATTAGCCGCCCAAGCCCTACCAAACAAAGTCGGGCCCGGGCCTGGCGGGGCATTGGTATTTTTCGGCTTCAGTGCACCCGATTAGTGCCCGGGCCCTCCAAAAGTCGGGCCCGACACAGACACACGGCGCGGGTGTTTTTCGGTCACAGTGCACCTGACTAGCCGCCCGAGCACTTCCGAAGTCGGGGCCGGCAGTCGTCGCCCATAGTTTTTCTGGTTCGTTGAGAAGTGAAAGTCTGGACCGCATTTAGAGCTGTCAGTGAGTGTCGTCTCACATCACGACTTGTTTGAATCGCATGTGCAGTTCTCAGAGTCGACAAATACAAAAACGACAGTAGTCGCGCAACAACAGCGTACTTATACATAGACCAACTCGTACGTAGACAGGGACTGTATTTCTTTGAGCTCGTAAACGTCAATCGACAATCGTGATGACTTTCTACGCCAGCAATGCGAATGCCTTTTCGTTTTCGTTTCGTCGCGCAACAGCATGAACCAACGGAGCGCCTTAGCGGTAGTAGGACTAGGAGCAGGGTCGTCTCGTTAAGATAGTCCCATCAGATCATCCCTTTCGTAGTTGTCGATCCAGATCCTAGAGATCATGGAAATTCGTGTGTGTCGTCTGCAATCTATGAATTCGCGAAACCGATCTTCTGGGGTCGTTCTAGTCGTTCGTCTTCGACGAGCCACGATGGTCAAACCTGACGCATGAGTATTATAGTCGTGACGAAGAAGAACAAGAAGAAGACAGATGCCATTTGCTCAGTGACGGAGAGTAGTTGTGTTTTATTTCCGGCGTTGTTGTAATTCTGGTGATGGGTGATGTATATGCTTCGGTGGGTTGAAGCCTCAGCCGTTTGTTTGAGAACGTTTGTTAGTATCTAAATTCAATACTAGTCGAAGAAGAAAAAAAAAACAAGATGGCGTCGCTGAAGAAAAAGAAAACTAAAAACAAAATCCATGGGTCATGAACTCGGTGCTCTCAACATTATCAGACAGATCATTTGGCTTCAGCCTTCGGCTTCGCGGTAGTGCCTAAAAAGCATCAATACTTACAACCATGACGCTACTTCTTGTGGACTGGCTGGTTGTAGGCGGTCTTGCCGGGTTGGCTGGACATGGCGTCCAGGTCGAGTGCGCTGCGCACCCGGGGTCGTGTCCCATTTACGAAAATGCAGTGAAGCAAGCGGAGGCTTTGGTGCATTACACCAGGCGGCTTTGGTACGGTTCCGAGTCTCGAGCGGTATTGCACGACGGCCCCGACGTCGGGGACCTCTACGGTTGGACGTCGGCCCACTTTGCAGCCGATTCGGTGCAGCAGTGCGATCGGCTTGATCGAATTTTTTTCGCAGCAGTGAAGACAAACACAAACACGACACGAGTCACCGTGTGGAGGAACAAGGCAGAAGTGCGTCAAGACCGTGACCGAAAAATAGCATGGTTCACCTCCAGCACGACGAACTACAACACGACCAGGGGTGTTGGTGTGGACGAACAACCGCCATCGACCGGCACGACAGCAGGGGAGATCGGCAACGCAAAAGCGCTGGCTGCACGATTCTGGAAAAATTTTTTTCGTCATGGAGCAACTTCAACCGCGCTTCCAGCAGACGTAGACGTACGGACAGGAGAGAAAGCCAAACAGATCTTCCACGACGCCCCCTTTTCGAGGACCTGTCCGGTGAATATGTCCGATGCAGAACACCACGTGGCAGATCATCTGCGAGATGCTGCACCTACCAGGACAAGGAGATCGACAAACCGAGCGGAGAAGAATTCTCCAGTGCCCATCAACATAAACAGCTGCGCCTACGCTGACACTGTGACTGTCTTCGAAACCAACAAAAGAACTCGTCGAACAACCAGCAACGGCGTGTCCAGAAAACGCAGACCGAAGACTACCAGCTCGGCGTTAGTCCTTCGTGCGGAGCCTCCACACCATATCTACTCGCCATCATATCCACACACTGTCCGGCCGACCCCGCCCATCTGCCATATTCATCGGAGTGAAGAGATGAGTGGTCGTTTGGTTGTATCTGGAGTGCCACAACATCAACAAAAAAGCACAGGCGTGGATGAACTGGGGCAGACAGCAAGTGGATGGACAAGAAAAGGTGGCCGCGCGGCCAACTACTGGAAGTCAACCGCCTTGATGCCCTACAGCTACATTCAGGAGAACAGCTCTATCTGCGCAGTGATGACGGTTACTATCCATGTAAGTCAATGCGGGATGATGAAAATACGGAGGAGGCACGTCTTCATGTGGCCCGATGAAAAGCAGTTCCTTTGTTCCACACCCGCCGCTGTCGTGGAGAGGATGCCGCAAGCAGTGTGCTGTCCTGACATTGACAATGATCAGGATTACGAGACGGCGCCTAGTATAATCCCACTGGCAGTTGTTGCGCTGACAGCTGTCCTTGCCGCTGGAGTGCTATTTTTCACGGAACCTCAAAGGCGGGCAACCCGGAGGAGGTCTGTGTGTCGACAGCGACGCGGCGCGCAGCAGCAAGTGCATTTCCGACCGAGAGCTTTCTTGCGAAAGATCTGGAAAGCGGCGCAGGAGGAGCCAGCTACAACGAAAATTCAAACGCAGTTTCGCGGGAAAATGGCGAGGAAAGAGTTGGCAGACCGATTGGACGCGAAGATGGCCAGAGCAGCGGAAGAGGCGAAAAAGCAACAAGAATCCGATGCGGCGATCCGGATTCAGTCTAAATTTCGCGGTGTCGTCACGCGGTTACTAGTACTGCCGAGATTGCGTGCCGCGAAGCAGAAGAAATTTCAGGACGCAAAGGAAGCGCAGGCCGCGAGGGCTTTGCAGAGCTGCTATCGAGGAAAATGCGCAAGAGAAACAGTCGCAAAATTGAGAGAAGGAAAGGCAGAACTCGAACGACAAACACAAACCCTGGCCTCGGTGAAAATCCAATCGATCTATCGCGGCAAGAAGCAAAGAGGAGAAACAAAGCTATTGCAACAGCAGATCGCGGGGGCGAGGAAGGTTCAAGAGTACTGGAAGAGCGTTTTTTTCGTGCGCAAAGCGTTCCTCGACCAGAGAAAAGCAACCTTGCAGGTCCAGACACACTGGCGCAAGATGCAGGCGGTGAAAGAGGTGAAGGAAAAGCGGAAGGAGCTTGTTGACCTCGTCATCCCCACCACCATCCGACTACAGGCTGCTTTTCGAGTCCATCACGTGAAAAAGAAGTTCTTGCAACAGAAACAATGCACCGCCAAGGTGCAGAGCCACGTCCGTAAGTTTCTTGCGGGAAAGAAGACCGAGAAACCGCTGGCCCTTCAGAAGCAACTGCAAGGGTACTTCGCAAGAACAAGCGAGATGGACATAGGAACGGAGGCGGATCGGAGCCAATTCTGCAGAATTCTCGAGGAATACGAGAGCAATGAGGTGCACTCCGTTTCTATTGCGGAAAAGGCAAGCCTTTTCCTCCAGCAGTGGGGCGAGAAAATCCGACTGGAGACAGACTTGGCGAAAGCTTTGGCAGACACGAAGAACGCGGAAGCGGTCGCAGGAGGAAATACAAACGATAAAGAAGATTCCGGCGATGAAGTAACCGCTGTTCAGCAAGAGCTGGGCATCGGGTCGCGGCTTCTGGAAGAGTTCGCGACGCTCCTAGCGAAGACGACAGACTTCAACACGAATGTGTGCGACTTTCAAAGCCTCCGCATCAAAGACGTCGAAGAGTTTGCAGCACAACACGCTGCGGCTTGCCGGCGGTACGAAGCAGGAAACACGCTGGCGCTCGCTCTGAAGACCGCCTTTCCTGCCTCGTTCATCGACATGTTTCAGCAGTGCAAGAGCCAAGAAGGAGACGACGACGAGACAACAGAAGACATTATTTCCTCCATCGAGAAAATAAACTTCGTCCAGACGTCCCTCCGTTCCCAACAACCTGCCCAAAAAGAAGCTTTTCACGAAGCCAGTTTAGTTGCGTTGGCAACTGCGACCGAGAGTGCGGATTTGTCGAAGGAAAAGCGGGAGGAGGCGTGGACAATGTTGTTCCACTTTGTGCTCATGAAGGCGAATTTCGGGATTTCGGAATTATCAGAGTTCTTGTCTGCGTTGAGTGTGGCATCTTCTACCTGCAGCGAAAACCACATTGATGAGCCGGCGGAGATCGCAGAAGTGCTGGGAAAAAACGAAAAGCTCGCGACCTTTATCGATAAACTTCTCTTCGCCCCCTCCGAATCGACAACAGCGAAGAAGCTGTCGCCTAGTGTGTCGCCGTCCATGATCCAGCAGAGCAGCGCTTACGGCTGCGCGAGAAACAGTTCGTCCTCAGCGGGTGAAGATTCGCCGCGGAGTGTGCTCCGAGCGGAGACGATCGATGGCTTGAAGCAATTGGGGAGGATGGTATGATCTATCGAGTGTGTCGAGGAAACTTGAGCTCTCTTCTTGCACTTAAGTATTATATTAGAAAGTTTTCGACTTCGACTATATCAAAGTGATGCCCTTGTCTGCGGTATGTTTTCTTTCGAGCTACTCCATTTTGGAAGGCACTGCCACCGGTACAATTTTTCATCGCACTCCAACAAGGTATCCGAGCTTCGCTTTACCCTGACGGGGAAAACCAAGGGGACCGTGAGCAGCAAGTTGCAGACCTGTGTGAATGGCACCACACAACTCGACACGGCACAAGAGGAAAAGGCGAAAAAACAAGGAAAAGCAGGCGGCTTTTTCGCAGAAGTGCTCGCTCTGCTATCACGATTGTGGCCTTCATCCTCGTCGGCGTCAGACTCTGCACCCATTTCCGACGCAGAGGCCGAAATCGACGAGGATGATTCCGCCCGGGAGTCCAGCGAAGACGAAGAAGATACTTTGGCCCACCAGGTAGAACCTTCGGGCTCAGACATCAAAATCTAGATCTGCGAATCGCCACGATGTGACGTATTGTATAGTTTCATACGGTTTGGGTTTTTATATATACCATCAAATGTTATCGCCGCAATACAAATCCTAATCCAAATTCTCGTAGGTACTAACTCGCAACAATATCAATATTTTATAAATATAAGACTTCCGATCCTGTACTATAGTTTTTTGCATTTCCTTATTATTTCCTCATTGTTGTGAAAATGGATCCGTCATTCATCTCACAGAAGTCCTGGCTAGGGCTACTTCTTGTACTACCTACGAATTGCATCTCGACGCCGTTAATACGTGCTCTCTAGACCGTAATAGAGTCTGAGTCTGTGGTTCGTAGACGGATTGTGATAACGACCATGGGACACGAAAAAGAAGTATGCACGTCCAATGGTGTCGGAGAAGGAGCAACTATCTAATTTAGCACTGAGTCGGAGCAAAAAACTAAAGACTGCCACCGGTGGGCCCTGTTGGGCTGTCTATTGTGTTGTGAATGATGTCGACTTTGCGTTGAGCCGAATCTTGAACCAATGATCGCCGCCTCGTGTATTATTTGCTGCGTGTGATATAAGCATAAAAGCGTCAAACTGTCCTCGCCATGATCATGTATTCCGAACGCGACGAGGCGTGACTGCGTAAAAATAGGGGTTGTCCGCTGATAAACTAGCTAGCACGAGCACCTCGACGCCGTGCATTCTCAGCAGCGCCAGGGGTCGTCCTCGTCTGCCTGCGTAAAGACGACAGGTCGTGCAAACTTCTTGTGATGTCGTGGGGCTGAGGAACAGCACAATGTCGTATAAATCAATAGTGACAAGAACTACATGTTGTGCAGAGACTCAACAGAATCAGATCCTTTGCGCTCGTCGCAGGGCCTCGCCATAGTCCACAAATGCCATGTGCTACAACTTTATACATAATTTACAGTTTATAATTTGTCAACTAGATTACTAGCTACGCCGGCATCCAGGACGTCAGGTATGGGTCGTCTAGTAGATGCAAGCGAATAGCAACAGACTGATGGCCGGGCCACCGGATGGGGTGCTCTATTGCTTAGGGAAGACTCAACGCGAGCGACTCCGCTGGCTCTTCGCCTCGGCAGGGTGAAGCTGCAGAGGAACACGGAGGAAAACATTGGCGGGTTTGAAAGTGGACGGCTGAAAAAGTGAACGAAGGAGATAAGGAGATTGAAGGACAGGCCCGGCGCTCGACAAAGTCGGTCTTCTTTGGCGGGCAGCCTTCCAAGATGGCCACTCTTTCATTCTCGGCGCTGTCTCGTTGCTTGCAAGAAAACTCCACCATTTCCTGGGTGATAAGTTTTGCCAGCCGCGCGCCACCCTGTGTCATTTTGGCACTGTCTGAGCATGCGAGCGCCCGAGCTTGCGTTGCAAGCTGCGCCTTATGTTGCAAATTGCAGCTTGTGTTGCATCAAATTGCAGCTCGCATACGCACTGCAAAAGACAGCCTGCGCCGCGCAATGAATCAATGCCGCCTGCTCCTGCATTGCACTTTACAGAGTGCGTGGTAAACTTCAGCTTGCGTTGCAAGGTGTAGCGTGCAACTGCGTTGTAACTTACAAGCAAAGTAGAGCCACTGTCGCGAATCCTCCTGCGCGTCACAGTTTAGTTATTTCGTTGGAGAAATGCCATGGTAAATAGAAATATACAAATATTCATCGTGGGAGAAGCCGTTTTTCGTGGTCTTGATATTGATTTCGTTGCTTGGTTGAAATCGGAATCGGGAGCGCTTCCGGGGAGTTGTAAATGTCCAGCTCCTTTCGTTATCGTGTTTTCGTGTTGTGCATGCGCATGGAGGTTGAGGGACCTCAGGCACTACGACCGATCACGGGGACGGCCGAGACCTTCAGCTCGATGTTGTAATCGTGTATGCGCCCTCCGTGACGCCCCTGTAACATCAAAGACAAGGAGTTGCATGCCGTGCCTCACGTTCCACTTACAATCTATCTAATCTCTACCTCTATAAATTGATAAAAGGACAAGTTGTTTTGAATTGCGGTTTTTTCAAAAATCACACTTAATCCGGAAGACATGACACATACACCGACCCTCTTCGAGTCAGATTTTCGTGCAAGGTAGGCCGCAGTCTACATCGGCGAACTCAACATACACTCCCTCGGCGAAGCGCTCAGCCCGACAGTGCGGTGCTGCGATCAGCACGCGCATCGACTCTGCACAGCGTCGCGCATCGACACGAGCGAGCATAAGGGCACTTGCACTTCCTCGTTTACGCTTCCAGCATAAGGGTACTTCCTTCTTTACGTGGTTCACACAGGAGCCCAGCATGCCAGTAGACCCCGTCACCGCGGGCGCCATTGGCGGTGCGTACATCGTAGGAAGGTGGGCAACCAATACAGCCGTGCACGAATTGCGGGGGGACACGGCCCATCAACAAGGCGACTTGGAGAACCGCATGCGAGTGATGGAAAACAAGGTGGAGGACGGCAATATGAAGGTGGAAGATATGCAAGAAAAAGAATACTGTGAGTGCAGGTCTGGCTGTGTCTCTGTGATGCAGAAAATCCAAATTGAAAACACAGCTTTACACTTGTCATGCCAATCGGGCAGGAAAACCTCTTTACGTAGCTAGGTCTTTTCACATAAAAGTGAGTGATGCATTACTCTTTTTCTCTCCAGTCAATGTAATAGAGCAAATGCACTCAACCCAAGGCCAAGTAGAAGAAGCTGATAGTGATACTTACACTCACAAAACTTTTTTTCTGTATAAAGAACTGCACTGCGCGAGTGAAACAAAACGAAGAGTCGGCTGCAGAAAACAAACGCGACCAGGAACGAGAAATGGAAGAGCTGCGCAAGAAGCTCGACGAGGAGATCGCAGCGCGGGAGCGAGAAACCGCAGCGCGGGAGCGAGAAACCGCAGAGCGGGAGAAGCTGCAAGGCCAGATGACTAAAATGGCCGAGAAGATGAATGCAATGGAGGGAACACAAAAAAGGTAGCAAAGTACAGAGCTTCACATTCGTCCCGAGATCGAAGGGAAGACGGACTAGCTTTGCAAAAAGATGAAACTAGCATTAAAAAACGCAGAAACTCCTCATCATCAGTTGAAGCAGTCACGCCACAAGATATTTCAGTTTCCAAACGTATACGTATACGTAATTACCATGTTGACCCACCGAAGCCGATTTATAATTTTGGCTAAACCGAAGGGGAGACCCGCGTCGCTTTGTGACAGTAATAGCGCCCCTTGGCGGCAGGAATTCCCATCTTTTCATCTTCTTTCCTCCGTTGCCCTAACTTTGCCTCCTTGTTCATACGTTTTCCCCTCAATGCCCGCCCCTCTGGCCGCCCTCTTCTTCGACGCCGACTGGTCTTTGTACACTCTTTCCTTCCTCCCTCGCCCCTAGGAAAAATACAATCGCAGCCAGGACAAATACTTTGTAGCTTTACTAAGTAGAAGTCAAAGATAGCGGCGTAATTATTATTGACTAAGACCTAGGACTAGGACTACCCGTACCCACTAAAAAGACAGCTATATTTTTACATGAATGACGTAAGTCCAAGTCGTGTATTGATATCTATGTTGTATTCATGCCGGCGTGGGCCCGGCACCAGCCGCTGTCTGAAAAAGGGGAATCGCACGAAATAGTTGAAGCCTCAGTCTTGCTATGCGGCGTTCGGAGAGTCCATATTTATTCATGCACAAGATCATCTTTTGGTTCTGACTCTGAGCAAGGATGAACACTTTGGGAGCATGATGAGCACTCGTTTCCTGTATAAATAATTATGAAAGTGATTATGCTTGTCAGAGTCAGTCGGACTCTTTTTGTAGCAGTTTAGTGCTTCCTTTCGGGCTGTGAGCGAATCTTTTTCCAAAGCGACAATTATCTGGAGCGCAACAGCAACCTGCAAGAAGCGAAGATTCGCACACAAGAGGCCGAGCTCCGGTGTCAAACAAGGCGATATCCTAACACAGTTCAGCTAGAGATATGAAGATGTCGATGCATCTGCGAACACTCGCTGCGCGACCACGACGGACGATGCATCGCCACAGTTCAAAAGAATTTATATATACACACGCGGATTAGTAAACGTGAAACTCACGACTTTTCGGCCAATCAAAGACGAAAGCGAGAATGCATGATTGTCATGCATATTACTTTGCAAATGCAAAGCCAAAGGCACAAGGAGGCACGAAGAAGAAGAAGGCAAAACATGTGAATGTGTAGATGAACAAGTACAAGTATAACTATAAATTTTCGCTGTATAATAAGGATGATGTGGGCTTTCATCAGTCATGCGCGTGGACTAAAAAAGTAGGACACGACAACCTGCATTTCGATCAGTCAGGCAGTACATGTCATGCAATATGCTATAGCTACTTGGTTTAAGGCAAACGCGCTTCTTTTCAGTATCGCTTCATCAATCTCAAGAACGACTTCGCTAGGATATCTAACAAGACCTGCAAGAAGAAGACTTGAACCACGTGCACAAAAAAGTGGACAAGCAAGGCATACGTCTTGTGAAAGCCGAAAAAGCGTTGAAAAAAGTCCGCGGAGAGAACTTGGTACTTTTTTCGACTTGATGTATGATTATACTCATATTCTATATATTTATAATACTCAGATGAAGAGCATTTGTTTTGCAAGAGAAAGTGGAGGCCCATGCTTTTATTCGGACCGGCGATCGAGGTTCAGATCATGATGAATATGAATAAAATATAAAAACCTTCTATTCAGCTGCGGGAAAAAACTGATATGCGGGCAGCGTATCCGCTCAACATGCAGGGCTTTCTGACCAACACGACATTGTTCACTGGAGACATGGAAAGTAAAATCCTGGCAGCATTAGACCTGGACATTGACAAGAGTGCCGTATCCCGAAAAATACTATCCGACGCTGTCACCAACGTATTTGAATATTTTTTCAGTGGAGATAAAGAATTTCACTTCACTTCAAATAGACTCGAGAAAAAAGATATATTGACAGCCACCCCTCCCTAGTTGAGGAAACCTACCTACCTACCTACCTACCTATGCGTAACACTCACTTCAAGCTGGATTGTCTTTTCACAGATGCACTACCTGCTCATCAGCATCGAAAACACAGGTTACGAAGGCACAGACAGCGAGGGCCATTTGCAAGGCGTTAGCCCCCCGGCGAGAACTCCCGCGAGGTGTGCAGTCGTGCGTCGAATGCAAGGTGTGGGGTACGCAGTCTGATTTAATGGGGCGATGTATGTGCTGGGAATCGGAATACAGGTCTGCGACATGGATGCTTCTCAATTTTTCCAATTCGTCAAGAAAATGGCAGACGCAGAGCAAATAAAGCTGTCGATCTCTACTTACATAAGGGTAAGAGTAAGAGAGACCACGAAGAGTAGAGACACGATTTCGATTGCTCCTACTTCTAGGCAAAATAAGAATTGCATTAGAACAAAAGAGAGGAATCCTTCTTCTTCGTTATTCGAATTTCCCAGCATTGCTGCAGTGCCTCTTCTTGCGTTTGCATAGGCTTATTGAAGCACATCGGGTCCGACGCCGTCTAATGGATCACCTACGGAGGTTATCCAGAAAAAAACACCCATCCCCATCCATTTTGCCCTTTTTTATAGCAAAAAAATCACATGGAAAAACAACAAAAAAATTTTAAAATAAAACATTTTTGCATGATGGTTTCGAGTACGCCTACTTCACAACACTAGCTAGCGGCGTCCATGAGAAACATCTTAACTACTTAGTGGAATTTGAATTGGCCATGTCTGTCGCATTGGTCAGCCGTCGTCGGAGTCGAGATCCCAAAGAAGGCAACTCGCACGGACGAGCGCTCCTGGCCCCACCCCGGGCCAGCGGCGGCCATCCGCTGCAGGAAGGGCCTTGCGCAGGATCTCCGACTCGTCTGCCGGTGTGGGTTCCTGCGATTGATCTAGCTAGTTCAATTCTTTTAAGCTGTACTTATCTAAGACGCCACTTTAGCTAGGTAAATTTAGTGTGGATATATGCCGGCGGGCATGCGTAACAGACCTGAAAATTTTTTGCAAATTATGCCTCGTTTTTTGATCCAAAAAAAGGCAAAATGGATGGGGATGGGTGTTTTTTCCTGGATAGCGGTGAAGATGATTTTCCTACGTGCCAGTCTGTCTTCTCGCTCGTCGTCCTTTTCGTAACAACAGTTTTAGTCATCAATGCAACATCTCTACTTGTTGGCTCGGACCACGTACAGACTCTTTACAATTTCGGAGGCAACAAACTAACAGCTGAGTATCTACCGGTATTGTTTCGCTCAATTAGTACGCAATTTTTTCAATGGTTGTTTTGTTCAATCAGCAATGTCTTCTGTTATTGGATGGTTGTAATAGTAATTGTATGCAACGCTTCTATGCCTATGACTTTTCGATATCGACGTTTTCTCATCTCGGGAGTACATCCTACATTTTTAAATTTGATATTATTTTGTACATAACGGCAAGAGCGAAGGAAGATGTATGCATATCAGCTACAAGTTCAAGCTTAAGTCGTGCCCAACTTCGTGCCTGGGCGGTGCTGCAGTTGCATCGCCAGCGGAGACCAGGACAGTAAGAGCGCTGCGCAGCAGAGGACTGCTTGCGTCGGTTCTAAGGTGTGAACGGATTAGAAAGTTGCGCGTCGACCTGAACCACCGCCGATGTATACTTATTTTGACTTTGAGTTTGACTTTGAGTACATCAAGATGAAATAAACGTACTTTTTCGCTGGAGGGTTTCGCCCGAGCTGGGATCCCTAGTTTTCGGCGAATTTGAGCAATTAATGCCTTTTTCCTGTTCGGTGCCTTAGCTGCCGACAAGGTTGCACAAGGCCATTGATAGGACTACGCGTACTCCTGGTATTATTTTTGACAGGCTACTCCACAAGCAAAATTGCATGGTTATCCGTAGGATAATATTGATGAAGATGGTGACTTGAGGTTTTTTCTTTTTGTGGTGGCAAGCTATGATTCGACCATACCCATCCTGTGCCAGCATCGTCTGCTTTTTTCAAACATCAAAGCAAACGTAGACGTACCCATTTGAGAGTGTGCTGCGGTTTGCTTGCGTAGTTCCAAGTAGTAGTAGGTAGCTTCCAGCGCCTGACAGAAATATGGTTATGGCTGACAAATATCCGGCGGTAGAGGACGAGAACCACCAGGCGGTGGCAACAACCAGCCTAGCTGGTGATGCACGGGGCGACCTCGACGGTAAAGCTGAAGCATCAATTGGTAGCTGCACTGTGTTCGGGAGCTCTTGGACAGGTGTGGATGCAGAGCAGCAGCACCAACATTTTGCGACTGCTGCCAAGGCTGAGCAGGAAAGTCCTCGGACACATGGTGAATCTTGCACCTTCCCGCCGCAGTCTGCATTTTCTGCGCCAGATCTGTTCGAGACCCTTTCTCTCTCCGCGAAATACGTCATGAGCCGGCAGCTCCGCAATCTGATTCGGGACGCGAAAAAGCTGCCGCAGACAACAACCTCTGCGGGAAACACCAGCAACGCGTCGTCCACCTCTTCGTCTAAAGAAAACAAGGCGTCCTACTTCAAGAAAAAACACAAGCTTCTCCAAGCGCATTACGACGATTTGCAGCAGAAGCAGGTCCAGGCGGAGGCGAAAATCAAAATCTTGCACGAGGAGGTGGAAAAGTTGAGGCTCGAAAAGGACAAATCCGAGCAGAGAAAAACACTACTTGAAAACTTGAACGAAAACTTGAACAAGGACTACAAAATAGCATTCGAAAGCCACGAGGCTGTGATCAAGGAGGAGCAGGAAAAGCGGCAGGCACTCTCCGAGGAAGTAAACGCGAAGTTGGCCGCGGTGAAAAAGTGCATGTTTGAACAAGCTTTATCCGATGAAAAACTTTTTGTGGCGTCTGGGAGTGGCTGCTACGAGAGTTCTTGAGATTCCTGTTTGCAAGAACCTTGTATGGTACTTAGTACCCTACATGAGAATACTAGATTTTGAGATACACGTGCGATCATGATGTTCGCATCGAGTATTGATGCGAAATGCTTGTCCTTGTGCTGTAAATCCTTCTACATCTACAGCACCAGAAGGAGCTAGCGTCTGCTGCATGGAAAACTGCTAAGTATAGACACTGCTACTGCCACTTACGGTTTTTCCTGCGATACCCAGAGCAGAAGAAAATCAAGTTTCAGGAGACCGACAGGTTACGGGAGAGATTCCGCATCGCGTGCGAAGCCTACAATGCGGAGCAGCCTGTCGCGCCGAAAGCCAGGAAAGCAAAAGCTGAAGGCACGAGTCAAGATGGAAAAGGTAAAGCTGAAGAAGCTTCCGGGGCGGGGAAGAGAAAATTAGACGACAACGACGTGGATGCAGAAGCGACGAGAGTAGAAGATATTGTCGAGCAACAAGGCGAAGCTCGTGACAACACCACCAGCAGTAGTGCAGCGCAAGAAGCAGCAACATCCTCTCCTCGGATTGCGGCGAAGATTGTGGGAGGCAAGCCAATCGACGAGGTGCCCGTCACACATGAAGAAGAAAAAGAAGGCATTGACGTCGACGGCGAACAAGGAAGAAAAAGCTGCAGTGCCGATGAAGGAGCCCATGACCCTGACCAAGAACCCAAACTACAACCTCCACCGGAACCGAGCCCGGAAGAGGCACGCATTCTCGACATTCAGACTCGCATGGCGGAAGCGACAACCAGGTTGAAACAAACGAAGATTCGGGTTCTGCAGGAGGAGAAGAGAAGTATCGAACTCGACCAGCTGAAGGCGGCACTGATCGAGCAAGAGACGGAATTTATGGGAATGATTTGAAAGGAAGCTTTGATTTGTCGCTGTGTGTCTATGCAACGAGCAACGAGGACATCACTGATTCATGAAGAAATGTGGACGCGCTTGTTGCGCACGAATAATGTTGTACTTATCGAAACCGAAGTTTGAGTTTGAGTACATCATGTTCTGTCCTTGATGCTGGAACGGACTTTCTGCAGCAGAGCGCAAATTGATAGGATATTTCAGTTCCATACGCAACTCTACGCGAACGAAATCATTTCAAGAAACAGCTGCTAAGAGCAAGCAAACATTGCAAAAATACAAGCGCGAGGTACATCCAGCGTAGTTTTAATGACTTTCAATTTGTCGTGTGCGATTCTTAAATCCGGAGAAACCTTTCCTCTTTCTTTGCACATCCATCTCTGTGTTTTTTTGTGAAGGAAGACCAATGAAGAAAATCATGCAAATAAGGTTGCGACGCTCCGCCGAGACTGCCAACAAGCGGAAACAGCAACGCGAAAGCTGAAGGGGAGCGGCGTCATAGGCAGCGACGTCGACGAATACAATAAGCTTGTCCTGCAGGTCGAGGGCCTGGAGAAGCAGCTTGCTTTAACGAAGCGACCCCCGGGTGTGCTGGAAGCTGAGAAGGACGGCGGAACACTAGGAGGTGCGTGCAGCGGTGGTGACGGTGAAACAAGCGTTGCAGATGGGGGTAGAAGTAACGCGACGGGTGCAGCAACTGCAAGCGACATGGTCCTCGATCGTGAAAATATAGTTGGTCACAATAGTAACTACGCTTCTACTTCAGCACAGGGTGCAACACGTAGCGCCGGTGAGAAAGCCGAACGAAGCGGAATAAAAGCACTGCAGACGATCAGTCCTGGAACGTGCGTATCCACGAGACTATGACTTCTAGACACTGGAGGCTGATCTGCGAAATTTTTCATGAGCCTAAGCATTGAAGATGAAAAACACATTTCTTCGTCCTTACACAGGAGAGACGAACAAAAATGAAGTAGTTTAGAGATCATGCCTTCTTTAGTCAGACACTCTTTTGTCGCCTGCATAAGAAACCAGTGGCGGATCATCGCCGTCGCATGAGAAGGACGATCGGAGGACGGAGTCGTGAGCTGGTGTGGTTCATCTCCTGCCGTATACGGAGAGGCTCGTGGTCTCTTTTCGCAGTCTTCAATGCGCCTGACTAGTACGGGGTAGCGCGCGCACTGCAAAATAGAGCTACATCTGAATGGGGTTACACAAACGAAGGCAATTGTTCCGCTTCCGTTGAGGCACAAAAGGCACGGAGGAGGAATCATCTTCGAGCACAAAGTAAGACTAAGACGCAACTTCAATTGCAAGAGCTGTTTATAATTTCCAGTGGTTTCTGACGTAAACCTAAATACCGAAACGGAATATGGAGTCACAGACGGCGGGTCGGTGCACATGCTTATCGTCGATTATGTTCGGGTTATTCATCCCTGCTTCAACCAGCACGGGCGTTGAGCTCCGAATTGTAAAGCAACCCGTGAGCCAAAAGGTATGCTTCTCACTTTCCAGATCCAGAGCAAAAGCGTGCGTTGTTGGTCGAGTGATTTTTTCCTCAGTACAACAGTAGCAAAAATCCAGTTGCTTGCCACTTTTGTGGAGAGTCTGGGCGAGAGCTTGTGGCCGGCCTTTCCATGGTGTCGAGTGAAAGGGTGAGCGAACAGATTCAAGTTGCAGTGAACATTAAATGTCGTGGCATCCACCTTCTTTTTGTTAAGAGGGTGACGAAATAATGTAGTTGTCCGACTAGGTCCGGATAGGATGTCTGCCACCCACCTAGCTGTGCCGGTGGGCGAGAGGTGCGCAGGCTCAAAGTAAATCTAAACTATGACGAAAGCGGCGCAGTTCGTCGCGTGTCCTTTCCAGCTCCCGACACGCGGGCACATCGCTCGTGGCGCGGGCGCCCGGACAGGGCCAGCAGTCGCATGGGTCGCAAGTTCTAGGCAGATGAATGCGGAAAACGATCCCGGAGGTTGTGGAGCCTGAGGCGAGGGCAAGGTAGGCGACTTGGGACGGCAGTGACCCCCGTCCTGTGTTTGTTCTTTCTGGAAGACGAAGCCCCGGGAATCCGCACTGCGGCCAGGTGCAACAAAAAGCGATAAACCGGAAGACGCCCGCTCCTCACGCGGGAAAACCGAGACGGAACGAGTCCAGACGAGGGGCAAAGCCTGGAAGACGGAACGAACGAAGTCGGCGCCCGGCTTCGCCGTGATCCGTCCCGCTGGCTGGCCCGCGTTGCCGCGCTCCGCGGGCTTTTCGGAAGTCTGCCTGTTCCGGGCTCGCCGGCCTGGCGGCGCCCCCCCGCCCCCGCCCGCGCCCGCCCCTTGTTTTGCCCCGCCTGCCTGATTGGCGCCGGCCGCGGCCTGCTAACAAACTTACTCGGAAGGGCCCCGCGTTGTGTCTGCGACCCCCCGCGCCGTAGTCAGGCCCCGGCCAGGCAATGGGGCGCCCCCATTCATTGCGATTCAATATCAACGTGGATGGGTGCCGCCGCTGCTTTGGCACTACCGGCAGCCGGAGGGGCGGTTTGTTCGCGGTGCGGGGGCCGTGGTGCAAGCAATACCCACCGGGCCCCTTGTGAGAGGCCGTAGCGGCCGGAAGTGTGTGTTGCCGCGCCGGCAGCCGGGCAAGTTCTAGGCGAAGTGCGCAACATCTCCCGGGCTAACGAGTGCAACAAAAAGGCAACGCGGGCGCGGTCTGTTCCAGCCGTATCGTGGTGGCGCGGCCGGCCCGCCTGCCTTCGGGCGTTGCGCGGTCGGTGGGCGGATGGGCATGCTCCGGGTGGCTCTGGCATTGTCCGGCGCCTGTCACGTCAGTCGCTGGCCATTGTTGATATTGATATAATTTGCTACACGCGGCTGCCTTTGCTTTTCGCTGTCTCTATGTTTATTGTGGTGGGCTAGGGCTCGGATAGCAGCTCTGCTCCGGGTGGGCCCTGCTCGCAGGGGCCTCCGCGGAGCTTGCGCGCCGCGCGAAGTGCTACTTTGCTGCCTGCGCGCCATGTCGCGCACCCATTCAGCAACTCGCCCGACAAGCAGTTGCAGCTTTTCCACGAGGACACGCAGGATCAAGCTCGCTCCCTGGTGCTGTGAGCCTCCCTGCGAAATAGAAGGCCTCGCTTGTGTGTTTGTCTTCGAACTGCCCAGTGGTATATTGTTGATTGTGTTCGGACTCGAATTAGCAGAGATCTCGAATTATTTATTGTGTAGCTACTCTCTTCTGCCACGACCGCAGAAATTATTTAGCGATCCGAACTGAATGTGAAGAAAGCAAAGTGCGACATTCTGTTTGTTCTTTATGTTTATTTGCATCACTTACGCGGACGTCTACGTATCAACTTCGTCTGGCAGGCCCTTGCCGGCGAATTTGTATCTTGTTTCCTGTTGTTGAGCTGGAAGATAAGTTTAAGTAGATCCTTATCAGATAGGCCGGGGCTCCTGCGGTCGCGGTCTAGTTCTTGTTTTGTAGTGTCTGTCTCGTATGATAGATAAACTCATTTTTGATTCTCATTCGTGGCGATGCAAATTTCTCACTCTCACTTAAGATCCAGGAATGGGGCATCAGACGAGCTCCATCATGAGTATCTGCCAAATACCGCAGGAGCGCGATTATTGCAATTGCTCACACCCTTGCGCATTTGAGTGCGCGGAAGATTTGTATGTATGAAGGACACAACAACATCGAACACGATCACGAAAAGATGACGAGATGAAGATCCCGTGACAAACGGAATTTCATGGTCAAGAGCGATTTTCTGATGAATCGCACCATTTTGATACTAATATCACTTACAACAACCACCTTCAGTAGATGATATTTTCACGAATACCGCACAAAGCGCAAGCGGCCACGAGGAACATTAAAAACAAAAGGTAACAAGGCTAAAGGCAAAAGTGTTCCATCAGGCTCCCTCAACCTCAACATGCCCGACGCCGACGGCGTGTTGACTCACGACGAGGTAATCGCCGGGTCGTTGGAAGCGCCCGTCGACCTCGAGACAAACATTTTGTTCATTGTCAAAGGGTCGGTGCTATTTTTCGTCGTTCTCTCCATCTTCCTAGTCTTCGTCTTCTCGTTGGCGCATTTGCTCAAGGCCCTGGACCGGAAGATTACGCGCAAGAGATACGGAGAGACGTCGGTTGATGCGGGTGGCTCTGCGGGAGAGGTTGCTTCTGGGGGAAGTAGCCGCGCGCATCTGGACTAGCGTGTCTTGTTCTGGACTACTGCCAGGTCCTCCGCGGACCTCCAATCGCGGATAAGGGCCTAAGCCCGAGACGCAACGCAGGACGCCGGCGCCGGACCACTTCTCGGTATGGTCACGGAAATTTCTGACGAGCTGAATCAACGGTGTCAAGGTCTGCGGGGTGCGTGTGGGGAAGGATCATCCGTATGCGATGTTCAGGTGCATCAACAAGAAAAATAGATGGAAGAACATCTCTGGCACTGAGTGATGGTGACAAATGGACTCACGCGTGTGACAAAGGGAGAACAAAGCTTCCAAAGCTGAAAGCCTGTTTTTGCTTTAGAACAAAGCACGTCAGCAGAAGTAGTTGCAGGGTCCGCCGACCACGACTCAGCAAAGAAAAATCTACTCCTGATTCTATACTGTGAGTCGGTAAACCCTCGTCGCGCGAGGTGTCCGAAATAAGTTCAGTGTTCCTCATTCGACATGTCCGAAATAAGTTGACTGGTGTTTGTAAGTTGTAGTAACGTTGGCTATGTTTGACTGGTGTACTGTAGGTTGGAGTTCTGGTTGAAGCCGTTGCTTACGATCTACATGCTCATGCGAGGTCCTAAGTAGTCCTAGCGAAGGCGGCTTGCTTGAACTTAGTACTCGTAGAACGTTGCATATTGACGATACATTTTTGATTTCTTTGCGTTATGATCCAGGCCGCAAGACAACATCGAGACACGAAGAAGCAAGCGGTAATACTACTGTAGTACCCCCGGAAAGACAACGAAAAGAAAGATACAGAACGAAGAGGATCCCTGTCGTGTTTTGACTCGCGTGGGATCGCTTGATTCTTCTTGGGAGGCCAGTTTTGCGTGCAAAGAAGATTGTTTTTTTTGTTTGGTGCGACGACCTCGACTAAAATCAAGGAGATCCATGATCCATCTTCTTGCGGCGGAGCCTTTGTTTCGCAGCACATCACTTTGCAGACAACCAGGTTCACTCTTTTCTTCGTTTCTCGGTTTCCTTCATCACAGTCCTTTTTTTTTACAGAAGATCACAGTTTGATGTCTTGGTCTTGCCTCGAGGAGCGACGAGAAATCAAATTTGCCTCGGTCCACAACCAAGCGGAACTTTTCTAACGCTAACTGTCAACAGAAAAAACTTCGTCTTCCATTTTCTTTCTTCAGTAAGCAGTTGGTTCTAAGAATAGGATTCTCTAGAAGTTTTTTGCTGCCTCCTCCGCTACTTGCGTACGAGCGGCAACGTTCTTGTAAAGTGAACCGCAAGGGCACTTCTTCCCTAAAGATGCTTTCTAGGCCAAGGAAATTTCTGATCTTCGCTGCGTTTTGGACGTGGCTGACTCGAGCAGAGGACGTTATGTTCCAGGAAAGCCTGGTCATGTTGAGCACCACGACCAGATTTTTTAGTGAGCCTTGGTAAGGTACTTACAACTAGTACTGTTACTAGGATGCCATCCTAGTAGCAGTGCTAGCTGTAAGTACCTTGCCAAGGTGGCGCTCGAAGAAAACTTTGTGGAGCTTTGCAATTATACCCGCTCCGCCACCTCGACAGCCAGTCATTATTATCCTGATATGCATTCAGCATTTTCATTTCCACGCACGATCGAGATCATTGATGAGCGCTCAGGTCGGGCCATCTTCATTCGCGTTCGCAACAGATCTTGACTTAAATTTGCATGAGGGTTGACCACACGAAAATCTGTTCCCCTTTGCTCAACTTGACGAAACACGTGCATACCTTGGGATGACGCGAAGGAGGTCGACGACGAACTAGATGACGACGATGATAAAGAGTTTGCAAAAGAGGTACTACAAACAGGAATGAGAAATAAAGCTTTTTGGGATTTCCAGCAAGATAGAACCAGGGTCCTTTTAAGCCTGCTTCCATCTCTATCAGAATTGACAAAGGACCTCTTGTTGGTTCCCCGCTGGAGATACTTAATCTTAGGTACTTCTTAGGCCATCAAATAAATACTATACACAGCATGAATGATGAATACTTATACCAACTTCATTATTCCAGGTCGAAGCGGACAGTCCGAAAGAAGAGGTAGTCGCGCTCACCGAGGCCACTTTTCAGGACTTCGTCAAGAAGAACGAGCGAGTGGTGGTCGAGTTTTACGCTCCCTGGTGCGGCCACTGCAAGCAGCTTGCGCCGGAATACGAAAAAGCAGCGAAGGGGCTGAAGGCGAAGAAGGCAAAAACAAAGCTCGCAAAAGTAGACGCAACCGTTGAGAGCAAACTCGCCGAGAGCCACAGTGTATCGGGCTACCCGACCCTCGTCTACTATGTCAATGGGGTATAGCTGCACTGGTGTTTCATCATGAGTAGAATGTTTCAAAAGCAGCGCTGGTTTCAATGCGTCGTGATACATAGCGAAGATTATGGGCTTCGGTTCTTCTCTGTACGTGCGACAGGACGTGGTCATGGGTGAATAAGGTGCATTTATTTCTACTCTCTTCGATACACATTACAACAGGAACACTCCGAATATACTGGTCCACGAGATGATAGCGGCATCCAGATTATGAAACGCGAGGCAGCTTTGCAGAATTTGTTTTTGTTCGAAATGTCGTTTATATCGCACAACGAAGAGACATGAACTTCTACTTCTCTCGAACTGCAGCTGTAGCAGCCAGGGTGTGCGTAGAAGGAGAAACCTTGCCTTTCCGTGAAATAAAACTTGTGTGTTTTTAAGAGCTCTGGACCAGCAGAGCTCCCAAAAACAGACAAGGTTCACAACTAAGAATGCGAAAACTGCTGAAAACTCTGCCTTGCGACTGCATATTCCAGTGGGTAATGGCACGGGAAAGGGACCTAGTCATGGAGTGCGATGATGAAAAGATAAATATCAAGGGGAAATCATGCTGCAAGTACGGCTTCCAGTGTTGCTTTGCATGATTCTATCTCCTGGGCTTTACCAACGGCCTTCCTACGGCAACAAAAGAAAAATACCGCTGTAGTCCACCTGAAAGACGCATTTGTATGTCCACAGATGATGCGCCAACCGCTTACTTACGCGAAGACACGGACGCGGATTGAACATCATGCGTTTCTTCATCTGAAGCAACGGCGGAAGCACAAGTATTTGTATTTCCCGCTTGATAATTCCAACAGAAATTGCCAACAAGGAAGGAGGTGCTTACTTTTAGTGGCTTCGACTTCTCTTCATAATTTCCTTTGGCTACCCTACAAGCTATGATGCAACACAAATGATCACCACGTCCATGAACAAAAGATTCTACTATGAGTGGCTGCCTCTGCTTTCAATTTGTGAAATGAAGAATAAATATAATCGCACGAGAACAACAATCATAGGAAATAAATACAAAAAACAGTGAAGTTCATCCTGGTCGCCTCGAACCTCGCGAGCAAGATTACCTAATGTGAAGACGCGCTGGACACCAGGATATGCAATCAACCTCCATGCGCATGCTCGACCATCCTGGATTGCATGCATTAGCATGATGGAAACAGATGGGAAGATTTCTATGAGTACTATGAGTATTTTCATTATCGCATGCGCACAACTACACTAAAACGAACTACTGACTCTACTTTCTCGAGTGGTGTTGTTGTTCCTGGCAGCGTTTGTTTTTTCCTACTGGATGCCGCAATCTGGGAAGGCCGTGGCCGTGAAGAAGGCGATGCAGAAGCTGCAGGGCATGGACAAGCAGGACAACTTTCTTGCGTGCTACCACTCCCTGCTGCCATCCTCCGATCCCGAGGAGTCCGCAAAGAAGGAGGACGAGAAAATGGCCACCCTGAAGGTGATCCGCAAGAACGCCGGGCGACCGGACGACAAGGAACTGAAGTTCGACGGAGGCAAGAAGAACAAGTGGGCCGCGGGCAAGATCTCGGACTGGCTTTTGAAGCAGGCCGTGTGGCCGCTGATCGGGCAGGACACCCGGGACGGGTGGTATGCATTGCAAAAGTATCGTACTCGTATAAATGCATGACAAATTCCATCAGCATGAGAAAGAAAATTTGCAATGCGGATTTGACTTGAGAAAGAAATTTGTAATGCACGATTGCAATACGAGTGCGATGCTTTTGCACAGGATAGGTGGTACAGCGACGCGAAGCTGTTTGAAACGGCGGGCGTGAAGGAGGTCCTCAGTCTGCAGATCGAAGACTCCGGCGTGGACGATATAAAGTGCAAATATGTCTGGGTCTGGAAGATTCCGAGACCTGTCATGCATGTTTTGCATGAGCCATAATGTCTGTGATGCATACCCTAGCATCACAGATTTCTGTAGGGCTTCTTGATGCCTATCCCGCATGACAAATGCCCTCTCCGCGTAGCAAAAATTATATTCTCTTTGCTGCTCAGGCAATACAGAGTTTTTCGGAATCCAAATGCAGCATCACAAGTTACATCCTTCCAGACCCAGACATTTTTGCAATCCATAGACGACCCTCTGATGCAAAAGCTGGTCAAGCTCGCGAGCGACAAAAAGTACTCGAAAACGATGAAGGTTGCCGTAAATTCGCTGATGACGGACCCCAAGCCCGAAGCGAAATTTGTGCTGATGAACTACAAGAACGGGGCGAAGCCCTTGAAGTACCTACACGACGCGGACGACGTCGACAAATTTGTCAAGGACTACTTCGATGGCAAGCTCAAGCCCAGCTACAAGTCCGCCGACGTTCCAAAGGTATCTATACAATTGATAAAAAACTACAAGCACCATCTCCACCAGGTTCTGCAGCAGAGCTGTGCTTCTGATTGATCCGCCCATGCTAACAAGATCCGCCTCACGTAGTACACGTTGTCAGAAAGCGGTTCGAAAAGAAGAAGTCACAAATTAATTTGAGAAGATCAAACGAACGCTTTCAGTTTTGCTTTTGCATCACAACCACAATTTTCTATCTCAGGATCCGTACGACAAGGACGTGCGAGTGCTCGTTGGGAAGGACTTTGAGCGAGTAGCGTTGGACCCGAAAAAGGACGTGTTCGTGGAGTTCTACGCCCCCTGGTGTGGCCACTGCAAAAACCTCGCCCCGGAGTGGGAGGCCCTGGCCCGGAAGGTGCGAAAGTTTGACCCGAAGGGGGACAAGGTGATTGTCGCAAAGATGGACGCCACCGAGAACGAGAGCATGGAGGAGGTAACCGGGTTCCCATATCGCAAGGGAAAATCCCCCCTCCCCATATTGAAAAGGTATGTTTCCAAAAATTTGTGTTGCTGATTTGTGGTCACAAATCGCATTTGTCTTGCAAGAAGACAAGGGCAGAAGTTTCCGTCCCATTATGGAAGCGATTTGTCATGCTGTTGGGCCTAAAGGGCAGCCGTTTTCAATGCTGAGCAACTAGACCCAAACGCCTCGCCTAGCTAGACTGGGGATCTGGCCGCAGTGCCTTCCTGCAATACAGGGCTGATTTGTGTACACAAATGCAAATCCAGCATCACAAGTTTCCCATTCGATATGGGGAGGGGGGATTTTTCCTTGCGATATCCGAACGCTGGTCCTCTACCCGGCAGTGAAGAACTCGTTCAAGAAAAAAATCGCGTTTTCCGGGGCGGCGCGCAAGGAGGCGGACTTGTTGGAGTTCCTGCAGGAAGGTGCGGTCAACATCGGCGACGAAGTGGATTTGAGCTCGGGAAAGTCGGTGGACAAGTCCAAGTTCAACATGGTAGAAAGAGCTATCCTCCGTAACTGTGACACCGATCACCATGACCCGAAGGGCTGTTGTGCGTCGGATGATGAAAATGCGAAATATGTATCTATCACTTGCTTCTAAGATTGATAATTTTTTTTGATTTTGTCACGTTTGTTGAGCTCGTGCGCACGGCGAATCGATGGCCATGGTGATCGTTGACACAGTATACCAGAGCGGGCAAGGAAGAAGAAGGGGGGAAAGAAGGAAGAGTTGTGATTTAGATAGAAATCTGGCCGTGGCCGCTCAGAAGCAGAGAGAAACCATTGCATCGAATTATAAACTCCGACTTTATAATGCGAATTTGCTATGCAAGGCTTAGGTAAAGGGCGCCGGAAGCCAGTGGATATTTTTTTTTTTGAATTGTGCCCGGAGGCGATCACTGTACTGCTACTGATGAAACAGAAATAAAGATGTAGACAGAAGGTGTGGGCGAGTTGTCCTCAACCCAAACACTGTAGATCAGGAAGCACTAGATTTAGTCAACGGAAAACAAGACGAAACGAGTCAAAACACTTTTCTCAGAGTACCCATTTGAGCAGAGGCAGCCAGGACTTCACACAGAAAGTAGATGGACTAGACTGGAGATTCCTCAGCGGAGGAGACGAGGGTTCTCAAGGAATTAAGACAAGTGTGATTGTGGTTGTGCAATTTCGAAGAAAGTTGTCGTTTTTTTACAACACTGCGAAACGGGTCAAATAACGGACCACCGGTCGGGACGGATAGTCAGAAAATATTTGTAGGAGAATAGCGCGGCGGGGACTGCAATGCACGACTCTTTTGACATAGCACTCCGACCCCGTGATTCAAAAACCGTTTATATTCTTGTTCCGATGAAAAATAAGCTGGTAACTAAAGCGTGCGCAAGCGCAAGACTAAGAGTGTTACTAAAAGATGATCGATGCTACAACTTCTTGTAGTACACCTCGTGGGAGGTTTATTTAAAGACCTCAGCCGAGGATCTCTGGCCGCATTATATGTTCTTGTCGTGTTTCGGCTGAATGATTTGAACGCCGTGCCCATTTGTTTTCGTTTGTGTTGTACGGAAAGGGTCACTGCTTTTTGTATTTGATTTTGCCTCCGCCGGCGTGCATCGGCCTGTACCCACTGAAGGTAAGTAGGTAGGATTTGCTGCAAAAAACACTGATCCGTGCTTCGCGTCACTTCGGATCAGATGTTAATTGCCTGCGCGGCGGAAGTTTTCCCTATAGTTCTCTGATCACCCAAACCTCTCTAGCTACTAAACTAGAACTGGCGGCGTTGCTTGTTTCAGCACCATCAGAAGTGCGTGACTCGCATGCCGGGCGTGCCATGTCAGGATGTCAGGATAACCCCGTCAATTGCAATTGGGTAAGTCAGTCACTAACTCATTTTTCATCAGCTAGGCAACGAGGCATCAGCATCTCTACTAGTGGGCCTGTTATTTTTCGAGTTGGAGGTGGTTTTTCAAGCTAGGTAGTATTCAGTGTTGGATATTTGTTTTTTGAGTATTTCGTGATCCGCATTCCATTTGTTTGGCCAGCGCAATCTTCAGTTCTACTACATGATGAAGACGGCAACTTTATTTTGACAGTAGCCTTTGATTTCTTTGTTCTTCTTCTTCTTCTTCTTCTTGATCCTGTCATACGAAGTTTGTTGCGAAGATCCCATGTAGATGACTGTAGACATAGCTTTGGAGCCCACTTTTTCGCTTTGCTTCGCGTTCAAAAAAGCAAAAGGTGATATACTTATTTAAGTTCAGCAGCTAGGTTTTCTCTGAACCTGAAGGCAAAGTAGCGGCAGACAGAGTTAGGAAAGCGATAAAAAAAGCGACAATAGCACTAGCTACTCTCCATTCGAGAAGCGTTTTTAATACAACTGCTTCTCTGTACAAAAGTACTTTGAATTCTATTCGTTTTCCCTATAGTTTTCTGTTCCTGTATTTCCAATCACGTTCTAACATTTCAAAGACGACGCTGACACAAAGCGCCAAACACGACCATCCCGGGCACCAGCTACGTCATGCGTCCCTCGATCCGCAACCGGGGCTACAACACCTACGCCAGCAACCGCAATGGCCGATACATCGAAGAGGACACTTCTACGACCCAGCAAAACAACGCTCCGCCCCAGCGGACCAATGCGTATAATAACATTCGCCCCAACTCCTTTCACGAAAACGAGACGCACGAGAAGGAGCGCACAAAATTCGTCGAGGTGGACCTGAAAAAGCGGACGGATAACAGTTACAGCAAGATCGAGGTGAAAGGCAACGGGAAGTATCGGAAGCGAGACAATTACGAGGAGGAGAACGCGTCTTCTGTGCAAAGTGTGGCGCTGAAACCGAACGCGATCTACTCGTCGGCTTACAGCGCGGGTCGTTCATCTCTTCTCCGTGCCGGCACGACGCGACTGGCAACACGAGAAGAGATGAACAAGGGGAGGGCGGCTCCGAGGATGAAAGTGCGCCGATCCCAGGACTTGTTGACTTCTTGTGCGACGATTTCAGAGGGCTCCGCGTGCAACGCAACGACCACGAAGATGAAGAGATGAGCGACTCGGGCTGCTCCCTGGTGTGGGACGGAGAGGCACCAGTAGACCTTGACTCGGAAGACGATGGCAGTGAAGCGGAACCGACAGCACAGCCACAGCCTTTTGCGAGACGCCTGACCATGGAGGTGCAGCGCGAAGAACTGCACAGGCGCGCTCTGTCCCCGTCGGGAGCAAGAAACACGGAAGGTCGCGGCCCGTCCCTCGCCCCCACCGACGTCGACCCGTACCTGGTGTTGCGCAATAGTTAGAGGAGCGAGCTGTGCTACCCCTACCGGTGCAAGAAGGTGATCGCCACGTGGAATTTTTAATGGATCGCGCCCTGTGCCTGCACTACTTCTACTCGCTATAATGCAGGATGAGTGTGCGCGTACCTACTTCTGAGCTTCACATGTGCTCCTTGTGCGTGATCCGTATATTGTACTTGTGCCAAGGCGCTCGATGTCTACGCACATCACTAATTCGAATGCACTTAAGTAGTATAATGCGTGTCCTCTAAATGTTGGCTGACGCGTTGTGCCACGTAATGAAGAAAGCCAGATTTTTTTTGCAGCGCGATGTAGATATAGTCATAGGATCACTGTGTCTTGGGCCAGCTCGCCCTTCTTGTTATCGATATCATCAAACTAGGGTAAGGGTTTTCTAAATTCTGACTCTATCGTAAGACGTGCGGAACTGGCGTTGCTTCACCATCAGAAGTGTGTGACAACGAGGGCGGGCCGTGTCACCTAAAGTTCCAAAAAACTACGCTGCACATGGCATACATATATTTTTGCTACAGACAGTGGCAGTGCACAACGAAGCCGAAGGAATTGGTATCGTGGAAACTTGCTATATCGAAATCGAATGCGAAGCGAAGCCCCTTTCTGTACTATTAGTATTACCGACTGCATAAAAGCAAACCAAACAGATGCGAAGTAAATGCATACAACAAGCGTTATATTATTCTTGATGTCGATCTTAATCTTTGCACAAGGTGCTTCGCATCCACATGAAGTGACCACTTCGTGGTTCCCGTTTTTCCTTTCTGAATGAAGCTAGAACAAATTATATATCTGAAGGCAATATTTCCAGATACTTTATGTATGTGGATTCTTTCTGGTTGGCCGCTTCGCTGAGACGGCCAAGCGTGACAAAAATTCACCTTGCAGGGAATTTCACAAAAGAAACAAGAAAAAAAATTGTAGGAACATATGGCCTGGCATCGTTCACGGCGGTTGCAGATGGATGCCTTCTCGTCATGACATATATTCCTTCTTTTCAGATAGTCGCTCGTCTGCTTACAGATGTCAAAAAAAGATCTATGTGTCAGCACCGACTGACATTGATAAAGCTTTTTTCTCTAGTTTTTTTGGAAGGTGGAATGATATTTGTATTTCGGTGGACATTTTTGGGCCTGTGTAAGTTTTCTACGTAACTTTTTGACATCTGCACTGGTACATCGTGCACAGCGATGTATTTTTTTGATGTCCTTCTATGTATTGTCTGCTAACAGCCTGTTTACTAATTGATTATAGTCTTTTATTTCTCTTTCTCTAGGATCGCACGACCTCTTGCGGCTGTGGACACAATGAATATGTCTCATTTATTTGATGTTCTGCATTTTATAATTTTATCATGTTGTTGTGTCTCAGTTTATTGTTATTCAGTTCGAGTAAAAAAATCGTTCGGTCTTTGACGCTTTTCTAATTTTTGCTCTGCGATAGGTTTGTAGTAGGTTTGTGATAAGTGATTTCTTGCTTCACGTTGGTGAGGTCTTGCAGATTTTTTTCCGGTTATGTCGTCTGCTGAAAAAAGAAAAAAACTCTGAACGAAAAGCGAACACTTCTCATATCATGGCCGATCCTGGGGCTGCGAGTGCGTGGCTTCCGTTTCGAGTCCGAGCTGGGGGGCAGATAGACGCCCCTCGCTTGGCAGGTAATCCGTGTCTGTCAAATCAGTGGGGGATTCATTGTTCTTTGAGGGAGATGGAGCGCTGCAAAACAAATTGAAATGAGTGCTGAGAAATAATTTTGTTCTGCTAGCTTGGCATGGTAAAGAAAAGAATGAGTCGCTTCGTTATGCTCTGTGGTCCCCGATGAAGAAAACCCGTACTTACTACAACTATGGGACTTTGCGCAGTGGTGCGTGGGAATCATTTCCGATATTATGGTCTACCACCCTAGAAGAAAGAACCCCGAGGCCAGCAGGCACCTAGTCGCGGGCTTGCCCCGGCTGCCGTCCGCAATATTCGTGGAGCCGTTCTTGGGGGGGGGGACACGCACGACCCCCTTGTTCTGGCGAAGCGACGAGGGGGGGCGACCGCTGCTGTGTGTATCTTTTGACTCTGCCGCCGGCGCCGCGTGTCAGCAAGCCCGTGCCCGCCGAATGTAGGACTTGCGCAAAAGTACGCTTGCGCCATGAGTTGTGCGTGTTACTGAGGATCAGACAAGTAGAAGGACTGCCGGCGCCCAAGTTTTGCCTTAAGTTTTCTGCTCAGCATGTCACCGTGACATCTGCATTGATGGGCGTGTTGAACACGCCCAGTTGGTGAGGGTCCTTTGTGGGTCATTGTTGATTGAGGGAGATGGAGCACTGCAAAAGCGAAGCGAGTATTGAGAAATAAACATTTCGACCAGAAGCAGCTACTAGACTTGGCAAAGATAAGAAAAGCGTGAGTGTTCTTGCCGTGTTGTTGCATTGTTGAGGAACAGGCGTAGAAAAAAATGTGGAATTTTGCACATCAGTGGTGCTTAGAAATTATTTGCGATGTGGTCTAATGAATATTTTTTATTGTGACGATACCAACTCCTGCTGGTAAAAAAGATCAAGATCATGCTGACTGGTTCCAGCCCAAGCATCGACCTCGTAACGCTAGTGAAGGAAGCCCACACGACGACGACGGCGTTCGGAAATGGTCAAGGCACTTCTGCCGCAGCAACCGCGAGCGATTACCATTTTCTCCAAAGGCTGGAAAAAGCCTTGTGGGAAAAGCGGGAACAGCAGCTGGCACTAGTCGAAGAAGAAGACTGCGTCGCGGCGCAAAATAAATCCCGTCATGCCCATTCTGCCCGCTCGACCCAGTCTGGGACGAGCAGGCAGCATCCACCTGCTAGTGGAAATATTAAAACGCAAGAACACGCTACTTCGTCCTCCACGGTCCGGCAGTTGTCTACTGCTCCCAGCACGTCTACTTCGACCGCGCCGTCCTTCGGTCTCAACCTTCTTAACCCGCTGACCTACAAGCGTTGCTTGGAGCTCTCATCCTCGAAAGAGCAGACCAACAGCACGATCTTGGAGAAGATCGACAACATAAACCAGGCTGGACGAGGACGAGGAGGACGCGCCACGGACTCCGACTTTGAGGCGGTTGACAAGCTGCAATCGCTGCACCTGGAGTGGCAACGGTTGCAACCGGTTTTGAGTTTGCCACTGCACCCGTTCCGGAGTCTGAAGAACCTCTACCTGCAGTATAATTTTTTGACCGACGGTATGGGGTTCTCAAACGTTACATTCTCACCTGTTACATGAATTTGTCATGCAAAAGCACCATCATCATCCTCACGATCAAGCTGCTTCGCATGACAAATTAGCGAAGGGCTACGCCGCACCTAAATCTGCGCCAAACTTGTAATGCAAAAGGCGCAATCTTCCTCCTTTCACTTTTGCCAGTCTTGCGTTACAAATTCATGTAACAGCTGAGAATGTAACATTTGAGAACTTCATAGAATGGGTTTGGGACGAACTCATCGGGTTAGACCAGTTGGAGCTGCTCGCCTTTATCAAATGTAAAAATGTCTGGGTCTGGAAGAATTCATGTCTGTCATGCTTGTCTGGCATGACTCTTAAATTTGTCATGCACGTCACCCAAGAGCTCCGTGTTTCTGTGATGCAGAAGCGCATTTTGTCCTGCAGAATAGGCAACACCTAGGAGCTCAGAAACTTGTCATGCTGAGCCAGCATCTGTAGCCTCATCATGAGACGCCACCCAGCATCACAAGTTTCCAGACCCAGACATTTTTACAATCCATAGCCTTGCAGCACAACCGACTAACGACCGTGAAGGCAAATTTCCAATATTACAATGAAAAATGCCCCCACCCCCAAACTTGAAAGCATTTGTATTGCAAATCTTTCCAAATGAAACATTCGCCCTCTTGCGTGCATCAGCATCACAGATTTCCGATCGTGAATAGCAAAAATTTGTATTGCAAAAGATCCCAGCAAGAGCGGTGCTTGTCATGCAAGCGATGCGAAACACGACTAGAATCTGCATCAGAAAGGTTCATACTCCTTTCATGCATGACAAAAAGTTTTCATTTGGAAACTTCGCATCACAAATTTTTGCAATTTCAGGGGTGGGGGGCATTTTTCACTGTGATATCCAAAACGCGGGATTCGGGGAAACCGGAGGGAAGGCATTGTTGGTACGCGTTGATGTATAACTTTAATTTAAAATGATAAAGATAAAGGCTCGGCTCGCAGCGTGTCGTGGCCTAGACAGGTGGAGATGATCATGACTCTATTCCTTTGTTGCCTAAGACTTTGCGATTTTAACTCGGATTTTTACTCGTCAGCAAAAAACCGCAGCAGAAACAAATTATCCAACAAGGATCATTCTCAAAAACTCGAAATCGTTATCAGGTTCTCGATTGCAGCTCAAACCGCATCACAGATTGGAACTTCGACACTTTGGCTACACATTTTCCGCAAAGCTTGTGCATTCTGAATGTGGCGGACAACCCAGACAGTATCTTGTTGATAGAGGGCCCCCCTTCGCTACACGACAAGCAGGCACCTCCGCCGCGTTCTCACCAGCGCACCTCCACCGAGGCTGCCACGAGCAGCACATCAATCACAAGAAGGAAGAAACTACTCCTCGACTACCTCCCAGACCTGGCGGTTTTCAACGGATCTGATCTCGAGCGAGACACCGAAGATCCTGATGGGGAAAGCAAATCAGACAAAGGCGAAGAAGGAGGAGTCTCATCTAAGTTTCTGGACGTCGTCGACACGACCAAAGTATTAGACGATTTTCCACCAGCTGCGGACTTCCACATTTTTGGCGAGCAAGAAGGAACAGAAGAAAACAACACGAAGCCATCGTCCAACGACAGCCTCGATCACCACGCGGTGGAAAAGCGGACATTGTTTGAAGAGATCAGGAAACAGATGGAGGCGCTTGAACTCGCTGAGAAGGTCGACGTGCCGGATGATGTGCCCGAAATCAGCTTGACAAGCCAGCAGCGCAGGTTTCTCGCCCGCGTCAGAACGAAGAACGGAGGGTGTCATGAGGAACAGCAAGACTATGACTACGGCGGTGAAGATCATGTTGAGGAAAAGGGGGAAGATTATGATTGCGGAGCGGGCGATGTTGACGAGGTAGAACTCGTTGATGCAGCTCCTGTGCCGTCGTTGCACCAAACAGCAAACGATGCAAATCATATACCAACATCTGGTCCGACGAGGACAGCAGCAACCGTAGCAGAAGTTCCACCGCCCGAGGATTTGGATTTACGGGCGGACGAGGAGGTTCTGCAAGCTTTGGCTGCGAAACGGACGCTGCTAAGACGGAAACGCATTTTGGAAAAGGAAATGCAGAAGGAAATTGAAGCGTTTGAGCTTGTCGCGCAAAATAAAACCAACAGCGGTGCTGGTGCTACTTCTAACTCGTTTCTTTTCCGAAGCAGTGGTGCATCGCCATCGGCTTCTACCACGAGGCAAAGCCACGACAGCACGTCGACAGAAGCTGGCGTCCCGGGAAGTAGTAGAAATACATTCGCTATTAATGAAAGAATGGAAGCAAGAAGGCAGCGGAGAGAGTTGGAAACATACGAGGCGGATCTTCCACTGGAAGAGCAGTACCAGATCTGGAATACAGCGAGAAAACTGGCGTCCGAAGCGTCGACGTTGGTAGTCCCGCCGGAAGGGGAGGCGGCTTGAGATGAGTCATGCGTTTTATTCATCTGTTGTAACTTAGACTTTGTTCACACGAGCTCGAGCATCGACAGAACAACCGCATGGCGACCGCCTTCCAAAATTTGCCTCCTCCCAATGATGTTGAATGGGCTAGAAGCGACTACATCAACTACACCGGCGATGAAGAAGACCTTTTGCTTTTAATTATCTTTCTGCTCTGTTGAGTCGGGCTCGGATGTTCGCAGTATAGTTAGCGGCAAGTACTAGCGGATCTGTCCTATCAAGCAGAGGCATTTAATTATCCCACGTAGTCTTCAACAAGAGCCTTCGGTTGAACGATTATATCCTGTTTCATATTCATCCGACTCCATGGCTGTTAGTGCGGTCGGTGCCACACTAGTGAAAAGTCTAAAAAGGCTGCTTGCGACCAAACAAAACCCACTTGACAACGTCATAGCTCTTCACAAGGCACTTCGTGCAAAATGAAGTCGCTTTGTTCTTTTCGGTCGTTCTCTTTGCACAATTTCTGGCGTTTGATCAGCGTCAGTACTTGCCATTATTTCCTCGTGGAAAATAGTTTCTTCTTTCGCCATTACTACGCAGCCGCACAGGACGTCCCTGCGCCTGGCGGTGCCGATGCCGCGACAGCTGCTGCTCTACTGCCAGACCGCCCAGGCGGGGTCGGAGCAGCCACAACTCCACTTGCCTCCGGCGGAGACAGCGTCGACGCTCTCCTACAGCAGGCTGTGCAGGAATCCATACAAACTGAAGACCAAGAAAACAACGCAGGTCTTCCCGACGCAGCCAGCACGACCCTACTGGAAAGCACAAAGGATAAGATCGCCGCCCCAGATTCCGACTCCCGCCCTACTTCGGAGCCTGCATTGGTCGAAGATTCTATGTCTACTTCCGATGCCCCCCCACCAGCTACGGTAGTGACCGCGGGAGCATCATCATCGGCGACGACCCCAGTTAATAACCCCGCTCCTCCTGCTCCACCTCCAAGTTCTCTGTCGTTCGACTCGCTGGACTTAACGTTGGAAATTGACAACCCATGCTGGATATCAAATGCAAAAATGTCTGGGTCTGGAAACTTGTGATGCTGGGTGGCGTCTCATGGTGAGGCCACAAGAGCTGGCTTAGCATGACAAGTTTCTGAGCTTCTAGGTGTTGCCTATTCTGCATGACAAACTGCGTTTCTGCATCACAGAAAAGCGGAGCTCTTGGGTAACGTGCATGACAGATTTAAGAGTCACGCCAGACAAGCATGACAAACATGAACTCTTCCAGACCCAGACATTTTTACATTTGATACTGGACGCCAGGTTACACATTCGCGGTGTGTTGCAACACGGACGTTTTTGGGGAGCGGGGGAACATGGAGTGTTGGGACGAAAGTTTCAATTTCAACATTTGCTGTGTCGAAGAGCGCTGGCTGCGGTCGCAAAACATGACGTCCAATCCTACGATGGCCAGTCGGGGCGGCGGCCTGGAAAGCGCGCAGTTCATTCGGCGACGGGAAGACTTGAGGACGTGCCTTTCGGACTACGAGGTAAGTATGTTGTATAATTGGGGGGATAGGTGTATTTTGGCATTTTTTTCGTACAACACCGGGCTTCGGAAAGAAAACAATAAAATTAAATGCAGTCCTCGACGTAGTGCAAATGCAGCTGCAGTAATTTCCACTTCGCATCACGGAAGGGAACAAGAAGAGTTCAATCTCAGGGTATAATCGGCATGAGGTAGCTAGACGTTGACGCAGGAGGAAAGACGCTAGCTTTCTTAATACATTTCCGTAAATTTTAAGTCTCTCCTGCTTAAACTAATAACCAGGGCTTCTACACGAAAGTGATGCAGTGGTCGGGTTTCCGCGAATCTCCCTTCGGTGACCCCGCGAGCTGCAAGGCGGTGGGGCGGCGATTTTTCTGGGTTATCTTGAATCGGGTGATGATGGGATTTTGCGCACCGGAGTCGTGCAACATGAACGAGTGGTACATCGCCGGGCCGCTGATAGCCGCCTGGACTGGCAAGATGGGCGGGAGTAAGTTTGGCTGCTTGGAACAGGAGAAGGAATTCGGCATGTACGACACGTTTCCCCCCCTGTTCAGCCGCCCGCCGAGCGCCACCGAGATGAAGGCCTTCCAGCACTGCGAGGAAAACATGCGACGGTATTTTCCGTCGTCGGATGTGATACGATTGCGGACCCTTCTGCAGGAAAACCGGCTGGAACTGGACGAACGGGCGAAAGATTTGAATTTCAACGTGAAAGAGCACCACGAAACCTGGAGAGTCAGTCCGGAAAATTGGTTTCACTTCAAACTCATCGGGGCTCCGGTGTTGGTCGCAAGTTTGCTGGAGTTCCTACTTGGGTTGTTAGCCTGCTTCGGGAGCGTTTTGTGTACCTGCTGGTGCAGGATGTGTGCGAAGACGGCGCAGAAAGGGCAAAACAGTGAAGACGACGCTGCTTCAGTCGCCTCAAGAACCGCTGCAAAAGGAACTTCATTTTCCATCACATCTCTCCTTACCGCGCCGATCAGGCTGCTCCGGCGCAACCTGCTCCAGCCGCTCGCGCTACAAACAAACCTCAGCGAACTGTTCGCTGGCCCGACCTCTCCGAAAGTCAACTCCAGCCTCTCGCTCGTCAGGATATTTCTGTGCCTTACGGTGATCTACGTGCACACGGTAGAAGCGTTCGAATGGGAGAACCACAGCAGCGAACAGGCGTTGCTGCAGCTACGGTACTGGCCGCTGTTTGTCCTGTGTCACTGTGGCCACCGGGTAAACACGCTCTTCACCTGTTTGTCCACGTTTTTGGCCCTGAAGTCCATTCGCAGCACAAACTTCATGCGCGATCACGTCGGCAGAACATCGCGGAAAAATGCTTCTGGAGATGAGCAGGGAGCTCCAGCAAAGACACTATCATCACCAATAAACCAGAACATCTTCTTCACCATTTTCACGCAAATCCGACTACTGCTGAAACAAGCACTGCAACGGATCACGCGCCAGTCCCCGGTGATGCTCTTCTGGACCTTCATCGTGATGCGCGTGTTCGCTAAAGACATTCCCTGGCGGCCCTCGGAAACGATCACCGTCTGGTACGACTACCGCGTGAAAGTCTGCCACATGAGCCAGCGCTGGCTCTACTCCAGTTTTTACCTGCACGCCTGGCTGACCCAATCCGTGACCGACGAGTCCATTTGCCACAACACAGCGATTTTCGAGGCGGAGTTTCAGGTCGTGATGTTCTTCATCGTCTTTTCCTCGTTCGCGTACTTCACCAGGCGCCTCGTCTCCGCCGTCTTCTGCTCCGACCTGTTCCAGACCGCGGCAAAAGTCGTCGAGCTCTCCGTCCTGCTGCACATCCAGGGCTCCATTTTCCGGTACGCTTGGGACCACGCCACTTCCCGGGAGGAAGCGCACCGTTGGCAAGAGAACCGGATGCTGGAGCGGTCACCGCGAACGGTGTTGTACTTGATTTCCGTCGCGATCTGCGTCTATCTGTTCGAGGAAGTCTTCCCCTTTTTCGCGGAGAAGGCGTTCAGCAGCGGGCTTGTGTTTTTCAGGTCATGGAGGATATGGAAAATGTTCACCTCTGCCGTCCAGTCCCGAAAATTCCGGAGCTTGTTCTTCGTCCTTTTGCCGCTCCTCGCGGTGTTGTTCCTCGATGCTCTAGTCGTGATTCGCGGACGGTACTTCATCCTTGGCAACGACTACAATAATGTGACGAAGCAGATTCTGGGCAGCGACTCGACGATATTCGTCTACATGTACGCGATGGCGAACACCACCGTAATTCCGTTCACCAAGCATTTTCTGCACAATGAGCCAATGCTGATGGACTATGTGCTGGATTTTCCGACCACGTTCGCGTTTTACCACTTGATAAAGCTGCTGATGGAGGAGAGGTCCACGACTGGCCCACGCATGCAACAGGTCGTTCCTCCAGCGTCGCCGGTAGTTGTCGTGGGAACAGTAGTTGGGATTGGCCCTGATCAAGTTCAAAATGGAGTGATGGAACAGAAGCATCATACCCTTGTCGGAGCAGGTGACTCATCATCCCTCGTCCAAGCGCTCGACGCACGTGCACAAATACCAGCACACCGCGCGTCTCCATCAGCGGTGAAGAAGCTGGTGCACGTGTTTGCGCAGCTCACATTTGGCATGAACTTGAGTAACATTTTTGTCCTGCACTACGTGGTCGGCTACGGGTTGCAGTTCCCCTTGAGAATCAATTTCATTCTTTTTCCCTCCCTGTTCCTTTTTGTGGTCATGAGTAGCGCGTTTGTGAACCTCGTCGTGTACCTTTTCGTAGAGAAACCTTGCGCGAATTTGTCCATGAAGCTGCTGAGCTATCTTTGAAAAACGGTGATGAGGAAGGTTGCTGGTTGAAGCAGCAGGTGTGAAGTGGTAGAAAGCTCAATCTTTTCTTGATGTTCGCAGTGTTACTGGCCATTTTCCGAGTGGGGTCGTAGGATGCCATCTCTAGTAGAGGACTCCAACGATCATACCGAAGCGGGAAATAGCAGGTGAGCGGGTGTTGATGAAGAGTTTTTGTGATTCATTGAGCGAGAAAGGCGGATGTTTAGGCAATGGACTGAATCAGCACGACTAGCAAGTGCTCCAGTGGTGCATGCTCACACTTACTAAATGCCGCGCGTCAAAATATCGAAGAAGTGTGAGAGCAAGGAGGGGATTCCGCTTGTTCAAGGCGACGAGTTGGCCACTTTCTTTCACTTTTGACGATTATTTTCTAGCTGTGGGCATCGCACTGCATCTCAAACAAAGAGCAGTAGACTCCAGCACGAGAAGATGGCGCAGGGAGGCGGAGGCGGGAGGAGGAAAATTGCCGCGGTGGCTTCCTTCCTTGCGCATACTTTGTGATGATCAGGACAGGCGCCGCAGCCCTTGAAGCGGCCACTGGCATACCCACGGCCAGCCGCCTACGGGCCGGGCTGTGGCGCGGGCGGTAGCTACGGCGGGCACGGACGGCGGCGCAACGTCGGGCCGGTCGTTGGGCGAGTGATTCGGCAGCCGCAAATTTCAAAAACGGCGCGAATCGAAAGAAAGCGCGGAGCAAGCGACGGGGTACGCCGACAGCCCAGCAAGGTGCAAACATCGAGCAGCCCAGCAAGCGACGGGGGCGAGCTGCCCAGCAAGGTACAAATATGGACAGGGCTGCCGACCCTCCTCGCCCCGCCAGCCTGATGCGGCCCGTTCTGCCATGGGCCCCCCGCGTGGCCCGCTTGGGGTGTGGGGCTCTGCCTCGGGCCGCGCCTGCATGCCTGTAGGCGTGTGGCCTTTGGTTGCGTTGTGGCTGGCGCAACATGGCGCCCCCTCCGGCGTCGGCCGCCGCCCTTCGTGTTCCGCCGCTTCGCCGGCCTTTTTGGCCGCCCGCCGCGGTTACAGGGGCCGCGTGCCCGAGGGCGATTTGGGCCCAGTAAGTGCGCTCGCGTCTCCGCCCGACGCCGATCGCACGGCCCTGATTCTGCCGCAGCGAGCTAGTGTGCGTGGCGCGCCGTCTACCTGGTGTAGCTAGCCAATCCGCGCCGTGCGCTTTGCGCAGGGAGGCCGGGCAACCGCAACAGACCAGTCGGGTCTATCAGTCAATTAAGCGAATTCACTCAGTGTCGTGAAGGTGAATGTGAGCAAGCATGGCCACGGACACATCCTGTAGGCTTTTTGCTGGTTCTGTTGGATTCAATTTTGAACCTTCTTGCCTTCGTCGAGAATAGACGAGGTCGCCGTGTGTTCTCTGTCTGGAGTAGCAGCCTGTCGACTTACGTAAGTACTCGAGTGGTCCATTTTTTTGAAGAGATTTGAATGAGATGCACAAACAGAGAAGAGACCCGCTTTGAGTTTGAAGAGAAGGAGTCTACAACGATTGAGGAAGAGGAAAGGGAGTATAGGATTAAAGTTGGCCAGTCAGCGACCTATTGTTTGTGGGTCTTGACCCCCTGTTTTCGTTTTGGCTCTTGAACGTCCACCTATCGAGTCGTGCCGGGGCTGCGCAACGCCAATGGTGGACCACGAGAACCGTCAGTACATCCACGATTTCCAAATCGAGCGTCTTTTCAAGGACATGATCGACCATGTTTTGGACACCGCATCCAACACGAAGCGCCTTCCCGCCTCCGAAAGCGAACTGCGGGTGCAGCTCCTGCGGTATTTCCGTGGCCGCCACACGAAACAGGAAGTCGAAGGTTTTGCGGGCGGGCTGATTACGAAACTATCGGACTACAATGCGCAGCAAGTAACGGCTTCGACGAAGCAGCTGCAAGTAGACCCACAACTACAAAATTTTGAGCCCATCTTCATTCAATCCCTGTCGCAGTTAGTCCAGTCCGCGCAGAAAGATTTGACGCGGTTTGAGGAAGCGGAGCAGGTTCGGCAGGTTCTGAAGTTTTCGAAAGAGCAAACGGACGAATGGTACGTGAACATCTTCGAAAAGCTCGTGTCGAACGATGACGGATTGGCGAGTCGAATGGCTTTGAGTAAAGCCTACGACCAAGTTGCAGGGACGAGGAGCAGTAGTACGAATACGGGAGGAAAGTACGTACTAGGTGGGAAAGACGGGGGCAATCAGGTAACTTCTGGAAACAACGCGGGTGCGTCGACCTCTACAGCATCAAAAACAAGTAACAAAAAAACCTCACTGGAGATTGTGACGGACACGACGTCGATGTCTGGATCGAAGGGAAGCAACGAGGAGCCCGAAGCTGCTGCGGGGGCAACGGAGCAAGATGAGCGGATTTCCTTTGCTGACTTTTTACGAATGATTGCGGACCGGGAACGGGAGGAGGAGGAGGGGGAAAACAGAGGCTCTGAAATCAATATTCCGGCGGTTTAGTAGAAGAACTAGAAGTAATCCAAGCGAATAAAAAAGCGTGAAGTGTTAGATAGTGATTGAGTCATGCAAAATGACAGCGTCTTGGTCTTCGCTGCTGACGAACGAGTTATGGTGTAATCTCAATCATCTCTTCAACACGGCAAAATAGCAGGCTGCGAATCATGAATAATGTCAAGGAGTCATCACCATACCGTGGCTGTTTCAGACGGTGGATCCTGATCCTGAATGTAGGCACAAGACTCAATATTTTTTGCCTTCAGGAGGGAGAGCGAAGAAGGAGTGCGGCATTACGCCGGCAAGTATTTATGATTGTAAGTAGAGCAGACTCAGACACGAAGACGAAGTTGTAGGATCTACGAGCGGGAGGGGGACGAGCAGGCGAGATGTCTTGTATATGGGTTGGAGTGAGGTCTCGGTCTTTGTGCCGCTTCTGCAAAGATAAAAGGAAGGCATATTTATAGTACGAAACAGAGCAAACTTCTGCACGTGCGGGCGTTGTTGTGTGTCTAGTTGATGCAGAGCGACGGCGCTACGGCGGCGTGCTTTTCTGGGGCCGCGGCGGCCGCTCCGTTCGTCGCTCCTCGCCGGCCAATGACCAGGGCCCGGCTCTCTGTTGCAAACGGCGCGCCGGCGACGCGGCCCGGTGTCTCGGACTTCCTGGAAGAGCGCGAATCGCGACACTTCGCTCAGACGATGAGACACCTCAGCGCGCGCGGCGGGGGGCCCCTGGTTGCTTGTGTCGTAGACGACTCCGCGGGTGGCGTCCTTTGATTGTTTTCCCGCTGCCCGCCTGCCGGCCGCGCCGGGTGATTCGGACGGCCGGGCCTGTTTGCGCAGGGGGGCGCGCCCCTTCCGGCACGCGAAGGACACCGGGAGGCGAAAAGCCGCCCGCCCGGGCGCCCAGAGTGGAGACGCAACAGGCGGAGTCGTCTACCTCTATCGCCGGCATGGAAGCCCAGCAGGCGCAAGATTCCACAGCTATCACTGGCGTAGAGCTGGAGCAGCAACGTGCGTCGACGGCGTTTGCCGGGCTGCAAGAGGAGAGCGCCCGCCTCCGGCAGGATATGGCTCTTCTTCCGCTAGATGACAGGGAGAGGCGCCATTATGGCAACGCGAGTTCTCATCTCCGCGGTGTCAAGGCTAAATCTGCAGAAGAAATGAGCACGATGGCGACGGCATTGACGGACGTAGAAGCGGATAGCGCACAGCTCCGCCAGGATAGCGCTGCTCTCCGCCAGGATAGCGCGAGTCTCCGCCGGGGTACTCCATCCAAGCGCAGCAGGCGCAAAACCCTACCGCCACCACTGGCGTAGAACTGGAGCAGGGGCGTTCGCTGGGAGAGGGATGAGGAGCCTGTCGCCCCCGGCTCGTTCCTTCGCCTCCCCCCTGCGCCTAGCAAGCTGGCCGCCGTAGTTGCCGCGGATGGTTGTTGCCAGCCCAGCGCCGGCCAAGCGGCCGTGTGTGTTTCGCGTCCGTGGTCGGTTTGGCTGCGCGCGGGGCCGGCGGCGTTTTCGATTGGGAATTGTCTGGGGCCTATTTGTCTCATGCAGTGGCGCGCGGGGCCTCTGGGTATGACTCAATGTGCTTCCGGCGCCGCCGATTATCCCTCCCTTTTCGAAAAGGAGGCAGCCGCGCGTTCACTACGACGGACTTACGGCAACAGCAGCGCGCGCGGGCTATTTTGCCGCTCCTGCTTCGCTCCTTTTGGTTTGTTTCTGACCCTTTCAGAAAAACCCGCGTGGTGATGTGGGACTGGGTGGCTGCCGACGCGGGTCGAGCGACCTTGTTTGGTTGAGCTTGTGTTCGGAGGGAGCCTTGCGCCACCGAGTCAGCTTTACGTTTATGTTTCGCGTTTTTCGAAGAGGTGTTTGCTGGTTGGACTGAGCGTTCGAGCGACCGCGCGCGAGTGTCACGGGCCAAGCCTGCACGGTTTCCTGAGAAGACTCTGTGTGACCTGCGGTCTTCTTGGTGTCGTGTGTGAAAGGAGGGACGTGGGATTATGGCTTATCCATTCTTCTTGTCGGCCCCGACTATGTTATAATTGCCTACCACGGCGGACACACGAACAGGTTGTCGCGCCACGGCCAGAAGCTCAAAGAAATTCGGTATCTATCGCCCGGCATGCCGCCCGGTTCTACCATCTCTTCAACCCAGCCGCGCCAGTCTTCCAAAACCAAGCCCCAGCGTTTCCCGTCCCTTCGTCTTCCCCCCGCGGAGTACCGGGCGCCAGCGACACAGGACGAGAAACTGAAAATACACCTGAACCTTAGCGATAATGGTTTGGACACGATTGCCAAACTCGCCACAACATTGAACCACGTACCGGTCGGCCACATCGAATACTTAGACTTGAGCCGCAACAACTGGAGCCAGCATGGGTTGGACCGGCAGTTGGTTCCGTTTTTGCAGGACGTGTTTGTCCATTTACCTTCAGGAGCGCCGTTTAGTTCATCTTCAACAAATCCAGCGCGTCCAGGAATCAACAACGTATCTGTTGTGTCGTCGACGCATAGCCAGCTGTTGCAGCTCGAGCATTCACAGACGCAGGCGGATAATGCAGATCAAGAACGAACCCGAACCGTGCGACGAAGGAAGGCGAAGTTGTGTTCTCTAAAAGCACTGAATCTTTCCGGAAACAACGGTTTGTCGATTTTCGGAGCGGCAAATTCCAACTCCCGGACGAGAAAGCCATCTACACCTGCCGCACCTTCCGACGCTGTCCAAATGAGTGAGAGGGCGTCTTCTCATCAATCGCGCCCGAAGCCTCCAGATATCACACCTCTGCTTTCCAGCCTCGTCGAGTTGAATCTCTCCGGGTGCAGCCTAAGCGGCGGATTTTTCCGGCAGCTTTGCGACTCGCTTTGCGGTGGTTTTGTTTCATCACGTGATGAAACAAGTTCTGTTGCAACTACACCCTCGCAACTCCGGAAGCTCGATCTTTCCTACAACCGAAACCTCCTCGATAATCCCAGAGCGGCGAAAAACTTCGGAATCACGTTGAGCAGGAATTTTTCCCTAGTCGAGCTGAAGCTCCTTCACACGGGGGTCTGCCTGCAGGATTTGGTGGCCGGATTTGGCGACAACGGCGAAACGCGCGTTTCCAAATGGGACTTGGGGAAGAATGCAAACTTAGGTGTGGACGACATGCGGGCGTTCTGTGCACTGCTGGTCCGGAGTTTCGGCTGCACTTCCGGTGGCAGCTCCGCGGGTAGTGGCGCGCTGGAACAAGCAGTAGACCGGGCTACGATACAACTGGAGGGCCACGGCACAAGCGGAGGTGATGTTCTGGAGACGATTCGTGACGTCGATCAAGGAGAATCTCCGCGGCGTGAAGCGTTGCCACAGCTACCGCGACGCGAAGTCTCTCTCGGCCTTAGCGACCTCACGATCGACTCGGAATCTCACGCGTTTCTCGGCGAGACGCTGTACCAATTGACAGCAACTTCTAGGGCAAGCGATCGTAGTTCCACTGCTGCTGCTCTTCCAGCAGCACAAGTAATCGCGCCTCTCTCGCTTTCCCTCGACCTCACCCGGTGTCGCATCCGCGGGTCCGAATGGGATTTCGCCAGCGACGGCCCTTTGAGTAGCTTGTGTGGAGGTTGTAGTAGAGCGTCAGAAACTTCCAGCGCAGCAAGCCATCAAGCGCAGTCGGTCATTATTTCCAGCCAACACGGGAAACGCATGACAGAGCTCTATCCTGCGCAAAGCGGAAATAAACATTACTCCTCTCCCTACCGCCTCCGCACCTTTCTTCACTTCCTCTGTTCTGCGAGATTCGACACGCTTCTTCTCGACGACGTTGAGTTCGGTAACACCAAACCGGCCGAAGTGACAAGGATCTGTTCGAAGCTGTTAAAACGGACGGAGCATCACTTTTCCGCGCAAAAGCTCATTGGGTGCTACAGTACTGCTGGTGGAACAAATACCACGGCGTCAGGAGGTCCACCGGGAGCAAATCCCCACAAGAGAACCTTCACCAATCTGGAAAAGCAGCAACTTCCCCGGGAGGAGCAAGAGGAGCAGCTGCGGGTCTTTTTCAACAGTTTGAAAACCACTAACGCGGGGAAAACGTCGGTCCGAAGTAGCAGAGTCTCAACTGCAACAGCCCGGGTTACAAGGCAAAGCCGGTTTTCGCTCATCTCCGCACCACGGAATCTTCCCGGGCGAAAGTTCAGAAAACTTTCCTTGAACGACTGCAATTTGCAGGACGGCGGTTGTGCCTTGCTGGCAACTGTTTTGGCGAGAACTTGTTGTTTTCCGCTGCTGGAAGAGCTGGAGCTGCAAAAGAATGGGATTTCGGAAATCGGCTTGAGAAATCTATTGCTGGAAACTAGAGGAAGAAGTACTAGAGTTCTGCTGCCGAGGAGAAGCAGTACTACTAGTGAAAGATCTTCTGCAAGAAGAAGAACGAAACTGTCCTCGTCCGACGGAGAGCACCAGGGCATTGATTCCATCTCTAGTCCTGCGGCCGTACTATCCAGTCTCCCACCGTCCCTGATGAAGTTCGACCTTTCCAACAATGGGAAGATGCTGCGCAGTACCAAAGGACTGGATGTGTTGGTAGAGTGGGTCAGGCGGAAATGCGCGGAGTTGTTGAAAGCAACACCTTCTGAATCACAGAGCGAGCGGGAGCGCCAAAACCAAACAAATCCAAGTTTGAGCCGCGGAGGAACCGCTGGCACCAGATCAGCATGCCTGATCTGCCTGAAGCTGTCCAACTGTGGCCTCCACCTCTCCACGGACAGGAAAAGCTTGGCGAAGCTCTGGTACTGCGGGCGCCTTGCGTTTTGTGACTTGCTAGAAGTTGGCGGGCCGTTGAGGCTGGAGAGCTTGACCGCCTTTGAACCAGGGTTACGACCGGGCGGGGTGTTAAACAGTGAAAGTGGCGTCTCCACGGCGGCACGAGAGCATCAACGTGAGCAGTTGGGTTGGCGCCGTTTGGAGATCCAGACGGTTGAGGACGATCAGGACGGCATCCCGATTGGGGCACCAAGTTCGACTTGTGGAGGAGCAACGGAGGATCAAAATTGCAGCGCAGCGTCACAGAGACTGAGTCACTTCGAAGAGTGGTACGTGAACCAAGCGCTGCGAGCGAGCGGAACGCAGTTCTTCCCCTCGTCTTCCGGTCCATCTGTGGCACAGAGAAATCGTCTTGAAAACGCCACCACAGGAGGAGAAGAGACGACCGGCGAAGACTCTTTCTTCTTCACAGGCTTAACCACGTCTGGACATCATCATTATCACGCAAATACGTACGCACTGAAGCCTGACTGGGATTTCTCGCCGAAGAACGACAGCCAAAAGCGGTTTGATTACGGCAACAAAACGCATCCGGACTATTTGGATTTGAAGGACGCAATTGCTCATGCAGCTAATACGCAGCCAGATGTTCTTGCAGGTTGGAACAACGGCGATGCTCATGATGAGCCAGTGGGATCTTGCTCTAGTCATGCGGTTCTGGTCACGAGGCAATCATCCCACAATTTTAGCGTTCCCGGAAGTGCTGCAGTGGCCGGCGGGGGAGCACTGATAAACAAGACAACCACCAGCGCCAACATCAGCAACATCAAAGCCGCCAACCCCTCTTCGAAAAAATCCGCGCCGGGCTCTCCCCGCTCCGCTCTTAGCCGGAACCACTCCGGGGCGTTTTTTCCGACTTACTTCGACAATTTTGAGGACCGAGCCCCGTACGAAACGGGACTGATCCAGCACTCGGTTTCGCGGAGGAAAGCGATTTTGAATGCGCTGGAAGATTTGATGAAAGTGAGTGCGTTCTTCGGAACAGTGCCTGTAGCCGGCGCGTCGACTACGTCTACAAGTAGAGCATCACCTTTCGCTGGATCATCTTCCGGATATGCTGGCGCAGGGCTCGGCGACACAAACAGCACGAAAGGTGGAGGTGCGACGATGATCAACCCTAGTACAACTACATCATCATCTCGGTTCCTGTTCGATTTGAACGGCAAAACTATTCCAGATCTGTACCAAATGCTGCTACAAGACGAGCAAATCCACGCGGCGTATTTTGCTTTGCCGTTGTGCCTGTTCCGGGGACTCTCCGTCTCGCCGTTTGCCTCCGCGACATCAGCGAGCAGCTTTGGCGCTACGGGTGCGACGAGAGCGATAGCACAGAATCTTTGGAAAATGAGGAATAAAACCACGAGCAGTCCGGCGGTCGCGACAGCTACAACGCGCCAACAGCTGCAGCTCCGAGCAGCGCCAGCAGTAGTACATGCGACCAGCAGAACTAGCAAGGCGAACTCGTCCGACATAAGAATCGGGCGCAAGTTGATTTTGATGCAGTGCCTCACGGAGTTGAAGCTTCCCGGCCTGATTCCGGATTTTGAATGTTGGCAATCGTTGGCCAAGGATCTCACCCGGGTCTGTGTGCAGCAGTGGGTGAGTAACATGTTTTTCCCGAGGAGTAAGAGTGGAACAATAGCAGGATCTAGTGCTAGTATGATACTGACGGAACTTCTTCCCAATTCGCCGACAATTACAATCGACGCCAGCCGCAATCAACTTGGCAAGCAAGCGGTCTTCGCTCGGGAACAGGAGAAAAACCGTGGGTTTCTGCTGCAACAGGTCGAAACTTTCTCGCCGGCGAAAGGTCCGGTGAAAGTGAAGGAGGTTCTTGCGGCCGCCGTGAGAGGTGGACAACGACTGACGGATGGACCACCTCATCTCCCCGCTGCTGCTGAAACACAAGAATCCCGCAACCAGTTTCGTTTCGTGCCACAATTACGAACGTACAGCGCAAACCACCAAGCGAGAACCCGTCCGGCCGCGGCGCGGGGGGCTGCAGGGGCAGCAGCTCCACCTGTGTCGACGGCCTTGTCTTTGCCAGGAAGTGGGTGTGCGAAGGCAGCTGCAGCAATGCCTCCAAAGGACTGTACTACAGCTGTAGACGACGGAAATAACCAGATGTCCAGCAAAAGAACGAAGCTCGAAGCGGTGAGTGCGAATCTGCAAGACGGTGATATTTTCCGGCTGATCCATCCAAAGCTTCTTTCGCGTGGTGTGCAAAAAACTGCGATTCAAATTATCGACCTGTCGCGGATATGCATTGCAAATATGTTGTCTGGGTCTGGAGCTGGACGAAGACTGCGAGATTCGTCATGCGTGTCTCGCATGACTCTCGGCTCTGTGTTGCGTGGCCACGAACAGCTCCTCTTGCCTGTCATGCAAGGACGCAGCTTCTATGCTGAATACGCAACACAGCGCGACGAAAAAACCTGTCATGCTTGGCCGTGTATTACAGAGTGCTTAGCATTCACTGATTTGCATCACAACTTTTCAGGCCTGGACTTCATGTTTGCAATGCATAAGGGAACAAAATCGGTCCGAAAGGCGCGAAGGTGTTAGCAGACGGAATAAATCCGGTGGTGGTCGAAGAAGTAAATCTGGATCACAATCTCGTTCAAGCAAAGGGCGTAGAGGCGATTTTGGCAAAGTTTTGCACTATTGCAAGTAGGAGCAAGCGCGGCACTGTTGCTGCGAAGAGAATTGTTCTCTCGTTCCAAAACAACAGACTGCAACATCCAATAGCCTGCGTTTTTGAGGCGTTTTTAGAACAGCTATTGAGCAGTGCTGCGAGTTGTACTACTAGCGCTGATACGGATCTCAATGGAACGAATAGGAACTACGTGAAGAAAACTACTTACGCAAAAACGCACGTCGCTGCAAAAGGTGAAACGACAAACACTATAAGTCGACAAGCTAGCGGGTCGACTATGAAATACTTGTATCAAATAGATTTTTCCAACAATTGTATGATATCGGAGGGCGATGTTTTTCGTATGATTAATCTGCTCTTTCAAGAGCGAAACCTCCGTACGAGTGTGTCCCTTAGTCTCGAAGGATGTATAGGAGGTGATGGAACGATAACATCGAAGTCACGCAAACTAGAAGCCAAAAATCCGTTTTATTCCACATCTAACGATAGCATTGGCATCAAAGGTAGAGACGGCGAAAAGAAAATCGCAGCGATCCGAGAGTTGCTAGAAATACTGAGCAAAAAGTATGACGAAGAAAATTTTTGGAAAAGATACGGGATCAACATGAGGTCGCGAGTGACAGTCTGAGTTTTTGCTAATAGCGCAATTCCCTAGAATCGAATCACAGAAACAAGTTGACAAAATTGCAAACATGTTCGTGTTGAGTTGACATTGGAGAAAAGCCACTAGACGGCACTATCAACGGTGAAAAATTTTTGAAACAGTTTCAGAGCGTAAAGCTACGGGACGCCGTAGCCTCAAAAATTGATGAGGTCAACAATTGATCTATCTCCCGATTGAGGAGACATGCTGGTGGAAAAGTGTTCGCATGATCCCTCAGAATAGCATGTATTGTCAAATTATAGATAGTACAGAATTAGGGCGAAAAAAATCACAATCACGCCTGCACATAGTATGTCGAAATGATTTATCCCGAGAGCATGGCTGTTTACAGCCTCCACGAGAAAAACGAGTGCATTCCGCATGATATTCATTTATGCGGCTCCGAATTTATTACAAAGATCTTTTCCAAAATCCAAAACGGTCTGGAGCAATGGAGGCAAAGCTTGCAAATGGAGATTTCGTCAAAGTGAAACATCAAAGTGTAGTTTTTTTTTGTTAAGTGCAGGCCGTCTTTTTTTTTCGACTCCGCAGCAATCTGTTTCACTTTTTTTGGAAAGTCCTATCTTCAGTTTCACTCTTGTGTAGTCTGAATTAGAAAAGCACCGAGCTGGAGGACTTTCTTTTTTACTGAAGCGACGACACCATTTCCACAAAAAATTTGAGTTTATGTTTATCGCAATTGAATGCCAGCACAAAGAACAACCCAAGAACATCAAGACAACATCATAGGCAATTTCTCAATTTTTTTCCCCATTCCACAATCCCCAAAAAGATTCACCTTCTTCAAGACCGTGGCGCACTCTTGAAGTAGCATACGAATTTGGATATAGTACAAATACGGCTCTTGTTGATCAAGCTTTGATCACGGGCTCATTTCCACATCTCGCCTAGCATGACCGACATAACCGACGAGGCTGCGTATTACGCTAACCTGGCCGAGGAGGACGATGAGGACGAGGAGGAAGAGCAGCAAGCCCCAGAGCCAGCAGCCAAAAAGCAGAAAACCACAACAAATGACACTAGCAGTAGCTCAACGGCAACAGGAGCGGCGGCAAAGTCAATAGCAAATAACGAAGCAGGCACTTCTGCTGCCGGTGCACCAAATGCCGCAGACGGAACAACCACCGGCGCTACTACAACTGGGTCGGCGAAGAGTGGTAAGCCAAAGACACCAGCGACTGGCCCAGTAGACAGCAAGGCACCTCCTGGAGAACAAGGAGGACCTCCACCTCAAACTGGTCCTGGGGGGAAGACAGAAGGTGAGAAAGAAGAGAAGGAGGTAACGCCGAATGACGAGGAGAAGCTGGATCTTCAAGCCCCAGAGCCCGATACTTCGCACGGGGCGCACAACAACTGGGATGTGCGATGTGTGGTCGTGAGGCAAGGTATGCATTTTTTTTGACAGGAGCTCTCGTGGTCGACGAGGGAGGGCGATGGGTCCCGCGGTTACGGCATAAGTTTTAGTACCACAGCATTTAGGAATTGATTCTCACAACTCCGAAGTCTGTTTAAGTTTATCTGCAACTACTGCAGCATGTTCATCGTGGCGTTTGCTCTTGCGTGCCATTGTCAACGGTCTCTTTCAAACCAAAAATCAGGCCAATTGATGCTGGAGCTGCAGCGCCGAGAGCCTCCCCTTTCAAACGACAACCTGATCCGGTTCTCGGACTGGCTGTCGAAGCAGCTGCCGAAAATCATCGAGTCATTTCCCTACGTAAGGAAATCCGGGTGTGTGGTCGACCTGTCTGACAACACCATCGGTCCGCAGGGTCTGGATAGGCTTCTCAACGTCCTCAGGGACCACAAAGTGCCCTGTAATACGCTCAAGGTATGTATTTTTTGGACACAGTGAGCTGCTGGTACTTATTGGTTCTTTGTTCACTTTAGAAGTTTATTTCCGTAGAAGAATCGAATTCGAAAAACGAACATGAAAAGAATATTGTCGACAAACTCAAACAAACAGGCCTACAGAAATTGTCTCGACGACAGCATAGTCGACACCATGGTCGAGTACTTTTACACGCAGCCTAACGGGAACGCGATTCAGTCGATACACATGTCGCACAACCGCATCACCGATACAGGCTGCCTGAGACTACTAGAAGCGGCGTGCAAATGCGAACAGTATAAATTGCTAGTGGTTTTTTTAGTTGCAGTGGTGGAGGTCAATCAAAAATCGCAGCTAGTATATATAGATGTCGTTACGCATACTCAATTTGATTTCTTCCTGTGGCTGCGCTACGTTCATCGCCAATGATTTTTCCATAAAATTTCCGATGAAATGAAAACCAGCTATCCCCGGCACATCGGCGAGTCCCTGCACCCATTGTGGCTGCGTCTGGAGTGCAACGCGATCGAGAACCCAACGAAGTGCATCGTGAAAATGGGCGAGGATCCAAAAAACCGGGTGTGTTTGATGCAGGACGGGCAGTGCAGTCAGAAGCACTGTGACCACTGGAACGTGCACGTGCAGCTGCCCCACTTTGTGAACCAAGACGCGAAGAACGAGCACCGGGCCTACGAGCACGGGGAATACGACAAAAACGTCAATAATGAGCAACTTTTGGCCCACGTCTTCGCGGGCGCAAACGCAGCGGCCGGGAATAGCGAAGCGGTCACGCCGGCAAACAACGGTGGAGCAGCAAATAGCAGAGCAAAGTATGATTTGGATTTGCGCTACTCTAGTTCATGCTCGACATCATGGCCAAGCTCCTTATAACTGTATGCGAATTTCTCTGGGAGTATTCCGATGTGTTGGCATCACACAAAAGTTTGAATCTTGACGTATTGGAAGAAGAAAATCTACACAAAAACTACAGGTCACCTGCACCTACCGGCGCAGACTTCGATCCAAAAATGAAGGAAGAGCTGGTTCTTCTTGCGAAGGGCATCCAGAAGGGGCTTATCGAGAAAGGTAGAGATAAGCCTCGTTGTTCAGGATTGAAGTTGAAAATGAGATTTAAATCCACCACCACTGTTGAGCTGTTAGTTTCATACATGAAGAAAAAGGTGCAACAAGAATGACAACGTTTACCCTATCTATCACCCACCACTCCCAGGTCAAGGCAAGGCAGCCATGGTCCAATTGATCCAGCGAGCGAAAGGCATCAGCAACAAAAACGGCCCGCAGAACGGCATGGGAGGCAGCGCTTCGCCCTCAAGATCCATGCCCATGCCACCAATGCCCGGGGAGTTTAACAACCAGAAGGGCGGCTCTTCCGGTAGTAATTGGAACTCGGGAAAGCAACAGTCCTACGGCAAGAACGACGGCTCCGGTGGGAAATACGGCAAAGCGGGGAAGGGAAAAGGCGGCTACGACAATTACAACAGCTATGGGAAGTCCAACGGCTACAACAGCAGAAACAGCTGGAACAACAGCAATTCCTATGGAAGTAGCCACCCGCTCAAAGGTGGGAAATCCTCCGGGTCCTTTGACAAGGAGGGGAGTCAGTACGGGGGCAAGAGCAGTCGGTCTGGGTATGATAAGTACGGTGGCGGAAATAAGGGCGGCAACAACTCTTACGACCAGAACCGCTGGAGCAAGAACGGCGGCGGGTCCCATTGGGGCAGCAGCAGTGACAGAAACAGCGGCTACAACAACGGGTACAACAGCAACTACAATTCCTACAGCAACCACGACAGGAATAGCTCCTACGGAGGGTCTTCCGCGCCCGCTGCGCCGCCGAAAAAAACGCAGGTGGACATCAGCTTTGGCAAAAATCAGGACCTCGGCTTTGAGTACAAAATGGAGCAGATAGACGAAATCGACACCGCGGTCGTCACGTATAGTTGTTGTTCTTTTGATACTGATTTTGATATAAGTATTTCCCTTCGCTTGCTCAATAAAGAGTAGCGTGGGCCCTTTTGACCTTGATCATGACCCAGACATGTTCATATCAACGCAATCCTCCTGCCTTGCTGATTCAAATTCAATATGATGATGATCATCTTCAAATAAATTCCTACAGTGCCGTCACGAAAGGCTCCGAAGCGGACACGAAAGGCCTAGAGATCGGGTGGAAAATTTCCAGGATGAACGGTATGGATGTTTCCATGTTCTCCGCGGCGCAAATTACCGAACTTATCAAGGACAGGAAAAATTTGTCTGTGCGGTTCAAAGCGTGACGATTTCGAAAAAACCTGTCCGTATTGGTGTACCAGCTCGCGCGCCGCTCTTCGGAGGTAGCTCAGGTCCGTGATGCTGTTTCCCACGAAGTTGCTCTGCGGGGAAATGAGATGACTTTGTATACCTGTCTTTATTTCAAAGAAAAAACCAAAAAGAAATTGAAAGCGTGAAATGAAAGTAGCCCGATGAAAGAGGTGAGTAAGTTCGAGATTGACCATATCAAAGAGATCTTTTTAGATCAGCGTTAGCGTTAGTTTACATTTTGCTGTAGGCACTGAGGAGTAAGATTGGGAGTAGTTCTTGAGGCGCATGATTACATCTCCCAGTTTTGAAGCATGACCTTGAAGAGCGGGAAAATTAGTAGGACAAAGGGGCATGGTTCATCATGATGGGGCTAGCGACACTAGAGGCGCTGAAGTAGTAGAACTTGCGGGTGAGAAGCAGGTGCTTATTCAGTTTATATCAAATTAAGAAATTTCTGCACCTCGTCCGCTTGACTTTTCTTCTGCTCCTGTATCACCCCATTAGAATATGGAACTGGCTGTAGTAGTTTCAGTTTCTGTCATAGCGGCCAGCGAATAAAGGTATAGAGCGAGAATTACGGTTACCAACTTCCCCCCCCCGCTTTGTTCTGTTGGCATCGACGTCATTTGTTTTCCTCAGGGGTTGTATCAGGATAAGCAAAACGGTGCGCCGGCGTCCTAAAGAGGTTTTTCATTTTCGCATTTTGAAGAATATTTGATAGAGCGAAGTCACCCTGACGCTTTACACGTTTACCCAGCGAAGAAAAGATGATTTTGGTTCAAAGAAAAAAGACTCGCCTTTGATGATTCACTTCCCCGAAGAACGCATAGTGCTCTACCCCGCTGCCGATCTTTAGGTTTGTATCGCAAGAAGAGGACGAATCAAGAAAACTCCATGTCAATAAATTCACGAAGAAAGGACGAAAAATGCGGAGCGCAGCTTTGAGAAACTTCAGTTGCGACGTTTAGGTCGGTATATTGCTGCTCCTTCCTGTTCTTTTTCTTCCCTTCTAGAAGTAGATTTGCTGGCAGCGAGCCAACACAACAGATGAAATGAAGACGTTGATCAACAAAGACTTAGAGCTCGTTCACATAGGTGTTGCAGATGACGATCGTCCTCCACCAAATGTAAATGGTAAAAAAATCCATATAATTCATCTGGAGGCACCCATATCTTTCTGGTGTATAATCAAAGCTTTCCGATCCAACCACTCCACAACTACCCACACAGCAACGACAACAAAGGGAGCTGCGAGCAAATAGAAATTATATCCAAAGGTTCTAAACCCGTTTGGTGAAAACGGATACGGTCTCGGAAGATCTCTTTCGCTTATATTAATCCTCGCTCAAATTCCAAATCTGAATCATGTGCTCTCGTTCCTGTTCAAGAGCAAGAACCCGTCGCATCTTACTCCGTCTCCAAAAGGAGAGTTCACACCTCATGTGAAAAACCACTCACCGTCTGAAAAACCTTTGTGCAGTCGCGATAGGAGGTGTTGTAGGCTAAGGAATCCACGACCGAATGGTTTACGGGCACTGGTGTGAATTTCTTTGTGGACGACTGTACCTAGGGCGCTGCTAAAAAATCTGAGATTTTCAAAGTGAAGTAGAGCCTTGTTTGTTTTCATCCACGTAAATGTGCGTTTTTCCCCACCATGAATGAGCTTGAAGACTACAGTCCCGCTACCGACACGACCCAGCCAGAAACTCCAGTCAATTGTTCTGTAGGAGCTTCGACATCTCGAGAGGAACTACACCGACCAGGAGACACAACAAGAACAACTTCAGCTGTTCGTCCGTCGGATCGTAACACGTATCGACCCAGCGGCAACAACAAGACGTCGCTTCATTGGGTTTGGGACGCAGCGACAAACCGTTTTGTTCCAGTTCAAAAGCTGGCGCAACAGCAGAGGTCAAAAATATTGCTGAAACAGCAAGGGCCCCCGCGAGAAGCAGTAACGGAAGGAAAGAGTGCGGTTGGAGTTGTTGCCACGACATCCGCCTCTGCATCAAGTTCTGTGCCTGGCCGAAGATCTTCCAAGAAGCAGGCCGGGCTGGAGTTTATTTCGCAGCTTCAAAAAGAACAGCAGCAGCAGCACGAGCACGACAAGTTATTTACGACCAAGAAGAACCTGGGCTACGAGAAAGGTTTTGATCAGCCAGAACGCTTCGCTCCTGTATTATTTCGGACGAGCTCCGCTCATAGCAACTACAGCGACGTGACGACTTTGCCCGGAGTACACGACCGCAGCTATAACGATTCGTCTTTCACATCATCAGCTCAAGATCCTTCTTGGAGCAGGTCCTCCGCCGCGCGTGCGTCTGCAGCTGAAGGGAGTCGAGTTGGAGAAAACCATTACCTGGAGAGGGAGACAAACGATTTCTACGAGGGTATTCTAGACCGAAGGTACGACCTTAGACAGGAAAAGTTACGAGAGGCGAAACTACAAGGATTTCACAACTGTACTTCCACGTCGACCTTCTACCCGAATAAGCCTTCGTCAGCCCGCCCCGCTGGTGAGCTGCACAATTTGAATAATTCCACTGCGCCTGGTGATCTGAGCCGTGGAGTTTCTCGTCGTCGTGGCTACTACATAAGACAGAGCGACGGGTCATACGCTTTTTTTCTTTGTGAAGACAACGAAGATTTCGACTACAGTCCGCTGGATAGATCGGCACTGAACCACAAAACCATCTCGTCGGTGGCACGGGACTACAAAAATTACAACGGAGGAGGTCGGAGCTCCTTCGAGACCGCTACTAGAGAAAACCACTTCCCTGCACCCAGCACCACTGCTCGTCTTCGTGTGGACGAAACCACTTCCGACGACCACGACAAAAGCCAATCAGAGCTACCCTTCGCCAACCAATCGACACCCGTCAGCAGAAGACGCTTCTCGTCCAGACCCAGCCGCGCTGCGCCAACGCCAACGCCAACCCGAGAAGAGCTCGAGCTAGAACATTATCGTATCGCAGCAGAACGCAGACGGCACCAGAGGGGCCGCACCACGACAGCAAACCATAGAGACAGAACAGCAATAAACAACAATACGACCACCGCGAGTCAAAATCACAATCGGTTTCATCACCTCCGTCGCAATCGCACCACAGCCTACCGAGCAGGAGCGCGTCCTCCGACGAGGCAGGGCCGGAATAAAGTGAATAAAACCAACATCACACGACAAGCGGTTATTTTCGACCAGAAAAAGTACGAAAATTTGACGACCCAGCAGTTTTTCTACCAGTTCACGAAGGATTTCACCTACTGCTGCTACTTTTACAGCATCGCGGCACTGAAGATCTTACTGTACTGCATCGTGCTGTTTCTGCTGGTGTTGAGCTTGATCCCGCGGGGGTACTACTTGTACGTGTCTTTACTGGTTGTCAGTCTAGACAACGCCAGCACGGGCGGATTTGAGTATCACTGGGTGAAGCAGGCGAAAGACGAGTTTGTCGCGTCCGCGGGGGAAGAAATAACCGGCGTGCCGCAAACCTACAAACCGTTCGGCGGAGACCTACTTGCCAAACCGCTCCTGCCCGTACCGGAAATCGCGTTGACGTCGCGGTTGGAGGCGGCGGCCGGCTTGGGAAAAGAACACAGCATCGACTTGCGACACCAAAACCCGTGCTTTCGGTTCGGAAAGTGGGTGCCGTGTGTGAGGAATTAAAGGAAACAAAAGACCTCAATTGAGATCTTTCGTAAAAATAGCGAGGACCACAGCGACACCATTCACTACATTTTTGGCAGCTGCGCCAGCATTGCTTTTTTTTGCAGCAGCCGCACCACGGCATCTTCAGGACGAACAAGCGACAAGACATAACCACTGCCACGACCTCCACACGACCCGCTATCACCATGATCGGTCGCAACCCCAAGACAACCGCTTTCGGCAAGCGGAAGAACATTCTGGGCGCTGCTTCTTCGTCTGCCAAGAAGCAGCACCTGGACTCTTCCCAGCCTTCCGCCCCGCCCTCCGCCTCGCAACAACAAAATGGACTGTTGTCTGCGAGAAAACCAGGAGAGCAACACCTCAACGGTGCCGCTGATGGTGCTTTGGACGATGAGGAGATAAAGAGGAGGCAACTGGAGTCGAAACTAGAATGGGAAGAGCTTTTCGATCACGAGGAGATGCGAAAAAGGAGGCGAGAAGCGGCGACCATGCAGGAGGTGGTCGACTACGACGACATGGATTCGAGTGACGATGGCGACAATCTTGGAAAAAAATCTTCAAAGACAAAGGGCTCTAGTACTTTTGGTAATGGGTACGCAGCAAACCTCGTGAGCGCGTTCGAAGCCTCCGCGAAGCTGGATCAGAACCTGAACCCGAGCGAGAAATCAACGGTCACGAGGTTAGCGGACGAGAGAGAAGGGGATCAGGATGCGGGCGATCATTCCGATAGCGAAATAATTAACAAGAAACCTGACAACGCGGGCCCGGTGAAGAAAAAGCTGGGGATTCGCGGAGGAAATCGGGAAACGAAAAAAGCGAAAAAGTTAAGGAAAAAGGCGGAAAAGAAGCGAGCGGCAGAGGAAAAGAAGGGCAAGAAAGGTAGGAAATCGATACGATACACTTTTTCCAAGATACTGGGCTGCTTGCTGCAAACTTGTTCGTATTTGGACTTCTTTGGCATTTCCTTGAGTCCAAAAGAAAAACTACCGGTAGCATGGTGCTGATTAGTGTGTGCTAGTGTTTGATCATGAAAAATGAAATAAAGCGATGACAACTACTCTCCTCCTAAAACTAACAGACGAAGAACCCGACCGCTATAAGAAGCTGCTAGTCCAGGGTGAAGCCAAGACCCGAAGTATTGACACCAAAAGACTTTGCAATTACACCGACCGTGATGCTCCGGAGGATTTGAGGAAAAAGTTCGGAGGAGATTTCCGCGGCACGGTGTTGAGACAGGACGAGATGAGGGCCGCCAGTATCCGTAACGCGGCCGCAAGCAGTGGCAAAGTGCCTGATCTGATGGACTACGACGACTTGTGATCATGACAGACCCACTGAAGAATGCCATTCTTCTCCTGCCGTGGCTGCCTGACGAGTAGTCTTTGCACTTGTACTCAGTCTCACATCAATTCTCAATTAGAATACAGCTACAGACCTATCCTTCCGTATATGAGTAAGTAAGATTTTCAGGCAAACACATAAAAACAAACGTGCCGCGAATCAAAAAAACCGCGGAAAGCAGGAAAACTAAAAGCAGTTGCGTCTTGCTAAAAGCAGTTCCAAGTGAACCGCAAGCAAGCTAGCTGGTGCTGGTGTTGCTAGCCAAGGCAAATTTGCTTGCGCGCTGATTCAATTTTGGGAGTTCGAGTACAAGTAGAACACGTTGCTCATCACGTATTTTTTCGCACTGCACGATAACGATGAGAGTCCGTAGAGAGTGATTTAGGTTAGGCAGCCGGCATTGCTGAAGCTGGTGCTGATGTTGTTGGTAATCCTGTGTGGCTGCGAAGTGAGCGAAGCTTTTCGGCCACATGAAAATTCGGCTGTTTTTTCTTGCTAGAAGTAAGCCTTTCCGTGCAAGGTGCAGCATCTCGGTTTTTTTCCATTGATGGAGTGGACACAGAGAGAGTCAGTTGTTGTCTTGTACGTACCTGCTTTATTTAAAAGATGCCACACACTAATTCTAATACTTAAGGGATTCGACTAGTGTGGTTGCGATCCCAAAATAGAGCCAACCTCTGGCAGCCAATCACTGTAGTTTCTCTACCTGATAATTTTTAGAATACGAAATAACCCGGCCTGTGATGAAAAGATATACAACTACCGCCCACAGAATCGCTATAGTGTAAGTTTTTGACTTTCCTCTCCACCCTCATACGACAAGATGGGCGGGGGTGGCAAGATCGGCGACCCAAAAGACATGGCGGTCGGGGCCGCCCTTCAGTGCATCGAGGCGGCCACACTGGGGATGCCCTTTGAGGTTTGGAAGACGCGCATGGGCCGTTTCCGCAACGAGGGCACGTTTGAAGCCGCAGCGAACGTGTACAAAAGAGGAGGCGCCGGCGCGTTTTGGCAGGGAATAGGCCCGAAACTGATCGAAAGTGCGTCCAAGGGCGCGATCCTGTTGTACGCGAAAGAGGCGATATTGATGGGAATGGTAATATTTGATATTGTTCGTACGTATTGGAATCGAAAAATGAAAGCGACGCAAACCACTTTTTAATGTTGTCAGAGCTGAAGCTGTCGCGCATGAGCAGCTGCATGGCATGAGCAAATTTGTGAAGATTTTTGCCCTGGTGCATCCACTATTACTGATCAATTCTACGCATGACGCCACTACTACACGACAAATAACAGGAAACCTCTGGCTTCTCACCAACGGTTTCTGGAATTATGGCGGGTGCCGGCGGTGGTGTAGCCCAGGTGTCGGTGATGGGTCCGTGCACGTTCCTCGTGACTTGCGTGGTAACCGGCGACAAAAACATGTCCATAACGAAAAAAATGACCGACACCTGGTCGCAAAAGGGCATCCGTGGTTTCTACCCTGGCGGAATGGCGTTGACCTTTCGACAAGCATCAAATTGGGCGAGCAGACAGGGCATCACAGAGTTTGTCAGGACCAAAGTCGCGGTACAGATTCATCTTGGTTCAAGAAAGTTCTCGTGTTCCTGTGTTGACGTGTTGTAGGTTGTACTGAGATCATCGTAGGAAAATATGTTTGACGAGTGTTGTACGTCAGACATGCCTCGTATGCTATTCAGTCGTCTTTGATCGATGGCATGAGAAGTCCTACCGATTCCTTGTTGAAAACCAGGTAATGCGACACGGAGACGAGAAGGCAAAACTCTCCAAGTGGGAGGAAGCCGGGTGCGGCATAATGGGCGGCAGCTTGAGTTGCTGGAACCAGCCGTTTGAGGTAGCCAGGATTCAGGCCCAGGCGGCCGCGAACGCAGGCGAGCCATCGCTTTCCATGCAAGCGACGATGGGAAAGGTAAAATAGACCCAGAGAGATATTTTGATGCCTATTCGGATATCTTGCAATCATACATTTCGAAAAGACAGACGAGACGCCGACATCGATGACAAGACTATACGACAAATGACACTTACATCAGATCGTCCGCGAGAACGGTGTCGGAGGATTGTTTCAAGGAATCGTGCCACGCATTGGTTTGGGAATCTGGCAGACCTTGTTCATGGTCACCGGCGCCAAAATGATTAAAGACATGATGTAGTCACATCACCACCGCGTGGTTTTCCTTTCTTGCTCGTCTGGGTCACAGATAGTTTCTCGCTCTCGACGTCCAGCTCTGCAGGAATGATTTTTTGACAGCTCCACGGGGTCTAACAGCGATTCCGATCCGCGCTGCTAGATTCCGCCCTGCTGATGCGCAAAGAAATGTCAGAATCTGACACAGCTGCACAGTTAGGGAACACGCACCCAAAATTAGTGATTTATCCGGTAACCCAGTTTTCCTATCGTTCTTTAGACTTTTTGCTCCTTGCTGAGGCGACAAATGCGTGACTGCGCATCGCTCCGCAAGGCATAGTATCACTCCGAAGTCGCGTGAACTAGAAATTTTAGATTATGCTCACGCGCGTCAATTACAGACGTCTTTATCTATCAACGCGAAAATACCTTTACAACTTCAACTGCGCCGGCGCTTTATTTTCCGACTCAGACGACAAATCAAAATCTGCACTCGATGTCGATCGACACATCTGGCTCACGATTTGGTCACGCCACAGCACGAACTGAAGCTATTTTAAGCACATTCAGTTGTGGCAAGAACCTGAGGGGTTTGATATGTCCTGGAATAGTACGAAGAGATCGAATGACATCAAACCAGATGAAGAAATCCCATGAGATGACGAGCATTGATGTCCTTCTCGAGCCTCGCAACGGCATGGCATTTCTGTCTCTGTGCAAAGAAGCTTCAGCATCTACATGCGATATGTCGTGTTCGTTGCTGAGCAAGCAAGAGAGTGACCGACTTGCAGACGCTAACGATGACAGATGGATCTCGATTGCGTCGTCGGCGCGCCGCCGCAGAGGTGTCAGACGTGAGGAGGTGGGCGGCGTCATAGTCGCGAGCGAAAAACGGCGCGCCCTGTGCCTTGGGCCGGCCCGCTGCCTCCGGAACGCGGGCCGACTTCGCCGGAGCGCTTGAGAGAAGTTCGGCGCCCGCCCGGCAGGCCTTCGCCCCCCATTCGGCGCCTTGAGCCCGTTTGCCCTTTTGCCTGGGCCCCGATTGTTGTGCCCCCGCCGGCCGCAGCGCGCGCGCCCCTCTTGTTTTGGCTCGTGCAACAGAACACGGTGAGGGGCCGGCGTCACCCGTTGCGTTCAGGAATAACACGGCGAAAAGTCTGAAGCCTTGCCCCGCGGGGGGGCGGCCGGCCCGTTCCTTGTGGTCCCTGTAGTGTGGCCTTGGGGCACGCAGGCCCTTGGGCCCCCGTATCTTTGGCGCGCGCGACGCGGCCCGCCCTCCCGTTTTGGGGAAGCTTATGGCGCGCCCGCGCGATGGCGCCTCCACCGGGGCAGCACGCAAATGCGAAGGCAGAAAAGCTGAGGCGGGGGAGGGGGACACGTTTGACGAAGTTGGCCACACCCGGAAGCCCACTGACTCCGGTGGATGTTCGTTCCGGGTCGGCAAGTCAGTGGCGCCCCGGAGACCCGGGGAAGGGGGGGGCGTAGGGTGTCTCTCCGTCTGGCTTCCCCACTTTCCGGGGGGCCCCCCCGCCGTGAATTCCCGCGACGCAACCAAGAGCCCACCCGCGGCCTTGGGGCCGGGAGATGGGGCCAAGGGGCCAGGAGCGAGCGGGGCGCCGTACCAAGAGGGCGCCGCATCAAAACAGCAAAAGAAGCTGGGAGCGAGCCTTTTGGCGGGAGGACTCTGCTCTGCGCCAAGCCCTTTTCAGACCGGCCCGCGCTTTCCCGTTTTGATGGCCCGCCCCTTCCTTGCCCCCCCTGCCTTTCGCGCTTTCTTTGGCCGCCCCAAGACTCGCGCGATCTTGTTTGGTGGGCGCCCGGGGTGCTCCCGCCATTCTTGCAGGCCCGGCCGGCCGGCCGGCTGGCAAACGCGCCGCGCGCAACCAAAGCCTTCGGGGGGGCCGGGCGCGCGGGATGGGAGTGACATTTCCGTGGCGGCCTGTTTTATCTTTTCTAATGAATCTCTTTGAAGTTATGAGCGCACGAACGCGCCCGAGCCCGGCGCAGCAGATGTTGCTGCCATGATTGGCCCGGGGCCTTAGATGATACATGCGAATTCTCCCGCGCAATGGTTTGCCTATTTTTGTCTCACACGACAGAAAAGGTTTCAGAGTTGGCGGCCGGGGGGCAACCAACCTAGCACTAGCTATGGCTTGTTGTTTCATTGTGTTTGTGTTCGAGTTGTTGTTGAGATCTATTGCTTCTTCGTGGCCCGTAGGTAGTGCAGGTTCTAGCGGCGTAAGTTGTTGGCTACTCCCTTGCGGTGTTCTTCTTTTGCCGCTTCGTTTTCGTCGAATGATTTGCCGTGCATAATTAATTGCAATAGGTATGGGCATCTCTTCCTGTGCCTGTGGCAACTGAGGAGCGACGAGCGAGACAGACGGACCGACGGAAGCTTGAAGTCTTGCTGTATCTTTTTGAACGAGTCGCCTCCGCATTGCGTATAACACAATGGCACCACGCCGGCCTGCACGAGTCGCGACGGGCTTCGCACTGCTTGGAAGTGCGCACGCGCGCAGCTCGGCTCTTGGCTCTGAAGAAGGATGGCGCAATGAAGACTCGGGGGCGGAGCGTCCTGAAGGCGATCCCACCGACAATGAACTGCAGCGCATCAAAGATCTCCTTTCCCGCAGTGATCTATCCGCGTCATTGTTGCAAGATCTCCCTGTTCCCGCAGCACTTCCTGTCGACGGCGGAAACCACTTGCCAGAGCGCGCCGACGGCGTCTCTGCGGAATTATCTCGAGGGCACGACGCAACTGCGCATCTATTGGGATCGCCAGCAGCACCTGCCCCGCCGCTTTCTGAGGCAGCACATCAGAGACAAACACAAACCACCGATTTGGACCAGCTGGCGTTGGAGATCGCCAGCTCACCGGAGTTCACCAACCGCGGCGACTACATGCAAGAGCAAGACGCAGCTCCGGCCCTCAGCCCGACGTCCGCCAACTGCACCTGGAGATACTACAATCAGCCACTAGACCACTTCGCGGGGAAGACATATCAATCAAATTTTGTCTTCGAACAAAGAGTCTGCTTCTATGAGGGATTTGCATCGACGGAACAACGAAAAGAATCGGAACGACAGAACGAAGATGAAGGAGAAGGAGATTTGCAACGAAGCCGAAGCGTTGCTACTGTCACCAGTACAACTCAATCACTGTCATCACCAGCACCAGCAGCTAGTACAACTTTGGCGGCACCATCAAAACCGTTCGACGTCGCCTTTTTCTACGTCGGCAACGAGTCTCCTCTTGAAGTCTACATCAACAACACCGGTTTGATGTGGAACCTCGGGAGGAAAATGCGCGCCGCCCTGATTTTCGCGGAGCACCGGTACGAGGGCGAATCCGTGCCGAAAAATTTGAACAACACGAAAAACTGCCTGGCGTATGCATCTTCCAAACAGGCGCTCGCGGACTACGCACTGCTGATCGAAACGCTGAAGAAATTTGACCAGAACTACTCCAAAACTACCAAATTCATCGCCTTCGGTGGTTCCTACGGCGGCATGCTCGCCGCCTGGATGCGGACCAAGTACCCGCACCTGGTGCAGGGCGCCATCGCGGGCTCCGCGCCGATCTACGGCATCCCGACGTTCTTTCCGCAAATAAAACTCGACAGCTCCGCCGTCACGATTGCGCGGGGCCTCATGAAACCAGGAGGCTTGCCGAACAACGACTGTGCCGAAATTTACCAAATCGCCTGGCTCCTCCTCCAGTATTGGCTGGCGGAGACAAAGCACGGCGGGGAGGAGATTCAAAAGGCGATGAAGCTGTGCACAAAGCCTCGTATAATCACTATGTTCTGCTTCTGCACCAGCGGTTTTTTGACTTTCATCAACGTTTTGACCTATTTAGCTTCGAATTTCAGACATCAGTAGAGGTGGATGGCACGAGGACTGGTGCATGAAAATGGTCTCGTCTGCTAGTCGTGTCGACTATAGAAGCAGTTGTGGTGACGCATGAAAGATGAAAATATAACAACTTTACAGGTCCGAAAGACAGCCTGGCCCTCCTGACCTTTCTCCAGTCCGCGTTCTTCCTCCTCGCGGAGGGCAACTACCCGTTCCCCTCGGATTACATCACCGGCGCGGTGGGTGGAAACATGAGCGCAAAACTGCCCGCGTGGCCGATGAGAAAAAGCTGCTCGAATTTGCTCGATGGCTTCAAACCAGGAGGGCAGCACTACCGAAAGGTCTTGAAATTGGACCGGGAGAAATCTTCATCTTCAGACGGGACGAAGTTTAACGTCACCATTTTCAGTGGGAAGGAAGGTGCTGCCGAAAACGACAAGAGCTTAGATGCAGCATCAGCTTCCGCGGCACACACCGCTGGCATTATTAGCGACGCACTAAAGCAACACACGAAGTCGACTCCCAATAAACAACCTCTCCCGGTAAAAGCATCATCTTCATCAGAACGCGCCCCCTCTTACGTGTTCAAATTTCAGATCCAAGTTGACGGAAGTGAATATACGGTTGACAAGAAAACTTCCGACAGTTTTCCGGAACAAATTGCGTCCGAACTGCTGGAGCGCGTGTCCGCGGGGGTTGCTGTGTGGTACAACGTCACGGAAAGGGTGGAATGTTTGGATTGGGAGGGCTTTGTGCCCGATGCGGAAAAAAACGATCACGATGAGGATGATGACAGTGATAATTCCGCGTCTTCTGATGTGTCGCACGACCCAAAGAGCAGCAGCACCGACATAGTTCAGAAATACCGGCGACGCGCCACGCGGCAGCTTCCGTTCCGGTCTCTCAGTAAGGGAATGCTGATGAACACTATGCTGGCTGCTCCAGCGAGGTCGTCTTCACTACCGAATAGCAACAGCGAGGGCAAGGCAGCAGCAACGACGTCGACAACCGCGAACGAAAGTACGGGTAAGAGCAAAAAGAAACTGCTACTGTCCTCATCCTCTCATGCCGTGCAGCGAGGTAGCAGTTCCATCGCGGAGGAGAATGTTGAAAATAACGACGTCTGCCTGTACAACTCCAACGACCCTGCAAATCCCAACGCCGTCCCAGGCGCATTTAGCTGGGGTCCGACAGTTTGCAACGACCAAATGTTTTTGGTCAACACGATCTCCCAGGGCTTCGGTCGCGACAAATTCTTCTGGCCACCCACTGGCGCGGCGAACCTGACGGAGTTGTACGGGGAGGCTGAGAAGCCGATAATTGAAGTCACGCATGAGAACGAGAATAAAGCTGCTGGTGCCCCCACGCAACAGCAACAAGCACAAGCATCTACCCCTGCTTCTCCCTGCAGCCAAGAGTACGCGGCGCAGCACCTGTACGGGTTGGCAGAAAGGAACGACTTCTACGGCCAGGAGCTGTTTTCCTACTACGGCATGATGCTGGAGTCGAGCAACATCATCTTTTCCAACGGCTTACTGGATCCCTGGATCGGCGGCGGGGTGTCCGTCCCGCAAGATCTACCGCCGTACCAGAAATATCGCGGGAAAGTGGTGTATCCGGTGAAAAAGGAAGATGAAGTCGGCATCGCGGCAGATGGCGGAACAATACATCGTCGCCCAAAGCCCGACGACTTACTAGTTGCTCTGATCGAGAAGGGGGCGCACCATCTGGATTTGATGTTTCCGTCGAAGGGGGATCCGCTGGAAGTAAAATACATCCGGTATGTCGAGCGGAAGTTCATCGAGAAGTGGACGAAACAGCATGTTGAACAGGAGGCGACCGAGCTGCCGGTTGTGGACAGTGCAAGGATAACAAGAATAAACGAGAAGATTGATAAAAGAGACGCAGGTGGAACAAGCAGCACGAAATCAACAGCAGGCGACGACTACTTATCAAGCGAAGCGTATGGAGGCGTCAGGTTTGAAATCGTCAGAGTTGGAATAATTTGTAATGCATAAAACGCATGACCCGAGGCACGTGTGTTGCAGAGCAGGCAAGTGAGGCCGATTGTAAGCCTGTTTGGGGTTACAGCTCGAGCTGCTAAAGTAGCATGAGAAAATCGCTCTGCTTTGCCTAAACAGCATGACAAACAGGATTTAGGGACCACCGAGATTTGTCATGCGCCACTTAGAAACTGGGCTCCAACTCGTATCCATTTTATGCATGATAAATTATTTCCTTCGGTCCGCCTGACTCCACGACCTGGTGGCCGAACCATCTGCGGTGAGGTGCCCTTACAGGTTGTGTAGTGGTTTCGGTCGGTTTAGCATGACAAATTATTTCAACTTTGTCGATTTCAACTCTGACACATCCATAAAGCGGGTGTCGTGGAGGAGCAGCCCGTCTGGCAGTGATCACTGAGCTACAGCTGTTTTGTAGAACAAATGGGCAGGCGAAATAAGAACATTACAATGCGCGTCCTGTTTGTGTTTGAGCCTTTTTCTTTTATTTTGCAATTTTCTTCTTTATCTTTTGGTTTCCGAACCCGAAATCCGTGCGTGTGAGCGGAGACGCAACATGCAGTTCCACATATAAAGACGATATAATGTCGTGAAATGAATCGATATATAAGGTTAAGGTGACACGCAAGGCCAAGGTGGCAAAGCGAAGCAGCTTGCTCGCTTCCACAGGAAGCGAAGCAGTTCGCTACTTTCACGTAACGAATAAAAAGCTGCCGCTTGTTCTTGTGTACCTACTCGAGCATCGCAGACGTGTTGGAAGCCGCTACAGCACCAGCCCCTGCTTGGAAGGTGAAGAGCAGGTAAAGCGTGGCACTTTTCTGATATGCCAGAGTTGCAAGACCAAGAGTGGAGGAGTCACTTTGAGTAACAGCTGTACTCTGTAACACGTGATAGTTGAGCTTGAGGGGACGAGCGGTGTTTTTTCTGTCAGGCAGACACAGCAAGCAAGAGAAATCTAAATTCGACGTCCACGTACCTAGTTGTTTCATCTCAGCGCAAGCCCAATCTGGGCGAATCGAACGGCGCAACAAAGAATTGATGCCCGCCCGATAACAGACCGCGCGCAGCTCTTCAGCTGCGAAGAAACAGTTCTTTGCTTGCGAGAACGACGGGCAGCACGACAGTTGCAGCTGCATCGACCTAGCTTGACCGACGTTCTCCTTTGCGTGCATCCGCAACGAAGATGCTTCGTCACTTGGCCAGAAAGTCGCCAGCTGGTCGTGTACCAGGGCCCATTTCCTGCTCCGCAGTCGCACGACCTTCCGTTGGTGGGTTTTCCATAAGACCAACAGTTTCATCCGGTGGTCCCCGCAACAGTGCTGCTGGCGGCGCAATACAGCTTGTTTTACAACAGCAATCTACATCGACCTCAAAGCGGTACTTTGGTGGGGGCGGAGAATCATGGAAGCACGGTCGTGAGCACCTGAAGCCGTCCGGTGGTTTGATCGACGGGCTGGCAAAGATGGGTGAATTCTTCCATGAGACGCCGGTCTCGGAGCTAAACAAATGTATACAGGATTTTCCTTTTGCAAGACAACCATGACAGAGTCAAAGGCTGATTGAGATTGACAGTGGCGCAGCATGACAAATTTCCGCATTCCAATTATCCAGGCGTTCCGCCGAAGACGACTTTCGAACGCGGACAATGGTGGGTACATGGGAATGATCTGAACCACAACCTGCCAGAGCAGTCCGCCTATTGCCACTACATCGATGTACATACATTGATTTGAATCTAAATCAATGGAGTTCTTTGGCAGAGCAGTGTAGTGCTCACAGCGATTGCGCCTTGCTCCTTTCGACGGATGAGCGTTGATCGAGGTCTCTCGCTCTATGAATGTGCAAACTCTTCGTTCCACGACCTGCGATGAAAATAAAAATACGCACAGCCGCAATATTGGTCCCGGGATAAGCAGCGCATGTACGGTGACATGGAGTACATGGTAAAAATGGAGTGGTTGCTTTTCTGGGTGCCTAGTTTCATTATCATGGGCCTCGCAATCCCCGGTATTTGCGGCATCTACGCTGCGGAGGACGCTGTGGATTGCGAGCTGGTGGTGAAAGTGATCGGCAGACAGTGGTAAAGAGTTGCGTTTGAAAATTTCTTGCGTTGTTCTGCATGGTGCATTTTAAATCTAAAGCTTTGGCTTTTTGCACATGCACTCCCAGAAGTTAGTACCTGGACGAAGAATAAAGGTCTAATCTGTCATGCTGTGAAATGAACATCAACCCACGAAACATCCATCTTCAGGTACTGGCTGTATGAGGTCGAGAGTCCGATTTTAACGGAAGAGGACGAGGAGGACTGAAAAGCGTGCACCTTCGACGGCTCTGTGTCAGCATGTAAGTCACGGCAATCCACCGCTTGCCTTGCAAGACAGTGCGCTTGACCGAAAAATAAAGTTGTGGTCAAAAACAAAAGCTGCACAAGAGCGAGCAATATTGCAGTTGTAGTGCGCCAAGAGTAACAAGATCTATCCGTTAACAAGGACGACAACTACATCAGGGCAAATCAAATCATGCCCCTCCTGCGGTTGTACGGCTATCGCTGTCGTGCGGATAGAGCATACGCGTTCTATTTCGACGAGTTCGTGAAGATGTCAGGTCCAGTGTTAGAGAACTTCAGGACGGTACTCGAGAGCAGCTATTTTCGAGTGCATTTGCGCGCCACGGGTGGTGCGTGGTGGGTGAGTCGAAACAAGCTGCTCCAGCAGAACTTGAGTTCTTTTCAAAAGCAAGACGAGGCGCAATGGTCAGCGTTACGAGTCATCCCGAACAAGAGCGAAAGTCACAGTTCTTAAGAGAGCTGTGCGAGCCGCAGCCACTGCTGTTATGATTTGGTGTAAGTAGCTCTAGCTGTAGCTCTGCCTCTGTCTGGTCTGAGCTTCTCAACCGCGACGTAAAGATCAGAATTTACACCAAAAATATGTCGCGCTGTGCTGATTTTTTCACCTCCGGTCTTCGGCGTAGGCGGCGAGCACAATCGGAGCCACAGCGGAGCGTCGGCGAGGAAATGGTGCTTTGCAGGAATAGCCTGTGTACTAAGACGACATCGCCGGCACGGCAAGGATCACTGGAATAAAAAACGGCTCCGCGCTCCATAAAAGAAGTGCGAGGAGGTAACGGAGACTGGGCACATTGTCCTACGACATCGATAACCACCGCGAGAAAAATGCTGCAGCGCGGAATGAGCCTGGCGTCGGTGTCCCCCGGGGGCCCTGTCGGCAAGCAAAACTCCACCGAATCTCATTTACCGGCCAAGTCCTCTGCTTCGTTTTTCGCCACGGCGGTTTCTTTTCGGGATAGGATAGCCAGTATTCTGCCCACGCCCTTCAAAACGGTGGCGTTTGGGGCAGTACCGGAGGTACTTTTGATGGGTTGATTCGCATTTCATTGACTTGTGCTTCTGGCCAAAGCAATCCACTCTATCATGCGCGATCATATAGTGATCATGACGTTACTAGCGTTACGGTAGTGTTAGTGGACCAGAAGTAGCAGTACACGACTCAAAACGCACATGCTCGAAAATTAGGTCGTTGAAATTGACGCTGCGAGTGGCGACGAAGAAGATTCTTCCTTCGCTTCCCAAGACCTAAACAGTCCCGCGACCAGGCAAGAGAGCGAGAAGGCGAAGAAGATAAAGAACCGCAGGAAGACGGGTGCGGTGCAACAAAATAATCGGCGGGACTCGAACGCGAGCCAACTGAGTCGGAATTCTTCCAAGTTGTCCAAGGAAATCGCAGGGGAAAACGACAACTCCGACGAGGACGCGACGCTGGACGCGTCGGAACTCGCCATGAAAGAGGAGCGGAAGGCGCGGAAGCGTGCCTCGCTGCAGGCCTGCGCGAAGCAGGCGTCGGTGGCGTACAGCATTTTCACGGTGGACGACAGTATCGACACGCGGGTCATCCGTTTTAACTCCGGCTTCAACCGGCAGCTGACCGTGATCCTCACGATTTCGGTCCTCTGGACCGCCGGCTACACGCCGTTCTTCATCGCATTTTCAGATCGGATGGAAAAACTGTGGAGTCGGGACGGGAAAGAAGCAGTGGATACAATGGAAAACGACGAAAGCGTGGAAAACTTGCTTCCCGTCGCGATTTTCAACCTGTTGGTCGATCTGCTCTACGCGTACGGGGTTTTTCTCCGTTTGTTCACGAGCGTCTGTGACTTGACGTTCGGGAAGGAGTGGTGCAAATTGAAGACCATCCGGTTCCACGTTTTTCGCATGCGGACCTTCTGGCTGGACTCGTTGAGCCTACTACCCTTGCTGCTCCAACCGCTCCCACCGTTCACGAATTTGTTTTTCGGGGATTGGAACTCGGTTTCGAAAACCTTCGAAGCCTTCAAGCTCCTCCGGCTCTGGCGGCTGATTCTAATCCCATCCAGCCATCTAGAAGCGGAGTACTCCATCTCCGTCCACATTGGCCGCGTGGTCACCTGGGTTTTTCTCCTTGGGCACGTGCTGGGCTGCTTCTGGTTTCTGATTCTCGAGTCCAACAGCACGACCGATTTGCACGTCGACATTTCCGACGATATCATGGTGAAGCAGCAGACCCTGCACTCCTGGTATCTCTTCGGGCTGCGGGAGGGGGTTTACATCCTGACCGGCCGGGTACGCCCCGCGTTTTCCGACCAGGAAATGACGTTGCTCTCGTTGATGTCACCGACGGGGAGCTTCTTTTTCGCCATTGTCTCCGCGAACTGCACGGTGCTGCTGTCGAGGTTGGACGCGGTGAAGAGGAAACACCACGAACAGATGTGCTTCGTCCGCTCGGCGATGACTAGTTTGAATTTACCGGACGACTTACGATCCAGAATCGAGAAATACCACTTGTTCCTTGCGATCCACCACAACTTGAACGCATACAACTCCCTGTTTCAGGTATAATGTTATGGTGTAGTTCTTCTTCTTGTTGATTTGATGCTTCGGTTTTCATCTTCCTGGTTCTGGTACTAGTGCAAAAAAAAAAACGAAATAAAACATAGCGGCTCTGGAGGTCGTTTTTTCCGACGATCTCGGTTGATGTGGTATAGTATATCCAAACCGAAAAATCTTCAACCCGCTTATTTCCAGGGCCTCAGCGTCCAACTGTTCACGGAGTTGAAAGCGACGATTTACGACAAACTTTTCCGCAACGCGCCGTTTTTCCGCAACGCACCGGAGGAGTTCATCCATTCCATTGTTCTCGCTCTCGAGGAGACTACCTTCTCCCCCGGCGAGAACGTCATTATCCAGGGAGAGATCGGCGCGGAAATGTACTGGATCCTCCGCGGCCGCTGCGACGTCATCGACTCCAGTGGGATTCGTGTGGTGGCGACGCTTTGCGAAAACAACTTTTTCGGCGAAGTCGCGCTGCTCGTGCAAACGCCCCGGCTGTGCTCCGTCCGCGCCGCGACCTATTCCCTGCTCGCACAAATCACCCGGGACAAATTTCTCCCGATCATTGACGAGTTTCCGCAGCAGAAACAGTACTTCATCGAGAGGATACGGAGCTACCAGCTGGAGCAGAGCAAAGACAATGACCAACAACCGCAAAGCGACGACCCATTCCTGGAGCCGGAAGGCCGCGAGGTCGAGCCGCACGTAAACGCGACGCCGGCCGTCGTGTCGGTTGCTTCGGAACAGCAGCATAACTACAATGGTATGACAAGTTCAACGACCTCCGGCGCGACTAAGCACCACGTCAGTAGTCCAAGCAGTACTTCGGGGCAGCAGCAAGGCAAGAAGCAGGCTCTGCTCCTCCTCGATACGGTGGACAAAAGTGTGTCCGACTTTCAGAAGCAAAAATTCCGGAAAACCGGAGTGGCGCCGGCCATTACGATCTCGAAAGAAAAAAGCTTCGGCGCGGCGGAACAGGGCGAGGAGGAGGACGAGAGCGGCGACAGGGAGGACAAGGTGAATGAAATAACAAAGGTGTACTCCACGATCTCACCATTGGCGCAACATCTGCCCCCAGCGGCGCAGCAACACAACAAAGTCCGGTCGAGTTTTGCGCAGCCCGGGAGGGAGAAGATCCTGGGGCGGAGAACCTCTTTCGCGCAGGGCTTCGGCAGGCCGGGAGAGGACTCAATCGAGTTGGGCGACGGTGCGAGCTCCATACACACGGGCCACCTGGCCGGTGGCGGCAAAGGGCTGATGCGGAGAAACACCCGGCAAAGCATCGGGGAGCAGAGCGAGGGCGGAACGAGAATCTACACCGCTTTGGACCAGGAACTAGAGAGCGAGGTAACTGGTCGTCTGGCGATTCTTCTCCTAGCTACGTAATGTAATTTGGTAGTGCCCGCTAGTCTTGTTACCAAGTAGTGAAAATCATGACTTCAGTAGGTGTAGGTGTAGGTGAGCGATCTCTCAAATTCTGCCACTGGAGAAAAGATGATGTTGCTGATGTCATTCGAGCACATTGACAGTTACATACGAAGACTTATTCGGTCTAGGAAATTGCAGCTGTTGATCTCCTTTCTTGCTCATTTATCGGCATCACGATTATGGTCCGCGGTTTCATTGCGAGTACAACCATCAACCCCTCGCCCAGGTCGCTCGGCTACATCGCGAGATGGAGCGGCAGACGGCCCAGAAATTCAAGCTGGCGGTGACGAACCCGATTCAAGAAAAAATCCACCAACTTCGGGTAGAGCACGAGAACGACTCCTCCAAGCGCCGGCTCTCCGCGCTGCCAACAACCGGCGGGGGCGGCGCGAGCAGTTCCTCTGCGCACGACAGCGGCACCACTACCAACCGAGTGGTGGGCAGACTGACCACCGCGGTTTCGAAGGTTGTTTTGGGGAACAAGTTGCGCCAAAGCTTTGCGGCCCCCTCCCCGGACAGCGCGTCGGTGGGCATGTTCGACGACAAAGGCCATGCAGAACTCAAGGACTTTTCCGCTCAGCACCAAGCGCAGAAGAAAAAGGAGTTGGGCCGCCGCGCGAGTCAGGTCAGCAACCACCACGTCGTCTCCCTAAACGCCATGCTGGCCAACCCAAGTTTTGCGAGGAAACAAACTTCTGCGTTGGTCTTTTCAGCGGTCTATTGAGTCAATGCCAAGAGGACTGCACAAAGTGAAGAAAGATGTTGCTGCAGCTCATCATCGATCTCTGCTGGAATATACTTGCATGAAATAGCAGGACTGCACCCGCCACGGACAGCAGCTCACTTTTGGCGGCGTGCGCTCGCGGTAAAGTACTTAGTTGCAGCATATCGAGGACTATTTGTATTTCCGTTTGTTTGACAACTCGACGCATCGGCTTTTGTCCTTTCATACGTGTGGCAGTTTGAACATTTGCAATCCAAAGAGCACGGGTAGCGGAAGTGGAGGGGGCGGTGGTAATCTTCTTTTTCTCGGGTTTTTGTCGTCCTATGAAGAGTGTAATATGCGAAATCATTTTATGATCTAGCGAAGGTCATCAAGTTGCGAACTGAACGCAAATTTGTCCTCGCCCTTTTGACTTTACGGACTGCAGATCAATTATGGAAGTGTCAGAATCGAAATTGACAAAATCGAAAAACTTGTAATGCATAAAATCGATACGAGTTGGAGCCTCAGTTTCCAAGTGGCGCATGACAAATTTAGGATGCACTAAAATCCGGTCTGTCATGCTGTTTGGGCAAAGAAGACTTCTCCTGTCATGGTACTCTGGCAGCGCAGCGCCTTCCCCTAAACAGGCTTGCCACCGTTCTCGTTTGCTTGCTCCCCAACACAGGCCATACGTGCTCTACATTTCATGCATTACAAATTTTTCGATTTTGTCGATTTCGATCCTGACAGTTCCATATCAATGATCTACTGTCGAGCTGCCCCTACTTCATCTTCTCACATATCACCCAACATGCCAGGTCTCGCCGTGAGTTCCGTGTTGAGCGAGCAGCGCATGTTGAAGCAGCAGATTCTTGAGCCGTTGAAGGAAGAGCTGCACGTGATTCGCGAGTTGGTGGAGGACGTGCTTGTCCAACAAGAAACGATCGAGATGCAGATTCGCGTTTTGGATTCGAACCAAACGCAGCTCCAAATGACCCACAACCAAAGCATGAAAAAGCTCGAATCGGTCGGCGGGGGAGGAGGTGGTCAAGGTCAACAACAACTCGCAATGGCGCCAAGCAGATCCACCAGAGACGGCGACCAACTCGAGCACCTGCAATCGCTGGGCGCTCTCGATTCATCTGCGGTTGGGGACAGCGGGGGACATGTGCCTTTCGGGGGGCCCTTGCTGGAAAGCGACTAATTGAAAATGTTTACGCCGCTCCTCCGAGGGAACCGGAATATAGAAATTCGCTGTTGGTCCCGCGAAAAGGCTCTCGCTCTTGCACCGAGGTGGGCGCCTTCAACCGGGATGGATGACAAAATGAAATTTTACTACATCTACTTTGCAAAATAAAAAGTCACAGTGTGTTGTGAGTCCGAAGATGTACTAGATGACTAGATGAAAGCTCACGATGGACGAGGAGCCGTCGATTACTATGTGAAGGACGAGATCCAACAATATTGAAATTCTAAACTACGCTAGTTCTAATCGACGAGTAAAAGTAGTGAAAGTGGCAGAGGCAGTGAGTGAATAGATGAATAGCAAAAGCTTGCACTATGGAATGCCGAGGAAGTCGAGGACCTCGCACTTCTCGCAAGGGAACCTGGAGGACATTCTCCGCGCAAGAGGGACACTTCCTTCAGGTGCGCTTAGGTTCAGCTAAGTAAATCATAAAGAAGTTTAAAGTGATCATCGTCATGGCTAAGGGATTTTTTTTCAAGAGTACAAAGCCGGAGGCACATGGTAGTGAAAAACTACCCTGTCTCATCTCACATGCTATTCGACGACGAGGAGCTTTATTTTGTAGATAGACATTATTGCTGTACAAAAAAGATCGTAGCGTGCGAATGCGATATGGTCAGTGTCAATGCTACGTTCGAAGGCATCAAAGAACTCGTCATGAAAAGTCCGTGCGTGGTAGATGACCGCGTAGCAAATAGCAAGCGACATCACCGTTCTGGTCGTTAATGGCGACTTGCGCAACCATCTCTGTTTGAAATTGCAGGACAGGAACTGGCGTAGCCACGAAACGTGAAAGGATAATACCGCTGCATGTCTGGCAGTGTTTGATGTCGTGATTAACGTTGTAGTACCACCATATTTTTTGAGGTGAGGTGCCATGCGCCATTAGTGAGATTGGAATTATGATGGAGTCGCAATCAGTAGCACGCTCGGTTTCGTTCTTCGGTTGTGTCGTTCTTTGGAATCGTGAAAGTCAAAATCTTGTCGTGGCTGATCTCACAAAGAATTTCAGTATACGGTCGTTGCCTCCCTCGTCCTCCAATACCGTGTCGTCTTCGTTTCGTCCGCTGAGGCAATCCTCTTGACCTGCTAAGTGTAAGCCGTGCATCCGTACCTCCACATTGTGATTGTTTTCGTTTATGATGTCCTCCACGTCGTACGAGACATCTCACTCTATTTTGAAGAACCTCTACTGCGTGGAAATGAAGAATCGCAGAATGATGTCCATACTGCAGATGTTGCACCATGCCAGCCATGTAAAAAACAGCACCATTGACATATCCCCAACCTCCAAGGTTTGTCTAGAATACAACCCCCCGCCGCGTAGTTTGTTTCAAAGAATTCCCCTATTTGATTTGTCCCCGACCGTCAAGCACGATTTTTTTTATTTTCTCCCACCTGTCGAAGACTGACTCTTTACCCTTATTTTCGTCTAGGTGTAGTAAACTTACATTTTGCAAGAGTTTTGCCACAGAATCTACGTGTGCCACCATGTTCTCCCGGCTCTCTCTTGTCGATGGTTGAAGATTCCTCGCGGCTGGAGCATCCGTTTTTCCACGAGCTGAAGAAACTCCTAGCAAATTCTGGTACCGGGCAGAAGCAACTGCGAAGCGGTCATGAGTAGAAGTGGATGTAGACCGGAGACGAGGGCGTCCAACATCAACATGCTCGTGGCTCGTCGTAGTTTTTTTGCCAGGAAGGTCCTGTCCTTTGATCATGTTCCAGTGAGTTCTACTAACCTCCTGTACCTGTTCCAGTTGGTCACGTCGTCCATGCTGGTGGGCCTGCTGGGCGATGTTTTTCTGGGAGACATCGTACAGCCGCTGCGAAATAAATTGGAGGGAAATCTCTTTGTGCTTTCGGACGACGATGATGTCAAGGACTGGAAGGGTAGTGGACCTTCAAAAACCAGGACTTCGTTAGCTCTGCTTCAACCGACGCACCAAAAAAGTGGCGCCGACGAAGTAGACCTCGGTGGAAGGGATTGTTCTATAGCGTCCGGCGACAGGAGTTCGAAGAACTGTCGTGGGTCTTTGTTTCGCTCCTCTTTCTTATCGAAAAACCGCAGCAGAAAAGCCGAGAAGAAGCACAAGAGAAAAAATCACGCGGGGAAGATTATCCTGCCACCCGTTCATCATCAACTTGAAGATTCTTCTGGAGGTACTAGTAGAGGACGTAGTAGGTTTTTCCTGTTTGCCCAGGCCGTGAACCTGCACCCCCAGATAAAACAGCAGCATTCCTCCCGGAGAACAACGAGCAAGGGGTCTCTGCTGGAAAAGAAACGGGCCAGGAATCTTAACACAAGGAGAGCACCACGACGAGCAGCGACTGAGACGCTGAGTTCATCGCGGGTCTCCTTCAATGAACCCGAAAATGAAGACGAAGTTGCAAAATTTGATGCAACTTCTAATCCGGAGCGGGAGCAGCTTCTGCTCCTTCACCCACCGCGCCGAGCAACCAGTGGCGCTTTGTCCGGCGAGGACGAGGAGGACTTGGTAGAAAGCATCGGTGACGGTGCGACAAATCTTGAACTACAGAAGAAAGAAGGATCGACGCAAACCAGTAGCGGAGATCCTTCTACGAGTAAGACGAGGAGGGGAGAAAGGACTAGTTCTTCATCTTCCAGCACCAAAGCCGTTTCTGATCCGGCCAGCACGACGGCGAAAGCTATGTTGCAAAAAGAAGAGCAGCAGAGAATAAGTTCAAGAAAAATGAAATCCGAAACCACGAGCAAGAAGACATCAACTACTGAGATGAAGGTTGATCATTACGACCGGGCAGCACAAAAGAACCAAAACCTTAAAAAGGCTCAGGTTCTCAATTTGCAACAAGAAAATCTCGTTGCGCGCGAAGGAACAGGAAGTCGTCAAGATATTAATCAACCTGACGATGCAGATTCCGATGCTGAAGCTGACGGTAACGTCGACGAGCCTGCTTCCACGGTCAACCCTTATCCTGTCGAAAAGCGTCCCACTCCCCTACTCGCGAAACAGATCATGCGTGTGCAACGTTCTTGTGTGCTTTGTGGCAGCATTCTTGCTTTTTTGTGGTTGTGGTCCGTCGTCGAGGTCCACTGCAAGAGATCAAGGAAGAGCCTCCTGCATGATGCATGTTCTTAGCAACAAGAATTTGTGATGGTGCGCCCCTCAACATCATGATGAGAACTCGGATCTATCATGGATCATCATTTGACGGCACTTTTAGCCACCGACTTTACATAACATAGTTTGTTGCACCCGCGCAGCCGAAAATTATTAGGATGTCGGTGTGCCAGAACCCGCACCATGAATGATTATTTTAATTTTTCGATTTGCAGCTACTTCTGTATAGCAAACGATTTCAAATGGTAAAGCTAGAGTTGGGTAGTTGAGGACTTTTTCGCACAGGATAACCCGCTCGCGCAGTTCATCGCGGAAGATACAACGGCAGACGAAGCGATGAAAGCGGCAGACGAGAAAATCGCAGAAATCAAACAAGCAGCGGCTGAGGCCACCGCCGCACCCGGGACTGACGATGACTATCCAAATGAAGTAAATGGCCATGAATCTCTATGTTGAGTCCTCTCCTACACGAAAACGAAATATATGCAAGACATAATTCCGCTGATGAGTTTTATATCTGATACAGCTTGCACTTGTAGAATAAATATGAAATGATCGAGTGGATATCCAACTTAATCCCAGCTTGTACGGTACTCCGCGAATCGTGTGGTGTAGCGGGGACCCTTTAGGAGTTCTGCGTTCGAGCTTGACAAGCATTGCAATTGCAAAGAAAAAAATCATGACTCACGAAACTACATTTTTTTTTTGGTTCGTGGGAAGGGTTCAACATCAACACAGAAATGGTCATTTTTTGCTTGGATACATGACCGGCCGGAATTTTTTCAGATCCGAAAGTACTGACAATCGTGGCGGGCGGCGGCATCGCGGTTGTGGTTTTGCTGATTGTCCTTCTCTTTTCCTGCATGGGTAGGGGAAGCAATGCTCCACAGGTTGGCGTAGCAAGCGCGGCAGCCGGGAGTGGAGTTATCCAGAGTCCCGGGAGCACAGGCAGCAATGGCGACGCCCTTGCCCTCTCGGTACAAGCACACCAGTATCCCGCGAAGCCCAAAGCAAAGGCGAAGGCACATAGTAGCAAACCGAAGTCAAAAACCACAAAGGTGGCAGCAAAACCGAAGAGCGCTAGCCACGCGAAGCCAAAAAGTGCCGGTACTGCTAGTGCCGACCACGCAAAACCAAAAAGCGGCGACGCCGAGGCTGCAGAAAAACCCAAAACCTTCGCAGAAAAGGCCGCGGCGAAGAAGGCACATCCGAAGTCGAAGTGAGAAGCTTTGACCGCCGAGGGAACAAAGAAGTGCCACCGATTCCACATAGATGGATCACTTGTATTTCAATCACAAAATGATAGAGCACGAAGGGCTCTACTACGACCACATCCACAAAAGACCTGGACAAAATTACTTTCTACTTTTTTTCAGCGTGTGAGCATGAGGCTTAGTGTGGTCTCTAGCTCGACGTTGTTTCGTGCCTCAGTATACCCTAGAGCTAGATCATGCTCGAAGGGCGCTTTCTTTTGTTCTTTCTTCGCTCCTGTGGCGAAATTACCTGTCTCTAGCTTTTAAATTTACATTTCCAGCCAGGAACTACCCAGGCACAAAAAAAAGTCGTCCTTCTGTTCGACTTTTGACGCATGTATGATTATCACTTTTGGCATGAACATGCACACAGCTCCAGTTTTTTTTCCATGATCATCGCCAACATTCACAATATGTCGAACCTCCGCCCACAATGAATTTATCTCGGAGCAGCTACACCATATGTGGCAAAAGAAAAAGATACAGAGATAAGCTCAGAACAGCAGTAGGAAAAAGTATCCCAGTTGTAAAATAGTAGTTCGAAACAAGCCACTGACACGTCTTGACGCAGCGTGGTCCTCGACACCGCCGCTGCGGCCGCGGCAAAGAGCGGTTTAGTATGTTGTGGCAGAAGTTTTTCTTTTTCCTTCTTTGTTCACCAGGGTTTGCCTCTGGTTTCGTGGTCAAGAACATCTGGCACTAGAGACGACGACGACAGCAAAGGTGGCGTTTTGTTAAGTAACAGTCTGACATAAGCAGGACGCTGGCTTGTCGTGTCGGTATAATTTTTTCTGGGCAACAAGCACCTCTGTTGCCGCGGTCTTGAGTGAGTCATCATCTGTTACGGTTTTATTTCAGGGAAATATCGGCAGAGCAGAGAGAGATGTTACCGCACACCATTTTTTTCGAGAGAAACGGATCTGAGTTGTGCCTGAGCACGAGTTGCTTGTTTCTTGAGTTTTACAGATGTTGATGTTTATTTTGTTCTACATGAAGGCGAACGCGAAGCAAGACCTTCTCTCCAGGCGGTTGACTCACCTCCAGCAAACTGATCGTATGAAATCAGTACCAAAAATGTCGCTAATATCCGGCTCATCAGTTGTATCAGACTCTGCGTCATCTGCCGCCTCTTCGTCATCTTCGACGAACCTGCTACCAGCAAAAAAACCGCCCTGCTCCGATTGCACAACAAGAACTTCCGTTTCTCTTGGCGCAGATCAACAGCACGTCCGGGTCGCGCGCATCTCCAGTCACGTGCTACCATTTCCACATGCGGAACAGCCGCAGAAGCAGTCTGTCTCCAGTCTTAGGGCGAATCACTGCTCCGCCTCCTCGTCCAATGTTCTTGCTGCAAAGTCAATCACCATCTCCGACTTTTCCAATGTCGGAGATCCGGGAATGTTGTCGGGCTCAAAAAAGGTGGCGCTGCAAAATTTCGTGAACGGTGAGTGGGCGACAGCGACTAGTACTTCGAGTAAAAACAACTGTAAGAAGTACATTCCGATCCTCGATCCCTTAAATGGCGAGGAGTTCATCCACATGCCGGATACCGGAGCCGATTCCACAAGTGAACTGGCACCCTTTCTGGAGAAGATGCGCACTGTCCCGAAGTCCGGGTTACACAACCCTCTGAACAACGTGGACCGCTACACCCTGTACGGCGAGGTCTCCTTTCAATTGGCAAAATGCCTGGACGACCCGGCGATTTCAGACCACTTTACGCGGCTGATCCAGCGTGTGGTGCCGAAGAGCTACGCCCAGGCTTATGGGGAAGTCAAAATCGTGGCGAAGTTCCTGCAAAATTTCGGGGCAGACCAAGTCCGGTTCTTAGCAAGGGGGTTCACGGTATGATGTAGATAGTTGTTCAAGCACTGATGTGATCGTCATCGTTTTCGTTTCATCGATCATTACTTCGTCGCTCTGCCATGTTTGGTGCTGGCGGAAGTGCAATAGCTCTAAGACACATGCTAGGTTAGCTTTCGTGAAACTTCTTTTGTGCTGTATGCGAGAAATTAGGAATAAAAAAATGAAAACCCCATAAATCATAGGTCTCCGGCGACCACGACGGTCAGCAGTCGCAGGGGTACCGCTTCCCCTACGGCGCGGTGATGATTATCGCGCCCTTCAATTTTCCGCTCGAGATCCCGGTTTTGCAGCTGATGGGCGCGTTGTACATGGGCAACCACGTGACCATCAAGGGCTCGGAGAAGTGCTCCATCGTGTTGGAAGAGTGGCTCCGGCTGATGTTGAAGTGCGGCATGCCGAAAAACGACGTGAACCTGCTCCACGGCACCGGGGTCGGCACCAGCCAACTCGTGAAAGCCGCCGCGTCGTCCAAGATTCTCCGCTGCATGCAGTTCACCGGCAGCAACAAGATCGCACGAGAGCTGCTCGCCGTCACGGAGGGTAAGGTCAAGATCGAGGACGCGGGGTTCAACTGGAAGGTGTTCGGGCCGGACGTCGATGTGGTATCCACAGTAAATGATCTGGCTGTTATACAGGAATCTCAACGAGTAAATCTCAATACTATGCACGGCCTTATGCTAAAACACGAAGGAAATCTTGCGAAGTCTCTCATGTTAAAAACGAGTAAATCTCAACGGTTGCGCCCCAACGCTTTGAGACGCCTCAACGGATTCGCGATGAGCTCAACGACTGGTCTCAACGGTCTGCGCGCAGAAGAACTGCGTGGCGTGAAGGTGCGCATCAAGCCCCTGCAACAAACCTCTCAGTGGTCCTGCCAACACGAGTGCCGGCGAGCGGGCTCCTAGGTAGTTTTAGAAAAACGCGCGAAGGCTGCGCGCATAGTAAGACACAGGGCACACAAGCCAACGGACCGCGCACAACGGGCCGCGCAACAAAAGCGCAGGAGAGCGAAAAGAGAGTCTTCGGGCAGGGCAGCCGCCGCCGCCGGCCGGCGGCGGCTGCCCTGCCCGACGACCCTAGACCCCAAATCCTAAACCCGACACCCTAAACCGCTGCTGGTCGTTGAGATATATTTCTCAACGTTGAGCTGTGAGGTCTCAACGTTGAGATCCACAAGCACCGTTGAGATACCTGTAGTACAACCAAATGATCTCCTGTACACGTACAAATGTGGCTTCTGCATGACAAAACTGGGCTTCTGTCCTAGTTTAGCATGACAATTCTTACAACACTCCAAATTGGTGAAGCTTGTCATGCATTTTGTACATGTACGGGAAATCGAAATTTACGTTGCATATGTGGCCCTGGTGGACTACATCGCCTGGATGTGCGATCAGGACGCCTACGCGAACTGCGGCCAAAAATGGTATGCATCGCATAAAAACGCATCGTAAAAACTTCAATAACCGTGGGTGTGACTTTACTTGCAGCTACAGCTGCGGAACTGACAATCGACCACAACGCGACACGACCGAGAAATTTATCTACTCAAACTGGTGACCCGAAACGGCAGTACAAATGAGCATTGCGACGTCTTCTGGCCTGAAAAAGCAAGTCAGATTCGCATAAAGCTGCTGACACGTCAATTTATTCGATCGTTTTGTTTTGCAATGCATAACTGCTCAGCCACGTCCATCCTGATTCTGCACAAAAACTGGAGTGACTGCGACTTGGTGGGGAAGATGAAAAAAATTGCCAGCGAGCGCACACTGGAAAAGCTCACAGTGACACCGGTAAGTGGCGAAACTAGTGCACGTGATTGTTTTTTTCAGCCCGCGACTACAAATTGCTAGAGTTGATGTTTCCGTTGATTCTACGTGGTTTTGGAACAAGGCTACGCAGCCCCGCGCTACGTGGTTGCCACTCAACCAGGTAGATGTGAATACATTCACGAGGTAAAACTAGAAGATGAAACTTCTACACAACTACAGGTCCTGACACAAACCACGGAGCAGATGCTTTCCCACCTGGCGAAGTTGCAGCAGATACCAGGCGCAAAACTGCTTTTTGGCGGGAAGGAACTGAGAAACCACAAAATTCCGAAGTGCTATGGGGCCATAGAACCGACCGCGGTGTTTGTGCCGTTGAGGGAAATTCTGAAAGACGAGGAGACGGTGAAGCTGGTCACTACCGAGATCTTCGGCCCGTTTCAAGTCGTGACCGAGTACGGGAATGATACGGAATTGGAAGACTGTGTTTTTCCCTTACTCGAGAAGATGGAGAACCACCTGACCGCCTGCGTTTGCTCCAATGACGTCAAGTTTCAGAACAAGGTATCCGACAGAAAAGCTGACATCGTGTCGACCCCTAGCAAAAATCCAAAACCAAATCAGATTGATTTTGTAAATTCAAAAGTGCGTAAGCGTAATTTCACTGAAGAAGAAGAAGAACGTGTGGCGAAGTTGTGGTTGATCGCACGGTAATACGCGGTACAGATCGACGGTCGTCGTGCGAGTGATTTTCTGTCGCATACCAAGTTCTGGGCAAAACCGTGAACGGCACCACGTATTGCGGGCACCGCGGGCGCACCACCGGCGCGCCCCAAAACCACTGGTTCGGACCCTCGAGCGATCCGCGGGCGGCGGGCATCGGCTCGCCGGAAGCCATAAAATTGGTGTGGAGCGCCCACCGGGAGATAATCCACGATGTGGGACCGGTGGCCGCGGATTGGAAGAGACCGGCGCCTACCTGAGTGGAGATGATGGAGTCGCACGACCATTGCGACTTCTGCAGTTACTTTTGTAGATTGGTTGTCCTCGGCCGGAATGCTTTCTTTGTTTGAACATTGAAACAAGTATGCTTGATTGATAGCCATGTGTAATGAATTTTTCAATTCTTCTTCTGACTTTTTGGTTTTTCGTTCTTTCAAATCGTAAAAGCATGTTTTCGCAATCTTCTGCTCGGAATAGCTCGAGTCCGACGAGCAGACGAGATGCACTGTGTTACAAAAACGTGAACAAAATGTAAGCGACAATATACTCTGTGCTCCTGCAGCAGGTGGATAGTAGCTTGTTTCGATGCAGAAGCTGCATGAAGATTAGCAACCGATTTTACACTAGGGTCAGATGCAAGCAGTTGCTCGCTATCGCTGACTACATTAAGTTTTTTTGTTCTATGGACTGTACTTCTCCTACGAGTTGTGTCTGTGTTGGCGTTCTCCGTGGCGCCTACGAGAGTTTTCTGTGCCCCCGCTGCGATTGACAATAGAGCTACCCACGAGGGGTGGTTTGAGTGCTTTTGTGGACGATACTTGCATGGAAACGCAGGTGAGCCTCTTCTTACAACTCCAACCTGACAGAACCCTACCCATGCCCGAGTAAAGTTAATCTCGTAGCAGTGACCCGCCACACCTCCCACGAGCGCAGCCCTGCTGTGCTGAAATTGTTCTTCTTGGCACGCATGTCTTACTTACCTGTAGTTGAAGATTCCTAATCACGTAATTTGCTTCGTTCAGCAATGCTTTGTTTCCGAAAGTTGCTTGCTGAAGAGAAGATATGCTCGTCCACTTACAACGCCAACGGAACAAGAGCAATCTGTTGACGCGTCATCTGAGCAGGGCCACAAAATCCACGACACAGTTCGGCTTCTCGTCGATCCGAAGTGCAAGTGGAACCAGCCGCACGGTCTTGTTACACCAAATTAATCTACCTTCCCCTCTCGTTCGTCCGACTCGGTGGACTCACGCTCATCTGTTGTCCGGGAGCATTAGAACTCGAACCCGTAGTAGTCGAAACTACCACAATACCGTCATGACTGTGTCCTTTTCCCCAACAAACCGGGCACCAGGAGCTCCAAATCACCAGCACAAGATGTCGTTTTCCACGCGAGCCAATCTGGAGTACCAGCAGTGGCCCCAAGTCAATCCCACCCGGATCGGGCGGTACATTGACCGGGAGTTTGAGACGGACAACACCACAAAAACCCCGATCATCACGCACGTGGACGAGCACAAACCGACCGAGGTCACCATCCGGTCCGGCCGGGAATTTGACGCGGATTTGGACAAAGAAGGCTTCACCTTCGTGCAGAACCGGGAGCTCCCGACCGCGTGCGAGGACTTCTCAAACCCGGACTTGATAAAGACCGTGTACTATGACGAAATCAAAAATTTGGTGAAGGAAAAGCTCCAGTGCGACAAAGTCCTCGTGTTCGACCACACCTTGCGGAATTCGGGGAAGCAGAACCTGAACGTGCTGACCGACACGAAAGCAGCGGCCGCGGCGGTGCAGCGAGTGCATTGCGACTACACCGCGGACTCCGCTCCAATCCGGATCCAGCAGCTGTCCAAAACGGAAACGTACACCGGGGAGCGCATGATGACGGAAAAGGACTGCGAGGACATTCTGAAAAACAAAAAGCGGTTTTGCTTCATCAACCTCTGGCGGTCCATCGACCGCGAAAACTGCGTCAAGGTGAAGCCGTTGGCGGTGTGCGACTACCAAAGCGTCGACTGGAAAAACGACATGCTTCTCTACGAATTGGTGTACAAAGGTATAAAGAACAAGCTTTCATCAAGATATGCATCGGTCGTTTGGACGGCAGTTGGGGTAGCTGCTTTCGCTCCTGCAAAGAGTATGAAAGCCGTTCTGCGTAGTAATGAGAGAGCAAGATTTTGTATTTGTTTGGATCTGTTTCTGCTCCAAACACATCTAAAAATATCTAAAATCCTCAGATCGCGTCGGCGAGAACTATTCCCTGTCTCCGCACAATGCGCAGAATCACCGGTGGTACTACTACCCCGACATGACAGCCGACGAGATTATCATGTTCAAGGTGTACGACCGGAACCAGTCAAAGGCGCCCTTCGTCTTCCACACTGCGTTCGAGGATCCGAACACCAACGACACGGACCCAAACCGAAAATCCATCGAAGTCCGGGCGATTGCCATCTGGGACGAGGAGAAGGTGCCGTCCATGGTGGAGACGAAGGTGGAGGTCATGAACAACCAGCCCACGCCGTGCTTGTACGACATGGTCCACAGTAACAACTCGGCCCGGTGCCGCCTGTGGCTGCAATTGAAAGGGGTGCCGAAGGAACTCTGCGACATGAAGATGATCACCTACGCGGACATTAACAGTCCCGACTACTTGAAGGTCAACCCACTGAAGAAAATCCCGGCCATGCAGGCCTGGAGAAAGTGCGTTAAAAAACCAGGTAGAGAAACCATATAATTATAGATATGATTTGATTTTCTTTTTGTCTGTTCATGATCATGGCGTGCAGTAATTTTGCAACAATGTGAATATGAATAAAGTAACTATTGAATAGTTACTTTATTCACATTCACATGCAACAACTTCAATAGGAGCAAAATCAAAAGGGGCGCGCGCGCAGCTCGTCCAAATTCAAATACCCATCGAAACCACGACCCAGGCGACTCGCCGCCCCCAGACTCCGGCACGGATGATCCATCCAACAAGAAAGACATCGACCGCGTTTCCTACAAGAAGGAAACGGCCTGGAATTACTACTACGAGTCCTTGCCGCTCTTCGAGTCCCACGTGATTATGCAGTATTTGGAGGACAAATTTGGAAAGGCGGTGAACCCGGACCGGATTTTTGTCCCACAAAACCCGGAAGACAACGCGGTCATGAACTTGCTCATCCGCGTGCACGATATCTACATATCCAGTCCCAACTGCACGCAGCCCAATTTCGCACACACGCAGGGCTGCATGTACCTCGCCCCCTACCCGACAAAGTGGTGCGCGCCCGAGCGATGTATGGACAAGGAGTCCAGATCGAAGAAATTGAAGGAGATTTGGAAACACTTGTGCTGGTATTTAGAGATTCTTGCTGCTGCTCAGCAGCCGTGTCTGTTCTTGTGTTTTTTTTTTCCTGGTGCGCAGGGTGATGCTTGGGCTTTGTGCGCAGGGTGATGCCAGGGCTTTTTTAACCTGTTGTGCTGTGTAACCTTGACTTTCACTTCGACTTCTGTGATCTGAAATTCAACATCAAAACTCGTACCAGGCTCGACTGCCAGTTGGAGCTGCGCGCCGACCCGTATATGTGTGGCGAGCAGCTTACCCACGCCGACATGACGTGGTTCCCGACGGTCTGCTTTATGGAATACCTCCTGCCGAACAACTTCCAGTGGGCCGACATCACGAAGATCGAGACCGACGCCGAGGCAAATGCGAACTACCCCAACGACGCCAACCCCTTTCCCTTCCTGGCCTTGTGGTTCCAGAACATGCGGTCGAAGCACAAGGAGTTCGATGAGGTGAGGACCGGGGTGTACAATTTCTTTCACAAAAACGACCTGGACGGCATGTTCGAGTCTATTCGGAACGAAACAAAGGACACCCGGTACAAATGGCACTACAGTATCGAGGACCTGGATGAAGAAAGAAGAAAATCACTGACGGGTGCTCTCGGAAGCAGAATCAGCAACATCGCGGGCTGACGGGGGGAGTACAGGTCGGGCTTGCTTTTTCATTGTGGACGATGAACTTGAATGATAAAAAATGTGGATTGCAGCACTTCAGTACCTACCTTTGAATTTTTGTAAAAAAAGCCAAGACTTATTTTACACGTTTCAGACGGGCAGCGGAGGACACAACTCCGGTTTACGATGAACCTTGCCCTTTTAGATCTAATCATAGCATCAAAAGCAGCGCTGCGTCCGTTTTCCTGTATGATCCAAAACACCTCCCTTCTGTAGTTACTTTTTCAACGTCAGCGCCTCGCGCTGCCGCTGCGGTTTTGACGCCCTGTACTTCTAGAAGATCTTGTTGAACCTACAATGCTACTTCCCAGGAACTGAAACTGAATCGCATCTATTGCAGCGGCAGCGACAGGAGTACTAAGCAACACTGATCCACTTCCTTGCCGCCAAAGTATGGTTGAAACCGTGTTTAAGTGTTAGCGACGTATTGATGATTCTACTGATGCTTTCGAAGAACCTCTGCAGCCGGACCAAAAATCTGCTTTGCGGAAACGAGTTTGTGACCGAGGCATCTTGGCACCAGAGGCTTCGTGTAAATAAAAAATGAAGATGAAGAACTATTAATTTCCTGAGAAGTGGTCTCACCTTTCACAGCGACGCTCCAATCGCTTCCGAAAAGGACCCTCCGCAGCGTATTGCGCCACCGCCTCGATTTTTTCCCGGAGTCAGCGCCAATCACTGTAATTTTGGCAACTGATAGCATTGCAGTGTTTGCCTGCGACTAGCCCCCCCCCCCTCGAAGAGATTATTGGTTTGTGCTTGCTCTTTCCAGTATGCCGTTTGTGCGTTTGATATGATAACACTGTAAAACTAGAAAATACCAGGCGATTTCGATTTCCATCATGTATCATGCCATGAGAAAGATCTTCATCTTCTGACTTTTTGGCGGCCGCTGCTTGTTTTTGATTTTTCCGCGATCGAGGTTGATTTTGCTTGATCTCTCTTGCCGTTCGGACACTGACATGACCATGACTATTTTCTTTTTTGTTTCTCTCACGACTTGAACTCGTTGCTTCGAAAAATCTGCGAGAAAGGAATACGCCTACAAGAACAACAGCCAACAACAGCAACGCGGGGACTGTTGCAATAGTAGCTGCATTATAAGACCACATCCACGACACCAAACATGTTGTGGATGCACAAAAATTGTTGAGTTGGCGTGAATGGGGGCCATGGCAGCTTCGCGGTTGATTTCGTGCGAAAACTTTTTCAAACTGCCGATTTCATCCCGAAAGAAGATGCACGTGACCATGGCAGCCACGGCGCCCGCACGATCGGCATCGACTGTAGGAGGACGAGGAGGGGCTCAAGCTCGCTCAAAGTCACCTGTTCTTCTGACATTTTCGTGGTCGATCTGCCTCTTCTATCTGGGCATCTTTCTCTCCTCCACCATCGAGCCCAGTTTCGCCGCGTTGTTCTATTTCGGGAATAAGGGCACCACCCCTTCACCTTCCGCGCGACCTTTTGACGTAGCGTCTGCAGCAGCGGGCTTCGCGAGTGGTAAGCGCGAAATAAACGGTCATATGCAACACGACCAGCATCGGTACAATCCCTTGAGCGATCAGGAGGTCGGGCCGCCGTTAATTAGCGAAGCTGCTGGATGTGGAGCCTCATCGTCGATACCAGTGGACCAAAGTGCTGGCATAGTTGCAGCACGGACGACCACGACGTCTAAAGAAGACATCAGCGGCAGTGCGGCTAACGGTCATCAGCTTTCAGCACCGGTGCCGGAGGTCACGACAGACTTCTCGCGCAACTCATCCCAGCCCGGGCCGGACCCGTCGTCGACAAACAGCCACTCCAGACAGACCTCCAGAGACTCGCAGAAATCCGGCGGCAATAACTCCGTCGGGTCGAGCGGCGGGGGCGGGAACAGGTCGGACGATGAAGAGGAACAAGACGGAGAAAATGCGATAAAAACAGCAGTTTGCGGACTGTTCACAGGATGCTGTCTCACTAATCTAACGTCACCCACTTCGCAGGACAACTACTACGGTCAGGGTCATGCTCATGGTCCTCGCAGTAGAAGCCTTCCCGACTGTATGGACTCCGGTTGCTACTTGCAGCTGTGCGGAGAAGAGGACATCGAGCAGGACGGCGCCGAGGAATCCGATAACAGCAGGAGATCCTCCTCCGCCGCAGCCAATAAGCGCGAGGAAATCCAGACGAAGAAGTGGCCGCCGCTGTTTGGAGGGGCAGCCACCGCGGCGCGGCAGCGGGCACAGATGCCGACGGCCGCGCGACCACTGAGTCAGGCCGACGAAGACGACATTCACGGGGTTGCGAGTAATGGCGGCGCGAGGAACAACTCCAGCACGCCGACCAGACGCGGCAGCGGCTTTGGTTTCGGCGGAGGTTCCCTCCCGACCCTGGCACAGTACAAAAGCTCGTGGCAGACCCAGTACGGGAGTAGATTGCGGTCCTGCAGCAGTGCCTTCGGCGGTGGTGTCGTGCAGCACAAGCGGTTCGTGTTGAACCCTTTGCAACAGATATTGAATGAGCAAGAGGAAGCGAGGAAGGCCAAGTTGCTGGAAGAACAGCAAAACGCTGGTGCGCAGACAGTAGTCGGAAGTACAGCTGCTGCGTTAGGACCACCTGTACTTGGGGGGCAGCTGCAGCAAGTGCAGCAACCCTTGCAAGGAAATGTGGACAGAATTCAGCATGGCGCAGCGGCAGGAGCTCCTCCGGGTGGAGCGCAGGGACACCAGCTCATCTCTGCAGTAGATCAACAGAAAATAGCTCAGGATAACTTGATCAACCTGTACTGGCAAAGGGTCGAAACCGGAGCGGGTGGCGACTGTTTTTTCTCCTCAGTATTGCGGATCTTTCTGATCGCGTGGAAACAGCAGCAAAAGGAGCGGATACGACAGGAAGAGATTCAGGCGTTGTATGGAAGCAGCTCGTCAAGTGCTGCCAGGAGTGTATCTTCGCCAGAGTTCTTTTCAAAAAATGTAACTCCAACTACAACTACTGTCGGCCATACTGCAGGTGCAGCAGCCTCCTCTTCCTTAGTGCCACCAAGTGCAGGTGAACTGCAAAAGGCTACAGGGGCAGCGGTATTTTTACCTGCCGGAGCAGTGCCACAGCCACACTACCAGACTCTTCATTTCGGAATCACCCCTCGTGGAAATCCAAATCCAGCCTCCTCCACCACCCCTTCGTCCTCCACGCTCCTTCCCCACCAGCAGCAGCAGCCTCCACAACTTTCCGCATCCGAGGTCGAAGAGACACCGCGGGACAAGGCGGCCCGACTGCGCACGGAGTACGAGAACGACCTTGAGCAGCTTGCGTACAAGGCGTTTCGGTTGCAGCACTTTGACGTGACCAAAATGCTGAAAAAAGTCCGCACACTCATCGCGGTCCAAAAGCTGCAAGCGGACTGGCTACAGCAGCAGCGAATCAACGCAATCCGCCGGGAGCGGGAGGAGGGAAAAGCCAGAGGAGAGTACAATGCAAAGCTGGACTACTCCTCGGGAAGCGTAGTGACCAACAACACCAGATTTCATTTCTACGATAATCAGGGCTCGACGTTGGAAATCGTGCAGAAGGCGTTCTGTGGTACAACGAGCAACAGGTCAGGCAGCACGGTCGGCTCCTCGAGCGGAAAGAGGATGAACTACCTCCTCGGCGACGCCTTCTGCGCCAGAGCCGCCGCCCTGTGGAGCCCCGTGGCGAAAGTGCTGACGAAAGGAACCACAGGGCGAAGTAGTGGGGAGGACCAAGAGAGCGGGCTGGAAAAGAGTTTTTTGGAATTGGAAAATAACGAACCGGGGCGGGGGTCTTGTGGTGATGAAGAGCAGCAAGCGAAGGAGGGAGCGACATCCTCTAGCGCAACTCCTGCTGGCGCCCCCACCTGTAAAACTCCCAGCGAACAAGCTACATTTGTGGAAAAGAAGTCTTCTGCAGCAGCTTCCAGCGCCGAGGCTGGATTTCTGATCCGCGAACAGACACCGAGTACGAAATGCACCGACAATATGCAGGATGACTGTTCGGTGGATGAAGGTGCGGAGCAGAAGAGCAAATTTTATCGGGAACTGCACCCGTTGCAGCTGCCTCCGGACGAGCGTCGAGCTCGTGAAGACCAACAGCAACAACGGGAAATCATGGCCGAAAGGGACGCGCAAATCGGGTTCTACTGTGGAACTCAGGGCCTACGGGATGCACAGCGTGTGGCGGAGGAGCAAAAGATGACAGCGCAACAAGATGATAAATCCACCTCGTCTCCGATATTAAACAACTGCTCTCCCAGCAATTTTCCAGAATACGAGCAACTGCCCCCGATTGACCCAAACAACCTGCCAGAAATCCCCGATGTCGATACCCATTCGATGGTCACAATTTCGGAACTTCGCGAGGCGCTGCTGCAGCAGTCACGGTCGACCACCCGCCCGCGCTTGGAGGAGCAAGAGGATGAGCTACTCCGGAAGAAAGAGGTGCTGAAGCAGAAGAAACGAGCAGCCACCCCGACGAACCGGTTTTCCTTGGTACCGACGAAAATTTTGAAAGAAGAAGAGAAGTTCCACAAAGAGGTCAAGGATTTCGAGTACAACCAGAACGAATACCGGTCGACCATGCGGCGGCTGAAGCGCAAAGAGGACGACGGCTACGCGTGGGACCCGGAGGTGCGCCTGGCCGCCGAGCTGTTCAACGTGGCCATTTTGGTGTACGGCCCCCATTTTGGCCACTGCGCCCCCTCCACCTGGAACGTAGTTGGGGGCAAAAGATTCGACACCAATTTGAACACGATTCTGACGGACGAAACGCAAGTGATCTTCCCGCTGTTCTGGAACGGCGTCAACCACTACCAGGCAATTTTACCCACCGTCGCGAGGTTCGATCTCGAGGGGATTCAGCGCGAAGTGGGGCGACTGGAGGAGCTCTATGCGGTGGACAGGGAGAGAAGCTGTGGCGAAAATGTTGTTGGTGCCGGCGTCGGAGGAAGCTCTAGTACTCCACTTGCGCCCGGAGTCGTAGCTGCGCCGGGATTCTTACCCGGTGCACTGCAGCCGCCGGAAGGGGGGCAACAGGAGGGGCAGCAGCTGCAGGTGGAAGGGACATCACAAGGCGGAGCACCACACCACCAGGGGCAGTATTCTACGATCACCGGTGCTGCTGCGCATGGAGGACCAGAGGACGCAGCGACTGGCGCACCAGTGGCAGATATTGTCGATCCGGTAGCACGTGCGCGGAGCCAGAGCGAGGCTAGCGGACGAGCAGGTGGATCGCAAGCAAACACGCCCCCTAGTCCGGCGTTTCTGCATAGATCAGGTACATTATTGTTGCGAGATAACGTTGAAAATGTTGATTGAAAATGCTAATTCCGACATAGAGCGACGAAGTTAAAGCAGCAAAAGAGAAATGGAAGTTTCATCGCTGACGTGACCAATTAACAACAGCATCCGCCGCCTCTCCAATTTCTTTTCCAACAAAAAAAGATTCCATCAGGTGACCTCCGTTGGCTCGGGGAGGTAAAGTACCAAGCGGTAAGCCCGATCGGTGACCGCGACCGCGACGATCGCGATCTGGACGTGAGGTACGGCAATGGAGGCTCCCCTCAGAGCCGTACACCCACCCGCTGCGGGGCTGGTTTACGTAAGGGCTGCGGGTATAGTCAACGCGGAAGGACGAGCAGAAATAGTAGGTCCCATGGTCGCGGCCGTGGTCGTGATGGAGCAGTCTCCGACAGCGGTAGCGTATCCTCGCCAAAAGTGTCGCATTCGTACTGAGTTTTGCAGCGCATGATCATGCAGAGAGAGTTTGACAGATCTGCAGATCGTTTTCTACAGCACCGAGCTAGTATTTCAGCATTCAATACAAATTTTTTGGAAAAGCTACTGCTGCAAATTCCACTTGGAACTGTGACACTTTATTTGCAATGCATAGAAAGAAGGCACGAACAATTCTCAATCCCGCAGCCAGGAGATGTACTGCGACGACTATTTCTTTACCGCGGTCGACCACTGCGACCGTCTATCTAAGAAGTTTAGCAAAATGTGGCGCAGGTGTTTTCCGAAAAGTGGCGGGAGTTCGTGCTGTGATGGAAGTAGAAATAACAGATCAACATCTTCGAGCAATCACCGAGGGGACAATCAAGACAGGAGCACAAGGCGCACAACAAAAACCGCTACCACCACAGGGAGCCGGTGTTGTAGCCGAGACGACAGAACAAGTGGCAGCTCCGAGGGAGGCGGAACATCATCTCCTGCGGCTTCTCCCTGCGACTCGCGTCCGCAGGAAGACGAAGACCATGCTAGTGCGCATAAGTGTAGAGACTGTTATGCTGGAGCTGTAGCAGCAGCCACCGACACCCGCACCACTTCAGATGACGGCCAAGAGGGTGACGAAGGTGAGGAGAAGATCACATTCTATGGATCTGTCAGGATTGAAATCGTCAAAGTTGAAATGATTTGTCATGCATAAAATCGATACCAGTTGCTGTTGCAAGTCCAATTTGTAAGCGGCGCATGACAAATTTGAGTAGAGCCGAAATCCAGTTTGTAATGCTGCTTGGGTAAGGAGAACGTCTTTTCCTTTTGTGATGCTACTTGAGCAGCTCTACTTCTACCCCGAAACAGGGTCACAATCTGCCTCCCTTGCCTCCTCTGCAAGACAGGCATTTTCTGCGTTGCATTTTATGCATGACAAACTATTTCTGCGTTGGCATTTTCTGTTGGCAAAAAGTTGGGAATGTTGGCGAACAATAAACGCATCTGTTGGCGCAATGTAAGGATCGTTGGCGAACGTTAAACGCATGTTGGCGAAGTGAGGACTGTGTGCGAAAGTAAGGAAAAGGTGGCGTAAAGTTGGATGTGCCCGGGGATGATGGTGATGGCTTCGGTCCGCCTGACTCCGCGACCTGGTGGCCGAACCACGTGCGGTTCGGTGCCCTTACAGGTTGTGTAGTGGTTTCGGTCGGTTTAGCATGACAAACTATTTCAACTTTGACGATTTCAATCCTGACAGTTCCATACATTCGCCCAGTTTTGTAAGCGGGAGAAAGGAACTGGAACTGGAACAGCACGACACAATAAATCCTCCGAGGAAACAAGAAATAACTACCAGTCACAAGAAGCGCGCAACGACCGTGAGCCCTGTTGCACCTCCGCCTGTTTCTGCTCCGCCCTGCAAGAGGAATTTGGGATGTTATGCTGCGGCGATGACACCACCGGTGTTCTCAGGGCCAACAAGGAAACAAGGACCCACAAATGGTTCTACGAGGAAGATCTCACCTATAGTCTCCAAGGGGTACGAAGAAGCGGACTAGATCTAGAAGACCGTCAGCACTTACCGTTCGACGACTACTACAGCTACTCACCGACGGAAAAGGGTGGTGGTTTGTACGGTGGCACTAGCAGTGGCGCGACAGCAAGGCCAAATCTGGGATATTCGTCCGGTGGCTTGTCCAGCAGCTCCTATCGAAGGACCACCCTCCCAAGCAGCGGTACGAGTCGAGCGAGGACGCGGTCCGGAAGAAGCCGGGCGGGGAGAGGGAAGCGACCCATGTGATAGAACAGCCTGCGGGAGTCGTGTCTGTTACATTGCGTGTCCTCGAGATGGAAGGGATTCTCAGTCGTCGGAGCTTTGCCGTGTGATATGATCGAGGACCACTAGCCGCGTTCACAGCCCGGGAATGATACCAACAAGCGAAAAATGAAGTACTGACACTTTTGATTTTGATTTAAAGGATCACGAAGTATTGCTCTCCTGAGAACAAAGTAGATTTGAATCGAAGGATACTGTTCTGAAAATAAATTTTGGTTCCATGCATTGAATCGCTACACATACACGACCACGAGAACGCCATTGTACCCCCTTGCTTCACAACGACAAACACAATAGCCCGAACGCCACATCACAGAGAAACATAATTAAGTACAAGCCTGCTCACTCTGCTTCTGTCTGAGCATGAAGGGCAGCATGAGAGACACCCGATTTGAATACCACTTCAACATGGAGCTGCGAAACGAAAAAAATCAATTGTGATTCTGGCTACTTATTTTGGAAATTGTAAAGAATCTAATATGTAAAAGTTTCCGCGGTACGGACTTCGACTTTTGAATTAATATCGGTGCAAGTTTGTACTACTCTGTCTGAGATTAGTAAGAAGTGCCAAGTGTTCACCTGCTTCTGGGTCGCAGTGCTGGAGGGTCGGTTTCAAATTGATTAATGAATTCTATTGTCGTGTGCATGTTGTAGTCCAAGAATAAGTGTCAGTCATTGACATGGAGCGAACACACCCCAATGAGCCAATCAATAAAAGGTGGAGCTTTCTTCATCTTGAGCGACTTATCTGTTTCAAATCTTAAATTCTGTTTCTTGGCTAAGCATGCTGGAGCATGTTTAAGGGCTGGCCCCAATGCTGGCGGAGTGAATCATTCCAAGACACGGCAAAACCAGACGAGGGGGGAGTAGTCGTGCTATGAAATTGTAGTTGACCATGCCAGTGCTTCCTTCAGGATTCTAAACTCGGTCGTGCATTTCATACTCGGGACGACTTCCGTAGTTTGCTTGAACTGTAGTCCCCTCTACTTCTGAGGCAATACTAAACTAAAAAACTCGGTCGTCAAAGACCAGAACAAATTTGCTCTGGCCCAGGTCTCCAAAGTAAAGAAAACCCAGCGTCGGCAAAAGCCGTCGCCGTTGTAAGTATAATCAGGATTAGGATTGCAGTCAAAAGCAGTAGAATTTAAGGCGTAGTGTGCTGTATTAGCATACTGAAACCAAATTGCCTCTAACTACAGCCTCAAGAAGTGCTGGTTGCAAATATCTAAATATACTCTCACGGACATCAAAAAACTTTTTAGCAAAGTCTCGTCTTTTCGAGAACCGTTGAAATCTTTCGAACACTTGCGAGTCGGCGTCTTAGAGCAGAATGGGAGCCTGTGGCGGCAAAGCCGAGGGCATGACGGCCGACCAGAAGGCGGCGGTCGAGACCGTGCAAACCATGTTTGGCATGTGGGGCCAGGGTAAGTTTGCCACCGCCCAGGGTGAAGCTGACTTCATCAAGGTAAGTACTTACTTTGACAATTGTAATGCTGCGGTAGCTGCTGCTGCTCAGTGATCTGATGTCGATGTGAATAGTTCCAAAGAATTTCAGCTGCGAACGTGGTCCAGCAAAGCAAAAGAGATGGCTGTGGTGCTAGTTTTGAATTACAGCACATTCATTTTGTTCGCACCAATTCGACATAAATTTAAATCAGTCCATGGAAACCATCAACACCCCGGATGCTACCTGGGATTTCACCGGACCCGGACCCGAGATTTACAAGACGTACACGGGAGCCAAGGCATTCATGCCTTGGATGAAGTACCTGGAAGAGGTACTATTTTCGAAACGGTGGTTTAGATTACGAAAAAGAATTTTATTTGTGCTGGTGTGTGCTGGTGAAGCGTTGACGTTCATCTTCATAAAACCGCAAAAAAATAACAGTTCGACTTCCCGAACATGAACCCGAGCTTCTTCCCCGGTCCCCCGGGCTCCAACATCGCCATCATGTACATGAACTATGACATGACGCACAAGGAGTCCAAGGCGGCCATGACCAAACAAACCGACGTTTTCGTGTTCACCGTAAAGGGCGGCAAAATCGCCAGCGCCAAGCAGTACTGGGGCGATGTGCAAGGGATTAACAAGGTAAAATTTCTCAATTATTGCATGAAGTCATTGTCTTTCTCCCTGCGCGCATCCATTTAGATGCCTTTTAAAGGTTTACGTCAATACGGATTGCACAAAGGCGTCGGTCACCGAATGCTAATCCTAATCTTCTTTGGGCAATGCAGCAGCGGCCGGAGAATAAGCTGAGAAGGTATAGAAGTAGGTGAGAAGTTAAAGTGTCAAAAACTCACCACAGACCCTGGGGCCGGTGCACAACTACACTGGTGGTACCCCGGACCAGGCGGCTGCCATGAAGACCGTTCTGACCGCGTTCGGCATGTGGGGCGAGGGCAAGTTCAAGGCCAGCCAGAGTGACGAAGACTACAAGAAAAACTTGGGTTCCATCTGGTGCGCGGACCACGTGCTGGACGTCCGCGGCCCGGCGTCGCCGTTCCACAAGGTATTTAAGAGATGAGGCTTTCCTGCTGGTCAGTCATGCGCATTGTACTGTCAAGAACACCTTAAGGCTCTGCAGATTTAAAAACATGTGTTCGAGCGCCATCAAGCGATGCACATTGGCCGTAGTCCACGACAACTTCGCACGACCTGAATTGCTAAAAAATCCTTAACCAGGAATACAAGTCCGGCGGTGACATTTCCGGCACCAAGGACTGGATCAAACTATCAAATGCAAAAATGTCTGTGTCTGGAAGGATGCAAGTTTGTCATGCTTGTCTGGCATGACTCGAGAATCTGTGTTGCATAGGCGCGAAAAGGCCCTCTAGCCTGTCATGCAAAAACGCAGTTTGCCATGCGGAATACGTAAGACATGGCAGCCAAAAAAATTGTCTTGCGTGGCTGCGTATTGCAGTGCGTCTACCACTCACTTTTAGCATTACAAGTTTCCAGACCCAGACATTTTTACATTTGATACAAGCTGTTGGACGCCCACGAGTTCACCCGCATGGTGCCGACCTTCACCCCCGGCCCCGCGGGTTCGAACATATGCATGGCAAAAGTATCGCATTCGTATTGCACTCATACATTACAAATATTTTTCGTAGGGTAAATCAGCATTACAAAATTATATTTCTCATGCTGGGGAAATTTGTAATGCGTTTTCATTTATACGAGTGCGATACTTTTCCAATTCATAGAACAAGGTGTACTGCAACATGGAGTACGACATCAAGTACAAGGGCGCGGAGGTGAAGGACTATCAAATGTAAAAATGTCTGGGTCTGGAAGAATGCAACTTGTCATGCTAAATCTGAAGCATGCAAAAATCTGTGCTGTGTGATTACCAAAAGTCGGCCAGTTTTGACCGAGTCGGGGGGCAGTTTCTCATGCAGGATAGGCATGAGAAAGATCGCACAGAATCTGTCATGCTAGGTCCTGCATTTAAGACCTCATGGGTCATGGAAAAGCTGCATGACAAATCGCGCATCTGTTTAGCATGTGTGTCGCAGTCGCACTTCTGTTTAGCATGACAAATCGCGCATTCTTCCAGACCCAGACATTTTTGCACTTGATAAGGACATGGTCGACACCATGGTGTTCACCGTCAAGGACGGCAAGGTCTACTCCCTGAAGCAGTACTGGGGTGACCCAGTCAAGGTCACCGAGGCCTTCGGCGAGCTCTGGGAGATGCCTGCGTAAAGAAGCAGGGGTGAAAGCATGAACATGATGCTAGTTCGTTGTATCGGGGCTTCTTGTGACAAGTTTGTCATATAGAACAAACAGCTTTCTGATCTGGTTTTACCGGCCGTCATGGTCTTGTATGATGCTATACCACCTCTGTCGAAGAATAACTCCTACTGCGTTAAAACCACTTTGCCACCTCACTGTACCTCTAAGAATTTGATGGTTATTCCAAGACCTGATTTTTTTCTGTCGGACGCAAAGAGCTTTCTGTATTTGCGCTAGTTATGGCTCAAATTCTTCAACGATAGACTGAGCTGTGACTTGTTAAGTAAGTGCGGTTTTCTTATTTGCTCGTCTGACTCAATGAACAACTGCTTAGTACACTCACATATTTTTATCGTTTTAACATGATTTTATTTCTTTCCAAGAAACTTGAAACCGTCAGCCAGCACAGCAGCGTCGATGTCTTCTGGAGGTGCCGCAGAAGCAGAAGTATCTGCTTCGACAATGCCGCCCTGGAGGACCTTTCTAAAACGTGCTGTGTTTGTTGGACTCTGTTGCGAAAGTCTGGCACTAGTACTAGTGTGGCATTCCAGATTTACTTCTGGCGTGACCGCTCTGTTTGCCGAAAAACTGCGCAGAGAGTCATGTTTATGTTTCGTCGAACTTGACACATACTACATGCTTGTTTCCACCAATTTGAATTTTTCAATCGTGATCGTGAGTGCTTCATTTTCACGGTTTTATGATTTTTTCGAAATCTAGTTGTTCATCTGAGGAGGAGCCCCGCTCGGATTTGAACCCGGGTCGTTTCTCTGATGTGCTAGTGTCACCAGCAATCCTAGTACTAACTACGCAATAACCCGTTTAAGGCTATGGGAAGAAGATCTGGTTTTAGATTTGTCACAAATGCAAAGAACTCTGTATAGATCTGCACAGCGCCTTTATGTTTAGTACGAGTTATAGGTTTCATCCAAGCCTCGCAGTATCATCCTTTCTGTCGGGATAACTAAAGAAGCCGGTCGGGTAAAAAAACAGCCTTTACTTTTGTGCACTTTATGCTAGTATCCCTTCAGTGAGTGATCTTTGGTTTGACAAGGAGCGTCATGTGAAATTTTGGGAAAAGAATACACGTTCTGGCGGAATGGTCTTTTCATCATGTTGCGCAGCGGAAAGAGCGGCTAAAAGTTTAGAAGAGTTTGCGGAGGTGGTGCTCCTTCGGGTGCACGTAGTATCCATGGCTGCATGGATGCTCGTGTTCGCGCAGCGGCTGAAAGGACAATGTTTTTCTTAAGGTGCGTCACCTACAACGAGATCACTAGTGAAAGGGATCGTTTTGGGCACGCCCTATGAAGGAAAACATGTTGCGTTGATCAAATGAGATGAAAAGCAAAAGTGATCACAACGTCCACGCATGAGGTTCTGGTTCCTACTGGTAGAGAAGATGAATTTACACGCTGGGGTCCGCCTGGTCCACTCTGATCCACTTTTCCTGCCTTTCTAGTGTGATTTGATCCCTTCCTGTTGTGCAATGTTCCATCGAATGAGACTAGCCAAGTCTCAGGAGTTGTAGCGTTTGCCTTGGTGTGGCACCTTTGACGGCTCAATTTTCATCGTTGCAGCGCAGTAAACCCTTGTTCGTTCTTGTTGACGATCATGAGAACCTTCACAAGCGCGCCACTGGCGCCGATTGGAAGGACAATGTCGCGAGCGACAGTGTTTGCAGCACCACGGCGGTTAGTAACAAAGGCGCCCAGCTATGCGTCTTTTCTTGGAATGTTTCCACTTGATCGCAGAATGCCGGCGGTGATTGTTTCTCGCGGCGAACGCCGATGCAGCGGCCTCGCTACCCTAGCGGTAATGGCAACACCACCTCCCCAAGATGTTGAGGTGAAAATAATACCAGAGGACACGACAACCACACCGTCCGGCACAGGCCAAGTGCACAGAAAAGCCGGGATCGTCGTTCGCAAGGGTCCCAAGTTCGGGTACATCAAAACCATAAACGAGCACACAGGCGAGGAAGAAAACCAGTATTTTCGGGCGAGAGATTGTTTCAAAACCTGGGTTCAGCCGGGCGACGAAGTCACCTTCGAAGAATATTTCGACGAGGCAACTGGGAGGAAGTTCATCACAAAAATCGTTGGTGGAACAGGTGGAGAAAAGCCGGAAAGGTGTGTTGAGGCTTCAGAGGCTGAAGCGCAAGAGAAAGGTAGACGGACTGCAACATCGCGTCAGGCCGCATCAGAGTTTGACCACAGCTTGGAGCAGCCTCTCTTTGAATCGGGAAAGGCATCGCGTCACACGCACGAGAAAATCGTTGGTGGAAGCGATAGTTCCTTACATGGCGGGGAAAAGCACCAGGAGCTGCGGAACGTCGTCGACAAATTACAAGCGGAAGTGATCGAGCTGCGATCACAAGTTTCTGATCTCCAAAAGCAGATCACTGTGTTACATGCGGACGCGTTGTAAAGCTAAAAATGACGAGTGCATCTCCTTTACAGCGTTTGTGTGTTGAATTGCAAAGTAGAGCGCTTGGCGGCGCGCTTGAGTTGTTGTAGGAAATAAAACTAGACGTAGACTAAGTTGTGTTGTTCGCTGCACTACAACCACGATGATGACGCTTCCACGATGTGCTTTGTCTTTGCTTTATGTTGTCTTTGCCGGATCAGAATCTATCTAAGGATCTCAACTGCAATTCGTCGCGAAGGTTAATTACATTGAATCTCGGGCAGGAGCAAGCCCAAGCGGTAAGCACAAAAGATTCGTCTTTTCCCTTGTGCAATCTTCGTGCCGCGTTCATGTATTTGATCTTGTTGTTACAGCTGAAAATTGAAATACTAATACCGGAGAAGGGAGAACGGTTTTGTAAAGCCCAGAGAACTACACAAAACATGTTCAGCAAACTTACCCACGTCGCCCGCGCGGCAAGACTGCGTAAGGCCAACCTCATCCAGCCACTGCATCAGCGTTCTGCCGTCTTTGGTTTAAATCAGGGAACAGGCGCATTTCACGCACGTTGCTTCAGTTCTGCCGACGCCGCTGCAATGGCTACCTCCAGCATCGAAGAGGGTACAGCTGCTGGACATCAATCTGACGCTCTGAATGGTGACGCGGAACTACAAAAGGATTCTGCTGTCGGCACCTCCACCCCACCTGCCACTGCTCCTGGTTCTTACCAAAAGAACTTCACCAAGAAAACCGGTACAGTCGTGCAGATCGGCAACGCCTTCGGATGGATCAAAGTCGACGGCAGCCAGGAGGGCGAGCCAGACGCGTATTTCCGGATGAAGGAGTGCGAGGCGACGTGGGTTCGTGCGGGGGACAAAATCGAGTTTGAGGAGCATGTGAATTTCAAGGGCTGGAAAAGCGTGCGCAAAGTCACCGGCGGTACCGGGTTTGCGAAACCAGCAGAACGGCCGCCGCTGCCGCAGAATGGTGGAAGAGGTAATACGTTCAGTGGTGCGACTTCTGGATCTTCACATCAGGAGAAAACTAACGGGCAACATCAGCAGATGATGGCGAGCGGCAAGCAAGGCGCCGAAGACGTGACGGCCAATCCGCACAATATGGTGGAGTTGCGGAGCATGTTTTCCGGTTTGGTGTCGATGGTATCGGCACAGCAGACGGAACTGTCCGCGATCAAGAAGCAGGTGCAGAAAATGGACGAGTTGCAGAGCCAGATCGCAAAGCTGGCGCGGAAGGAGTCGGCCGCGTGAAAGAAACATGACGCGCACTTGTTCTTGTGACCAGGCGAAATAAATTTGGACAAACTACAACTATGCGAATCTGGTGGCTTCGCTCCCGGAATCGTCAAGAACAGAGCGCGCACCCACTATATCAAAAATCAACTTGTCTTGCACAAGAGGTTCACTTCTTTGTGTTGGGCAACTTGTTCTCCATGGAGGTTGTTCAATGACAACGAAAGGCAAAGGACCATGCTGTTGTGTGTCCTGATTTTTTGGTCGCCTCAGCACCGGGCTCCTGCGAAGTTCATTTCTCCAAGAATCGTGGTCTTGGTGTCGCGCTCGTGTGCTACTTACCTACTGGATGAATACGACGAGTGTCATAATCGTGACCTGAAGATAATCTACTTCTCTTATCAACTACAATCTATTAATCACAATCTATCAATCAAGTTTGTTGTATTCAACAATCAAAATAAAACAGTTTAGGAAACCATGCCCAGCACCAATTACATCGCGACCGGCCCGACTGCAGCTTCTTCTCGAAGCTCGATCGCAGCACCAGCCGCACATAAGAATCCAGGAGCCCCAGTATTATGGAAGAAGCGGCCCCGTTTTGTGCCCGAGGAGCAGTTCCAGGAGTTTCTGTGGGGTGATTTTCGTGTGGTAGTGCGGCACCTGGACGAGTTGCAGAAGAACCTCCAAAGTCTGTCTGAACGGATCCACATCCTAGAGGAAACGAAAGGCGGCGTCTCGTCGAAAGCGGCCAGCAAAAGTTCTACTGGCGCAAGTTCGTCTAGTGTTGCAGCATCATGGGTACGGGTAGGAGCAGAATCTGAGCCACCGGAACGGGGACGTTTGCTGCGTGGAGACGTGCTGGAAGACCACAGCTCTGTTGCAGCAGGACGAAGAAAAACCCGAATGGCGCCGTCAACATTTCCTGGAAGAAGCCACGTGAACACTCGTTCCAACTCCAAAAACGACAAGCGTCACCAGGACGTGGACGGAGCAGCCGCAGAAATTCAAGACCACCTGGACAACTTCAGCCTGTCCCCGAAGTGGAGCGCCTCCTCTAGCCGACGAAGATTGTCGCGAGAGCAAATGGCGCGGCGACGCGGGCGGAATGATGAGCAGTCCACTGTTTTACTAGAGGATGGTAAAATGACGTCAACTGCTCATCTACCCGTGGTCTCGATGGCCAACACCGTGCAGATGAACTCCCTCGACGCCGTCCTGGCCGACCGGCTGGGGGTGCTGGAAAAGGCGGTTAGTGAACTCGAGAAAGCCGCCCGCGGGTCCACGAGCGCTGAAAGTCAGAATGGTGATTTTTCTAGTGCTGCGAAGGCATCCGCATTTTCCACATTATTACGAGGCCCAGCTACAGCGCCACGCGATGAAAAGGCTGGCGCAGAATTGCAGCCCACCGAGGAAGCAGAAGGAGTTGTAAAAATAAAAAAGAACGACACAGGTATTGGGGCAGTCCAGACAAAGCAACCTGCTTCGAAGTCCACGTCTGCTAGCTCGAAAGATACCGACACAGGAGTAGAAATGTCGATCTCGGTTGCACCGAAGCCCCCTTCTGCGGATCCTAATGACGACACCGCCCGGATGAAATCAACTGTGCCGCATCCGCTGTCCCCACTCCCGCAGCAGCCCGATGAGTTGGAAAATAAGGAACAGCAGCAACACAATCTGCTCCGGCTCGATGGTATAGAACGGCAGCAGCAGATTATCCTTGAAGCACTGAAGACCAAAGTCACCTCCCGTGACGACGGACTGCTGCTGAGCCGCAACGTGCGCACGCTCGAACGCACTGCAAACGCTGAACTGTTGAAAATCCAGACGAAGATGGACAAGAGTTTTCTGCAGGTAGACGCGTCCTTGGAGCAGAAGGCAAGTCTGCAAACGGTGAGGGGCTTGCAAAAGGAATTAGCACTGAAGGCCGACATGAAGGACATTTTGGTTCTTCTGGAAGATGTTGCGGCTTCTGCGGGTGGTGCTGTTGGGTGCGCTGGCGAAGCCAGTGAGCAGCAGCAGCTGCCATCGATGGAGGCGGGTTAGACCCCTGACGAAGACGTACATTTTTGTCTAGAATACGCATCTTCTTCATCTCTTGACATCTACAAGAAGAGAAAACCAATTAGAATGGTGAAGAAAGGATGATGAGATTTTTTTCGCACCGACAGCCATCGTGTACACCCTGTCCATGCACTTCGCATGCGACCCCGACCTTAGTATCAACAGGACGCCAGTATCTGGAAAGAGTGTTCGTCTTTTTTTTGTGTTATTTTTTACTTTCCCCAAGATCACCAGGTTGATCAGAGCCCAAGAGCGGCTCACGGACATGGATCTTCATTTTGGGTTTCCCGCGATCGAGGATTGATCATGATGTTACTATTCGTGGCCGTGAAACATGATAACGAGTATGTAAGAACGAGGAGTACAGCTATCACCCTACTGAAGGTGGAGCCTACCACGGCGCTTCGAGAAGTGAAAGAGGATCATATGATGCGTTATCTTCACGTACTTATATCGTTTCAGAAGCGAAGCTTAGAAGCGCTGAGCGCAAGTTGTATCTATGTACGTGCGTAACTGTGGGACAAACAAGCAAAAACAAAATGTTGACTAGAGGTCGATCCGTCGTCCTCCATCGCATCAATGTTGCGACGAGAATGAGAACAAGAGCCGGTTTATGCCATAGCGTCGTGGAGCAGGGGGGTCTCTGTGGTGTTGACCCTGTAGCATTGAAGACGTGCTGTGGTATGGAGGGCAGTACTAGACGCTACGCCGGGAGCAGTGCAGGCTCGGCTGCAGCAGTTGCTACGACAGGGGAACGAGACACATCCGCTAACGAATTTCGCTACACTGGTGCGAGTGTCGAGGATGTTTTTTCAACTGAGGAGAATACAACGGCTTACAGCACCTCCTCAACCCGCAATGCCAACCGGAAGCGATTCGCCGGCCGAAATGACAGCGGCATTCCTTGGGGCGCCGAGGATCTCGGCGAAGCTACGGGAACGGTAATTCGTACGGGAAAACAGTTTGGGTATATCAGAATCGACGAAGGAGTGAAGCCAAAAGACGGGGAAGGTGATGACTTTCTGCAGGCGAAGGAAGTGCACTTCCGCATGCGGGAGTGCATCGATCACTGGGTGCTTCCGAACGACAAAGTCACTTTCAGGAGGTTTTTCTTGTCCAAAAAGCGAAAAGTTATCGTCGCGGAAGTCCGGGGCGGCAGTGGAAATGTAAAGCCGGAGAGGGGCAGTTACGGAAATAAGATGAAGCACGGCGACAGTGGTAGTTCAGCGCCGCAACATCGTGCCTTTCCGGTTGCGAGCGAGGATGCCGGAGTGCTGGCGTCAAACCATGCCACTCTTGGTGAGGGATCCGGGAGTTCGCAGCAGCAAATTTCGGAGCTGGTTCACTTGATGAAGAAACAACAGGCACAGCTGGAGGAGATGAAGGAAGACCTTCGGAGAATAAGCGTAGAAGTGGTGGAGAAGTGACTTTAGAACAAAGAACCAGAAATTTATCACAATCCGGATTTCAACATCTTGCAGAAATTTCTTTTTCTACCCTCGCAAAGAGAAGAAGAGCCACTCTTTTTCATCTACCCTCGCGAAGAGAAGAAGAGCCACGATCCGATGGAAGTGAAGCATCAAGACGAAGTGGAGACACGTACTTTTGGACTGCGTGATCATATTTTTCGTGTGATCTACAAAGCAAAAAGCGGTATTCATGTTTCGTGCAGCCTGTGCAGATTCTTCAAATACAAACGGATCCAGTGCCCGCTGGCGTTGCAAGAAGAAGAGCTCCTACTTCTTTGCAATTCGGAGCAGCGCTTAAAAATCCTCATTCTTTTGTATCGGAGTCCATTCTCTTCGAATTTGATTTATGTCACGTACTTAGGCAACACTTTCCAAGTGCCAGCTTGCAGTTCCAGCTCTGACATAAATTCATTTGAGCTTCGTGGCCACCTAGAATTTCCACATAATTTTTCAAAAACGTCTTACGAGCTTCGGACAATTCGATCACTCTGCAGGGAGGTACTGAACATGAAGATGATTTCCGCTAGGGGCAGCGTTACAAAAAACGCCCCTGTTGCTGCACTTGTGCAGGTGGTTGCTCCTGCTACCTCGCGCTGTCACAAGCTCCTCCCTACGATAGGTTTTTCAGGCGGTTGCGGATTTCGAAGATGTTCCTTGCCGTATCCGTGCTTCAAGCCGAACAGGGTTAGATTTTTCTCCGTGGTCGCCAGTCACCTACAATCTTCATTTTCCAACACTGCGGCAGAGCGACCGGTGGAAGGATCATCTGCGACCACGACGGTGCCCGCATCATCCGATAATGAGGGAATGGCTTGCTCCACCAAGGGCGAGAATTTAGAGGAAACCAACAGCAACAGCACTTCAACCAGCCCGACGGTCGTTCCATCCGTTGGAACTACTGAAGATGTCGGCGCCGTTTTCGGCTCAACCACAGCTGTCTCTACTACGAATGAGCCCGCCGCGGCGGGGGCTCGTCCGTCGGGATCAGTACCGAAAAAGATGACTGGTACTGTGAAATTTTCTGCCCACGGTTTTGGGTACATTGCGGTGGACGGTGAAACGAATAGACAGGGCGATCCATTAGAAATCCGTTTCAACAAGAATCAGTGCGTCGAGCGGCTTCCGAAGAAGGGAGACAAGGTGGAGTTCGAGATGGAAACGCTGGCGGCATCTGGGAACACGGTGGCGAGGAAAGTTGTGGGTGGCACCGGGCCGGAGAAGGGCAAGGCGAAGGCAGCAAAGCTTTTGGCAACGGCCGCGGCGGGCGCCGGGGTAAATGAGAAGCAGCCCCTTCCGATGGATCTCTTTTCGTCAAATGTTGCCGCGAACGAGTCCTCGAGTGTGGCGAGCATGAACGAGGTACGACACATGTTTTCCAGTCTGGTCAGCTTGATTTCCGCGCAGCAAGCTCAGCTCGCGCAGATGCAGGATGAGATTGCGAAGCTTGGAGGCAGGAGGGGTGCTGCTATCGCAGTAGGGAAAAAATGATAGTGCGAGGACGAGTGAAGACATTGTTACGGACGGCGCGGTACTACGAAGTGACTGACTGCTCTGATAACGCGAGGAACTACAAGGCGCGGGACATGTATACAAAGACAAAAATAGAATCAGATCGCACCAGGCGCTTCGAAAGCGGCCCATGGAAGATAGATAAATTGCTTTTTCACTTTTTGTCTCTCCTGCATGCGATCGACCTGGTGTAGTTTCTGGCCGACGACCGATCCGATCATCGATTTTTCGGAAAGTGCGTCGCATCGATAAAGAAGATCAGTTCAAAAACAGGATCTTTCTTTCATCTGAGCGAGGTGAAAAAATGCTGTATTTCCAAAAATGGAGCGTTAACGTTCTGAATTTGATCTGATGAAGATCTCGTCATGATTTCTATAGTCGAAGAGGGGACGAATGGCAGCAGTGGCGTACAAAAGGTCAACGTCAACCGCTCTCGTCAAGCATGATAGCACATGAGTTCTTTGCCTGCGGGTGCATGTGCAACATAATGGAATGAAGGAATCCTGGTGATGATCTGAAAGAGTTTGCGCTTTATCCTCAACGCTCCGGCTTCCATCAAGCAACTACAGCAATGTTGTATTGTCTTCATTCATCCCTACCTTCATTTCATATCGAATCTTAGAAGCAGTGTAGTGCTGGCGCATTCGGTTCTCTTTATATTCGATTGTCTTCCTCCACCCTGATTACAATTCGAACTCGTACCCCACCAGAAGAAGACCAACACCTAAAAATAATCATGGCCGCGATGATCTCCCCAGCACCGCCGGGCTCCTTTGCCAAGTACAGTTGGGTTAGGTTGCAAAACCTGCAATCCTGCCCGGAGTTGAACGGGCGCATCGGCCAAGTCTTCGACTACAAGTTCAACGAAGAAAAGCAGGTCGGACGTTTTGAGGTTTTTGTCCCCGAACTGGATGGCGTTTCCGAGGCGGAGTTCTGTAAGGCATTCGAGGTAGGTTACGGCGAAGAGGATGTCCACGGTGATGAACTGCGCCTGCTTACGTGTCAATCTCCACTGCATGACGGGCTCGCGACGAGAATCTTTCCGGCGTTAACCGACGAAAAGTACCGCAAGAAGGTCCAGGCTCACAAACTCCTGAAGCCGGAGAACTTGATCCCTTACGAGGGACAGCTGGTCACCGCGACGGTGGTGCACGGCAGCCGCCACCCCCCGTCCGGGAAGTGGGAAGAAGTCCAGCTGCCGTTGGAACACCCAATTTTCTCAATGTCTGCGGAAATGGCAACCAAGGGCGGGAACTCCGGAGTTTTGAACCGCTTCGGAGTGCCGCTGATGGTCGTCCGACTTCCGACGGACCGCACGAGCGAGGATCGCGAGATGTACCAGAACCAGGTTGCGACTTTTCTGAAGGTGCCCGTCCTTGTGAAAGATGGTGACGGGTTAGGGTTTGCGCCGCTGCATTGGCAAGACTTCGTCGGTCCAGTGGTCATTTTTCGGCCATGCTACCACGCCAAGAACGCCGGTCGTCCCGCGAGCGAGGCAGAAACGGTTGCAGGAACAGCAGCTCCGAAGCACTTCACGGAGCTAGACCTGGAGGTCGTCTGGGAAATCCTGTACAACTATGTGGAGGACTCGGAAAGCATCAAGGAAAAGGACCTGACTCCTGCCATTTTTGAGAAGAAGGTGAAAAACTATCTCAGCGCAGCGGATGATTGGAACCGGAAGTCCATGGCCATTTTGAACGACGACCAATCCATCCCCATCGAAATCAGGGAGCAGCGGTTGCTCGAGCATCAGAAGACGATGCCGGGGCGGGGCCCGGGTGAAAGGTTCTTCCAGCAGAATTTGGTGCCGACCACCGAGGGCGCGTTGGCGTGAGAAACCACACAAGAACGCGCTGACAGCGTCAGGATTTCTTAATTAATACTCACCCCCACAGTTATTTGCCCCCGAAGCTGTCAACTTGAGCCATGATGTCGGTCTGACGCTGACCGTAAAGAACTAGATGACGAAAAGATAAAGAATTTATATACCCCTCGCAGTCGCAACCGCATTTACATTGGGTTTGCATTTGAGCTGCTTGTTGCTTTTTCTAACCTACACCAACAATTTTAGCACGAGAAAACTGCGCCCTGAAATAAAAGACTAAAATCAAAATGCGAAAAACATCCTTTAAAAATTTTATGTTTATCTTCTTACTTTGAAACGTGAAGTCAAGAGAACACCTGAAAGAATAAAACCCGATGAAAATGATGCACGAACTAATGGGTGAATAAGAAAAGGAAGACATCTACAACTCGTCCGCTCGATTTTCTCTTCATCCTCTCACTGCACGACCGGCCATCTTGTTAAGTGATGCTCTCGTCACTTTCGTCTTTCAGTATCGTGGTGGATAGTTTCTGGAGGATAGCACGAAATTATTTGCGAGTAACTTTTTGTGTATACGATGAACGACGAGAGACAATTGATTGCACATGGACCACCGTGTGCTGAGAGTTGTATGATTCAACATGGCAAGAACTACTTGGTGCTATAAGTAAGCGTTCTCACACTGCTAATCAATGTTGCCAACAGCAGTGAATGACAGCAGTCATTGATGTTATTTTATTTTTCTCGAGTTGTCGTGCAACCCCCGCTTCCGTGTTTAAACTTTTCTTTGTCCTTGTTGTGTGCTAGGCTTCATTCTCTTCTGTCGCTTACAAAACATGTTCACCGCAACAGCTGCTACCGCGAGCTGCAGCTCGACTGCGCGCTGCTGGTTACGGCACGGCGCCGAGGCCACTGCGAGATACAACCGACGCAGCCCCCCGCACCAGCAACTCCAACTTGTAAAGATGCTCCAGGCCGCCACACCAAGTGCCTACAGGAGATCGAAGATTTATTCCAGACGAAGCACCACTCGATGTTTCTCGTCCGCGTCTGACGTGCCGATAGTCCCGATGATCATCAACGGGGAAAAGATCATCTCCAAAACGGAAAAGTTCTTTGACGTGCACAACCCTGCCACCGGGGAGCTGATCGCCAAAACGCCTTTGTGTCTCCCCTCCGAAATGGAGGAAGCGGTGGCTGGGTGCAAGGAGGCGTTCAAATTTTGGAAGAAGGTCGCGCCGAGCAGCCGTGCCCGTGTGATGCACAAGTTCGAGGCGAAAATACGGGAAAACACGGAGGAGTTGGCACAACTCATCACCAAGGAACAGGGGAAGACCATTGCGGATGCAAATGGTGAAATTGAATGTCGAAATTCATGAATTAGAATTTCCATATTAAGATATCTCATCTGTGTGTTCGTCCGCATCCATGTGGGACGACCTTGCAGAAGCGCAACATATCAACAAAAAGAATCTACTTACGACCAAAAAACACGCAGGCGACATCTTCCGCGGTCTCGAAGTTGTCGAAATGGCCTGCGCTCTCCCCTCCTGGCTGCAGGGCGAGTCTCTGCAGAACATCGCGGACGGCGTGGATTGCCATTCCTACCGAACGCCGTTGGGCGTCACCGCCGGGATCGCGCCGTTTAACTTCCCGGCGATGATTCCTCTATGGATGTTCCCCTTTTCCGCCGGTTGCGGGAACACCATGTTGATGAAACCGTCGGAACGAGTGCCGTTGTCCTATTCAGAGGAAAAATCCCCCCTCCCCATATCAAAACGAAGTTTCTGATGCTGGATTTGCGTACACAAATCAGATTTGTCTTGCTGGAGAGGACGGCAGGCTTATACTAAGCCCGAACTGGGAGGCTTTGATCTAGGCACTGAGCATGGCAAACGTGTAGTCTCTAGGGCCAACAGCATCACAAACCGCCAACAGCGTGCGGCAGAGCCTGCGCGGTTGCGTCCTTGCAAGACAGAGACGATTTGAGGTCACAAATCAGCATGACAAATTTTCTGGGGCGTGCCTTTTCGATATGGGGAGGGGGGATTTTTCCTTACGATATGTCCACCATCCGCCTCATGGAGCTCGCGAAGGAATCCGGCCTGCCGGATGGGGTCTGCAACGTGATCCACGGCACCTTTGACGCGGTAAACTTCATCTGCGACCACGAAGACATCAGGGCGATCTCCTTTGTGGGCGGGAATTCCGCCGGGGAGCACATCTACGAACGGGCGGCCAAAACCGGAAAGCGCGCGCAGTGCAACATGGGCGCGAAGAACCACTGCATTGTGCTTCCGGACGCGGACCCGGACACGGTGGTGAACGCTTTAGCCGGGGCTTCTTGCGGCGCCGCCGGGCAGCGGTGCATGGCGATCTCCGTGGCGATCTTCGTCGGCAGCGCGAAGGAAATGATCCCGAGGATCGCAGAAGCGGCATCGACGCTGAAAGTGGGGAGAGGTACTACCAAAGGAGGGCGTTTGATGGCAAGTTTGTAATATTTGTTTTGCTGAAATGATAGATTTTTTGGAAGTAGATAGTGACGGCACTCAAAGCAAATGCACTGAGCCTTCACCTTCTGAAGATGCCTAACCTGCTAAATAAATCCGTCCTCCAGGTACCGAGCCCGGCGTGTCTATCGGTCCTCTGATTTCCAAGGAGGCCAAGTCCCGCGTTGAAACCGCAATCCAGTCGGGAATTGACCAGGGCGCCGAGCTTCTGATCGACGGCCGGAATCCTACCCTTTCGGACGCGAGTCTCCAGAACGGATATTTTGTGGGTTCCTCGGTGTTCAGCAAAGTCACAGCCGACATGGACATCTACCAGAAAGAGATTTTCGGGCCGGTGCTCAGCTGCATGGAAGTGGAGACGTTTGATGACGCTTTGCAAATTTCGAACAATAACCCCTACGGAAACGGGTGCGCGGTGTTCACGCAGTCCGGGTTCAATGCCAGGAAGTATGTGGATGAGGTACTGAGCGTACTAGTACTGATTGTGATGAAGGGCTTTATTCGTCGTGTCTTGTCACTTCATGTTGCGTCTTTACATTTGAGTGGGCACGGCTTATGAAGTAGCAGCACCGGTGATCGCGATTCAGCATGAGACGAAATTTTTTTTGCAAGACAAGATCCCGATCGCAAAAAATCCTTGACCCCCCACAGATTGAAGCGGGCCAGGTAGGTGTGAACCTGCCCATTCCAGTTCCGCTTCCCATGTTTTCCTTCACGGGGAATAAGAAGTCCATCCGTGGGGACCTGAATTTCTACGGGAAGGCCGGCATGCAGTTCTTTACACAATGGAAGACCGTGACGAGCAATTGGCGGCAGACAAAGAGCAGCGAGCAAAAGGTGCAAGCGAGCATGCCGATCATGAAGTAGGTGGTTGAAATTCAACACGGGATTTTTTCAACAATGACTGTTCTTGTGTAACCATAGCATCAGTTACTTCACCAGCTTAAGGGAGTTGTATGGGCCACGTAGCTACTTAGATTTTTGCAGAGCTATCAATTTGCGCACGGATTTGCATATTGGTTGTGATCAAGAACGCTGGACGACTTGCAACTATACCAGAGGTGGCTCGCAGACAAGTAGTTGTACATCTCTTAGGTGGACGAGGTGGTGTTCTCTTCCCAATATCTGCAGTACCAGGCTCTTATTGGTAGAGCGTAAAAACTCTGTTTTTTTCCGTTTGAAGATGACAAGATCGACCGGCGCACGACTACGTCTACTTAAGGCCGCGCATACAAGTGCAGATGTTTCGTCAAGCGATGCTCCCACCGTGGCCGCTGTGGAGAGCAAAAATAAGATCCCGTCGTGAGCAACCTTCTTGCTGGTGTGGATGTCGTGCTTTGATCCGCATCGAGGTTCGTTTCCCTCTAGTCTCGGTGAGGCTCTGTATCTTCGTTATCGTAATTGTTAAGGTATTAAAGAACATCTCCTCGTCAGGTATTTTCAAATTGTGTGATCGTGTTTGTGATCATCATCTCTCTGAGATCATTGAGTATGTAGCAACAGTACCGAGAAAACTACACGTGAAAAAATACACGACTACGCGGACTTAGATTTACGATTTTTAATCCGAACCAGCACCAATAAAAGCAATAACTCTACCCCAAATAAACAGACGCGATGAAAACAGACACAATGACCTCTGAGCAAGACGAGGACGAAGAGGACCTTTTGGTCGAGGAAATTTTCAAGTACCGAAAGCTTCTCGAGGAGACCCGTGACACGGTGGAATATATCCTGGAACAGCAAGACAAATCCCAGATCGGAGATTCCCTCGACCTTCCCAACTCCCTTTTTTGGCAGACGAGATTTTTTATCCACAGAGCACTATCTGGACTACATCATAAAGCACATTGTTCGAAAAAAGAGAAAGTTTTTCACAAAAAGGACGCGGCTTGGAAGGACCATTCCGAGTATTTCACAGCGGAAAACTTAGTCCGCGAGGTTGTATATTGTTCGGACAGCAACAGCCTGTCAAGCGGGGAACAGCAGTCCTACAGTCTCTTAACGGCTTCGGAAGTTCGGTCCTTGGCCGTTGTCTTCGCGTTCCGCTTGCTGTTCCGAAGATGCTTCAAACGGAAAAGCGAGGAAACGACGGCGAAAAACGTCGCCCAAAAGGTGAAAGAGGTGAAGTTTCTACGAGAGTTCGTGCAGAAACTTTTGGATTTGCGACTACTCAAGGGAGATGAAAACACCACGACAGATAATTTAGACACACGACATCAGAGTTGTTGGGAATACGCTTTGCAGTCCAGCCCCGCAACTTCGAGCAGCTCAACAGGGGAACAAGGTCGCCAGAGCAGTTCCTGTAGTCCTGTAACGGAACTACAAGTAGTAGATTCGAGCTGCTCGGGCGGAACTGGTATCAATGCAGAACAAGCTGTTGAAAGTGAAATTCAACATTTTCCCGCTGCTCCAGGGTTCTTGTCGAAGGGAAAGAAGAAGAAGCTGAGAAAGAAGAAAAAAGAACAGCAGCTCGCCGCCTCGCCATCGCCGGTGGATGGAGATCAACATTATGGCGCGACGTCGGAGGCCGAGGCGGGTTGGAACATCAAAGATGAAACCCACGACAATCATCATGTGCCCATCTGGTCAGCGAAAAGGATCGGAGAAGCGATTGCGGCCGCCGTTGCCATTGAGTTGCGAGTTCGAGACCGGGACCGGCGAGAAAAACGCGCCACACAGGCACATCTACAGGCCCCCGTCCGAGAGGAATCCGAGACGTCTTTTTTTGCCAAAAACACCTTCTGCTGGTTCGCGGAGACGCAAGCAGGCCTCAACTTTTCCCAACTCGCCGCGGGGCTACTCGCGTTGGCGAAGGACAACGTGAATGATCTTTACTTCAAGGAGCGAATGGCATCGAAGAAATGTTTATCGGAGTCCGCGAATATGGACAGCGAAGTCGCCGGGGCGATTTTGCAAAGCGCTTACCGATACGGGAATCAGAAGACCGGTCCGATCGGTTCTGCGTCGGATCTATGGCTGGATTCTCTCGTCGCCTGCTGCCCACCGCCGGCGACCATGGGAGGTAGTTTGGGCAGCTCTGTTGACCCGGACACGAAGAAAGTGTCGCACGAGGAGGACGAGGAGGTGCATCTTCGTCCGGACTACACCAGTAATTGTAATGTGTACACGCTCAGCTCGCTTTTCTTTTCCTCAACGTTGCCAAACACGGCTCAGGAATTGGTATTGTGGTTTGCGGGAGCGGATACGATAGTTGATAAGAGAAACGAGGAACCGTGGACGACCAGCTCCGACAAGAACAAAATTGAATGTACAAATACAAGGCAACCGCAAAAATTATCGCCTGGAAATTGTTCGATACAAAGCAACCGTTCGCAGAGCGAGTCGCTTCTCCCTCTGAAGCAAATCTTCCAGCTCTGCCGGCCCGATATCGGAGGCAGCTGGAGCTTTATTCCGACTTTGAAGCAGCTGGTGGCTGTGATCGTCTCTGATGCGTTTTGGAAAAATAAAGGCCGAAAACCAGAAAACGGAGGCGCGCCGACTATAGTAAATCGACGCGGAAGGGACCACGACGAATTCGAGTTGGAGTCAGCCCGTGGAGCAGATCCACCGACGTCGAGCACAAGCTACCGTGAAGCAGCAGGACATGTACATGATATCATAGACCCGGCAAAGGTTCTTCGATTTTACCGCGACTTTGCCCAAACACTTACCGACCAGCTCCCGGCGAACCACAAGGACTCAATCGATTGGCCGGAAGTGCTGTTTTCTGGATTCACGATCGAAATTTTTAGCTTGATCGAAGCGCCAGAGGGGGTGGAAGACAAGGCAATCGTGGAGATCATGCGGGGCTTCTTATTCAGCGAAGCAGGGGAGTCCGCGTCCTACCCTTTTTGCATCACCAAGTACGCCACGGATGCCGAGTGCCTGCGGTTTTTCTACTTCTGCCACGCGGTCAAGGTGTTTCAGCCTGCTCGAGGGCCAAAGGCACTTGGAAAGCAGCATGTTGACATAAAATTCGATGAAAGAAAGCAGAAAGTCGATCTCCAAAAAGATGACGCCGGAGTGGCACGCGCACAACTTCTGGAAACCGAACGAACAGAGCCAGTACTACATCCTGAAACTGTCCAAATCGAACTCCTGCCCTTTCTATACCCTTGGGGAGCTGGTGGCGTAACCAACGCGGTGAAAAAACAGACACGGATGCTGACGGAGGATTGTGAATTCCCGGTGTCGCAGGAGTTTGTGATGAACAAAATGTATGTGGAGTATCCGGAAATTTTCGCCACGGAAAATGGCCCGAACTGCGAAACCTCCCCGACGACGAGATGGCGGCTTCTACTCTTTTTGATCAAAGCGCATGCGATCCAGAGTGCATACGATTCCGCGGGCGAGGGAAGATCATCGCGTTGCGATAAAGATAAAGATAAAGCGGCCACCATGGAAGAAGTTGCCCCGCCGCTTCCCTTCGAACTCGTCTTGTCGTGCTGTGGAAAGGTTCTCGACTCAATCGGCGGCTTGGAGGTCGAGGACCACAGCGCACAGGACCTGTCTTCTGCGGAAAGCGGCGAAGATCGTATTTCGGTGGACCGAAATTTTAAGGGAAGGCAGCAAATCGAAATTCCGGCCTTCTCCAGCCTAGATTTCCTTGCCTCACTCTTCCGCCTCCCGGAACTCGCGGACCGAGGGGAATTGAGCCAGTGGCCGCCGGTGCACTACCCGGCAGAGGTGGAGGGTGTTACTATCGAAAATTGCGATGGCACTTGTTCCTCGTCGAGAGGGAAAAGCTACAGACCCACCCCGAGCCCGTCGATCAACAGCAACATGCTGTGTTTCTACGACCAAATGGTGCGGTTGGCGTGCGGGCCGGTAAATGGTGCGAAATTGCTCGACCACTACGACGAGCAGGAGGATGCACGAGCAATGCCCTGTGCGGCACATCGACATCATAGCAGGCTGCTCAAGCAGCAGATGGTGGTGAATTTAGGAAAGCTGTATCCAAGAAAAAACACCCATCCCCATCCAATTTGTCATGCAGAACATGCATAAAATCCGCTATATGTCATGTAAAAAATGGATGGGGATGGGTGTTTTTTTCTCGATAAGCTGCTAGGAATTTTGGAAGCAGACAGGAATAAAACTACGTCAACTACTTTACTTACGCCAGGAAATAGTAGAACAGTAACAGCAGGTCAAGAAGGGCAACGCAACTACAAAATCGATGCCGCGAGACAAAAGCTTTTGCAGTTTATCGACCAAGAAACAGTGGCAATTCATCTAGGGAGCTGCGCTGATCTCCATTCCAAGCAGAATGACGCGTCGAAGAGCGTGCCGGAACAAGAACAAACTGTCCCTCTCCTACGCAGCAGCTCGAGCAGCTCCGCGAGGACATGTTCTTCACAACTAACAAGTGTGAACAACCTCCGACAGCTGTTTTGGGACAAATATCGCATCTTCCTTCTACCGGACCCCGCGTCCCGATTGCGCTGCAAAGATCGAGGACCACCAGCGCCTGCTCCAGGTCTTTCTGCAGCGGCAATGGAGAACAACAACAAAGAGAGCGTCGATATTCAAGGCGGTAGAAACAAAAAACCCAACCCGAAGAGCAAAAAGAAGAAGGATAAGGCAAAAACAAGTGACAGCAAGAACGCAACATGCTCGACGTCACGACCCGTGATCCAGCCAGGAGTAGAAAGTGAACAAGCAAAGCCGCGTGGTGATGAAACTTCAACTTCTGTGGATTTTCATCCCGAGTGCGAGTTGCGAAGGGTTGCGCAGAGTGTTAAGGCGATTCGTGGTTTAATTGAGAACAGTATCGCCCTGGCGGACGCCAGACAACAGGTGGACGATGCGATGGCGATGCAGGAAATTGAAGACGATTCTTCAGGAGAGGATAGTAGCGTGATATCCGTCGCTGTCCGCTCAGAGCCATGCGCCGTGGTGAAGAACATTGCTGATACAACAGAACAACAAAATAACTCTCGCCGTGCTTCATCGCCTAAACGTTCCAACCTTTCATCTGGTTCGACCGACAAGAATGCCGCTATCTGCAGCAGTATTGTGCGTGAGCAGGAGATCCCGGTGCCTCTCCTCGCAGATGAAGGTTTGCAAGCTGCAGGGAAAGAACAAGTGGTTCGTGGCGTACTAGCAGAGAAAGAGACTGTCAACATGAACGTCGAAGACCCGCCAAATAACGTGACAGCAGCTATTTGTGTCGATGATCTCACCGCACCAGACCACGCGGACCAGCAGCAAAATGTTGATGCCCCACAGCTGTTGATTGGACAAGAACAGCTTGACGAAGCTGAGGATCAGCATGATGTCGAATCGCGTGATGTTGAAAACCAGGCACTACATCAAGGTGGGCAACAACTAACCGCGACTCTGAGTGTAACTTCCTATCCCTACGACCCGGAAAATCCGCCGCGGTCCGAGTCGGAGGAGGACGGGATCGACGAAAACCAGAACAATCCGCCGTGGTGCGACGAAATTAAGCAGTGCCGACCGGTCATTTTTGGAATTCGGGAAGAGGAGGAGGAGGACATTGACGAAGAAGATGACTCCTTCGAAGAAGTAGACTTGATGAACGAGAGCATCCTGAACTACTTGCCTGGCAATTTGGACGACCAGCACGAAGGACTATTTTTACCAACCCAACCCCTGCACCCAAACGCCGTGTTCCTCAGCACTACCGCGAGAGCGTCCGCCGGGGCGGGGGGTTGGATTGATTTCGAAGTCCTCGATGAGCAGATGAACTCTCGTGGTGCAACTTCTGAGATGGCGCCAACATCGTCGCAGGGGAACTACCGAGCAGCGGAAAAACTGGCGGCGCCACATCACGGGGAGAGGGCACGACCAGCACACGAGAAGTTATACCACTCGACTTTGCCGAACGTGCACGATGGAAAACAAGTACCGGGAGGTGAAACAAGCATTGTTGATGCATTCGACAGTCGTTGTACTGTGGACCAGCGAACCTTTCCCGAAAAAGAAACCAGATCACCTGGTGCACGATCAGTTGTTCAATCAGATTTATCGTTAGCAGAACGTGGAAGCTTCTTGAGTCCGAAGCCGAGCACAACTTCCGCTCCTCGACCAGACCCTCAGCCCTCACTTGCGCAGGTGCTCCAGACGAAAATTCTAGCGCCAGTACGGGAGCGATATTGCTGCACGACCACGGCAGTAAATCTTCACAACATGGACGACGACCACGGGGGACCAAAGGAAGCCGAAGACGCAAAGCTGCAGCGGATTTCGGTGGAAGCGGAAATTGGCAAGATTTTGTCAAATCTCGAAGCCTTAACCGAACAGGAAAAGTTTGTGGAGTTGTACCAAACACCTACGGCAGACGAAGTTCTCGATCAGCAGGCGATGAGCACAACTAGAAGAGCAGCTACTTACAGGAACCACGAACAGGAGTTGAAGACCTTGGTTCGGAGGCAGGGCGAGGAGATGGCGGATGTGCTACGAAGAAATCAGGCGGCGATGTCTTCTTCTTCTTCTTCTCGAAGAAATAAGAGCGGAACAACAAGCGGAGCAAATGCTTCTACAACTTTTGCAGCTGAGCACGACGTTGCTAGCGTTCTCGCTTTTTCTATTGTGTGCAACAAAATCTGCTTCTCCTCTCTTGATTCTTGCAAGGATTTTCTAAAAGTCCAGATCTTCATCCTCTTTCTGCTGGACCCAACCATCGCGAACGCCTCCCTCCAGCAGCTCTGCGTGCAGTTGACGTACGAAGCACTTCAGCAGCTCTTAGAGGTCGAGAATCTCCGGAACTACGGACGAAACTTCCTCCAGTACCAAATGATCTTGAAGAATTGCGCGCATTTCCTTGGGCAATTGACGCTGGCGCAGAACCGACCGTTGAAGAGCAAATTCTTGGATTTGAAGGGGTTGCTGAAGCTCGCCGATGAACAAGAGGAGCTACAAGGAGTTGACCAACATCAGCGGCAACATAGAAATAGAGACCGTTTTCAGTTAGTGGGCATCGTTCTCCCCTTCGTCACCACCATTCTCCGGTCCTGTAAAGCCAGCAAGGTGTTCTGCCCAAAGAACCCGTGGACGGAAGCGATCTTAACCCGGTTGGCGGAGCTGTGGGGGGCCGCGATGAATCCGATGAATGCTGTTTGTGACGCAGATGTTGCGGATCAGCATCTGCGTCAGCGCCAACAGCAGCATCGCCGTCAAAGTAGTACATCGAGAGTGCAGCTGGACAGCATAAAGCGGAACGCTTTTCTGGAAGTGGACTGGCTTTTCAAGGAACTGGGTTTGAAAGTGGAAACTTATTGTGCCGATGTAGCAAATACGAACACAATAAACACCAGTTCTGGGGTCGTGGTAGCATCCCACGGAAGTGGTGGACCGACAGGAGGGGTACAAGAGAACAGTGTCTGTGGTCCAGCGACAACTCTGGAAATCGATGTCGTGGAAGACATCGCCGCTCTGTTTGGAGATCAGAATCTGCAGCAGACAGCGTATAATACTGGGGTCATAGAACTACAACTAGACCAAACAGATTCACGTGGGGCAAGAACAGGAGCGGCGTCTCGAGTGCTGGAGCAAGCGGCTCTGGACTCGTTCTTGGGCAAGCGAAGCAGAAACGATGTAGCTTTATTTCAGCAGCAAGAAAAAGAAAAAGTAAGGGACCCCGAACGGTGTGCAGCTGCAGCGCCCCGATTTGCCTCGGAAAATGATCTGCAGAACACGATTGACGTGGCTTTTTCGGATGTTTCAATGTCTGCTGCAGCAGGACAAAGTCAGAGAACGGCACAGGAAGACCTCAAAGATAAGCCTCCAGGTACTGCAAGCGCAATTACCACTGGCACGACGACCACCGGCGTAGAAAGTTTTCCCATCGAAACCGCATCAGGTCCTCCACCTCCTACTTCTCTCGAAAAAATCGTCGCGAACGCCTTCCAAAGGGCAATCGACGAGATCCTGCCCAATGTCGAGGAGCGCGCCGTTTCCATCGCCTTGCAAAACACCACTGCGGTCGTGAAAAAAGACTTCGCCAACGCCACCACGAGTTTCGCTTTCGCGGCTGCTAATCAACAGCATGTTGCGAAAAACAATACAAACTTGATGACGACGGGCACTTCGGCTGGTGATTCTTGTTCCGATGCTGACAATCTTCACGCGAAGCAGCGTGAGGACGATCGCGAGGTGGAGAAGAAAGCGGCGCAGCTGATGATCACTTCGGTCGCTGGTTCCTTAGCCGTGGTGCTTTCGCAGGAAGCGCTGTGGAATACCGCTTCGTTTTATGTCGAACAGGATTTTGAGGAATTGTCGGGGACCACGAGGTTCGATTCCGAAGTAGTGGTCAAAGGCTTCGAGGAAGACTCCGCTGTCTTCGACATGGTGTTCCACAAGGAATTCTATACCGGCTGCCAAAAAATCGAGAAGGCGATCGTAGAGAAGAGCTTGGAAGCGATTGAGCAGCAGTACCGCGGGGAGAGGCAGCTTAAGGAATTATTACCCCTTGCTGGCTTTAACGATGAAAAGGATGGCGCAACAAGAACCACTAGAGGTAGAACTGCAAAGGAGGCGACTGGTACTGAGCACCAGGAAGACGTCGTCGACCATGACCAAGAACACAGGCAATGCCCCGCCGCTCAGGTTGTATTTGTACCACCACAGGAGAAGGAGATCCTTTCCCCATCCTGCCTACAGATCTACAAAGATTTCATGAATTTGAAGCAGAAAGAGGCCGACACAGCTAACGGTGCAATAAATACAGCGACTTGGTCCGCCGTCGCAAACTCCCCCTCGACCACTGCGTCGAGTTCGCAAGCGGGAGGTGGTGGGCTCGGGTTTACATTTCCGTCCGATGAAGACTTAGTTGGGCATCAGAACAATGTTGCGCCGCGGGGGCAGCTGCAGCAGAGTTGCAAAACGGGAAGCGCAGCTCCTGTCGCTGCGGCTGAGACAGAGAACTACATTAGCGCGGCAAGTAGTTTTCACAACTCTTACGGTCATCATTCTCAGAAAGATCACCATCTGCAGACCCTTTACCCGACACTGTCGATGTCTAGTTCGTCGTCTGGCGCATCTTCGGGGGCGTCAAACGAAAAAGCACAAGAACCTCGCCCCGCTGGTAGTAGCAGCACACGAAGTCTTAAAGATGTTGCTCATGATCCCCCACGTCCTGCGCGGACAAAGTCATATCAAGGAGGTGCGGGTAGAGGAAAGGGCAAAAATCCGCCGAGCTTCTACGAAGATCAGGAATCATTTCTTGCGGACGAGTACCAAAAGCAGGCTCAAGAGCAACGGTATCACCACGTCGAGTCAAGGAGGATTAGTCGTGCTCAAGCTGACCACATCCATGAGGATCTTCCACTCGCGATCAAGATCGTGAGCAGTAGGGATGTGGAAGTAGCACAACTGGAGCATGATCCGCATAAACATAATCCGCAGCCGCACCAGCAACCACACTCGATTTACGACACTTTTTTTGCAGCTCAAAGTCGAGTGCAGGAAGACGACGAGGCGTCTGCTTATCAAGGCCGAAGAACGTCATCCCATGATAAGACGCTTGGCGGTGATGTGTCGAGTGGCTCGGTCTATGATGAAGTTGCTCATCCCTGTTCTTCTGCTTCTCCAGCGGCGACAAAGGCCACGACGGGTTGTACAATTTCTGTAGACGTGGACAACACCGCACAACTGACACTGCAGGCCGCCCCAGTGTCTTCGAAAAGCACGTCGAGATTGCCAAAAGAGTGCTTCGAAAATCTATCAGCAGAGGAGGACGCCCGCGGTTCCTCGCCGCAATCAGTGCAGCTGTCGAAGAGGAAGACGAATGAAGCGAGAAGAACAAGTCCTACTCTCGCTGACAGTGTTCCCATTGCCGCAGAGACCGCAGGTGGGGGCGCTTGGTCAGCAGGGGTGCGTGAAGGCACAGAAAAGAAGCGGTCGCCGCCCAAATATCCTTCGGGTGACCCACCACCCGGACTTGAGCCGCCTGACGATCCGGCACTTCTGCATCAGGGGCCAAATAGCTTCTCGGTTTTTCCATCCTCAAAGCACAGATCAACAGACGTCAAGACAGCAGGAGCAAGTGGTGCAGCTGGTACGACTAGTACCACCACCACCGTCAAGGTGATTACAACGGGCGCCGCAACATCAGCTACGGCTGCGCCGGCACCGACGGGCGCAACAACGAGACACCAACACACAGCCGCTCACGATGTGCAGCAACCGAACAACCGTGCTCGTGCTCTTGTTCAACAGAATCATAGCCACTACCTCCAGCACCAGCCCGTCGAGCTGCACTTCTGCCCTTTACCAGAAGTGACGCAATGGCTTATCGCCTTCGAATGCAGATTCTTCCAAAGATCTACTAGTAGGAAAGCGAAAGAAAAAGGAAATAATATCTACTGCAAGTATGATGACGAAACAGAAGCAGATTTAGCCAAGCCACCAGTCGATCGCCTGTATCAAAAATTCCGCGAAGACCCCAATGCGGAGCTTTTCAAGCGGATGAAAGAGCTGCCAAAGATGCTGATACGGAACCAGTTCAACTTTTTTGAGCTGCAGGGGTACCCTCAAAAGCACACTGGTTCTTTGCCGTTGACGGTGTCAGCGGCAAATCCCGGATCTATTTCAACAAACAGCTCCAGTTGCTATCTCCACCCTTGCCTCACCTCGGAGATCCTTCCGGCACTCGGCGGCTGGGATTTTTTCGATCTGTTCTCGAACGAGCAACTGATCGGGGTTTACGTTTCCTGGCGGTTTTTCCAAACCGGTGTGGGTAAAGCCTGGCAGAACCACATATCGGAAGATGCCGCGCCGTCCGACCCGAGACCTCCTCCACAATTGGGGGCCAAACTACCTTCGGAAGAGCTGCAAGACAGGCGGGACAATATCAACGAGGAAGACCGCCAGCGCAACAGAGAGAAACTCGATGGGGAGCTGACGTTTGAACTGTGTTTGGTGATTCTCAAGCTCATCAAAGAGGAATTTTTCCTGGAGGAAACATCAGTGCCCGAGTGTTACTTCGAGACCACTGAGCACGATGTTGGTTCAGCGAGCGCTGAACAGATGAAGGCGAACAAGACCAAATTGAATGTCAAACGAACAGCAGAAGGAGTAGGAGCTCCTGCAGCACGTCGTGCAACTACTTTTCCCGGCACCAGCGGTTCATCTCCTTTCAGCCGTGCTTTGGTCCGTTGGATTTTCTACTTTTTGCGACAGAAGGACAAGCAGTACGACAATGAAGTAAATGCGTTCCCGGGCGACCTCAAGTTCGTTCGCTTCGTGGTAGGAAATTTTTGCCGCTATGGATTGCTGGACGTGGTCGAACTTGACAAAACACTGCAAAGAATGGTGCAGCGCATGCACTTCAGGCTGATAAAAGACGGAAAAAAGAACGGGAAGATTGATGCTGAAATTGAAGTAGACACCAGCACGCGAGTAGAGTATGATCGGATTCAGCAGGTCGACCAGCTATTCCGAACGCTTGAAGCAGTGGAAAAGGCCGCGGCACTCACCAGGACTTCTAGTGCCGCTTCCACTGGAAGAACAGAGCTCGAGCCGCCCACGAAGACCACTACAAGAGGCTGCAAAAGGAGTCTAGCGGCCGAGCGAGAATTAGTTCTCAATTACACCAGGCAAGCGGCGAGGAGCCTCCTTCTCATCTCGACGTTGCGCGATGACGTAATGTCAGAGGACGTTGAGCATGAACAGGAAAACTATGCTACTACATCATCGGGGACTGCACCAAAAATAAACAGATCTGGTTTAGTTGTATCTGATTATGGCACTATTCGAAATCAGCTCCGGGAAAGGGTGTACAAGAAAAGCGAAAGACTGTCGCGATTCTGCAAGGGCGAAATGAAATCTGAAGAAGACACGCGCGACGCACTTCGGTTGCAACAAGAGCAGCAGACCAGGAAAATATTCGAGTTTACAAGCCCAAGCCTCGTCTTGGAAAACAAACCGGAGGCGGAGCGAGCAGTTTCTCTAAGCAGTACCATCACCACGAGAAATGTGTACCGTTGGAAAGATTTTTGTAGCTCAACGGCTGCCGGATCGCGAAATCCCGCCGCGCACGACGAGCCGAGTCTTGCGTCGATGCCGGTTCTGTCTTTGTGGAACAGATGGCTTCGGATTTTCACGAACCAAGGCATAGGCACTAGTGCTATGGAGGGACTGCAACAGGCAGCAAGTTTCTCCGGAGGACGATGCGAAGCTGATGGACTTGGGCAATCACAACGGCAAGAGGAAATAGCTCGCCCTGCACATAATTCTTCCACTAGCATCGAGATGATGCAAAACGAACGCAGCACCGACGCCGACCGCTCTACCAACAGAAGCGAGTCCGCCGCGAGTAAGAAAAACACTGGGACAATCTGGGATGACGAAGAAGACGAACACTCTGCTTCCTTGTCTTGCAGTAACGACCAAAGTAGTAGTAGCCACGAAGTTGACCAAGGACTGCATCAAGCTGCGGAAAACTACTCAAGTCTGGGCTTTCGACCTGAAAATAATCGACAAGGAAGCGTTGTTTCGCTGGAAACACATCTGGCGCTATTCGTTGAGGCGTTCTGGGAAAGTTTGATGACATTCGCCTGTTCTAGTACTAGCAGTGGAGATGAAAATGCAGAAGTAGATCAGGCTACCGCGTTCGCCCGTTGCATGGAAGCTTGCGAGCTTTATTTCCAGCACATTCTAGAGCGAGAAGTGCTCGTGGTCCAGAAGGTGACTGGAAGTGGAACCGACAACATCAAGGACGGTGCATCCGCTGCTGACGCATGGACGGGTTTTGTGAGTATAGTGATCATGACTTCGAGAGTTTTGGTAGGAAAGTTGCAACCTTTCGGAGCTGCAGTACCTGGCGAAACGGCAGGAGCTCCTTCATCCGGGGCCGCTCAATTCCCAGCTGCAAAATCGAAGACGGTGAACTCTTCCTTCGCAAACATGGTAGCGAGTATACAATCGCAACTCTTTACCCGCACTCTAGTGGTGCTGTCTCGCGTCGTGGATGCGAACCAAAGCGAAATATCCCAGGAGGGGAAGATGAAAGGCGGCACCAAAAGAACCGTAATTGGCCGGGCGGAGAAATGTCTAGTTGTACCGACAGCAGTTGTATTATCCGCCCGTATAGCAGCAGGCCTGATGCGGTTCATGAGCGGCATCCTGCGGACCGGCGGCGCTTTCTCAACAGGTGGAAGTTCGTCCTCTCCACAGCAGCCAGCTTTGCCCCTGACGGCGGTTTTGCGCGCCATTCACATCGAACAAACGGGAACAACAACTGGAGGCAACACGTCCCTTCAGCCAGTGCGACCAGCTGTGACATCAGAGAGTGCACAGGAGCAAGCGCTGCCGGGGGTTGTGGCCGCCGAGGAGCAAGCGTCCACCTGCACAAGAAGCATTTTCGCCGCCCCACCAGCGGTTATTTTCAGAAGCGGTCACATGATTTGTCTCCCCGCCTCTGCTGCCTCGCCAGCAGCATCAAGTGCAAGACCATGCACGGCGCCAGCGCCAAATGGCATTTTGCTGAAGCAACAGTGGCAACTTTTATCCGCCATTGTCAGCTTCCTGTGGCACAGTAGCTCTTTTTTTTCCGAAGATCTTTCACGCGCAAAGGAGAGCGTCGCTCAGCATCGATCAGGAAGCAAGCAAAAGAACAATCGAGATGGACCAGTCCCCACTACAACCTTCCTGCACAGTCTTCTCAGCAGAGGGTTGCTTTGGGTGGAGCTGCTGCAAAGCCACAACTTTCTTCCCTTCTTGCTCAACTACAAGGACAGGAAAGGCTGGCTGCCGTTTTGCCGGCTGCTGGTGAAGTGGCTGCGGTTTCTGCACGCAGTTTCTGTTCAGTTGGAGAACTACGTGCACAATTCGAACAAGGGCAGCGGAAAGCGATTGAACCAAGCAGAAGTTCACACTAAGAGAAACGAAAAAGCCTCGAACTGTACGACCAAAACCGCCGAAGCTGCTGCTCTGGAGCCCAGCTTGAGGAAAACCACCGAGTTGCTTTTGCTCCTACTTCACGACTACCCGGACTTCCTGTCTGAGTACTACCAGCTGCTACTGAACGCCCTGCCATATGAAATCGACAAGCCGAAAAACTCCAGTACCCGTACCGCACAGGCACTGCAGCTAATGGTGCGTGGCGAGCAAAACCAAAACCTTCAACGTAGCACATACCGTCACGACTGTACCACGAAAGGCCCTGCTACAGGCGATTGCTTCACGCAGATCAGAAACATCATCAGCTTTGCGCATCCAGCGAAGTTTTTCACAGAGCCGCCGAGTATCTGTTCTAGTCCCGGTCGCGCCAACACAACTTCTTTCCCCGATCCTAGTACGTCTAGTGCGGCTGAGATCGATCGCTTTCTGGGTGCCTGCATTAACTTGAACACGAACCGGGAGGACTGCAACAACGGTGGAAAAAGACCGCAGCAAGGATCTTCACCACTGCCAACTATTCGCGGACCCGCCGCGGTGGAGCAAGCTGTGCTTGCTAGCGAAGAGTTCGAGAAGTCTTTCATGTTTATCCAGGAAAAAACACCCATCCCCATCCATTTTGTGCATGGCAAATTGGATGGGGATGGGTGTTTTGTTCTCGATAATGTTGCTCAAGTCCACACAGAGTTTGAAGGGACAAAACCCATCTTCAAAGTCGTGCTCGTCCTATGTAGAGGCCTACGTCACCTGCGTAGATTGTCTGCAGCAGCGCGGCGGTGACAAATGGGATCTTGTGCTGCAACAGGAGGACTTAGAGGAGGGAGATGACAAGGATGATCTACAGAAACTTCCAGGTACCATTTCAGCTCCAGCATACTTGATTCGAATTCCTGTTCATCCTGGCATTTCAGAATTAGAAGGTCAAAGTAGTGCTATCGGGTGACATGAGGTAACAGTATCTAGGAGCATTCTTCAGAAGCGTCGTGGTTGTTTTGCGAGCAGCAGGAGAAAGTCTCACTACATGTTCTTGGATGCAGTTGGTTTGCAATATCATTTCCTACATCCATTTTCATCCGCTCGATAAGGTTCTAACTCAGGTATCCGCGTCCGGGCCGGCCCTTCTCTGAAAAGGGGATTTAAGCTCTCCGTATTTCGCGGATTAGATGAAGTTCCGACCGAGTTGCAAACCGCTGCGCGGGCGGAAATTAAGGCGAAAATCGGGAAAGACGCCAATCTTGGAAACGTGCACTCGTATCTGTCAACCTTGGTTTTCTATTTGGGAAAAAACTTCGAGATGAGCCACAGCCATGTCACTGGAGGGCGAGCTGCTTCTCCTGATCTTGTCGAAACGGATCTACAAAGTGGCACAGCAGCTCTATCTTCTTTTAAGTCGGACACGACAGTGGCGAGGATCTACCAGCGGACAAGGTCGCGCCGCGCGTTTTCTCTGTTCCTGTTTCTGCTTTTCGGAGAGCATGACCCCCGGTTTAGCAGCTCCATGACTTCTGCTCGGATGAGTCTCGAAGACAAGGAAGCAGTTTCGCCGTCCTCTGCTAGACACGACATGAAGATGCTTCACCCGGACCCAGCGGTCGTGCTGAACCTCGCTGTGACCCATCTCCGATATCCCAATGCCCACACAAAAAGCTTTCTCAATTTGTTTTTCAAGCTCTTTGAGTGGTGCGAGGATATATCTTCGTCTGTTCCGGTCAAAGGAGTGGAGGCGGGCGATGAAGCACAAATGGTTGACAATGATGCCTGGAGGGCTGATGCCGAAGGTCCAGATCTACGTCGCCACGCAGGAGGTTCAGCTGCGGAATTAGTGCACCAGCCAAGTACTACAACTAGAAGCACAGGTGCAAGAACCAGTGCGGCGCCGGCGGCGGAAAAGGTTCAGGCGGTGCTTATCGAGATTTTTCTGCAAAGGCTCCTCGCACACCGGCCGCATCCCTGGGGCCTTTTGGTCTGCTTTGTGAGACTGGTCCGGGAAACGAAAAAATACCGCTTTTGGAAAAATTGGAAATTTCTGGCCGAGAATAAAGACTACACGGAGCTGGAGCAGTTGTTTAAGATGCTGGCGGCTGAATGATATTGATTCTGGCAGCATGGTTTGGCTTTCGTATTCTTTCCGCAAAAATCGCACTATTCGTATTCGACGACCAGCACTTCTTCTTCTTCATAACGGCCGCCTGCGATTGATGTCGTGTGCCTCTTGAAACGCGACGGTGATCGCTCCGCTTTTTTCCGGATGCGCAAATTTTATTTTGATAAAAAAGAAGTGAAGTATCTTACTTAGCACTCGAGTTGTAACAGGCTAACGGCGTAACGCAGTCGTATCGCCGTCGTTTATTTGGTTTTCCTTTTCGCTTTAGAGAAGTAAGTTTGTTTCCCTAGGTATTGGTAGTAGCTGGTGCTCTCAAACGCATTTCAAGACAGGATCTACTCCCGTTGCCGTTCTCCTGCTTCTTCGCTTTTGTTCTGACTTGAAGAAAAACAAAATTTAGAATAAAGCATTGATACAAAGGTGATGGCTGCTGGACAATATACAGAACCAAAGAGGCACAAGAAGAAAATACTCACTGCCCCCGCTCCGTTTCGTTATATTCGCAAAAAATCTGGTGCTATATCATTCAGATTTTTCCCAAATTTGGGGACTTGTGTTCTCTCCGGCGCCTTTTTTTTTGGAAAAAAGAAGTTGTTCTGAACTGGAAAGTCTGAAAAAAGGAGATGCGATGTCACAGAAGTTGTGTAGCTGTTGCGCATAAGTTTAAGTTCCAGTCAGTTTCCGTCCATGTGTTGTCCGTCCGGATAGGCAGATGCCTCTCAAGATCTAACCAGTGGAGACCGCCTGTGTCCGTTTTTTTTTTTGCTGCAGCGCAGGAACCAGCACACCACGGGCGGACACGTGCTTCCAAAAGCGAGGTCGTCATGGCGGTATTCCATGTCAAGTGCAATAATTATGCGAAAGACAACAAAATACAAAAGTTAATAAGAGATCATAGACAAAGAACTCAAACTCTAGTAGCGCCGCGTGCTGAGGCGAGGCAATTTGGCCAGAAACAAACAAAAACATCAGCAAGAAGATCCTGTTTGTGTAAAAATCAAATCAAGATCCCCCAGCCAGGCCTACCACTGCCAGCACTACAACAAGATGTCCGAAGGAGCAGAACAAGAACCTCCCCCGAGTTGCTCTCCTGCTCCGTTCGATGAGCAACCAAGAGATGCACCAGTTCTTCCGGCTCATATCGACGACTCCCCCGCGTTGCTCTCTTCTTCCCGGTCCTCGCTCGAACTCGACGCCGACCAGGAATCGTCTCCGGAAAATATAGGTGCAGCTGCAGAGCCAAGCAGAACGAACACCACCACCAACGCCGGCAATCCTTTTCTAAATCCGGACCTCTCTCCAGAGGAACTGAACAAATACGATGGGGAGCCAGCGGCGGAACAAATAATTGGTGGGCAGAGGAAGACATCTTCTTCAGCTGGCTGCCCTCGCCCTGCTGGATCGTTGAGCTTGGCCGCGGGCAAGGAGCAGGAGCTATCTTCTAGGTCGCATCAAACTTCTGATCGCATGTTCACAAAGCCGCCAAGCGTGCACAGCACGGACCACGGCAACGACGGCGAACAGCTGAGCAAGAGTCTCCTGAGCAGCAACAGCAGTCCTGCGTGCTCCGTCGAGCTGACGCCAGCAGCTGCCGCAGGAATTATCGGGCCTTTACCTTATTGTAATCCGCCTGGTGCCGGCACGAAGACCACTTTGCAAGAATCAGCAAAGTTGCGTCCTCCTCTTCCGAAGTCCGGTACTATCAAAACCAAAAGTGAGCTGATTCTGGAGAAGCAGTTGTTGCAAGAGCAGAAGGAAAAGGCTGCAGAGGAGGAACTGAAGCTACAAACTCTTCAAAAAATACGACTACCTGGGCCGGAGAATAAACCAGCGGATTTTGTTGTTGTCCCGAAAGCTGCAGCTGGGTCTGCTGCCGACAACATTCTTGTTCCTCCCATTGCCCCTCCAGCTGTGTCCAAAGCCTCGGCGCTCTCGTCGACTACGAGCTCGCGGCCCCGCATCATGCGAGAGGCACCGCCCCCGATTATGGCGGCACCAGCACCGCCTCGGGATAGTTCGGAAGAGGACCCGATTTTCGAGTCGCCCGAACCCTGTTCTACTTATTCCGGGCAAATTGTGATTGAGCAGAATGAGCACGCTCCAGAACTACAAGTACAGAAAAAAGCGCAAAAGAAGAACGGCGGCGGAAACAACCCCTTCAACAATTCGATAGTTCCGAACTTTGGAAAGATAAAAAGCTGCAATAAACTGAAGCCAGTCAACAACAGCGCGTTGCTTCTCATGGCCCAGCAGACGAATAACTTGTTGGTCCTCCCAAATAACGCGACGAATCAAGTTGTAAAGGACAAGAATCGACCTCGACCCGGATCTGAAGAAGAGGTGTTGACGGAGAAGGAGCGTAAGTACTTCAGAGCGAGATACGAACACGCCCTCCCGACCGCGTATCCAGAAATGCCGAAGAAGGAGCGACGCGTGCTGTTCTACTTCCACAGCACTACGCGGATGCAGCTCCACCCGAGCTGTGACGATCCCGAAAAGAAGATTCCGATGGCCAATATGCCGGACATGACGCAGATGATTGAGTTGATGGGCCACTTCTACGGACCCTGCCGCATGTATCCGAGCGAAATCCTGGGTCAAGTCAAATTTCTTGATTTTGTTCATCACTATAACTTTTTGCAGCAGTACAACCATTACCGTACGAACCCGTGCGTCGCAAGAAACAAAGTTGCGGCTGCGAAGTGTTTGTAGCAGCTTCGGCTGCTGCAGTAGGTGGCGTTCCAAATGATCCAAGCTGCACTCGTCATACGAGGATGGGCATCAGATGCATCACCCTGTGACGCCAACAAGACTTGCCTGACTGGATTCAAAAAGAGTTGGAACTTGACTCAAAATTTGCACTGCAGACTGTGACTACTGAAGAAGAACTTGATGACTCTGACTCAAAATTTGGCCATGATAGGTTCTCAGACCGCAAGCCGTGGCACCGCACACTCGTCGTGACCTTCGCCAAGTACGAATCGGTCCTGAAGCTGAAGCAGGACTTTTCTAGTCGGAAGATGAAGAAGCAGTTCTTGAAACTACACCAGAAGTCTCTCGCCGGAACGACCGGCAAAAAATTCACAACCAAGAAGGCCTCCACCGACGAGAGCGCAGATAAAGATAAGTTCAAGATGAAGTGCCCACTGCAGCCCCTGCCGCAGAACTGGCAGAAAGTAGACAGCAGCAAGGACAGCGGGAAGAAGATGAAGAATGGCGGAGGCTGCCGTACTGTCGCGACGACTTCCGCCACCAAATCGAAATCAACATCCTGCACCGACTTACTGCCTCCCCTTTTGTGCAAGCTCCTCGACGCGGGCTACAAGAAGTTTGAAGTTGAGGTTCCCGTTGGCAACCTGATTTTCACGACGCACGACGAGGCGCGGGAAGAGAGTAGTGCGGACGAGCGCTTCCTGGAAGACGAGGTGGATGAAGCGGCGTCAGAAGAAGTGAAGCTGCGAGAAGGCTGCAAAAAATCTACTACGAGGACCTCCACTGCGGTTATACCTGCCTCTTTCGACGCAGGGCGAGGAACAATCAGTGGAGGTAGTACCAAAGCACCTCTAGTGGCAGGGAAGATAAACACCAAAAGCGGTATATCGGTACAGGCGTCCATCGCCCTCGAAGCAGCCGCATCGAAGGACAAAGCCGCTAATACTGCTGCTTCTTCGCTCGCTCCCCCTTGCCCCCCTGCGGTCCCGAAGGCGAAGGGAAAGTGGACCAGTTTCAAAAGTACGGGAATAAACACAGGCGATATTGGGCGAATTGACAACGGGTCGGATTCCAGCGAAGTCGATCTGAACGCGTTCTATAATCCGAAATTCAGTGCCACGCTTCCGTACTCGAGAATCAAGAAAAAGTCGCCATTCGGTATGGGTTCATAACAAGTGGTGCGATAGTTTTTGAGGCCATAAAGTTGCATGTGTACTACGGATCATTTATTGTGCAGCACGAGCTGCAAGAGCAAGCCACGAGAAGGCCAGAAAGAGTTGTGCGTACTACTTGGCATTGGTACTACTTGCTATCGGGATTATTTTCATTCCACCGACCGCCTACACGTTAGTGATTCAGCAAAAGGAAACAAGGAATTTCCATTCTATTGATGCATTGCAAGCATGGCCTGAAAAAATACGGTATCTCCCCATCTCCATAGCCCGCCACAAGAAGAAAGAGGAGCAAGAAGCGCTGACAGCGACGAAAAACACAGGAAAGGCTCCGGACACGTACTTCCAATCTGCTGATAAATTGTCATTTGATCCGCATGCTTCTACATAACATCTACAGCTTGCTACGGCTGTGCCCATGAACATGATTAATTTTTGTGACGAGGTGTCGTGTGAAGTACTGTCGTACTCATGTCCCATGATGACAAAAAATAGACATGCGAGCGAGAGAATAAATTAACACCTGTTCAGGTTTGTGCGGCGGTCCGTGTCGAAGCGGAGGAAAAAGAAGAAAAAAGCCGCGCGACGGCACAACAAATCTAACTCCCGCGACCGCTCGGGTGCACGATCTTCCCGATCGCCTTCGCGCCGGCGCCGCCGCAGCCGCGACGACAGCCGCAGTCGCGGGCGCAAGCGAGATCGCCGCAGCTTATCCGGCAGTCGCCGCGACAGGAACAACGGTCGCAGTATGTCGGGGCCTTTCGCTTCGAAATCGCGACGAAGGTCCTCCGCTCGCGGAACTACACCGCGGAGCGCTGGCGGTAAGAAGGACCGCAGGAGCCGCAGTCGTAGCCGTCGTGGGCGTGGTCGCGGCAGCAGACGCGATTCGAGTGCTCGCAGTGCGGGGCGCCGCGGCAACAGGAGTGGCGGATCAAGAAAGAGCCGCAGCCGGCGGCGCGCCTCACGGTCCAGGAGCGGCAGCGGCCGACGGGGGAGGAAAACAAGTCGAGGCAGGGCACGAAGTAACTACCGCAAAAGGTCTACTTCTCGGTCCAGATCGCAGGAGGGTGGGTATTTTTCAACATCCCGTGGGAGGAAACGGAGTTGCGGGAGCGCAAGTCGCAGTCGCAATCGCAGCGCAGGCTCGAGGAATGGCGGATCTCGTCCGCGGCGCAACAAGAATCGCGACAGGTCCGCTTCATCCCGCTCCGGAGGAGGCTCTCGTCGTCGCCGTCGATCGTCTGTCCGGATCATATCCTCTGCAAAAGTACTGGTCGTACTCCTCGTAATTAAAAATTGCAATTATACGTACAAATACTACAAGGACTTCTAAAGTTGTACTAGACTGTGACTAGTACTAGACCACAGCAATTACAACTTGCTAAGTGTAAGTTCAAAAAAATTCATCCCACTAGTGCGATCATGCTTTTGCAATCCATACCGAAGTCTTCGAAAGAACCAATCCCGGTCGGTCTCTCGCGGCGGCAGTCGGCGGAGCAGGTCGCCGCGAGACCGCGGTGTCAAGCGGGACCGGTCTTCTGGGACGACCCCCGGTGGTCAGGTGAAAATAAACAAGACGCAAGCTACCAAAACTACCACGAACGAAAACGAGGACAAGAACGATCTGAACTCTCCTGCTCCTCCTGCCGAGGACGGTGCAGAAGAGAATGCGGACGACCGACGCAACGACAACCGGTCCCGCTCTCGGTCCACCGCTCGGCGAAAGCGATCGCGACGCCGAAGGCGCAGAAACGAAGATAGAAAGGATAGCCCCACAGATGAAGTAGAGCAGGAGGACAATAGTCGGAGTCCGCAAGAGCCGCGGCGTCGGGCGCGGGACCGTCGCAAACGCCGGCGGCGGAACCGCCGCGAATCAGGGGTCGACGAGGGCGACGGAGTAGAGGGTGGTTCTGGTTCCAACAAGGACTCGCAATCCAGACACAAGTCCTTGAAAAGCTGCAAAAATGAAAAGCCTCCTGGCGCTGATGATACCAATCAAGTACTAGATCCAGCACTACACGGTAAAGTAGAGCAGGAGTCTGCTGCAGTAGATCACGCCGAAATAGACAAAAATCAACTGCGGAATGAACAACATCCTGAGATGCGAAGCGACGACGTCGGCTCATGTCTCCGTGGTCTTCTCGCTCCGACTTTGCTAGCCGATGCGGCAGGTCATGTTGGACGAGGTCAAGAAGACATCAAGCGGGAAGGCGGTACAGAAGAAAAGACGCTCAGCCTCAGTCGAAAAAGCGAAAAGGCGAATAAACAGGCTGCAAAAACATCCACGCCCGAGTCCGTCGGGGCGTTCGGGGAAGAAAGCCCGCCGGTGAGCGACGAGGCTGGTGCACCAGAATCCTTGCGTAGTTCGGAGCGCATACTGAGCCGTGGAGTCGGGACTACGGCGTCAAGCCCATCTGGTAAGCTGCCCGTGTCCGTGATTATTGTTTTAATTATTTCTGGCTATCTTGCTTTCTCATTCTCTGCCTGATGGCATCGAGTAGGGCGGCAACGAGCGCTAAAATTCTTCAATTGCGGTTGCTGATGCGATCAGTTCGTCCTAAACGGATGGTCATGTCAAAAAACACAAACAACTCACCAGATTCGCACATTCATGGCACCGCGACGTGTCACTCTCGTCAAGGCATCGCGCACCACCAGCAAGAACAGCATCAGGAACTGCATCAGTTCCAGCACCAGCCACAGCCAGCAACGCCAAGGGGCGAATTTCTCGAGCAGCAGAGTCACGTGCAGCAGCAATTTTTTTTCCAGCAGCCGCCCGTCGACCCGCAGTTGTCTGTGGAAGAGCAAGAGGAGCAGATACGGGCCCAAGCTATGCACCTGTTCCAGCAAGAGCCAAAAACGCTGGAGGAGCAGCAACAGATTACGGCCTACGTGGACAGGCTTTATCTTGCGGCCCAGCAAGTGCGAGAACGAAACCCGTTTTCAACGTCTTCTGCTACCCAGCCGCATGAAGTTTTAGAGCATGTTGCTGTTGATCCGCACAGCACTCCTGCAGCTGCGCAGCACGTAGTCGCGCAACACCAGCAGCACAATCCATACGCGGCTACTCCTGTCGGAGGCGCTGGTCGGGTGGCTCTGCAAGCGGGGAGCCACCAGCACATGCAGCAGGCCGTCCTCTCCCAGCAGCAACACAGCCAACAGCAACAGATGCTCTACTCGTCTGAAAGACAGCTGCACACGACGCAGCAAGCCCAGCAGGATCAACAGGCTTTGCGGGTGCAGCAACATCAGCAAGAGCGACAGTATTCTGATTGCGGTCAGACCGTTGTGTTGACGAGCGGTACAATGACCCCTGGTGCAGCCAAGAGCAGTGTACTGCACACTCCGATGAATGCTGCGGGGCATAATTTTCAAGTTGCAGAAGCTCGCCCCACGACCGCGGCCCACCAGGAACTGCAAGCGTCGACTTCTACTACATTGTCGTCTTCATCATCATCTGCCGCCGCTGTGGGACACGCAAACGGTGGCGCTCCTCCTGGGGTGGCCACGCCAGCTCCCGGAGGCGCCGTTACGACGCAACAGCAGCAGCAGCAGCAGCAGCAGCAGCCCCAGCAGCAAGCCACGAGTAATAAAGTACAGCCTCCGATCCCGGCCGATGTGCCGAGTATCACGGCGCAGGGCTTGATTCACTTACACCTCATCAAACTTGGAAAAAAACGGTCCGTCACCTTTTCGCTCGCGCACAAGGTGTCTGATCTGTGCCAGCGGTACCTGCCCGCGCAGGACTACCACACCTGCTTCGAGATCGACCACAACCACCCGGACAATAAGGTTTCCCTGATGCACTACGGGATTCGGGTGCTGCAACTCACGAGGAAGGACACGCGGACGCTGGCACAGCTGCTGCTAATCGGGATGAACTTGAGTGGCGCGAACCCGAATCAGGTTGCGTTTCCGACGCAGCTGACCTTGGAAGTGCGGGAACTGGGAATCCCCGTGTGCTTGCACCACGCGGACGGCAGGGTGTCGAATACCATGTACTCCGCCTCCACCACGATAAAAGCCATTTTAGCCGGGTTGGCCGGAAAGTGCATCGCGAAAAACCCGTCGACAGGTAGAGAACAGCTGTTTACATAGTTTTTCATGTTGAGGAAGATAGAAGTACCCTTCTGAACAAAATTCATCGCACTTATCTTTTCCTCTGGTACAACGTCAACATGGTCGTCCAAGTTTGGATTTAGAAAATCGGAGTTTTTGTACAAAATAAATACAAGAATGCGACTTGTTACAAACGGAAAAAACAGGCTTTGAATTCAGCGACACACTGACGGTGGGCGAGGCGGTTCGGGAACAGAAGTTGGATAAAGTATACATGAACATAGAGCAGGACGCGTGGGCTTGACCACATTTCAACCACGAGGACCTGAAGTAGCGACCGACAAACTTAACGACAACACACGCACATCGACATCATCTTCATTGCTGTGGTTCAAGTTCTTTCTTTCACACCGACCAAAAAAGCGCTTCGCTCTTCTTGATGTGCTTCGCTATAGGGCACTGCAGGCGGCTCTGACGCCGATTCGGCGGACGGTAAGGGTTCAAGTTGTAGTTTTTCAAAACAGAACAGCAGCGAGCGATTCTTTAGACGATCGACGCTAAAGACTACATGGCGACATCAAAGAAATACTTCTTACATTTGACTCGCAGGCTTTCACCGCTCTGGCGACCGACTGATAGTGCTTTTGATTGAAGAAACCTGGACGAGAAGGTAGTATATTGAAAGAAAAAACTGTGTTAGTGTAGGTATTTCAGAAAGTGCGACATTTTTTAATAGCGAAAGTTCAAGACTTTTTTAAAAGCAGGCAAGTCCGGTTTTCTTAATGCTGCCTGTGTTGTGGTGCTTGGAATACAAGTAGCTAGCGGCTGCTTCGGTAATAATTGTCTTTAGCTAGTTAAGGGGGCAGGGCTCATGTTTCTGCTTCGAAACCCGCTGGGCATCGTCGTAGTACTCCTCCATGTCGGTGCTTGTTGCGTTTTCATTTTGAGAAGAGAAAAGTCCGAAGAGCTGAAGGCGGAAAAGATAATTTTATGAGTGTAAGCGCAAAGCCAACTCTTCAGGTCGCGTTGAAATGGAGGCACTTTCTCGACCCCCCCCGACCACCCCCCCAGCGCGAGAATGAAAATGCTACACTCGCAATTTTCTCTTTCCTAATCCCCACCTATCAAAAGAAAAAAGAATCAGTGTAAATGGCCATCTTGGAAAAGAGATCCGAACGAGTGTAGTGCAATTTCTGGAGGTCCTTTTGACCCCCCCAAGGAGAAGAGTTTCTCTGCTACACTCGTCATTTTCCCTTTTCCGGGATGTTGCCTACACTTTCGCTTTTCTGTTTTCCCTGCCCGAATTGCAGTCAACGCCGTTCGCGCAAGAGTTCTGGAACTTTCGGCCTCCTTATACTTTCAGCGTTCGGACTTTTGGAGTCCTGCCTCCTTAACTATTCACATATACCGAAGCAGCCGTAGCTAGTTATGACTACATAAACTCACCTTGTAAACGTCAACACATACCAGGTCGCTAATTGCGCCGCAGCTCGAGAATTTTTTAGTTTTGCATATCAAAAAAAGTAGTGATTTTTCCAACACCTACACTAACACAGTTTTTTCTTTCAATATAAGTAGTCTACGAGAATACAATTCGCTCGTGTTGTTAACCAGTAAGTTGGTCAACAATGTGATGCGTGCAATATTGAAAAGTAGAAGTGTGAGTTCCAGTAAAAAGTGAATGAACCTCCCCGCCCAACCACGACCAGGACAGACTGACATACGCAGACGACTACGACAAGAACAGTCTGCATTGGTAGAATTTCAATTTCTTATTTGTGCTTCCACTTGTACAAGGACGGATAAAGTCAATGCCAAGAAAAAGTCCAGACTTGCAAGAACACAGCCCGTCCTGCTGTCGTCTCTGGTTTATAAAGTCTGTATCTTGTTCTTGAGCAGAATGTGAGTGTTGACCTTTCTAATTTTAGTACGCGTTTTGCTTATTCTTTTCGTTTTCTTTGAAGATGATAAATACGGCGAGTTGTGTGGTTCATTTTCTTACAGCGCATGCTTCGTGCATGTCCATCGTGTATGGGGTGAACTCGACTCGTCGAAGATTGTTGAAAGGACGCTATCATAGAAATGGAGATAGTCCGGATGGATATTCTTTGATCTTTCAGCTACGAGGAAATATAAGCGCGCCGAAGTGCTCGTGCTGTAGCTCGTGAGGCATCGTGTCAGCGTCGTGCCTTGCACCTACTTCTTCGCTGGAGCAGGCATGTTGATGCCACTGCAGCTGAGCAGTCATATCAGAATTCCACTTCTTGTCAGCTACGTTTATAATTTGTTCAACAACAGCATCAACACCCACCGGGCCTGTAGCAGCCAGCAGAAAGCAGGCAGTGTTTTAGACACTTGCAGGTCACAAGTTCACACATCATTAAGTTGCACCAGCACCCACTCGTCGAGTTGTGATTGATGTTGAATAAAGCACGCACGATAAAAATGGAGACGAGGCGGGACACGAGGAGTGACATCAGCAAGGTGCTGACGATTTTTCATTGTGTAGCGTATGTCGTATCTTCAGCGCAGCGCTGCCACCAGTAGAAATGTAAAAAGCTTCAGCTAGCCCTAGGACCCATAGCAACAATATTAAAGTCAACCTCAATTATCGCCATTGAAAGTCAGCTTCTTGACTTTTGAGGTTTTGTTTTCGTTTTCCAGGACCAGCACACACGACGACGACACCCATTCTTTCACCCGTTCAAGTACTGTAAATTTTTCCACCAGCAGCTCACCCAGAATGGACATCCCGCTTCCCTCTGCCGCCGACCAGCACCCGACGCAGAATCCTAACAGCATGACACCCGATTACATGTCTGCCTCGACTCGGAGCAACACCGGGCGGCCAGCGGATGAAATCGCCAGTGAGCACGGCGACGATCAAAACAACATGTCTAGTTCCTTCCGCGAGAACGCCATGACCGCATCGCAGTATCTGCGAAACGTCGCGAACAACCCCAACGTGCAGGCGGGGGTGGATCAGATTGCGGGGACCGCGAGGGAAATTAAGCTGTACGTGTCCACCAATCCGAGCAGCGAAAGGGCGATCTGCCTGATTGGCGGGTTTGCGCTCATGTTCACCTGCTTTCTGTACATTATCGACGTGTTTCTCATTTTCTCCATGCTGCCGCACTACCTCACCTACTGGTTCCTGTGCGTCTTCGGCGCCGCCATAGCGACACTAAACGGCCACTGGGCACTACCGACACAGGAGCTGTTGCTCAAATACTGCTATTTCCTACACGTCAAGGACGGAAGAGCGTTCACATTCTGCTTCCTAGGTAGCTATGAAGTTTTTGGCTCTATTCACTGATTTGGCTATATCTGGTGCCGCCCTCGCCCTTTTCTATCATGTCTACAGAACGTCAAGTAGATCTAGATGTTGATCAGGCGAATATAGTCCTTGTCATGCGCATGGACATGCAGCTCCTTCCACCAGACGATCATGATAACAGCAGTAGCAGAAAAGAATAAGTATGAGTTTGACTTGAAACCCACATTGATACAGGTGTTCTCCTCATCGCGCTCAATGATTGGTTTGCGAACTACATAACGGGAATCTACCTGATATGCACGGGGATTATGATTGGTATGCTCGCAGTGCAGGAAAGGAGGTTAGCCGCGGAGGCCCCTGCAGAAAATCAAGTTTACGATCAGATGTGAAAATGATAAATGAACGGACATCAAGAAGGACATGGATGAGAACCTGTGCTTGTACTGTGTTTTTTCACCAAGCACAGGCTGATAGAGCTTGCAGTCACACAGAGCGCCACGTTTCAGTATATCAATATGCAAAGGCTCTGGCTCACAACTTCAACTGTAGCACGCCAGAGCAGGAGCAACATTAGGGTCGAAAATGACCACGACCACCGGGAGATCATCCACCTATTGTTCTCCGACGCGCTACTGCTAGTTGATGTGCTAGAATGCGTCACCCACTGCACCACGACTGCCGTCTAAGTACTACTTTCCGGCTGCTAAAACCGTTTGCAATTCGTGCACGCACGTCTTCAACTCGTAAGTACCCATTTTCGAAGTCAAACCATCGGCTTCTTCGTGTTTCCGTGTCGTCGGTCTGCTCTGATCACACGACTGCTGCTCAATTGTGTACGTAGTAATTCGGTTCCTATCAGAAGTCTGCTGGTAGCCTCAATATTCGGTACGACAGACGTTGCCGTGAAATTGAACTTGTAAAGTTTCGGTAAAGTAGGAGAAACAGGAGCCTGAACGCTACTGCTTAATTTTTTTCTCGGTCCTTGACGATTAGATGTGAAGATGCAGCTCCAGCTAGGAAAGAGAACGGCTTTGTTGTTTTTCGGTCGTTCGTTTTGACTTCTTCATTCACAAAGAAGACAAGTTGTCGGATTCTAGAGCTACCTGTGGAAAATGCTAGCCCAGCAGTTGCAGGCGCTGGGACTAAAATAGTTTTAGTTGCATGTTGCAAGAACATCTTGTTCAAAGTACGTGCTGAATTGTTTTTCCCTCGTTGCTGCTCGGTAGAGAACAAGATTCCCAATAAATTTATTCTCACAGGATTTTCTACTGTGATTCACCTTCATCACACTACGACCCTGGCTGTATTCTTTTCCTACTCATCTCGGGTAGGAAAAAGAAAAAAGTACCGCACCATCGCAATCAGCAACAGCACCACATCAGCGAATTGGGCTGTTCATTGATTTTGTTTCCATAAATCGTCCTCCAGAAGCAAGAAGTCGAAGTTGCAGAGTTCTTGTAGTCACGTCTTGCTTTACCTACTAATACTATACCAACAGCAGTATCAACATCATGCTCTCCTACATCTGCCGTTCCACCGCTGCCGTCGCGCTGATCGCCACGGCGACCCCGGGCGCAGTTCGCGGAGCTGACCCAGCGACGCGTCAGGAGCCGCCCGGCTTCCTGGCAAAACGTGTCCGTCAGGCGGAGCCGCTTTCTATCGAAATCGATGAGCAGGGCGGGAATGCGAATGCGAACGAACAACGCGACATGCCTTCTGCGCCGACAACCGGTTTTCTCGCCGACGACGCGTCTTTTGCGGAACATCAAACCGTGATGGCCGGAAGCGAGCCGCCTTCGCCGGTGCCGGATTTGGTTGCCGAAGGGCAGGCTGTGATCGTGACCGACCGCGGCACCACTGCTGACGACGAGGAGCACTCTTTTGCTTATCTTCCGGAGCATCCGACTTCCGACGGCACGAGTGGCTCCGCAGTGTCCTCGTCGTACCTGTTTCTCGACCATCAGCAGGAGCAGGCGAAGCAGCACGCGATTCCCCCCTCCGCTCGCGAGGCTCGCAACTATCGTGGGTGGGCTTGGTGGGAGTACCTCCCGCAGATCGATGCTGGGCCAGATGGCCAGCCGCTGTACGGCCGCGAGGCGTTTTTCGATTACGATTCCTATCCCGAAGGCGTGTTTGTTCCGGCAATTGAGCAGTCTAAACCCGAATTCGGGTTCAAGTACGCGTACAAGTGCTACGGCGGAATTCCCGTGTTCGGTGGCAACGACGACGGTCGGTGGTTGGAAAACTGTGCAGTGTGTAACGCTGGTTACATTCTTGGGAATCGAGAACTCGAGCCCGCGAAGGGCTTTGATGCACAAGCCCGGTGCTTTCCTTTGCATCAGGAGCAGTGGGTTTCGTACTTTCCCAAGCCGGAACTTTTGCAAGGTCAGGGCTACACTCGGGGGAACAAAAAACTTCAGTGCCCGTTGGGGCTAACGCCCGGCAGGCTCGTTGGCGATCGTCCGACCGTCTACGAAAATGGTTTACGGGCGCAACCTCCTCAGAAGCAGGCGCCCGCCGCCCTGCTTATTCCTATCCCGCCTCATGATGGGACCGTTCCGTCTATCCACGCTAAATTTATTCCCGTACACGAACACATGCAGTCTCTGCATGACAAAACTTGCCTCTCATCCTGGTCAACATGAAAAGCGTTTAATTTGCCGAAATTGGTAATGCATTTCGTGTTACATGTACCTACGGGAAATTTCTAGTGCATAGCGTCGATCCTCAAGGATGTCGTTTGCTACGACAAAAACGTTCCGGAGTACAAGGAACTGTTCAAGCTTGCGGGGGAAGACCGGTCTCCGTCTCCGGGGAACGGGTATCCTGAGTAAAAACGTACCCACACCAGAGTCAGGATGGGGATTTTGCAACACAAACCTAGGAGTTTTGTGAGTCACGCATGACAAGTTGCACTCTGCAGCGTAGTGCAGGTTAGCAAGTGCAGCCGCATCACAGATTCATCGGCTCATCCTGTTCACAGCATCACAAATTCCAAAACACGACTGGAAATGGCTCTCATGGTGATGCGCATTACAAGTCTTCCTGTCTTTGCAAATCTGCGTTACAACTCTGGCGTGGGTACGTTTTTACTCAGGATAACGGGAACCAGATGAACATCCCTCCGGGGAACGGGAACCAGAACATCAACTTCGACACTCCTGCTCCGGCACAACACGCACCCAAAAAACAACCCCAAAAACAAGGCTCTGGCCCTGATGTGAAAGTCAAGGCCAAATCAGCGTGCTGCTAGTAGCGCGAGCAACAGCTGCGGCGCAACAAGACGGAACTCATTTCCAGCTTGTATGTCGGAGTATCTTGTTTTCCCGGGGAGGATCCGAGTTGAACGGTAAAAAATGATGACGACGTGATGTGTCCTCAAATTTGATGCATTGTCGAGGCGGAGAAGTATAAGTGAGCAGTTTTGGCCTGTTTAACCATACAGGTATTACTTCTGTCGTCATAATCTTTGATGAAATGACATCGATGCTCGTTTAAGTTTTGTCTCTAACTATTCATCGTTGAAATGCTGAAAAAAATCGTTTTTGTATTTCTCAACTGAAAGTACGCTACGCCTACGTGAATATAATCTCTAAGCCTAACCTAAACCTTGTTCATCTGCCGTGGATTACAAAGCATCAACTCCTCGTCACCGTCCAGCGATGAAGATGGCCGATGTGATGCTGCAAAATTTCGTTTAATTTCAACTTTCATTAGGTTCTGGTCTAGGTAGGTTTGTTTTAAGTATATAACTCACTGATGTATTATTGCAAGAAATAATCAATATGTTAAGCAGGAGTGACTCAACACAAAATTTCAAATGGCTCACCAATTCTCATCTTCCAAGGCTCATTGTGACGAATTCCAAGTAAGTGAAGGGATGTCCATCGCTCCGACCTATGCGATGACGACGTTGTGGATCAAGAACATGCGAAACCTTTATTTTCGTGAGTCAGAAGTCCCAGTCATTGAGTGTTTTTTTTACCCGTGCATTGAATCGCAGACATGTTTTTTCCATTGTTCACGACGTTATACAGCTTTTGAGCGGTCGGGTGTCGGAGTCGAACCGCACGAGCTGACGAAGCTTAGCTTCAGGGCATGGTCCTGAGAGAGGACGGTGAGGGATCGACGAGCAAATTGCTTGTGCTTGCATCACTATTTCTATTTTTGTAGTTTTATGTCGTTGAGGACGAGGTATAAACGATCTTGATGAAGCAGATAGCAACGACACCGTGGATTTTAGTATCCGCTTCTACTCGACTGCCCCGATCATACAACCGACCCAGGTCCTCATACATAGACATACTGTTCTGAAAAATATTAACCGGTTTTTCTGCTATCAAACCGCGCCCTAATGGTTCTCGACAGAGACTCTGAGTATCGTGGTGGTCGCTCCTTTTCACATCAGCATGGCATCGACACCCCCCCCCTCCCTGATGGCTTGTTGTCGTACACATAGATTGATAAAGACATAGTGTTCGCATTTTTAGTGATGGCCGCAATATTGGTCCACCCCCTTCTACTCGTTCTCGTCCTGCTAGTCGGTGCAGCTGATAATGTACTCAGTTGTCAGTTGCTAAAGATAAACGATATCATCAGATGAATTGAAAATCAATCGCGGCCAGCGCGCACCACATGCGGCAGTAAGTAGTCGTCAACAACTATGGTCCGTGTCCTCCGTCTTTCCTCGCTCGAGGAGCAGCAAGAAGACGTGATCCTGTTTTCGACGCCTCAGCAACAGGTAGCCTCTGCCGCTTCGCGTCAGGCGGCAAAGGACAATGCACCGACCATACGGAATCTGGCGAGAAAGTTACTGCAGAAATGGAAGGAGGATAGCACGGGAGCCGCAGTGACCGCTTCAGCCGATGAACAGGTGCAACGCGATAAAAACAACATCAATATTATGGAAGCGTCAGGTTTGAAATCGTCAAAGTTGAAATAATTTGCAATGCATAAAATGCATGACCCGAGGCACGTGCGTTGCAGAGCAGGCAAGTGAGGCCGATTGTGAGCCTGTTTGGGGTTTTTACAGCTCGAGCTTCTTAATTAGCATGAGAAAATCGCTCTTCTTTGCCTAAACAGCATGACAAAGTGGATTTAAGGACCGCCAAAATTTGTCTTGCGCCACTTGGAAACTGGGTCCCAACTGGCATCCATTTTATGCATGACAAATTATTTCAACTTTGTCGATTTCAACTCTGACACATCCATAAATATCAAATTCAACGGAAACATCGACCCGGAGCGATTGCTGTTTTGTGTCGACGGGAAGCAGTATGACGCTTTTTCGGAACACAACTTGGTGACCGACGGAAGTCATACCTTGAAAGAGTTGGACAGTGTGAACAGCAAAGTCGTCGTGGTAGTGTTGATCCGGTATAAGTTAGATTTGCAGGTCCTGCGGTTCGAAAAAACGAAGTTCCCCGTCTGGCTCACCACAGGAAAGACGATAACCGGGGAAGAGATTTTGCAGAAGCACTACCTACCCAGGCTGAAGGTGTTATCCAGGCTGTTGCACAGTATCACCTACCCGCATTTAGTGGTCGGGACGAAAGATGTCTGGGCTGGGGTCTGTCGTGCGCCGGAAGCACTTGCGGGAGCAGGTCCGGAAGAGGTGGACGTCGACGGCGACGCATTAGAGGATAAGGATGAAGCTCACGGGCCAAGAGAAGGACCACAAGAAGAGAACCCAGACTTTCGAACAGATCAGCAGTTGCGTTATCGGGGCCGCACTACAAAAACGAGTGATCACCTTGATGTTGGGAAAACGACCGCCGGTATAGGCAGAAATGTGAAGAGCCCCACCTCCGTGGTGTCCACTGCTTCATCGCCTTTGCCACAAATGCAATCCTCGTCGTCATCTTCCAGAGGAGCTACGAGTTCTGGTTCGGGCACTGCTGCGGTTCTTCAAAACCAAGCGAGGACCGCCTCCACCCAGCAAAGGGCGCTCATTGGGAAGAAAGACTTTTACAGACCAATTCACCACGACGTGCTGACGATCATTCCGAGATACCAACTCCTCTGGCAAGCCTTCTACTACACGATTCACATCGTTTGGTTCTTCCACAACCTCGTCACCTCCGCCTGGATCACGACTTTCCGCACGAGCCGGGGGAGGGGAATCGGGTACTACGAGGACCACTTGCTAGACGTGAATCCCGATGGAACAGTGTCCGCGCGAGGGTCGAATTCTTCTGCGGATCGTGATGCTGGTAGTGGTGGTGGGGGGTCTTCTACCCAGCAACAAAATGCCCGAAGGGCGAGAAATTACTACCACATTGACGTAGGTCAAGACTTTCAGCACCACAGACATGCCCCGGGACAAAACCCAAGAGGAGAGGATTTGACGCTCATAGTGAGACAAGCGCTCTTCGGCTTGTAGGTTTTTGGATCATGATCGTGGATATTTCATCCCGCTAAAGCGCAAACGCAAAAGCGAAACACGAGGACAAAGCAACCTGTCCTCAGTATCCTGCAGCTCCCTGGCGGAGCTGCATTTCTTCGTGGTCGAAAATACGTTGTTCTTCATCCACTTCTCTTCAGATTCTTATTGTCAGTGCAGCATGGCAAATGAGTGTTTGTTTTTGTTTCCGAGTGAGAAAGAGAGCGCGCAACATGTCGAGAATGTTGTTCGACGAGAGTGTGATTTCATTCTGAGTCGCTATGATTGCGCAAATGCAAGTGCTTATGCCAATATAAGGCCGTGTACATTACAGACACGTCCACATGCACATGCTGCGGGGTAGTTGTACCAGGTCAGAGGACTGACTGGCGGCTCGTTTCTGTCGTCCGCACGACTCGTCTGCGTTGTCAGTGGAGGTCTCGCGGAGGTACATGGACCACTTTGTTGCCCAAGAACAATCTCGACCAGTTTTTTAACCGCGTCAGCAAGCTGCCAACCACACAAGAACTCCAACAAGCCGCCCACCATGAACGACTCCCGCAAGGAATATGTTATCCAGTGCGTGATTTCGGTGCTGAACATCCCCCGGAGCGAATTCCGCTCCAACTCCGCCTCCAACACGGCACTGGAGGCGTTCCTGGATGACAGCAGTCAGCGCGTCCTGCAGGCGTTGGAGCTCGCGCCGGGTGGCGCGGGCGAGCAAGACCAAAAAGCGTCGTCCAAGCGCACGGTCACGCTGTCCTTGGGGTTCAACCCGGCTTACTACACGACGAAACAGCCGAACGGGGAGGCGCTCAACGAGATGCACTTCGTTAAAATCGCGGCGCAGGAGGAGCTCACGGCGAGCAACATCCAGGCAAAAGTCATGATCTCGACGCTGCGGAACGGCCTGCTCCGGAGCCTGTCCGGTTTGCTGAAAGAGGTCTACGTGCCGTGTTTGAACAACTTGAACGCGGGAAGCGCCGCGGGGGAAGGAGGGGGAGCGAATGCAAACGTGGAGTCTCTAGACGGAAAATTATCCGACTACCTGTTAGAGCTGGACGCCGGCCTGAAGACGCAACTCCGCCGGGGCCTGGGGAACATGAACAAGCAAGCGGGTGGTCAGCAACAGGCGGCTTCGGAAACGGATTTCTCGGGGATCTTGGCGCCCATCGACGAGCTGCGCTATTGGCAGGACCTCTCGTTCGACAACACCCTGACGGAAAAGCACAAGCAACGCGCAAAACAGTTCGCGGAAATCTTGCAACCGTTGGCCTCGGATTTCGAGGACTTGAGCAAGAAAACTTTTCCGCAGCTGCTGGACTTGCAAGATTCTTTTCTTACGTGCTGCGACGAGCTTTGGAAGTCCATGGAGGAGAAATCAACCGTGTACAGACAGGACCGGATGCAACATTTGTTGCAGACTTTCGGAAAGGCAATGGGGCAGGTGGTGCAGAAAAAGTTGACCTCGCTGCAAGTGTGGCAAAGCGAGAAGCAGTTCAACCTGATCAGCAAGTACATTCGCGAGGGGCATAAGGTGTGCGAAAAATGGAACGAAAATCTACTAGATTGGACCGGCACGGACTGGAAAGCGCCGGGGTTGCTGCATCAGTGGAACGGGGAGCCGATGAGAGACACGTAGAGATGTTGGCAGTTGTCGAGGTTTTCACTGCAAGTGCAAGCTCATTACTAGTACCTTTTTTCGCACGACCAGCAGAGAAGATAGAAGCCTACTTTCGCGTCAGTGTGTACGGAGCTTCATTTGTTCATCAACCAATCTACCAGGTTTATGCAGAATCTCGCCGCCCGCGTGCACCAAGTCGCGGAGATTCGCACCCAGCACGATCAGATTTTGAAGCTCTGTCCCCCGGACCAGCAGGGCGGCCAGGTTTTTAGCGGAAACAACGTTTTCGACTCGTTTCAGAAGGTCTCCACGTTCATGTGCAACGACTACACGCTCCCGCTTTGGAACGCGGCGGTGGAAGATTACGAGAAGAAAATGGCACCGCTGGAAGGAATCGTGGCGGAGAGGTTACGGAAAGAACTCTTCCCGGCGACAGGCTCCAGCTCTTTATCGTCCGGTTCAGCCGGTGGACAACTAAACTCGATGGACATAGAAGGAGCAGACAGCAATGCGCTGCACAACACGACGAAGCAGTCGACCAACACCAACCCAACCCAGTCTGTCCGCGTGTTTCAGCGCTACGGGTCGATTCTGGAGCGGACCAACGTGCGGAACGCGCTGACGAACGAGAGGGAGAAGGTTTTGGCGGAAATTTCAGATTTTTTGGAACGAATAAAGTCCGAATTCGACCTGGAGGACATGGCGCAGGACGTTCCCCTCGGCCGCAACTTTTCGCTGTACTTGCGGAAGGTGCTTTGGCTGGAGCAACTGCGGACGAAATCGGAGACCGTGTTGCGCCCGATGCTCTCCGGGTTCCTGAAGGACTTGCCGCAAACAAGCCGCGTCGCCCAGAACTGCAAGAAATTACGGCAGGAATTGAAGGACGCGAAGCAGCGTTGTTTCAAGGACTGGGAGGAGGAAATGGACCACGCTTTGAGCCAGCAGAACAACTATTCCCTTCAGCTCCAGGGCAAAGTGATGGAATTTGACACGAGTAAGCAAGGTGCCTTGAAGATCACCTACCCGGAGCAGCTGGTGCATTTGATCAAGGAAGTGCGGTTGTTCGAGCAGATGGGCTTCAACGTGTCGAAGTCGGTGAAGAAGCAGGTCGATTTAGGGCTGAAATTCTACCGGTTCGCGGTGCAACTGAAACAAATCTGCAACTTCCACAACCACCTGGGCGCGGAGATTCTTGCCTGTCAAAAACTACTCGTGCTAAACGCGGCGGTGCGATTTGAAAAGCTGTTCTCCGACTCCTCCACTTCCTCCTCGGGGATTTCGAAGATGCAGTGGGACAGCGTGGACAAGCTCGAGGACTTCACGATCCGCGTGAAGGACGGTGCCGGGAAATTGAGGTCGTTGAACCGGAAGCTGCGGCTTGCGCACAACAGCATCTGCGAACTGGTTTTGTCCCTGGCGAATGTGTCTTTATTGAAGCAACGGGAGCAGTGGAAGTTGAAGTTGCAGGAAATCTCGAAAGTGATCACCAACACGTCCGCGATTTGCGACATTTCCGACCCGAACGAACTCGAACTGGCGACGAAGCCGTGGTATCAAATGTAAAAATGTCTGGGTCTGGAAGAATGCAACTTGTCATGCTGTTTTTGGACTCTAAAAAACTTTTGTATTGCATGACCAGCAAGAGCAGGGGTGCAATTTGTGCTACACGGACAGGGCATTTCTCATGCGGAAGGTGCATCAGGAAGCCCTCTAAAAGTCTGCGATGCTAGGTCATGCATTACAGTCATCATGGGTCATGACAAATATGCATGACAAATCTTCATTCTCCCAGACCCAGACACTTTTGCACTTGATACGTGGCGGGCGTTCTGGGACTACCAGCTGTTCAAGATTCTCGAGTGCCAGTACCGACTCGGGTTGGAGTCCTTGAACGAATCGCTGCCCGAAATGAAGGCGGACTTGGTCTTTGGGGACAACAAGATCAAGCTGAAGCCGCCCCTTGAGGAGCTGAAAACGAATTACTACAAGGAAATCAAGCAATTCGTCCAGCTCCCGCAGATGTTCAAGGGCCTGGAGGGCGCCGGCCACATCTTCGCCTCGGTCACAACGAGAAACCCGGATTCCTTGCTGACGGTTTTTCAAAAAGGCGAGAATCTCTTTTCCAAAGTCAACGACAAAATCTCCGACGCAAGTGGTGATCCGAGTACTACTTCTGCTAAAGGTGGTAAAGACCCTTCAAAAGTTGTACAAGCAAGACAGTCGGACCTGAACCTGGGCGAATTCCTGAAGTTCGGGCAGCACTGGGAGCAGACGCAGCTGCTGGTTGAGAAGTTTGACGACACAAAGGAATTCGACTTGAATTTCAAGTTCATCAAGCAGAAGAAGAAGGAGGTGGAGAAAATCCCGGACGTGATAAAGATTGACTGCTTGAAACTGTCGACGGTCTTGCTGAAATCGACGATCGAAGACCAACTGGACAAATTTTCCGACTTATTGATCATCACGTTAAAGAAGCAGGTGAACACGAAGATCAAGGAGAAAATGGACTTTTTCGAGCAAAGCTTGGAAAAGCTGAACGTCCGCCCCGACTCCGTTTCCGAGCTCGGGCAGGCGCAGGCGGAAGCGGCGAAACTGATCGAAAAACAGGAGGAGGTGAAGAGGGAGTTGAACGATCTGGAGGACAAAGCGCGGCTCTTGAAGTCCGTGTACTCCCAAGCTTTCAACCAATCGGGCGCGGAGGGGGAGAAGATGGTCTTACTGCACGAGAAGTACGACGAATTCGAACTCCGGTTGCAGACATTCGAGACCTTAGCGGCGGAACTGCGGGAGGAGCTGCTGTCGAAAATGACGGACAGGGTCGCGAACATGAATTTAGAAATCGAGAAGTTCGAGTCTAAGTGGCAAGCCTTGAAACCGAAACTTTCCACGAGTACTGCGAAAACCATCACGTTGGTGGAAGCGCGGGAAAACGCGGAACAGATGGAGAAATCCTGGCTCATCGAATGGGAGGTGTTGAAGTATCCTGTGTAAAAACGTCCCCACCCCAGAGTTGTCATGCAAATGTGCAATGACAGGAACATTTGTAGTGCGGATCTGCATGAGAGGCATTTCCAATCGTGTTTTGGACTTTGTAATGCTGTAAACAGGATGAGAGGCTGGCTTTCTTATGCGGCTGCCCTTGCTAAACAGCACGACGTTACAGATGGAAACTTGCCATGCAAAACTCCCAAAAAATGGAGATTTGTGTTGCAGATTTACTAAGTTGTCAATTGACCATGGGGTGGGGACGTTTTTACACAGGATATGAAGACGGAACTCGATCAGCTGTTATCCGATTGTCGGGACTTCGGATTACCAAAACCCGATTTGATCGACTACGAACCGCTGGAAAAGGATTTGACGAAGCAGCAGGCCTCCTGGAGTATGCACTGCAAAAGTATCGTACAAGTATAAATTGGAATTGCATTACAAATTTTCCCAAGAACAAAAATGCAATTTGTCATGCTATTTCACGTAGAAAGTTGGATTTGTCATGCATATCTGCAATCAGTACGAGTGGGATACTTTTGCACAGGATATGGAGTCTGTTCCAGCAATTCATCGAGGAAGTGGACGAGTTATCGAAGCAGTTGTGGTATCAAATGTACAAATGTCTGGGTCTGGAAAAATGCAACTTGTGATGCTGCATTTGGATTCCAAAGAAACCTGTACTGCATGAGCAGCAAAATGAGTGTATTTTTTGCTTCGGGGAGAGGGCATTTGTCATGCGGACTAGGCATCAAGAAGCCCAGGAAAAATCTGTGATGCCAGGGCATGCGTCGCAGACATTACGACTCATGAAAAACCGCATGACAAGTTTCAGAATCCTCCAGACCCAGACACTTTTGCAATCCATATGTGGATCGAATTTCGCCCGAGGTTGTTCAAATTCCCGGATTTGTGCATCGCCTGGGAAACGAAGCTGCGCGAGATCATGGCGGTGGGTGGCATAAAGGAACAAACAGTTTCTGATCATACTGCAACCGCGAAGGAGAAGGACAAAGACACCACAGCTGCGACCACCGCCGCAGGAAGTGGTGCAAGCAATAAGCAGCCGAAACTGATTCCCATCGACAATGCGGTGATTGCGATTCTCGCCGAGCAGATTTCGAAACTGCGGCAAGCCCACTCCGTGCTGAAATCCATGACGGGCGAGGCCTTCGAGAAGGAGCACTGGCGGTTGCTGTTTCAAATGCTACACTTAGATAGCACGATTAGCATAAACAACGTGCAGGTTTTTCACTTCATACAAAAACTCGAATTAATGCTCCAGAACGAGGCGAAGATCAAGGAACTCGCGGCGCGCGCACTGGGCGAGGTGACCATTCGCGAGGCTTTGATGGAAATCACGTCCTGGTTAGAGCTGACCGTTTTCGAATTCACGTTTCACACCACGAATGACGGCTCGAATTTCCAAGTGCCCCTGGTGAAGGAGTGGAAAGACCTACTCTCCGCGGTGTCCGACAAACAGGCCCTGTGCAACAGCTTGAAGGACAGCCGGTACTTCGCGAGCTTCAAGGACCAGACGGAGTCGTACTCGGAAAAGCTGGCTTTGCTCGACCAGACGTTGCTTCTGATGAACAAGGTGCAGCGGAAATACGTGTATCTCGAGCCGATTTTCGCCCGGGGGGCTTTGCCGAAGGAACGGGAACGGTTCGAGCGGGTGAACCGCGATTACAAGCAGATGATGAAGAACTTCCACCAGGCGAAGAAAGTGCAGTATATCTGCCAAATCCGCGGGATAGCGGAACAATTCATCTCCTTACAGGATCAGTTGGACCGGTGTCAGAAGGCTTTGAACACGTACTTGGAGGAAAAGCGGCAGTTTTTCCCGCGCCTGTACTTCCTCGGGGACGAAGATTTACTGGAAATTCTCGGCCAGAGCTCCAACCCGGCCGTGATCCAAACGCATCTGAAAAAGCTGTTCATGGGGATCCACAGTGTCGAGTTCGAACCGAAGACGAAGCGGATTTTGTGCATGAAAAGCTCCCTGAATGAGGTTGTGGAGCTGGTCAACCCCATCGCGGTGCTGCAGGACGGGAATAACAGTTTCGACGATGACGGGAGGAAAAACGACCCGCGGCCGGTGGAGCAGTGGCTGTCGGAACTCGCCGCGCAGATGGTGAAAACTTTGTCGACGAACCTGAACAAGTGCCTGCAGAACGGAAACGACTTAAACCTCGGGAAGTTCCCGTCGCAAATCCTCAACCTCTCCGGGGAGATTTTGTTCACGAACCAGTGCGAGAATGCGATCCAGACGAGGCAAATTCCGCAACTGCAGCAGAAACTGATGCAGGATTTGCAGCAGTTGACCAGTTTAAAAGCGCAGAAAGCGAAGGACGTTTTGCAACAAGCGAAGTTGAAGGCGTTAATTCTCGACGTGATTCATCAGAGAACGGTTTTGGACGACATTGTGAACTGCCACAGTCTCCACGACTGGCCGTGGTACCGGCAGCTGAAGTACTACAATCTGAGCACGAAGACGGAAGCGCGGATGCTCGAAGCGAAGCAGAACTACACCTTTGAGTACCAAGGGAATTTTCCGAAACTCGTCCACACGCCTTTAATATCCACAGAAAAAAACCCATCCACATCCATTTTTTGCATGACAAGCAAAGGAATTTATGCGTGTTCTGCATGACAAATTGTATGTGGATGGGTTTTTTTCCGTGGATATTTAACGGACAAATGCTACTTGACCATGATGCACGGCATGCATCTCGGGTACGGGGGGAACCCCTATGGGCCGGCGGGCACCGGGAAAACAGAATCGGTCAAGGCTCTCGGGGCGCAACTGGGCCGGCAGGTTTTGGTTTTCAACTGCGACGAGGGAATCGACTACCAAGCGATGGCGAGAATCTTCATCGGATTAGTCCGCTGCGGCGCTTGGGGGTGCTTCGACGAGTTTAATCGATTGCTGGAGGAACAAATGTCGGCGATCTCGCAATTGATCCAAATCATTCAGCACGGGATCAAGTCGAGTCAGAAGGAGATCTGTTTCAACGAGAAAGAGCAGACGAAAATCCCTTTGAATCTCAACGCCGGAGTTTTTATCACGTTGAACCCGGCGGTAAAGGGCTACGGGGGCAGGCAGAAACTACCCGACAACTTGAAGCAGCTTTTTCGGCCCGTCGCGATGTCCGCTCCGGATAACGAAATCATCGCGGAAGTTCTACTGTTTTCCGAAGGCTACACCTCCGCACACAAACTGGCGAAGAAAATTGTTTCGCTGTTTCTCCTCTCAAAGCAACTTTTGTCTCCCCAGCAACACTACGATTGGGGGTTGCGGGCGCTGAAGACGGTATTGACGCTCGCTGGGAGAAGTCTCTACGAGGAACGGAACAGCAACACTAGTGGAACAGCAGCGAATCTGGATGCGGATGGCTTCGAGGCACTGATTCTGTTGAAAGCGACGCGGATGAACACGTTGTCAAAATTGACTTACGCGGATGCGAAGCGATTCGAGGATTTGTGTAAGGACGTCTTCCCGCAGATTTCGGTGAAAGACATGGAGTACAAGGAGCTGGAGGAATACATCCGGATTTCTTTGAAGGAGCTGAAACTCAACGTGATCGAGTCGCAGATCACCAAAATGCTGCAGTTCCACGAGGCCTGTCAGCAGCGGATGGGCGTCGGCATCGTCGGCCCGTCCGGGTGCGGGAAATCCACGATTTGGCAGGTTTTGGCCCACGCGTACAACACGATGGCGACTTCATCTTCTGGTGGGGGTAGTAAAACTTCCTCGTCCTCCACGAAGATGGAAATCCACATCATGAACCCGAAGTCCATGCCCAGAAAGCAGCTACTCGGATACATGAACTTGGACACTCGGGAGTGGTTCGACGGAGTTCTAACCGTTTCGGCGAGGAATGTCGTGAAGTCGGCCGACAACACGTCTGGCACTTCTAGCAGCTCTGGAAATAGTGGCTCTGGCGGTGACAGCGGCACCACATCTTCCGGGACAAGTTCTGGTGGAGCAGGAGACCAAACGTTGTTAAACACCCGCTCCTGGATCATTTGCGATGGCGACATCGATCCGGAGTGGGTGGAATCTCTGAACTCCGTCTTGGATGACAACCGGTTGCTCACTTTGCCCAACGGGGAGCGAATCCAATTTGGCTCGAATGTGAATTTCATCTTTGAAACGCACTCTTTACTCTACGCATCCCCCGCGACAGTCACCCGGATGGGGATGATCTTCCTCAGTGAGGAAGATGTGGACGTGAAGCGGTTATTGAAATCTTGGATCATGTCGAAACCGGAGTTTCTGCAGTATCAAATGTAAAAAAAATGTCTGGGTCTGGAAGATTGCAACTTGTCATGCTGTTTTTGGACTCTAAAAAAATTTGCATTGCATGAACAGCAAGAGGGGTATAATTTGTGCTACACGGACAGGGCATTTCTCATCCGGAAGGTGCATCAGGAAGCCCTCTAAAAGTCTGCGATGCTAAGTCATGCATTACAGGCATCATGGGTCATGAGAAATATGCATGACAAATCTTGCATTCTTCCAGACCCAGACACTTTTGCATTTGATATGCAGGCGAAGCTCGATTCCTGGTTCGAGAAAATCTTCTTCAAGGCCTTCAATTGGATCTTTGGAGCAGGAGGTGCTAGCACTGGATCTGGTGTCACACCACCACCAGCGAAAAAACTGGCAATTGACACGACGATGTTCGGCATGGTCAGGAACGTGTTGGGGAATTTACCCTGCAAGCAGAATCCGATCACAAACAAGTTCCCGGAAATCACCGAAGGGCAATTCGTTTTAGCCGTGATTCACGGATTTGGGTGCAACTTGAACTTTGAGGACAGACAAGAGTTCGCACGACAGGTCTTCGAGTGGAGCGGGAATCGGTTACCGGACCCGTCTGACCCGCTGAATGCAGCGGTGGAGGTGGCGGAAGACGGGAAAGCTGGCGGCGGGCATATCACGACGATCGCCGGAGCAAGTAGCAGCTTCGGAATAAACGCGGGGTTTGGTGGACAAGAAGCAGCACCAGCGTCCTCCGATGACGAACTGGTCCCGACCAAGACCGTGCAGAAGCAGCTGCAACTCTTCTACACGTGGCTCGAGGATGAGCAGCCGATCATTCTTCAAGGGCCGGAGGGCTGTGGGAAGAACATGCTGCTGCGGTACTGCGTGTCCAAAGTGTCTGAGAAGCTGCAACAAGTCATCAACATCGCGGTGGTCCACTGCAACGGACAGACGTCCAGCATCCACGTGCTGCAGAAGTTGCGGCAGTTTTGCGCGGTGGTCACGTCCGGGACCACCGGGAAGATTTACCGGCCGCGGTCGGGCAGGAGGCTGATTCTGTACTTGAAGGACATCAACTTACCCAAGCCGGACAAGTACAGCACCAGTCAAATCATCGCCTTTCTCCAGCAGGTCTGCATGCACAAGGGGTTTTACGACGAGGATCTGGAATTCGTCACTTTGGAAAACGTCCAGATCGTCTGCTCCATGGCACCGTGCTCCACGTCCGGCAGGCATCACGTGTCCACCCGGTTCACCGCGAACGTGCGGATTGCGCACTTATTCTACCCGGATAAGGAGGAATTGGTGGAGATTTGCGCGGAGCTGCTGAAGAGGAATTTCAACAACTTGTCCGATAATACTGCTTCTGCGACGATTATGGACAGCGCATTTTCGACGATTCTTGCAACCGCGATGGTGGAACTTTACACCCAAATCCGGGAGAAATTCACGGTGGATTTGTACGAGCACTACGTGTTTTCACCGAGGGATTTGACGCTGTGCGTCCAGCAGTTGGTCCGCTATTTGCCGGAAGATCAGGATTTGTCACAGGTTGATGGCAACGAGCTAAAGAAACACTTAGTCGAGGCATTTCAAAACGAAGCGAGACACATCTTCCGGGACCGGCTGGTTAAGGACGATCAGGTGAACTTCGACCACATGCTGAGTAACGTCTGTTTCCAGGCGTTCAGCCACGGGAATCTGCTGTCGAACCAGAAAAGCAGTTCAAATCCGAACCAAAAGCAGCTCTACACGTCGTTATTGACTCGCGTCGGTGGCTCGAATTTCGCATCCTGCACGGGCGTGCTGAGCAAGATCGAGAATAGCAAGGATTACCTGTCGCTTTTGAAGGATGGGCTCACAGTGTATGAACGGGAGATCAAGCAACTGAACATCGAATTGTTCCCCGAGGTGATTGAAAATCTCTCGAAACTAGATCGCGTCTTGGCCAGTAAACAGAAAAACGACCTGTTTCTCATCGGCCGCGCGGGGGTTGGGAGGAGATCGCTAATCTACTTAATGGGCCATCTCCAGTGCATGAACGTCTTTTCCCCGCAACTATCGACGAGGTACGGGAAGAAGGAGTGGGCGCGGGACTTGAAGCAGGTCATGCAGTCCACGGGGATTGAGAAGCAGGAAACGATCTTTTTCATCGAGGACCACCATTTGCAGGCGGGCGAAGATTTTATGGTGGAGACGCTGAACAGTTTATTGTCCGCGGGAGAGGTTCCCGGTTTGTACACCGCGGAAGAATTGGAACCGTTGCTCAATCCACTAAAGCAAGAATTCGCGGAAAAGCAGGACAGCAACAGCAATTCCGGTGCCGCTGGGAACGCGATGCCGAAAACGCTTTTCGAGTACTTCGTCCAGGAAGTTAGGCTTCATTTGCGGGTCGTGCTCTCTATGGACTTCACGCACCCGCACTTCCGCGCGAACTGCGCCAGCAATCCGGCGTTGTTTAAGGACTGCGCCGTCATTTGGATGGACGAGTGGACGGAAGAAGGGAAGGAGTTTGTGTGCAACGCGCGGATGCAAGAATTTCTCGGCGACGTCTTGGTTTCGGGGAAAAAGATGAAGGAGCAAACTGCGAAAAAGGGAGAGATCGACTTCGGGAATTCGGGGAATAAGCAAGTGGCGCCGAGTGACCAGTCGATCGTCCCGGCGCTGGCGCAGTTCGCGCGGAAGGTGCACAACGCGCAGCTGAAGTTCGGCGCGACGCCGAAAGCGTTGGTGACTTTGCTCCAAAATTGCTACAGCATCTACCAGAAGAAAATCGCGAGTTCCAGTGGGAAGAAGGAGCATCTGGAGAAGGGTTTGAAGAAGCTCCAAGAGGTCTATCAAACGGTTGAAACGCTGCAGGAAGACGCCGTGACGAAGCAAATCACCTTGCAAGAGAAGCAGTTACAAGCCCAGCAGGCGTTGGAGAAGATCCGACGGGCGATGGGGCGGGCGGCGGAGCGGAAACAGGAAGTCACCGAGTTGGAGAAACTCACCTCGCAGGACGAGAGTGTGAACAAGGAGGAGAAGGCGAAAATCGAGGAGGAGCTGTCGCAGATTAAGCCAATTTTAGACGCGGCGAAGAAAGCCGTGGGAAGTATCAAGCAAGACCACTTGAGCGAAATCCGGTCGCTGAAGATGCCCCCAGAGCCGATTCACGACGTGCTGCAGGGGGTTTTAAGGATCATGGGCAACTACGACGCCAGTTGGGGGAGCATGAAAAAGTATCAGTCTTTCTGCTTCTGCTTCTCTGATTCTACTTTTACGATGAATACGAACTACGTGCATACTAGTTACACACATTATTTCGCACCCTGATTGCGCCGGCACCGCAATGCGAATGCTTATAGAAGTTTTTGAGACCACCTTGCAAGATGTTCACGATCACACACGACATCACCAGGTTCCTCACCGGCGCGGGCATGATCCAAAAAATCTTGAATTTCAATGTGCGCAACATCACCCCGGAGATCCGGCGCGACGTGGAGAAACTGGTGAACGAGAAAGCCAACAGCTACGACCCGCAGGTCATCTACCGCGTCTCCGTCGCCGCGGCGCCCCTCGCCAAGTGGGTGGTCGCGAGCCTGAAGTACGCGAGTGTGTTGGAAAGAATCGCCCCGATGGAAACGAAGTTACAGCAGGCCACCGACGCCCTGTCCTCCGTGCAGTCCCGGCTGTTCGAGTGCCGGGACCAGCTCGCGCAGATCGACCAGGAAGTCGCGGACTTGCAGAACGAGTTCGAGTATCCTGTGCAAAAGTATCGTACTCGTATAAGTCCAGTGCAGGTCTTGCATTACAAATCTTGTTCCCAAGGCAAATCTGCATTACAAATTTTATTTCTCATGCTGAGGAAATTTGTAATGCATTTATATATACGACGAGCGCGATACTTGTTTTGCAGTTCATATCGAGCAACGCACCCAGGAAGCAACGGTGTTACAGATGGACCTGGACCAGGCGCAGAAAACGCTGCAGAAGGCGAATATGGATGTGTCAGGATTGAAATCGCCAAAGTTGAAACGATTTGCCATGCATAAAATGGATCCCTGTTGGCGCCTAGTTTTCAAGTGGCGCATGACAAATTTGGGTAGAGCCGCAATCCAGTTTGTAATGCTGTTTGGGTAAGGAAGACGCCTTTTGTCATGCTACTCCAGCAGCTCTATTGCTACCCCTCAACAGGCTTACAATCAGCCTCCCTTGCCTAGTCTGCAAGACAGGCATTTTGTGGGTTGCGTTTTATGCATCACAAACTATTTCAACTTTGACGATTTCAATCCTGACGCTTCCATAGCGAAGTCTTTGATCGGAAAATTGTCCGGCGAGAAGGACCGGTGGTCGCAACAAGTGTCGGAGATCAAGAAAAACGCGAGACAGTTGCCGATCCACAGTCTGCTCGCCGCGGCCGCGATCACCTATTTGGGCAGCTTTTCGGAAGACGTGCGAGAGGCGTGTCAGCGCACGTGGCTGTCTGACAGCAACCAGGAATTTTCGTTTCTGAGGTTTATGGCGACGGAATCGGAGCTCTTAACTTGGAAGCAGTTGGGGCTCCCGGGGGACCAATTGTCGCAGGAAAACGGAGTGTTGATCCAGAACGCAGTACGGGTTCCGTTCATCGTGGATCCGAACACGCAGGCGGTGGTGTGGTTGGAGAATTATTTGAACTCAGATAGCAGTTCTGGTGCGAACAAATCGTCGGCAACAACATCCTCACGTGGCTCGCAGTCCTCCGTAGAGGTCTGTTTGCAGCAGGACCCAAAGATTCTGACCAAGTTGGAACTGGGAGTCCGGTTCGGAAAAACGTTGATTCTGAAGGAGGTCGAAACCGTCCCCGCGGTGCTTTTCCCCGTGCTGCGGGAGGAGTTTACGAAGCAGGGGCCGAGGCTGGTCGTGCAGGTTGGGGAGAGGAGTTGCGACTACAACGAGTCGTTTAAACTGTTTCTCTGCACGCGGGCGTCTAATGCGTATTTACCGCCGAACGCGAAGGACCTCGTGACGCAAATCAACTTTTCCGTGACCAGAGCGGGGTTGGAAGGGCAACTGTTGAACGTGACTCTGGCGCATGAGAAGCCAGAACTGGAATCCAGGAAATCAGAGCTACTTCAGAGGGAGGAGGCGTTGAAGGTTTCCTTGGAGGAGTTGGAAACGTTACTTCTCGAGCAGCTGGCCGACAGCAGCGGGAATTTGCTGGAAAACGAGAATTTGATCCAGTCCTTGGAGCAGACGAAGCAATCCGCGAACGGGATTAAGGAATCTCTCGAGGAGTCGACGGTCTTACAGAAGGACTTGGACGACCAGCGGAACGCGTACCGACCGTTGGCGGTGCTAGGGTCGAAATTGTTCATTTTGTTGAAGGACTTCAACACGATTGGGCACATGTACCGGTTTTCGCTGGAATTCTTCATCGAGATCTTCAACCAAGTTTTGGGTTCCATCAGCAGCAACTACGGGGGCCAGAACCGAAATTTGAACCCGCAGCAAGTTTCGAGCAAAATTCGGGAGTTGGAGCGAGCTCTGCAGGTTGAAGTTTTGCACAGATGCAGCAGGTCGGTCTTCAAAGCAGACAGGCTGACGTTTGGAGTCCACTTGGTGAACGGCATTTACGCGACAACAGGCGCTGCGAGTAAAGGGGGGTCTGGTGCGGCTGGGGGTCAGGGCGGAACCAGCCCACAGGAAATCATCTTCCAGGAAAACGAGTGGGAGTTCTTTCTCGGGTCGTTCATCCCGCAGCAGAAATCCAATCTTCCCCCGATCAACTGGTGCCCGGCGGAGCGGGAAGAGGCCCTGAGCAAACTGCGTTCCGCGTTTCCGAAATACGAGGACAACTGGGGCTTGCAGCAGAATTCGAACAGTTGGCTCCAGTGGTGCCAGTCGGACAAGGCGGAGGAGCAGTTTCCGTCCGAGTCCTTCCCGCGCATGTCCGCGTGGCAGCGGGTTTTGCTCCTCCAAGCCGTCCGGCCGGACCGATTAGAGTCCGGGCTGACGAAGTTCTGCGCGGATATGTTGATTGCGAACTACGGCGGGAAACTCGGGTCGGAGCACTCGTTATCGCCGCCGCCTTTATCGCTGCAGAAATTAGTCGCGGAGGAACTGACCACGCCGGAAAAGTACGTTTTGTTCTTGACCACGACGGGCGCGGACCCATCGGTCGAGCTGGAAGAGTTCGCGACCGCGCATCTGGAAAAAGTGAATCTGCAGGCCGGCAACACGACGAATTTTGCGTTCCGCGAAATGGCGATGGGCGGGGGACAAAACGAAGAGGCACTGGAGATGTTGAGAAGTTGCGCGAAGCACGGGGATTGGTTGTTGTTGAAGAATTTGCACTTGGTGATTTCGTGGCTACCGCAATTGGAGAAAGAGCTGAAGCAAATCGCGTCTTCTTCCAACAACAACACTTCTGATCAGGAACCTCTGTGTCACAGCAACTTCCGGTGTTTTCTGACAACGGAAGTCCACCAGAAATTCCCGACCATTCTCCTCGAATCCAGTCTGAAAATTACCTACGAAGCGCCCCCGGGGGTGAAGAAAAATCTGCAGCGGACCTTCGAATCTTGGACCCCGGAGTACTTCGACGGGCAAGCGGTATTGCGGGTGAACGACCAAGTTCTGCGAAGCCAAATTCTCTTCCTCTGCGCGCACTTCCACGCCATCGTCCAGGAAAGGAGAACGTACATCCCGCAGGGCTGGACGAAATTTTACGAATTTGCGAGCAACGATCTGGCGTCGGCGTGTGAGACGGTGTCGCTACTGTTGAAAATGAACGGCCAGATGGACTGGCAAACGCTCCACGGGGTGCTGGAGAACGCGGTGTACGGATCCAGGGTGGACAACGACTTCGACAGCCGGTTAGTGAAGGAATATTTACAAATCGTGTTCCGCAACGACGCCTTGTCTGGGCAGCAGCAGGGGATGAAGATGCTCGAAATTCCCCCCTTTTCGATCCCGAGGTCGAACAATCTGGTCGACTACAAGCTGAACATTGAGAAACTCCCGGACACGGATAACCCAGCCAGTTTCGGGATGCCGGCCAACGTGGATCGGTCCCTGCAGCGGCTCAACAGCTCTCAGGTGATAGCAAATTTGCGCCAGCTAAAGTTGGTCAGCAGCAGTAGTTCGTCCTCTTCGTCTAGCAGCAGCAGCAGTTCAGGGGCATCCACCTCCTCCGGTTCATCTTCCCTGATCACCAACGTAAAGGTGTGGGAGGAGCACATCACACCCCTCTGGAAGTTCTGGGAAAGCACGAGACTCTCCGCCTCGGCCGGGTCTTTGACTGTTGGCAGTACGAATAGCTCCTCGCCGGTGACAAACTTCATTCTTCTCGACGCCCAGGAAGCGTACAGATTGGTGAAATTAGTCGCGACGGACTTGTCGTTGATGAAGAAAGTGGTCAACGGCACCGGGTTGTCCACACCCGATATCTATGAACTGCAAAAGTATCGTACTCGTAGGTAGTAGGTGCATTTTCGCATTACAAATCTCTTTCTCAAGGGAGATAAGCATTACAAATTGAATTTCTAGTGCTGGGCTAATTTGATGTCATGCGATTTGTACTAGTACGATGCTTTTGCATTTCATAATATCCAGTTCGTCGCCACGAAGCTGATTTTGAACGAAGTTCCCGACAAGTGGACCTGGCCGTCCGCCCCCGAAGATCCGATCGTGTATTTGCAGCAACTGTCGAAGCGGGCGATTGCGTTGAAGCAAGACTGGATGCCGTTGGTATCGCGCGGCGGGGAGTATTTACAAAGTCAGAAAATCAAACTCGCCGACTTTTTAAGACCGGACGTTTTCTTGAACGCTTTGAGACAGCAAACCGCGCGGAGACTCCAGAAGCCGATGGACTCTTTGATCTTGGTCTCTTCCTTCGCCGGCGCGGAGTCCATACGGAGGAACTACCAGCTGCACGACGAGCAAATCGGAATCCCGGTGCAATTAGATGGGTTGTTGCTCGAGGGCGCCAGCTTCGATCGGACGGCCGGTTTGTTGCTAGAGGTCGGGAGGCAGTCGAATTTGATCTCGTCCCTGCCGGAACTGACGGTAAGCTGGATCTTTTCCGCTTCGGGCAGCGATGGGGCGGGGAGCCAGCAGATGCGGGGCGTGCAAGAGATCGAGATCCCGATTTACACCGGGCTGAACCGGGAGAAGTTTCTGTGCTCCATCCGCGTACCCACGGACAACGCCAGGCAGCGGATTTTGAACGCCACGGCAATGTTCCTGACGGACGTGTAAAGTGGGGGTGTAATAAATGACTCTTTCGGTTTTACTTTGACAAGGTGTGTGATGTGCTCGCTCGTCGAGCTTCATGTTATGAGTAGATTTTTTTTGCTTCTTCGTTCTTCGTCTTACACAGATGGATACACCCTAGTACCAGAACCGGACAATATACTCGTATCGCACGAATGGATCGTGTTGCGTGATTGCAAGAAAGAGCCTGGTTTTTTTCGAAAGTTGCCTTCTCAATGAATGAAATTTCTCAAGCATCTTCGCGACGGCAACAGCCACACTCGGTTTGTCGCTAAGACTAAACGAAACGAATTTAATTTGTGTTGTCTTGATGCATGTGTCTGTGTGTTTCCCACAGCTCTAAGATCACCATGCTCACCCTCATGAGGAATCAGGCGCAGTCCAACTCTTTCTCGCAGCAAAAAGCTAACAAGCATTTCGCCTCGTGACCGGCCTCCTCGGATCGGAATCGGTTCCTTGCAAAATAAAGACTTCTGCCTCTTCCCGTTTCATTTCTTCTTTGTCGGTGTTTTTAGCACTTTTTTTGTGAGCGTATGTGTCTGTGTATACCCACCCGTATTAATGAAAGAAGCTAGTATTAGTTCCAGCGATCAGCAGATCGTCCCCCAAAAATATTTTTGCGCAGGAATTATCTAGTGATCTACATCTTTTCAAAATACAAAGTTACAATTAAGTACATCCAAACAGGTTCGCAACTTGACTTTACCTTCGAGTTTGTCCCGATCTGTAATGATGCGAGACCCGCGTTGCATTTGCTCTTGGGAAGATGCTTGCGATATATAGCGCTTTTCAACATGTTCACTTCATTCGCATTCTCACTCCAGCGACACCAGCATAAATTTTATCTTTTTTCATCCGTTTTGTTGACTCAGCTGCTTGACTGAGCCTACACACTGTACTAAATGTTTCGCTGCATTGATATCAATCTACTCCTACACCAACCTAGGAAAATGCGCAGCAGTAGAGCCGAGTTTTTCATTCTTGTCGACTTTGACTAGTAGTGGAACTGGAACATCAACTCTTGCAAGAACGCAACGATGAGACCGGCGCTGGGTGCTGCACGGATGAGAGAGAATCATCCCACATGCACGATGCCTGGCACTACAGCGAAATCATGCTTTCCTCTTCCAAAGATTGAAGATCTCCCGTACCTCCGCGCCTCGTCCCGCGAATGGACAGTCACTCCGTTGCGGAAGATGGGTGGTATCGAAAATGGGGTCATGACAGCGATGAATATCCTGGAGATCAGCAGACGGGCCGCTCTGATCAAGTCGACTACTACAACAACTCGATGTCTTCAAGATCGTCCACAATACAGCAGCGAGCCCGTTTCCTTTTCCTTCTTCGTTGTGGAACTTTTTAACCCGCTAAATGGGGAGCGCGAGCTGCGGTTAGTGGCTTCGCATTCGGCGCACCAGAGCGAACGCGCACAAGCTCTGAAAAAAGCAGAGTGCCTGGTCGCCGATATGAGGCGGGACATGGTAGAAAACGAGGGTAGGAGGTTTGCGATTCCAACAGGAGCGGAGGGCGGCTGGATGGTCGACAATCAGAAGAAATGCAAGTCCCAGGCGGCCTTGAACCTCATGCAGGAGTATTTTGCGGAAGCTTTAGCCAATGCGCGTGGCGTAGAACAAGATGGGAGAAGCGCAGTTGTGCCGATCCGAGAACAGACGAACGTAGAGCAGGAGGGGACGACAGCAAAAAACGACATGCCGCAGGGTTGTTATGGGCACTACGTGCTCGAGGACTTAAGGGGTTTGTGTGTATGGTAGCAAAATCCTGGGTGGTGTGGGTTTCACGCTCGCGTCTAATCCGAAAAACTGCCCAAGAATTCTTGTCAGAGGGCGGGGAGAAGTAGCAGGAAGGAAGGGGCTTGCAAGTTTTGCATGGGTCGGTCCCCATTGGCATTCCAAGTCACTTTACATGAGATGTGATTGATGTGATTCTTTTCATTACATGTCGAGTATTGTTACAGTACTGCAACTACGCTTTTTATTGTTTACCTTGACGGTTCTTTGTCTTTCCCGAATTGATGCATGCCGTGACTCCAACCGGCCAGGCTTTTGCTACCATAGTGAAAGAAAAAAGACGTAGATTCTCGGGCGCAAACATATGATGCCGAAGAAGCGACGCTGTTGATCTACTGCCGGCGGGAGTGGGTGTTCGAGCTTTATTTGCGATCCATAGGCAAAGCGCACAGACTGCGAATTCATGCACGACTTTGACCGAAGAAGCTTTTCTTTGCCATAACGACATATATTTTTGAACCACCATAGCCACCATATTCACACTTGTCACTTTATCCGAGCATCAGTAAATAATGACTCACAACTTTTACGTCAAAAGTTAGGGAGGAACTTCTGTCGCGAACCGAGATCTTCAACACTGACAGACTTCCTTCGTACTCACGAATATAATCGCATGACACAACCGAGTAGATCGCTACAGTTTTAGAGAACGGACGAACGACATCGAAAAAATCGACTGCCATCGACTTTCGAATTCGAACACGGTGATAGGACAATAGCAATAGGAAAAAAGGCACCAGCAGAGAGGTAGAGAGTATGAATATTTGCAAGAACTCGTGTTTCGATATCGGCATTGGGACAAGAAGCCATTCATTTGCAATGAAAATCGACAAGAATCGTTGCGCTTTGGCATTTTTCTAGATCTACGAGCTCGAACCAACTCCCACCCCGACCCGGTAGTAAATCTCGCGTGGTTTGTTTCTCTGCATACAAACAGTCGGCTGATCGTCTTTCACTCGCTACTAATCCAACTGGAACACGCTTGGCAGCGACACCTGGAGAAAGTAATTTCTGCACAATCAACAGGACGAGGGCACGGCAGCAACAATACCCTGGAGGTTGTCGGGTTAAGGACCGGACATCCTGAGACAAGTGCGGGAAGGCAGGAAAACAACAGCACGCTCTTAGGAAGCAAATCCCAGGGAGGTACAAGCGCCAGCGCAACGCCTGGATTTTCGACCACGCCAGGGTCGTTTTCGACCACGCCTGGATTTTCCACTACGCCTGGGTTTACATCAAGTGTGTCTTCGGCCGCATCTGTATCGGGGTGCACTAGCTCCGTTTGCGCAGGAGGGCAACACACGCCGTTTGTTCCGGTAGATTCGAACAACAACAGGAGACCTTCAAGCAGTGGCGCAACGCCCACACTTGTTCTAAACGCAGTTTCTACTGGCACAATGAGCAGTTGCGCAACAACTTTGAAAAAGCCGGCGGACGTCGTCGCCGCAGCTCCTTCGCAAAAGTCACTAAAAAGCGCAGGAGGCAGTTCTGGAGGTGCCAAGCAAGGGAATGACAGTTCATCTTCCGCATCGTCCTCCTCCTCCGATAGTAACTCGTCCAGCGATGATTCTTCGTCTGACAATGAGAACAAGAAAAAACAAAACGCAGCGGCGACGAAGCCAGAGACCAGCCTGGAGAAGGTCACTGCGACTAATTCTGTGTCCGCTCCCTCCGGTATTACTAGTAAGGAAGCCGGTCTAGTAGCAGCCGTACCTAGAGCAGAAGATTGCGTTGAGACCAGTAGCACGAGCACGACGAAGAAGAAAAAAGGAAAGGGAAAAGCCGCTGGAAAGCGCTCCGGTGCCGCCAAAATAGTTGCGGGCACAGGGGAAGATGAAAGTGCGAAGGGTACTACTCAACAACCTGGCACGACTACAGCAAGCGACGTAGACAAGAAACAAGTTTCTTCTGTACCGGCAGTTGAAGCCGCTGCTCAAGAACAAGACAAGCCGAAAAGAAAAGGAAGAGGAAAAGCGAAGAAAAACAAAGGTGACGTCGACAAAAAAGAGAGTGCTGAAGTAAAAGCCGGCGCCACGACGACACAGGCTCCTGGGGCAGTCGGAGTAGTTTCTACTTCATCTTCTTCTAGTACTAGCAACAAGCGGCCAGCAGCACCGAGTCCGGATCATGAGCGTAATGTGGATAAAAACGACCAGGAGAATGATGCGAGGAAGAAGGCCAACACGAACTCCGATCTATCCACTGTCGCAGCTGGTGCAACCTCATCATTGAAACAGAATGCAGCCGCAGCACAGGCTCTGCCTTCGGAGCAGGCACAAGCGGATGCGAAGAAGATATTCAACCCCAGCACTACTAGCGCGGCCGTGGGTTCTTCTTCTAAACAAATAGACAAGAATCCAGCCAATCGGTCGGCTTCCGAAAAGTCGAGCAGCTCCTCTAAGTCCGGCTCATCTTCGTCTTCATCGAGTAGCAAAAGTAGCTCCTCCGGCTCCGACTCCGACAGCTCGACGTCCTCCCGGGACTCGCACGGCAAACCGAACGTCGACCCGGCACTGCAGGAGGACGACGACGTGTCCGATGTGGAATCAGAGAAGGAAGATGACGCGGGGGAGCAGGAGGCTAAGAAAAAGCTCCTGGAAGGCTTGCGGCAGACCCACCCGGTGTTCACACGCATACTAGACGACACGCCGGAGAAGCGAGCGTTGTTTGCGCAGCAGGAAATGAAGCGGCAATCCGCGGAGTTTAAGAAGGACCTGGAGCAGAAAAAGCTTTTGTACCGACGCTCTCTGGAACACCGGGCGAGGACCAACGTGCAGAATATACAAAAGAGCACAGCTTTGAAACACCCAATAACTTTCGACGACTTGAGCCTTATCTTGCAGCAGGTACTGATGTCGTGAAGTTTGCTTTTGTTGTTTGTTGTTGTAGCTGTGTGCTGAAAGAAGTAGAGGTGTTCGTTCCTGCAGCTAGTCCTAGTACCTGTGTCGTCATATGCTTAAGTACAAGTATGCAAATGCATGACTCAAATGTAAATGAGCAAAAATACAGCGACTATATACTCAATCAGGTTTTCGACAACGAGGGCAACAAGGTGGCCAAAAGTATCCGGCAGTTTGAGGATCCGGCCAAGAAGGTCCAGAGCCTGACGATCGGGGTGACAAATGGTCGCTCCAAGGGCGGCGTGCTGTGTAAGGACAACGAGCTCATCGTGGACATGGAGAAGGTGAGAAGGGCGGCGAAGAGTAGAAGTGGCGCTGGTGCTGGTAGTTCGAGTTACAACGGTAGTTCGACGCTGAACCGGTTTGGCGCCCCAGCGGCTCCGCAGCAGCTGAAGTTTGTGGGCGGCAAGCTGGTGATTCCGAAGGAGCCCTCGGGTTTGAAAAGGCAAAAGCGAGGGGAGAAGCAAGCTTTGAAAAAGGCGAACAACGCGCTGCCGAACAGTGGCGAGTTTGTGAATTTGAACGAAAACGAAGAAGTGTTGGCGAAAGTGCTCGCATTTTTCAAGTGCGACAAGTTCGTCACGAATGGCAGCACCTGCTTCCAAAAGATCTCCTTCAAGAACAAGCCTCGGGAGCGAAATCTGTGCAAAGCGATGTGGATGATAGAGGAGGAAAAAAAGTACGGAATCAAACACCCGAGGAACCGCGCGACGGTGGAAGCAGCAACGTCGGGAACGAAAGAGGAGAGTAGTGCAACCGCATCGACGAGCGCGCAGACAGCCACGCCTGGGTTCGATAGCAATGTCGCCTCTTCCTCCCCTCCCGGGGGCGCGGGAATGAATGTCGACGCACAGCAACAAGATGGTGCTCCAACGAACGGCGCGAGCTTATCTTCGGCAACTGCCTACCTGGGCAAGGACTATGAGGCCGCGCAGAAGAATTTGCAGAGGCAGAAGATGCGGGAGAAGAAGTGCAATGACGTTTTCGACAAGTATCGGCCGCTGAGCAACACGATCACCGAACTCAACAAATTTGTCTGTCCAACACACATCCAAGAGGAGCTGGGCCCGCAGAAGCTGGCGGAGGAACGGTTTCTACTCGATTACAAGACCACGGGGTGCGTCATCCAGGATGAGGTCTTGCTTCAGGACGTCTACCAGGCGGAGCGGCCAAACCAGCTAAGTTACACCAGCATCGTGGTCCACAAAAACGCGAAGACCGAGATCCACACGGATAAAGGGAATGTAGGGCTTAGCGAGATCTGCTGTTGTGGGGATTACGAGGGCGGCGGTTTTTTTGAGTACGATCCGAGTTTGACGTTGGAAGATTTGAAGAATCAGCCTGGAGAAAGGACGGATAAGCTGCCCCCCGTTCACAAGCCCGTGGACGGGCGGATTGTTCCGCTCGAGGTGAAAAAGGAGGTAGCCCTGGACCAGAACGAACGAAGAAGACTGCTAGGCCCCTGGAAGGACAAGGTGCACATTTTCAAAGTTCGGAGTAAAACGCAAAAGGTGGGCGGACTGATAGAGCCGGTGCGGTATGTGGTGCTAGGCAGGGAGTACGACATCAAGCACAAAATGCGGCGGATCAACGGCAAGTTCCCCCACGCTACGATGCCGTTCTCCGGATGCCGGTTCTGCGTCGTGTTCTTCACGCACCAAACCTTCACGCAGTGCTACATGGGCGAGGGGAAAAAGGGGAGTGAGGAGATGCTGAAGAGGCAATTGGCCTGCATGAAGAACTCCTTCGGCTTCTCCCTGCCGGGGGAGGTTGACTGCTGGCGCGCGAGCGCGCAGGCGTCCTGGGACAAGCAGAATGCGCTAACAAAGAAAAGAGCTGCGTTCTGGGACAGCACGCTTGAAAGGAAGGAGAAGAAACTCCACAAGACCATCAGCGACAGAATGGACCACCTGAAGCGCCTCGGCGAGCGGAAAACGTGGGAAGAAGTAACAGACATCGTCGCGGAAGAGGAGGAACACAAAAGGATCAGGCTGCAAGCGTTCGGCAAAGTGCACGGTCACCTCTACCGGAAGCGAAAGAGGGCAGAGGACGTCGCCTTACTGGATCGGGATGCCGCGAAGGCCCTGGAAGCCGGTGCGGACCTGAAGGAAATCAACAAAAAGAAAAAAACCAAGAAGAATTTTACGAAGTCGAAGGAGTTCCAGCGAAGGGTACAAAAGCTGATCGAAGAGGAGACGGCGAACTCCACAGTGCTCCGGGACTTGGCGGCGAAGAAGAAAGGTTTACTGGCTGGAGGGGGTGGAGCAGCATCTACTTCAGGCGGCGGCATCAACACATCAAGCAAAGCGGTAGTGCACCACAAGCACGACACGACGAACGAATTGAGATCTTCGCAGCCTTCGCAGCAACAGGTAACTGCATCCGCGGATGCAGGGCGCGAACGAGGTCGCAGCGTTGCACCAAAGAAGCGCGGTCGACCGTCGAAAGCTGACGCAGAGGGCAGGGGTGATGGCGATTATGCAAAAAGGGTTAAGGGAGAGGGTTCTTCGGGAAAGTAGGTTCAGTCTCTTCATCAGCTCTTCTAATTGAATATCGTCGATCGCGATGAAACTTTTCCACCAAAAGCCGAGGGCCACTTCTTGTTCTTTCGAAGAAAACAGACAAATTCGTTGGAAAAATATGTTTAGATTTAAATACTTATCTAACAAGTTGACCAGTAAGAGCAGGCGTTCCACCCTTTTTACAATAAGATTTATGCCTCACGAATGCGCGGCACCAAGAAGGCGACGAATCAATAGAACTACTAAAGCGACAAAATAAAACCAGCGACAATGAGCTTCTTTTGAGCTAAGGGCCTGATGTCCCTTTTTAATCTTGAACATTCGAGAACCTCGCTAGACAAGATGTGCATTCCAGAAGAGGTCCCTCATTTTGATGCGTCTTGCTTCCGATTTCGTTTTATCTTTATGCTTTTCAATGGACTAGGGAAACGGAAGACCAAAACGAAAATACGACTAAAAGTATATTGGAAACAGAGCTGCAAGAAACGAGACGCTTCGAAAGCAGGAGCCGGATGACCAACATCATCTTTTCAAGCGCAGGAGGCAGATGAAATCTGTAGAAGTTTGGTCCGCGGACCTTAGTCGAAGCTGATTAAAAGGTGCTTTGGATTTTTGGGCTTTGTTGGATCAGAGCAAGAACGAACACACTCCACATTCATCCTATTCAGTTGGGAGAAGAAAATAGAGCTCATGAAGATCATGAGGGATCTTGATGTCTGAAGCTGAACAACCCGCACGATCAATACAAAACGAAAACGCTTTTTTTGATATTTCTTTTCGGAACAGCGATGCTGAACGCGCCAAGAAAAACCTTGACACGTACCAGAATCAGAAAGCAAAATTAGTATACGTAGGCGAGTGAAGATCATGTACTAGATTCTCTTCATTCATCTCACAGACGACTTCTTTTCAAGTCGGTCCAAATTTTGTCTGGACTAGTACTTGAGCTTCTTCCGCTGTTTTTGATAAATCAACTTTTTTAATATTTTCTTGTTGATGCCGCTCCCGCTTTCGCGAAACGTAACAAATTTTCTGTGGGCTTTTTGCTTTAACAAGAACGCTTACAACACGAACGAGGGAAAAAATGTCATCGTTGAGCCGGTTCTTCCTCCTTTTTCTTATGTGCAGCAGTGGGGGGGGAGAACGAGAACGGCATGTGCCCCGCTGCTTACAGTGATCAAAGTACTCTCGTCTCCTCGTCCGTGTTGACAATAAACTGTGCTAGACTAGCAGCTTTTTCCGGCCGGACGAGCGTGCTGGTCGGTGCAGCGTTTGTGCAGTCAACCTATTTATCATCAACACCTCCACCTCGAGACGATTCGTCATCGCCCCCGCCGACAACCAGATCAACTATCACCACAAAGGCGGTCGATGAAGATAAAGAAGTTCTTGCCGACGAGCGTCCGCAGGTAGCTTCGCTCGCACCTCCTGCCTCTCTGCTTCTGCAAGACTTTGATGTTGATAGCGGTAGAACTACAACCACCAACGAAACAGCTTTTCTAGATCTGCGCAGCCCCACGTCCGAAGATATTGCTCCAGGAGGAGGTGACTTCCAGATACAATGGATCAGTTCGTCAACAACCAGTGGGGACCAAGTCGTGGAAGGCGAAGGTCAGGACGCTGCTGCTGCATTCGGCGCGCAACTGGCAGCGGAAACAGAACCACAACCACAAGACGTGTCTTGTCTCTCGTTACCCAGCAACAGGACACGAACAAAAAGCAAGTCGTCCACTGGCGCCGCTTCGTCCACAACGACTCTGCGCTACAGCTCAAGCAGCAACAGTGGCGGAAGTGCGGCGAGCAGTGGCAGAAGCGGGAGGCCAAGTACCACAGTGCTGGTCCTCGCTGGAGAGGCTGACGCGGCTGGCGCAAGCGCATCAAGCACTCAAGCGAGCACGGTTGTCTTTCCTTCGCGTCCGTTTCTGTCTGAAATGCTGGCGGCTGAAGGAAGTAGTTGTACGGGTAAATCATACGACGCTCCGCACTTGTTTGACCGGGCCACGACGCCTGGAGGTGATTCGGAGTCATCGCGTGTTTCGAAACTCCAACAGAATTCAAACCGATTTTGTTCTGACGGTGTGGCGTCAGAAGAATTTTCACCATCGCCGAGCCGACTCGACCCACAGACCTTCGGCAGTGCGGAAAGCGGAAGCAGTTCGACGGGCCGGCACGGAGGCGACGAGAGACAGTTTCTGTGGGACGCGATAGATCTAGATAATCCAGATGTCCGTACGTCCACTCCGTCTCCAGCGACGAAGAGCGATAACGATGTGCCTGAGCACAGAAATGACTGGCGAATAAAAGCACTGCCATCGGGTGGAAGATGCAGCAGCACAGATTCGAAGAAACCGTCGAAATTTGCAAGAAGTAGAACCGGAACCACGAACTTACACGAGCGGATAAAGAGGACGAAAGCCGATCTTGTCGCCTTTGAACGCTCCATTCCATCGCTGAAGCACTCTCCCAAAGCGCAACCACTGCAATTCATGGCGCTTGATAAGAAAGAGAAGACATCAAAAATGGAAGCTCCTTCTGCCAGCAAGCTTTCGAAACGTCGACTGAAGCTGCATCAGGGGGAAGCAAGTATCGAAGTTAATGAGGAGGGACTACGCCGAGAAAAAGTGAAGGACTTTCTTCTTCGTGCAGAGGCTATAATGGCCTCCGACATCGCTCACGCCGATGATCATGGTTTTTCGGGAGCAGCTACTGATATGATTATTCGAGACGGAGACCGTCATGATCATACTCATACACTGCCTAGCCAGCGGGATCGAACTTCGCCCAGAAGCAGTTTTCTGGAAAATAACTCGGACGCGGCCTACCTACCTGTCTCGCTTTTTTCTGAAGATGAAGAGCCATTTCAAATAAAACAACAGACACCTTCCCACAAGGAAAAAGAGCGTTTGTCGTTTATTTTGCCAAAAACTTCTTGTTCTAAAGGAGCATCATCTTCAACATCTCCACCCCGTGCTGCGGACGATGAGAAAAGGACATCCGCCTGCCGGAAGCGCGACCACCAGCATCAAGCCGGCGTAGCAGTGGGCACGGAGAAGGGTAAGAACATGACGCGGCAATCCTCTGGGGGCTCTAGCGAAACTTCTGCCGCGTCTGCTGCGAGTTTTTCATCTTCTTGCACAGACCGGAATGCTAGCCACCGCAAGAAGCTGTTTCACGAATTGAAGCGGGATTTTTTCAAAATAAAGGAGTTGCGCGCCGAGCAGCGATATTACCGAAACAGCTGCCGGGAAGCAGAGGAACCAGTCGTGATGAGTGGATTCCACGAGCAGCTTCTGTCAACACCGCTCCAGTGGCCGCTCTTCTTTCCGGCATCTAGTAGTTCGTCATACACCTCTACTTCTAATGATGAAGCGTTATTTGAGGACTGCAGCAGTGCTACTGGTAGTGAAAAAGATTCCCCATCCGCGCCTGCGATCAGTAATATGGGTGCGGATAGCCCGTGGTCTGCATCTTCCGCAGAAGAAGCACCCTGGATCCCTCCTGCGGGGCCGGGGTTGGCTGACATGTTTCGCTGCGTCAAGCTTCCGGGGCGACGCCGTCCGGGTGCGCTGCCGTTTCGGGGAAGGCAAGGTAATGGGGATGATGGAACATCTTCCGCAAGCGCTACACGACTTGCGCATAGTCTTTCGACCAAACTGTCATTGTAAAAAAAGACTTGAGGCCTGCTGCTAAGAATCCTGGCGTACCGTGTGCCTGAGCTTGCCCTCAGCTTTCGGCGTTTATACATCACGCATAGTATTGTATTAATTTCAGATGTTGCTGCTTACAACATAGCGCCTGTACTTACATAGAGCGCCTTCGTTCCTCTCGCACTTTTCGCATAATCGCACCCGATCTCATAGTCATAGAAGCATCTACTTGCGAAGGAGAACATAAACTCAAAGAAGCCTGCGAACAAGTATACACGACAAGGACCACGAAAGTAGTGCCTGCTGCTGCACTTTGTTCTGCCACACACATGTTGCTTGTGGACTATACACGCGCACCCGCACGCTCCACCTTCTATATATGATAATTGTTCCTCTGAGCGATTGGATGCGAAATAAGATCCAGAAACCTGGATCCCAGATGAAGATCTCGATCGTAGAGCAGGATCTAAAGGAGATCATTTTCACCCTGATGATCCCATTAGTAGTGACCGATAGATATCAATTGATACGTGCAGAGGATCCCAGATTATACCGAGCTTTCAAGTGATGGTGATCCACGGCAAACATTTACATTGCGCGACTGCGGTCGTGAAACTGTGTCCGATGAGAGAAAATGATAATGAATACAGGTCTCCATAGAAATTAAGTGGGCCTTCATCTATTTCTTCTTCCAGAAATATCGATCTCCTGTCGTGATCGACAACTCTAAGGAATGGTTTTCTTCTTGCCCTCCGACAACCGCCCAGGTGAGAGCATGCTAAGTCTAGATTAGTACACCCTGAAAGATTATCAACAACGACTTGTTTACAACTTTATTTCGAGTTTGCAGTCTTCAAACATAAAGATAAACATTTGAGCGAAGAAAAAAAATTCTTTACACTTTTATTACAGTACTACCAGCAACATATAGGGCGGGACCACATATTGAGTTGTTTGCGTTACCGAAAAGAGCTGTCAATTTTCTGAAACGCGGCAACCAAGTACTTCTACTTACTTTCCGATTGAGATATATCCAACTGCAACTGATTTGTGTCTATACAAGCTCTAGTTTTGAAACACATAAAGAAAAGAACGACGATGCTCATGTTTCCGTCCCGTCAAAGCAGACACAACCGCTGTTCTAGCGGCCACGGTTTCGTCTGCGGCACCGTCTTGGCGTTGGTAGCGATTAGCCAGCACTGGCTCTTCGCAAACTTGAAAAGTGGCGTAATTGTTACACCCACATCCGCGCTCACGTTGACGAAAAAAACCAACAAAGACATCAACCCGCATTTGGTGGAAACCATCGCGGGGCTGTCAGTCTGGGAGAGCTGGTCATTAATTCGTGATGCGTCTGCGGAAAAAAACGATGGACGATCTGGATTCTCTTCCGCGGACCGCCAGCCACGAGAATAGAAAGGAAAAGCCTGTCATTCCGAGCGAAGGTGGATGCTGCTATCAGCGAAAGCGAGGCCCTTATACCGCAGTTGCAAGATAAGGCCGTTCAGCTGCGGAACGCGCTCACAGAAGTTGAAGTGCAGCGGCAAAGTTTTTCTCAAGGGGTAGGTGCTGCAGAGGAGGCTGAGGCATCAACATCTTCCATGTCTTATCTTCCGACCATGCAAGATGAGTCGACTCGGACTCACGTGCAGTCCGCTTTTGTAAGACAGCAGCGTGCGCGTGCGCGTTCGCCGCAGGGCGACAGTAGCAAAAAGGACAAATATCAAAAACCACATCTGCGTTCGTGCTTGAAGAAAAACCCTGCCGCGAGCACGCCCCCAAGGACTCCGAGTCGTCAACAAAGCGGCGACGCCGTTCCGACCGACGAGAGTCTTCTTGCGCGGGCGGGGGACCAGCCGCACAGCGGGGAAGCACTTGGTGATTTTTCCGAGGCAGACGCTGATAGGGTTACCATTCCAGACACAAGTCCTGCGGCTAACACTGTCGAGATTTCACCGGTGAGGCACGTGTGGTGGGCAGACGGAGGTGGCGCTGAGGACGCGCCCTCTACCAATAGCGACGAGAGCGAGACGGTATCGACCTACAGCTCGACGACCCCCGCTTATACTGCTAGCCCCTCCACCGCGCAGCCCTATCCAAGACCAGGTAGCTTTTCTAACCATGATCGTGACTGCCGATGCCACCCGGATTTGGTTTTGCACGCCTGTGATTACGACCCGGCGCATCTCGCGCAATTGTGCAGAAGGAAACAGGAGATGGAGAAACGCAAGGCGGCAAAGGCAAAAAGACGCTCGGTGGAAATCATAGTAAGCGAGGAGCTACCGAAGATGAAAGAAATTCAAAAACAGCTTACCAACTTTCGTGCCTGGATGGAGCTCTATCGGGCGGACAAAAACTGTCCCGATAAACCGGACAGAGTCGGAAAGATCGATGAAAACGGAAACGGGCTGTACGCAGCGTTTCTACGGGGCGTCTTGCGAAAAGATTGGGAAGCGAGGCAGTGGATCCAAATGTTGGCGCGGACCAAACAAAGTGTGCAGAGACAATTGGCGGAGGTTGACAATTTCTTAACGTGCCATGGTCTTTCCGGAGAAAATTCGGCTTCGATGCGTGCTGGATCCGGTTCTTCATCTACTTAGGCGGAACACATAAAGACGAAAGTAGATGAAATAAATTAAAATTTGCTATTTACAACAATCGCACGCGCTCACCCAGCGTCGCGCAACTAAACACCTTGTAGAAATGAAGAGCCCGACATGTATGATCTTTTGTAGTGCGTGCCTGCTGGCAGTGAGTGTACTTCTTTCTTCTCTAATCCTATCAAGACATATTGCAATCGCAACTACCACGATCTGCATTTTGTTGTGTCTGTTTTGAAGCTTGCCTGCTGTAAGATGAGTTTTCAAATGTTTGTGTCTGCTCGACGATAGAGTGCTCCTTCTGGTGCTTTTTTGTTCCAAATGGAATTTTTGGCCAGAAGTTGGGGCACAGCTTTCACGTTGAGTACAAACCGGTTTACGTTTTGGCATGTCGAATGTAAGTGTTTGAAATCTTCATGATTTATTTGAGTGAGACATCAGGTAGGCCACTTTCGCCGTATTTGGTTACTTTCTGTCACTTTTACACACGTCGTCGATGACGAAGAAGGAGCAAGAAGCGCACTAACGTGCGCTCGTCGCCACTAGCACAAGCTGGTAGACTACTTCTCGACTGTCTGAAGCACAAGGAAGTACTTACAGTGAACCAATGCCACATGGAACAAATTCTGAAGTACAGTGAAAGAATGCAAAAAATCTTAGCGACCCGTCGCCGGGCATGCGCATGCTTGTTTTTGAAAGGCAGAGGAGCTCCAGTGTGTGTAGTTATTCAGTTGGCACCAGTTGCTCCTAGTCCTACCTCCACTGCTTGGTTTTATTCGCGACTACGTCCAGCTCTGCCTCCGTGTCCAGCATGTTTTTTATCTTACCTTGATCTAGTGGTCTATGTCTATCTTCTCCTTCGCCCCCTCTTCATCCTGTTTCCGTCCCTGTCCGCCGTCAGCGTGGAAAGGGTTTAAGTGGAGGGCTTTAGGGAATTAGGGTTCTTAGTTTGATCTTACTTTGATCTAGTTTATGTCTAGTCTCTCGAGATTTTCGCTACTTACCTGCTGATCAACAATGAAGTAAGAGCTAGAGGATCGAAGGAGATTTAGCAGAAGCAGAAGGATCCTCCATCTTGTTAAAGAGCTAGGTCACCGATCCGAGAACTTCTCCTGTTGAGAAACGACCAGCTCTCGCTCTTTTTGTCAGGACGAATTGCACTTGATGCATATCGGAATAGCAACTTGTTTTCCTCGCAGTGGTCTTCTCGTGCTTTGTTTTCTTTTGGTCAACCTCGCGTACTATATTTATCTGGTCAGTCCTGATTTGAAGATAATCATAGTTTTCGTTTCTCTGCCTTCTACTGCGATTACGTAGATCATAGGTACGACGGAGCTGCAACGACAGAAGCTGATTACTACGAGCAGCCATGTTCTTTGAAATGAATTCCCGACACAGAAACAGAATGGCCTTTCTTCATAAGGTTTTGGTTTTCGCTCTGACTTCTGGTCTGAGTGATTTCCTCACCTTTGATGGAACGCAGGATCATGCACCGGCGCAGTTCTCCCGACATGCAGGTGGAACAAGGCAGCCTTACAGAAGCCCGGCACCAGGTGGTACTCTCTATGTTGCAGCAATGAGTCCCCTTCAAGTCCCGGGTTGTAGTCTGCGCCCTCGCGGCGCCGGCACGAGCGCGTGTCTGCGCCGACGCGCGGGCAGCGTCGGGCCCGCGCCGAGACAGACCGTCGTGCAAAATATGAACGGGGAAGCTGCTGGTGCGCCAGCAGCGTCTGCGTCGTCATCCCCCAGCACGACGGGACGAGTTGCTGAAGGTTCAGTAGACCGTCCGCCCGGTAGCAGTAACACTTCTTCGTCGAGTATCGAAGAAAAAAACACCATCACAATCACATTTAGGAGGTTTTGCATCAGAAATTTCTCTCGCATGACAAATTTTTCTTGTATTGCAAAAACCCAAAGGGAAATCGCCAATAGCTCGTGACTGTCATGCATTTTTGCGCATGACAAAAATTTTTGTATTGCAAAAATATGCAAATGTGATTGTGATGGTGTTTTTTTCTTGAATATCGAGGACGTCCTCGTCGTGGTTCGGATTACTACTTGGGACGACTGCGACGACCGAAGAAGATGATGCAGACCATAGACATAGTCATCGTCATACAGTTAATACAGATCCTGCAGCTCATAACATAGAAGGTGTTGAAGACTTGAGTACCCCTGCAGCAGCGGGTCCGAGTGCTGTTGACTCGTCCTCAGCAGGTTTTCTTTCATCTGCTTCCGGCGCATCTACCGCTTCTCACCGTTCCTGCAGCCCGTCTTTACTGGAACACGGACGAGAACAAACAGGCAGTTTTTCCCATCATGCGGGTGATGAACAACGCGAACAAACTCCAATCGCCCGCAATCCGCTCGATGTATTCGGCGCTCGACAGGACCTTTGTTGCTTCTGCATGTACCCACTGATAAGTAGCGCAGCTGCTCCTCCGGACGAGGAGCAAGCGGGACAAGGCGGAGGACGAAGACCTTGTTCGCCGGCAAGAACGCAAGGGACCGCGGCAAACGAATCTCAGCAGGAGGAGGTGGTAAGTGGAACACAATCTTCATGTGGTACTACAAGTTGTCCTTCTACTTGTTCGAGGACGACAGAGGAGCCCCAGCTGCAGGAGCCGGCAGATAAAGTGGTCCAGAACAGCGTTTGTGGGCACTTTTTTCACAAAGCTTGCGTCGATGTTTACCTGCAGAAGCAAACGAAACACTACCGCGTGCGGTACGCTACCTGCCCACACTGCCGCGAACCCTGGATCAAAAAAGAAAAAGTGAAGTGGATAGAGACTTTCAAAGACCGAGCCGAGTCCGTCTGCCTCCATCTCGCGGACCAGTTCGGCCATTGTTGCTCCGCTTGGAAACAACTGCTGAGACTGCAACCGCTTTCGGATTGGCTCCCGGAGGAACGGCGCTACTTTCCAACGCGTAATGAGTTTATCGGCCTTACCAGCGGAAACTGCATTTGCATACACGCAATTTTGCAAGCAGTGAACTTCCAGCCGGAGAAGGCATGCTTTAATTTCCTCACCACCCCGGGCTTACCGAGTGTGGAGGAACTTGTGGCGCAGGCAACTGGTGTGCTCTCCAGTCTTACGGAATTACCGACACACCAGATCCAAGCGTTAAAACACGCTGTGGTGATGTGTTGCATTTGCAACGGCTGCTTTGTTCTCCGCAGACCGCTGGTGGAAGGGGTGCGGAGAGGCTTCCACTGGCCCTGTCTGCCACCGAAACGCGCGGAACAGGAGCAGATGTGGGAGGTATGTTACGATCCTGCAGATGACCAGGAAAGAGAGAAGTTTAAAAATAGCGGCCCTTGTATTCACGACGACCTTAGGCGCCCGAATGATGTGAACCGTCATCACGGACATGGAGTCGCAGTGCGCCAGTCAGGAGCCGCAGGAGCATGTTCACAGGCAGCAGTGCCAAGCCAGCTGAGGATGTGCGAGTAAATAAAGGCACCCTGAGGCTGCACACGAGATGCAGGCTCTCCACATTTTTTACTGAAGTTGTCCTGATGCTGATGAAGATGTAGTGAAGCCGTGGTGCGCGTTGATGAAGATGTAGTGTGGTCCGCGTCCATGCATCGACTGCTGCTCCGCGTTTATTTGATCTTCATTTAATGGCCCTCATCACAAAGAACCGATGGATCAGGATCTTGATTCGATGTGGGCGGTTTGGAAAGACAAAGGGTAGAAAGCGCCTCGAACAGCGACGATGGATTGCTCGCGTTTGGTGTTGAGGAGGACCTCGACCTCGTTGTATGTAACTATAAAAGTTTCAGTTAGTCCGAACCCACTCACTCCAGCATGTCGGAAGAGAAACGAGCACTGGTGACGCTTTTAACGGTTGTAGGGAACAACAAGTTCTTTCAACAGAACGACAACGAGCGTGGACGTGGAGGACTCACTGTCCCCGTAGTAAGTAAGTACTTGGACGACCGCTTTCTTCCGTACTTGTTCTTTCTGTGTATCATGTCAGGCAGAACAAGTCCCGAAGTACTTAATCCATAATCGGGAGTGTAAAGAAATATCAAGATCATCCACTTCTTGAGGAAGATACTCAATGGTTCCCCAGATCTTGAGTTCGTCCCTAGATCATGAACATGATCAGCGACTGTGGTATTTTCATTGATCCTCATCCTCTGAATCGAATCCGATCCTATTTTTAGGTCAAGGTTCATCTTGCATCGTTTATTTTCCGACGTATCTAATTCTAGATGATGTACTAGCTCAAGCTCCGAAATCACAATCAGCAACGAACGAAAAGGATCTGAAAAGAGCTGAATGATCATCCATTGCAACTCGAAAGCCATGCATTGAAAGTCAAGTAATCGTGATCCCAATTCATCCAAAAATCGGTCAAGATCAAATACAACCAAATGGTGTTGTACGCATGGTGATGATCCTTTGCTGCCTTGAAGAATTGACTAAAATGCCTCACGAGAAGATATGGATCTTCATGACACGCTGTGAAAAATATGAAGGAGAGCCACATGATCAAGTTACGACCGCACATTTTCATTTTCTCTCCCAAAAGCCCTTGTCAGCCTTCCAAATCACTTTTGCTTTTCGTTTTGTTAGAAAAATATCCCACATTTTGGCAAAGGCTTTATCCATTTACGCTGTCTACTTACGCTTTTTGAATGATGAAGATTTGACCCTCTTGTATAATTTCTAAAGTATGTAATGATGTTTTCGCTTCGGCAGTACTAACAAACACGCTTTATCATGTTCTCCTGCATTCATAATTTGTCGTATCGAAACGAAGCAAGAAGAATTTAAACGGTCGCGCAACAACATTGTCTCCCTTCATCTTATATGTTCTAGCTTTTCATCTTTCTTCACGGCGACAAACACAAAATAAAAACACTCGACTATCATGGTGTCGCATGATCGTACAACAAGTTCTGCAGCGCCTGCCGCAGCAGGAGCAGGCGTCAAAAGAGCCTCCACGGATTCCCGAGTATACGACACTAGTGCCGGCACAAGAACTCGTTTGGTCTACTACCAGACCGGGGACGGGCAGTGGGTGACGATGGCCGAACCGGAAGATGACACCTTTGAGGAGGACCGTTCCTCGAACACCAGCAGCATTTGCGGTTGCGCCGTGTGGGTGTTTGTCTTGATCATCGTGCTGATTTCCGTCCTCGTGTTGGGGGGTATCATCGTCGCGATTGTCCTCTTAGCGGCGAACAACGCCTCGGACACCGGAAACAACCATACTCCGGCGCAGCCCCGCCCGCCCCCGACCGGCGACGACATTTTGGATTCTCTGGTGAACATGAACAAGGACGTGCCGGAGGAAAACCTCCCGGGTTATCACCAACGCCACGTGTCCGCCTATACCCGGCTGGCGAGCCCGAGCGGGAATCTGCTCGCGGAGATCACGAACAACGTGATCACGGGGGAGGACCGCTATTCGTACACGGCTACCGACCGCCTGTTCGACGACGGGCAAACGATTGTCGCGTTTCTGAGCCGGATCGGAGTGCGCAGTCGCTCGACGCAGACGGTGCTGCCCCAGAACTTCACCCAGCTGGCGCAACGGGACGTCGAGTACCGCACGTCCTTCGGACTGCGCGTGGACATTGGGGACAGCCCGGACTGGCAGAACCATTTGGTCCTCCTGGATACGGGCGGCGGCGCCATGAGCTACTTCCTGGCGACGCAAAAGCAGCTGCAAGATTCTGGGTTCCGGAACCGCAACACGGGCCGCGGCCGGACGCACAACAGCACGACGAAGAAGGACATTCACATTGTATGACAATGCACAACCCCCCCTCGTCCCCCTCATTTGTATTTCTATTTTTGCATGAGCAGCATAAATACAGACACCCTCACGACCTGTGGAGCCAATGCTTGCATGATAAATTTTTGTTGTTAGTAGTGTAGTACTCTTTAGGCCGCTTCCGGAGTTTGTCCTGCGAACAGTGCCGAAGGGAAGCACTTTGACTTTGGTTTGGGGTTTTGCATGACAAATGAGGTCGTGGTGGAGGGGGAGTTGTGGACTTTCATACATTGTGACCAAGTTTCAGAAGGACCGGGACTACGTCGAGTGCCGCTACGTCGGGGGCTGCCACAAGGGGCGATTGGTGGGGGACCGTTGGAAGATTGCCGGAAGCAACGCGCAATTGCAGTTGAAAGACAACAATTTCGTCCCATCGGACCAAAAAACCCTGCCGCTCGTCTACGTGCAGGAGCCCGGCAGGCGGGACAATCCGGACGGCGGCAACTTTGGGCTCGGTTTCCGCACGGAAACGTGGAAAAGCAACATGTTCACGAGCGAGATCAGCACCATTCTGGACCAGTTTCGCCTCCACAGCGTCTACAGAGGGGCAGCTGCGGGTCTTGCAAACGACCCCTTTCGCCCGATGGTGTACAGCTTCCAGCTGGCCCGGCCGACGGGGGAGAAGACCACCGAGTGGCATGTGTACCCGCAGCTGGTTATCAACAGCCTGCCTCCGGACAGCGGCGACCGGCTCCGCGCGTTCGACCTGGCTCAGCAAAATTTCGCCGTCCGGGCGGGCGACGTGCTACTGCAAAAGCTGGAGTCCGAGTGGGGCCAGGAGGGTGCGTATCCGAGGGAGATCTTCAATAAGATCAAATCCGCACGTATTGACAAGGATGAGCACACCTTGAATTACCTGCGGTCGAAGGTGCTGCGGAAAATCTACAACGGCGACTTTGGAACGCCGCAAAAACGGGAGCAGACCACCACCAGCCCGTTCTACAAACAGATTGTCAAGCCAGCGACGGATTTTCGCCCGACCTTCTGGCAGCTCCACATCACGCGGGTGCGGATCGGAAAGACAGTCGTGGAGGCGGAAAAGGACATGTTCAAGTACAAGTTCAACGACGCGCGGGCCCGCATGCCCGAGCCGGACCCGAACAAACGGCTCGACGCAACCTTCAAGCCGACCACCGACTGGGAGTACGGGTGGGACGCGTTCGACCAAAATTTGGCCGACCGGAGCGCGAGCGTGTTTGACCAGACCGATTTGAAGCGGAAAGTCCACCCCATCAACGGCCCGCTGCACACCACGAAGATACGCATGGTAGCGGTGGATGGGACGTTGGCGGACAACTTTGACAAGGACCAAGACGAACATGTCCACCCGGACAAGCGGTACCTCGCCGTGGTGGACTCCGGGTGGTCCATGCTGTCCCTCGCGAAGCCGCTGTACCGGATCTTTCACCGGAAGCTGGAGCTGGTCAACTTTGTGTGCGAAGACGGGCCGGAGCTGGGCTTCGAGTTCGAGACCGGCACGGAGCGGCACTGGTACTTTTTGACGCCGAAGGACTACTGCTTCTGCCAAGGGGTGTATCTCGGCAACAAAAAAGTGAACAGTTGCGTGGACGACGGCGGCATGGATGGCCGCGACGGCACGGCGGTGATGCTGGGCATGCCCTTCCACCGGGCTTTCTACGTAGGCTACGACTACAACAACCGCAAGCTCTGGCTGCCGAAAATGTAAACAAATGTGTCTAAGTTGTAATACTACGTAGAAGATGAACAACAACTTGCTTTTCTGCGTCTACTGCCACGATTTTTTTGTGCTGTGGTACCGCAAGAACATAGATTGTGTTACCATGTAGGATTATTTCAAATTTTGAAGAAGCGCATCACCTTGTCGTGGCCTTGCTATCAGCACATGCGCGACACTGCAGTTGAGCAAGCTATCAACAGAAATCCTTACGCTAAAACGGAAACGAAAAGTGATCGGCCAGTGCTGGTCAAGCAAGAAACAAAAAAGTACTTATCACTAGGCCAAGCACACTTTTACGACAAAAATCATGACTATGACCACCGACGCTGCTGCTTTCTTTCAATTTGGCCACTTTTTTCGCTTTTGATTGGTCCAAAAACTTTGCTTTACGTGTATGATGTAAGTACTATGAGTTGAAACAAACTACGCACGCACGCGTGCTGTCGCTACACACAATTATCCTTTTTCTGTACAAACAGTGAGAAAACTGTTTATCTCTCACTTTGAATATCGTCACTCTCAGAAAAACGCAGCAAAGCAAAAGCTTGTTAAGTAGCAAGCTAAGTTGTACGTATGCTTCCCAAATCTGTTTGACAGCGACACTGTGAATTGAACGAACTCAGAGCATTTTGAAAGAGGAGTAGACCGAACACTTTGAAAATTAACTGGAAGTCCTATATGTATTCTTTGGGCCTTCGCCTTTGGCTGCACAGAAGTACTAGATGTTGTGGACAATAGTCATTATATACAGAATTGGTCATAGCGCAAATAATTCCAGTCGGCACAAGGACGCTATACCATAGGATAGCGCCGTCCTATGTATAGGTATTTCGCATCTGCACAGGCCAGCTCTAAGTAATCGGATCCGATACAATCAGCATCGCATGATGGCACCACTGGCGGCACGTGCAGCCTTGATGCTAAACATAGGGGACGCAGGAGCAAAGCACTCTCCTGCTATATTTTGGTTGGAACAGTTGAAGCTACAAATAGTCAACTTTTTTTATTCTCGCACGTATACTACAGAAGAAAGGTAAAGGATAAGGAAGGACCACAGGTGTCGAGTGATGCTCGAGCCACAGTGGAGCTAGTCCTTACGCATTTCATTTTGCATAGCGATAGTTTACCACGAGAAAAAAAAATAAAGGAAGACGAAGTCGAAGTTGTCTCTACTCATAGTTATAGATTTATCATATGTGATCATGGTCCTGTTTTGTTTTCTTAAAAGTGCTTTTGAGTTAGTTCATGTAGCTAGTTACGTTTTCGCGTTCGCCTTTATTTGATGTGTATGACTGCTTGAGCGATCGAAGAGTACTAGTCCCTCCCTCGTAGTTCCTCTTTTACAATTGTTCCGTTTCCGAGAACATACGTCTCTTTCCCCTCTACAACACCAGCTGCGTCATGGTAGTGCTCTCATCAAATGCCTTTATTTTTCCGTCAGGCTTTATTCCTGAGGTCAATTGCTACAAGGAAATAAAGGAGTCAACAACATAGAACGCTACACGACGAAGAAGTAATAGATACTGTGGCACATCACCCAGTATTTTTCGTAGGGGATCAACACACCAAAGGAACCCATCATGTCGTGGTCGTCGAGTTATTTACAGACTTAACACACATGAATTTCGCCCCCTTCTGGAGCTGGACGTCGGAAAGCAAAACCTCATTTAGAAACTTGTGTGCCCACAGCTTCGGGTCGAAGGTTGCGGAGGTTGCGGCGCTGCACTGAGAGGCGCTGTCCAACCGATTTGATCGCAGCGTACGTTGTTTGTTCTCCCATAAAAATCCGGCGAAAAACAGTCAGACCGAATGGCGCACGCGAACTATGCAGACTGCGAAGGCAGCCTCCGAGCTGCAGCATTCTCTTGTTCTAATCTAAGTGTGTCAATTATGTAATCTCCGCAAGCAGGTGTAGGGGCACGACCACCCCATGATGATAATGTCGCCTCTAGTACAAAAATCGTCCTTCGACATGTGTTTCTTCTTTGTTGCGATCCCGCTAGCCATGGTTTGTCCGCCCGTTCCTGTTGCGATCGTACCTGTCTGGTCCCCTCTCGATGTCTTTGTCGGAGTGGTTGCTGAGGAACAGGCAGCCCACCGGAACACTGTTGAAAATGATTCTACATCTACTACAGATTTTGTCAACATAACACAGACGCATTCCGATTCCGAGGATCGTCTTGAACAAGTGCCTGCTTCTGCTGCACTGGAAACAAGTCGTGAAGCTGCTACTGACACTGCAAGTAATCGTCCTGTTGCTTCTCATACAAGAAATGTGGAGGCACGAAGAGACAGAGACTTACAGCACGACAAGATCCTCGTGAAAATGGATGACATACACATAGATGAAAAACCACCAGAACAACACATCAAACAGGACAACGCCACACACAACAAACCCGGTGGAAGTTCTGCAGCTTCTGGTGCGCCGCATGGAGATCTTTCCACCACCTCCAACATCCATGCTCAACCCAAAGAGGAAAATAAGCAACGGAAATCATCAGACGATTTGCAACATCCCCTGCTGCTAAACTTTTTTCGGCGTAGCAGCCGTTTTAGTTACACGGTTGGCGCAGCGGTGTTTTTTCTGGATTTTCTGTTCGATAGCTACGAGTTTTTTGCGTCGTCCTTGCGGTGGATTTGGATAAACTGGCTGATGCCAGGTAAGGACCAGCGTCCAAAGTCAAACACAACTTTCAAGGATGCAAGTAGTACGGCGACGAGCTCCTCAACGGCCCGAACGAAGCTTTTCACCCAATACACGCAACAGCATTCGCTCTACTCAAGGCGCAGACTGCCGAGCGGTGGGACGCTAGAGGAAAATGGAAAAGATGAGAAGAAGAAGCACCAAAACGAACGAAAGGATCTGGATCAGGAGCAACAGCAGGAACCCGCAAGAGGAAGAGGAAGAGCTGCGAAGCATCTTCTCACGGAAAGCGATCAACAGCTGGAAGCGGCTCATCGAGATCAAGTCCGAGAGAACGAAACAGCTAAAATGGCTAGCGGTAGCGCCACCAGCTCCAGCAACGACACCGAGCGTGACTTGAACAGTACGGTGGCTACGGCCGAGGTAGAAGATGAAAAAACGCCGGAAGAAGGACAAACTCAGCCGACGCCTGCAGCCAAGGAAGCGGATGTTGACCAACAAGCGCTGCAAGAAGAAGAACACTCTCCCACCGCTACGCACGAAAAAATTGATACCAAGTCCTCCGCCGCGGCAAACAGGAGCCCCAGCAAGGTTTCTTCCTCCGAGATGAATTTGAATGATCCCCACGAACAAGAACAGCTGAAGAAAAGAAACAAATCTTCCTCGCACAATCTGAACCACTCTCTTCTGCACTGGATCCTGCGCATCATGGAGCTCTGTTTTTTCACCGCGCCAAATTTTGGTCTGTACGGACTGGGGGCAAAGGTGTTCTATGAACTGAAAATATGTTGTCTGGGTGCAGGAAAGACGCCACGAATTTGTGTTATTGAGTGATGCATGATGACACAACGATCTTTTGTATGGCATCCACGAGTCACAAGCTTTTCCTGTGGTATTGCGAGACCCATCGTGATCATTTGCATGACAAACTGAGTTTCACAGCATGACAAAAAAACTGCCCAATTGTATTCATTTTTATGCATCACAAAGAAATCATCGCTGTCCTTGAAGTTTCGCATCACAAATCCAGACCCAGACATATTTGCAATGCATATGCTCGAACTGTTGACCATTTCCGCGGAGGAGTTTGACCGGTTGGGCGAGAGCATTGACATCGACCCGGACCAAGAGCCGCTTTTCCTGGTGGACAAGGTGATGCGCGGGGTCAGTGACTCGGGGGAACTGGAAATCGTGCAGCAACTGCGCGAGGTGGCTGAGGATTTAGAGAAGATGAAAAACTTCTTCCAGTACCACCTTGGTTATTCTACCGACCCGGACCACGCCCATTGGCCAACCGCGAGCTCAAACCAGGCGAGGAAAAGAGCAAAGGATCTTAAAGACCGGCGCAGTACTCTATCTTCACGGACCGCGACTGCAAATCAGACTGATGGTGCAGACGGTGTAATACTTTCGTCCGATGAGAACAGCTTCGGCGGGGGCACATCAAGTAGCAGTCACAACTTCAAAAATCCGCCGGTATTTACTCTCGAGGACCTGGTCCACCACACACAGAAGGGGGTCGAGAAAGTCTTTTCCTGGCTGCTTTTCTTCGCACACTACCTTTTCGTTTCTTTCGGGCTTTTGGTCTTTTTCAACGTGTTTTTCGTGTGGCTGGTGATGTGGCTTATCGTGTGGGGAAACGTGCGACTTACCGTGGACGGGCAGTCAGTGCTGGGCGAGCGGTGGATGGAGAGACGCCAGAACGACTTGAAATTTTTCCAAGGCTTTTTCCAACTGGCAATGTGAGTGGAACGATGATGAGACAAAAAAAGTAAGTACTTACTAGTACGGGAGACGCGATTCTGATTTTAAAAGAATGATCTCTCGACCGAAAGGCTGCATCTTATTTCGCCTGAGCTCTATCGAATTGACGGCTTTTCAGTTCGTCGGACTGTCGGTAGCGCAAAGTGACCGGCATAATGCATCTTCACGGTAGAGTACGGCACACAACAACAAAATTATTCCTTCCTTGATTTTCAAAGATTTGAGGCAGAAGCGATTTTTTGGTATTGTAAAGAAGCCGATGAATTGAGAAAATTTATACCACTCGTGTTTTTTCTTGATTATCTTTATCCCCACTCGTGTTCGCGCTCGTAGGTGCCTCGTGTCGTGCAAGGAAAACAAACACAGTGTTGTGAAAAGAACTCGACGCATTCGTACCAAATGGGGAATGATTCATCTGATTTTCGGTCCGATCTATCATAGTGCAAGGCAGATTCATCATCCACAATTAACATTTCATTACCGAGCTGGTGTGGCCCTTGTTCGGTTCGTTCCTTTTTGTTCCTGAGTAGGAAAACCAGCACGAAGTCGTACACCTTTATTGACAGTAAGTAGTACTTGCGGGGGCACTGACCCCCGGCTCGCGAGCAAGTAGATCGGGGAAGGTTAAGGTTTTAATAAGTACTCACACACTACATTGAAAATAGTGCACAGTCGTTCAATGGGGAAGATACTTCAGCGTCGTCATCTTCGTCAGCAAACACAAACATCAGAAAGACTTGACTCGGCCAAGTTGAACCTGCAGTTCCTATTTTTCCCTACCAGTACGCCACCCACTAGACTGCTCTGTTTGATCAGATAAGCCCAAGAAGAACATTTTCTTTGCCATACGACGCAGTTTTCTGAAGCACTAGAAGACGAATACACAAAGACTTCGTCACAACTTTGTACGCGTTTAGCATAATCACTCAGCAGTACTGGATCTGGATCCGACAAAGATATAAACATGGCGATCAACCTGGACAAGGCGTCCCAGCTGTACGCGCAGTCGATGGAGCTGCCCATCCCACTCAACACCGCCGCCACGAACGTGATCGACCACGTCGACCAACTGAAAATCAGCAAGGTCCAGCAAATCTCCACGAAGCAGCCCAACCCCTCCCTGGTCCACCTGACCAAGGTTCCCTTCGAGAACTGGCAGGCGTGGCGGGAGAAAAACCACGACGACCGAGTATTACAATGAAAAATGCCCCCACCCCAGAACTTGGCAAGTTTGTCTTGCAAACCTTTCCACTAGAAACATTCCCCGTCTTGCATATATCAGCATCACAAATTTTAAATGCGGAACATCTAAAATTTGTGTTGCGCAAGAGCCCAGCAACAGCCGGGCCTGTCATATGAAAGACGCCTTACTCGCCTATATTCTGCATCAGAAAGATTCATAGTCCTTTCATGCAAGACAAAAAGTCTTCATTTGGAGACTTTGCATCGCAAATTTTTGAAGCATTCGGGGTGGGGGCATTTTTTCTTTTGATACCGAAAAATCCGGTTTTTCATCCGGTCCGTGATGGGCCGGTGCGTGCCGATCGAGTGCGAGCCGTGGAAAACCGTCGGGGACCTGAAACAACTGATCTTTGAAGCGGAAGACATCCCGAAGCACTTGATCCGACTGCGGACAAAACAGGGGTTGGACCTGGAAAAAGACAACCACGTGCTGGACAAGGACTGCGGGTTTACCTTCGAGAAGGCAAAGGGGGACCCAAACAACGTCACGCTGCGCTGCATCTGCAGGGAGAGCGTGATGTGGAGGTGAGCACGGAGGTGTTGAAGCAGACGAGAGCGACCGAAATAAGTTGTAGCATTTTGAGACTTGATGTTGTTGCAAAAGTTGTGACGTCGACTCGATTTGCAACTTCTAGGACCCGTAGCACCAGCACAAAGTAGAAGGATTAAAACGCTCTCCTGCCAGCACTCTGAAATTCTCAAAAGCATTCAGCGCCAGTGGTGTCACTTCTCTCTGTGAAAACGTCGACCACGATGAATGCGTTCATCTTGAGGTTTTAGACGCTTCAAAAAATGCACCTTTTTTGACACACATCTCCGGGCGATGGTCAACATGATATATAACTACGAAAATGCAATGTTATCTAGACATCAAGTAGCCCTTGTTGATCTTTTTGATGCCTACCCAAACTACGTGACCAGTGTCACCAGCATACTGTCGCTATAGCTTTTTTCAGCTGCTTTTGAATATCTCTACCACGTCCTGTCTGGATAAAAGCCGAGTGATCGAACATGATCGGCTTCTCGGGGCAGCCAAAAGCGGCTTCTCGTCGTGGCTTGTTCCTCTCCTGACCAACGGTCGGGCGTTACTAGTACGAGAAAGGTGATCCTAGTAATTCAGCGTGCGTCGTTCTCACGTAATAAGTACTACAAGTACGAGACAATGCAAGTTCTATGCGTCGGGTGAAGTTTACTCGGCACACCGCTGTACTGGTGGTTGTGGTGGAGCTCAGCCACTATGAACGACATAAGTAAAGTAGTTTTCAATTTCGTCTTACTTTTCTGGCAATCGGAAAGGTAATCGTAAATCGCGAAGTTTTGGGTCGTCTTCTATACTCGTTACATACAGCACTCGTGGTCGTGTGTGGATCAACGCCGCGGTCCAACGCAGGGCCATGTCGATTCCTTCTCAAACACATTATTTAATGTCGATTCTACTTCGTGTGGTGCTGTCATTCGTGCTACCCTCGTCAAAACAAATTTGGCGTTCCCTTGGTGCTACCCTCGTCACAACAAATTTGGCGTTCTTGCCGCTGGCATGATATATAAAGCCTCGTCCTGGGGGACGGAGAAGGATCATTAGGTTAAGCTCGCTCTAAAAGTTTCGCTTAGATTCGTCGTGAAGATCGATATCATTCCTTCGTGAAGATTTTTCGTACAGGCTCTAGCTCATTGATTTTGATGAAATTTGACCGGTCTACATCTTGATACAAGTAACCAAGGTTTGTGAACTCGAAAATCAATAAAAACGTTTTCATATCAAAGCGTGGAAATTTTTGATTGTCGAAGGATGTCCACCTCGACTGCCGCCGCACCGAGCAACATGTTGTTCTTCGCTCCTCCAAAGAGGTATTGCACCGGCCGGGAGCTCCAGAACGCGATGGCCATGCTTTTACTCCTGATCACGACGTTCTACTTCACGGTCTTCTACGCGCAGCTTTTTTACGACGTGTCTGGCGGTCCCCACGATTGGATGTGGGATTGCCGCTCGTTTCGCCGGGTCGACTACACTACACGACCTGCCTCTAGTACGTCGCAGCACTCGTCCTCCTCTGCTACCTCTTACAAAGAGGACGACCCTGGCCCACTCGCGCTCGGTGGCGCCTTGAAAAGGTACGTTCCAGTGTACGCCTATCTGCTGTTTGGCTTTTTCTGGTGCTGGTGGCACTTGCTGCACGCGATTTGTGCGGAGAGTGTGGCGGCGGCGGTAGGGGAGGAAGCGGCGATAACATTGAGGCGTGGCTTAGATTTAGAAAGTCAAACGAGATCGCAAGTAGAAAAGCGGCAAACGGAAATGAACCAATCTGAAAGAGGAACAGGAAAGAACCTAGTAGGGCAGAATCAATCTAGTACAGCTCGTCCTGTCTCCCCGTCGACAACGCCGAGCAGCTTGCTGGCGCCGGAATTACTACAAAGCCGCAATCAAAATGTTCAGCAACAGCAGCCACTTTTCACGGAGCAACAGAAGATCGAATTTCTCGATGACGAAGAAGATGAGGAATTTTTGTTGCTGCAAGGATCCGAATTTGATGTCAGCAGAGTCGCTAACGATGTCGGGACGGTGGACACAGTAGAAGGCAAAAAAGCACAACGCCGGGGGTTCCTGCACGAACATCAAGACCAGCAAAAACTCGCGACCGCAGCCGCGTTCGTACCTTTCTTGGTATACCGAAACTTTTTCTGGGGCGTGAAGTGGGTTTTGGTGCCAACCTTTCTCGTGTTTTTGTACCGGGGCAGTGTAGCTACGTGGAAAAATCGAGGCGAGCTGCGGGACTGGTTGGATGTTGACGATGGAGTAGTATTACCAGAACAAGGTAACAATCTTCCTGAAGAAGGTGACCCCACCGAAAGCAGTAGTTTTGGCGACAACTTTCGCAGCAGCGAGACGAGAGAACAACCAGCAAAGGACTTTTCTTTATTTTCACAGGCACACGGCGCGCAACTCACGTCTTCTACTACTGGAGGTGCAGTATCTTCCACCCCCGCAACGGCGAGCTACACAGCGAATTCCGGTTTAGACCGCGCCAGCCGGAGAACGCGAACTACCTCCCGCGCAGGACTATCAAACGAGGAAGACAGCACTGACAGCAGCTTTTATGACCAGGCGCAGCGTATAGCATCTTCTTCATCTTCTTCTTCTTCATCCAGAACCCGCGACAACAAACTCCTGAGTCAGCACGCAGACCCCCTGCGAGCAAGTACAACCGCAGCTTCGGAAAGTGACGAAGCAGAAGATGGAACAACCATGACACCAACTCCAACAAGGCAAGCTTCGTCGCAAATGAACCGTAGACTGCGCTCCTTTCTTGCCCAACAAGCGGAAAAGCTGAGATCCGCGGCCGCAATGCGGCTTGTATACGGGGAAGGGTATGTCCCCTCAAGGTATTTCTTTTACCCCTTCGGGCTGCTCGCACACGAAGAGGAATTCCTGGTCACCGTCTTGTTCTGGCGCGTGCTGCTCGGCCGGGTGGTCCTGCACGTTTTCTTGCCGATACTGGTTTTCCTGTGCAGTGTTTTGCTGTACGAAAGAAGACTCAACAACTTGGACAACATTTGGAAAACGTACGGGACGAACATGAACAAGAGCAACTGGAACTTTTTTGCAGCTCGTGGCGGAGGAGATGCTGCAACTACGACATCTATCGCTGGTTATGACGAAGGTAATATTCGAACCAGTCTGGTGCTGGCGGAGACAAGCAGCTACGGGTCCGCGAAGAGTTGTGCAAAAGTGGGCGTGGGAATTAAAATTATGGGTGGTAATAATGATAATTCAAATAGCGCAACAAGATCCCCACCCGTATCGACGAGACAAAAGAGTCTAGAGCTTGACTCGCCGGATGACATTGGAAACAAAAACGCCCAGCACGAGCACCAGCAGCTCGAGGAAGGTGATGCTCTCAACGGCGCAACCGCGATGGCGGAAAATAAGCGAAATAGAGGACTGTGCTGGAAGTCGTGTGGCAGCACCAGCAGCTTGAAGTTGTTCCTCTTTTCATTTCCAATGAACCTGATAGCGGCCTTAGCAAAGCTCTTTCAACTTTTCTATCGGTTTCTGGGCCGAAGGTTCTTCCGGCTGTTCGTTTCAAATTCGAAACGACAAGTCAACTATCTGGAAGGAGGACGGCATGAACATGAAGCGATGTTTCGGGTGGATAACAACATTGCTGGATGTGGATCATCGTCAAGTGGGAGAACTTCCACGTCACTGGGCGTGCAAGAAGAACAGCGACCGACCGCGTCGATAAACTACCACCGAAGAGATAAGGTGACGCGCTTTCTTCTGAACCAAATCGCAACCAATTCCACCATTCTGCGGCGGGGAACGGAGGAAAATTTGAAGGTACAGCTATTGTACGAGCAGGGATATAAACTGGATGAAGAGGCTGAAGAGGTGGACTTGGGACCATCAACAAGTGCTGCAGCAAACAGCAACACGACAAATGTTAACAACGACGTCAACTCGCGGATTCTGCAGCAAGGTCCTACTGCTACTGGCACAGCTTCCCTCGCAAGCACGGCTTCTGCAGGAGCTCTAGTACAGCCATCTGATACAACTTCAAGTAGTAGGGCGGTTCAACTTCAAGCGAGTCTTCCTGTAGTTTCCTCCACCGCTTCTTACCAGATCAGGCAAAAGAAAATCTCCTCAACCGTTGGAACATTCCGCAAGACGACAACGAAATTCGCGGTATTCTGCATTCTGCCGATCTACTTCGTCTTTTCCCTGGTGCTGTTCCTCTTCTGCAGGTTCATGCTGTTTCCGATGACGATGCAGTCACCGAGCATCGATCCGCTTTACAATGCGTTGGTGCTGGTCGGGGAAAGGAAAGCTCCAACAGATGCCGACTTGTTGGAACAAGAAGACATTGAGCAGGAACTGGCTGGTACTAGTGGCGCAGCATCGACGTTCGACTTCCTTCCGTCACAACAGGAGCCAACATCTTCCGGGACAACATCTCGGGGCGACAACAAAAATCCCGCAGCACAAAGAAATCGCTTGCTGCAGAAAGCCGCTTACTCGCTGCTCGCGGCGGAGTTTGGGTTCCCGCCTGGCGATGTGGCTTACAACTGCGGCACCTTAGTGAAAGAAGTTTTGGAGCAGCAAATCGAGCAAGAAGCATTGACAGCCTCTCATGACGTCGATCATGACAACACAGCTGCTAATGAACTACTAGCGGCCGCTACTAGAAACAAAGTCGTCGACCCGGCCTTTGCTCCGGGAAGCGTGTTGAGGTGCGAATTTTCGTCCACGTCTGTTTCTGGCGGGAATTTTTATCGTGAACCAGTGGAGGCAGAGGAGGACCCCATCATTTACATCTACACGCACGGAAACGGGGGAAGTGCTGCTACCAGTCACATGATCCTGCAGGAAATCTACGCCAGAGTGTTTTTGGCACCAGGGAAGAACACAAACAAACACCCCCGCCGCCGACCCCGGCGCCTGATCGCCTACCTCCCGACCTACCCGGGGTATCCGGGCACCATGGAACAAATCCAGCACGTTTCGTACGGGGGCAGGGCTGTACTTTTTTTGAAGAAATTGCTCCACCACGTCATGCGGAGGTTTCGCCGAAACAGAAACGCGAAAATCGTCCTGCACGGCATGTCCATCGGAACTATCGCCATCACCGCTGCATTCGATCAGTACTTGGAAGAGGCGGTTGATAACATTACCGCAACGAGGACAGGCAGAAGTTTGTTCTCGACGCTTCCCTTTCTACCAACCCTTGCTTCCGCCGTGGGACTTGCCGGAAATAAGGCAACGAGCGGAGAACAAGCAAGTGACGGAACAAAGTCGAACCAGGATAAAAATTTTGCAAGAGTCACGCACTTCCTGCTAGAAGCCCCACTAACCTCTGTCTACGACATGGCAATTCGGTTCGTGCGAGACCGGATCCAGTGGAAAGTAATCGAATACTTCAATTGGCAATTCTGGAACTCGTGGCAGACGCAGGCGGAAAGCTCGGTGGCGCATCTGCGCAACATCATGGCCGCGGGGGTGGTATCATCTTCTACCTCACAGAGTAGGACAACAAGTCACGCCGAAGATCACCCGGATCAAGAGCACGCTCTCGCTCTTGAAGGAACAAGGGGAACAGCAACAGCAGTGAAGGACTTGCATGTGAGGATCATCATGAAGGAGGTCGACGGTGTTGTCTATCCGGACATGGCGACACAACTTGCCGGTATCGTGGATGAATACGAAACGAACCAGAAGAACGCCGATAAAGGCACAGTGCGTTCGCCAGGTGATGATGAAAGTACTTCGTTAATCATCCAGACCGACGCACGGCACAACGATCTCATCTTTGAAGCGAGCCCGCACTCCGAGGCTTTTTCGCGATGGAAGAATTTTTTGCTGGAGGACTGAAAATTACCAGATTATGGCGGTGATACAAGTTTTAGTTTTGAATTTAAACCTGGTTTATTTCCACCAATAAAGACGAGCAAAATTTGAAAATGTAAGATGGAGGCTGTGTAAAAATCTCTTGTAGCTGTAGTTCTTTGTTGAGCGAATCTATCATAATCATGTTTACCCCTTGTATGTTGTCGTATTTTTACGAATGTTATTCGCTAGCTGCAGCCGCAGATTGTAATTTTCTTATGAAATTGGTATGGCTATGGATCGATATGCTTTCAACACCCACACTCACTTTCTCCTGCAGTGGCTTGACACCCTCAGCAATTTCATGCAAATGCAAATCTCAATTTCGAATTGGATCATGTTATGCCATAGTAATATTCTCAGTTTCCGCTGGGCGTGGATCTATTGATGATTTTCGTCTGAAATCGTCCTTAATGTTGGCTGTGTTAAGTTAGAATGGAGCCTTGCATGTCCTGTGCTTGATCGTTTTCCTTTTTCGCAAAGCCAACATTTTTCTTTTTGTTGTCGTAATCGTCCGGATGATGGATGAACAAATATCATCCTGAATCTCGTCCCCATTAAGAGTATGGAATTATCATCGTGCAGGGTAGTCCTCGTCCTCGTTTCCCTCTTCGTCCGTGTGGCCAAGGACTGCAACTTATCGTGGTGGGCTTTCAGGTATTACCTATGACCGTTGTCAATCTGGGGATGTATCACGTACGCAAGGCCGTGCTGTCGTTTTCCGCTTCGATGCAACATGGACATACGAGGAAAAAACAGTCTCTTTCTGCACAGGTAGTCGTCCCCGATAATGTTTTGATTTTGCTAGGACCCTGTAACAATTTCCGTCTAACTGCTTCTACCCACTATTTCTATTAATTCAGCCCACCATACCATCGCTTTTTGCAAGCTTGAGCTACCAAGAAAACCAACATCAACAATGGCGTTCTCTTTATCGTCCCGCTTTGCCCCTAGAAGGGCAGACGCTCTGTTCTTTGCATTACTCCTCTCAATCACCAGTTCCATCCCAGAAGTTTCAGTATTTTTCCTGAACATTGGTCTCCCGCCGCTGTTCGCCGCCGCTGACACCCTTGCCGATTGCATCATCAAGATCCGCGACAACGGCACCGCCTGCGACCTCGACCCCGGGGTGCACACCTTAGGGAATGAGACCATCGACTTCCTTCAACTGCCCTACAACGACTTGTACCTGAAGGGCGCCGCCGACCGCACGACTGTGATCGACGGCAGTGAGGACATCACGAGTCTGCTCACCTGGGAGGAGTGCAGCACGTTAACCAGCGGCAACTACAAGCAGATTTGCGAGCAGACCCTGCAAAACGAGCCGAACGTCAACAGCAATACGAAAATCTACTCCGCGCTCCTTCCGAAGTACAAGCCAGTGTACCAGCTGTGGGCGCAGACAGAGACCGGGTTGCGGGAAAAGATTTCGCGAAAATGCTGGTACCCGCACGGTGGCCGGACAAGATTTCGTACGAAGACTTCACGTCGAACAACCACGACCGGTTGCTGGAAATCAACCCAGATTTGAACAACCACTAGGGTGAGGTCCCGGACTGGATTTCCCTCTTCGACACGGAGCAGACGTGGGCCAAGATTGTCAACGGGTACCACGGCACAGTGCTCGAGGACGCTTCCACCTTGGCCAATTCCTGGGTCCGGGCGACGCACGGCTACGATCCGCCCAACACGGGCCACGGCTGGGTACAGGACGACCAAAACCAGCTGGCCACCGTAGCGAATCCGAAACGGACGTACGAGGTGGACGGCGACGTGGGGGGGCTGATCGGTGCGAACAAGGGAAGCTACACGGTACCGACCCCGAAAAATCTGAACTCCGCCTTTCCAAACAATCCGAGTTCAAGCAATTCTCTGAACGTGACCGGGTCGACGATTTCCATCAACTGGGGCAAGCAGATGACGGAGCAGGGCTACGTGTACGAGATCAACGGCACAAACTCTGACTTCCTCTATTTCAACCGCATCCGGTGCCACCAGCACGGCGGGGGCAATGACGCGCCCCCGTTTCAGCGGAGTGTCGCGTATTTGTCCTGCTCGGCCACGCCGTTTCTCTCGAAGGGCAACAACAGCGACGAGGAGCGGGGGCGGGCGAGCTACTACTTGTCGAACAAACTGGAGTTTCTGAACAAGGAAAAAGAGTGGTTTTTCCACTTCTTCACCGCCGAGGACGCAGCTTCTTCTCCCGGGGGCGAAAACACCGACGAGCTTTACTCCGGCCGACTGTTTGTCCGCATGCCCTCGCACCCGCAGAACTACAAGTTTTTCTCCCGGCAGGTGGACGTGGGGCTGAACTTCGACTGCAGCGGCAACAAAATGCAGCGGTTCGAACTGTCCGGCATCACGTTTTTCGCGAACAGCATCACGGGGCACAAGTGCCACTATTGGAAGGTTCTGAACAACGACTTTTTGTACTCCTCCACCTCTCGAAAGGCTTTGAAGCACGAGTGGCCGAACAATGTCGATCTGAACTTTCCAGATCTCGACCACCCGTTCAGCAACCGGTTCTACCTGTCGAATTTCGCCCAGATCACCGGCAACAGCTTCAAGTTCGCGGAGGGGAAGGCCTTGGAGTGGCAGGGGAACGAGGTGGTGTGGGAGCAGAATTTGTTCGCTTTCAACGGCTGGCAGAGTTTGGACTCGGCGTCGACCATCCGTATCAAGGGCTCCAGTTCGGACGAAGACGCGATCCCGCCCGCGAAACTGGCGCTCAACATATCAAATGCAAATATGTCTGGGGCTGGCGCTGGAATGATGCAGATTTTTGTCATGCTGTTTTTCCATGACCCTGAAGGTCTGGCAAGCAAGGTTGAGCATTACAGGTTTTGAGAAGCTGCGTCGATGCCTAATCCGCACGACGAGTCACCTGTTTTTTCGGTGACAAAAATGGGCAAGTCTTGCTGTCTATGCATGAGAGATTTTTGTGTGTTTGAGATGCGCATCACAAGTTCCGTCTTTCCAGATGACCCAGATGACATTATATTTGCAATTCATACAACACGTTCAAGTACAACGGGCAGGTGAACGCGATGATCGCGACCAAGGCCGGCTCGGTCCTCGAGAAGAACCTGATCCAGTTCCAAAATTTCGGGAACGCGCAGGCGGGGGGCGTCGTCACCTCCGGGCCGGCGGGCACGGCCAAGAGCCGCATGGAGTACAACTGGATCGTCGATTCCGGGGCGTTTGCCGACGCGTTCCGGTTCGACGCCTGGGCCAGTCACACCTTCGACACGGTAACCAAAAACGGCACGCTGCGGTACAATCTCGCCTGGAACGATATGACGCCGAATGTAATGGTGCCAGGAGGAACAACAGGATCAGCTTCTGGTGCAGCTTCTTCCAGCACAACTATCGTCGCCGCCACGACCAGTGTGCCCTTCATTCCCAAAGTTGCCCTCCAGGGCGACGACCACACGGTCGAATTCAATTCCCTGCTCCCAACGGGGCAGATGGACGTGCAGCGGGACCTGGGGGTAAATTTGTGCGGGATGAACATGAACAGTAGCATCCGAAACAACCTGCTGAGCTACTTCAACCCGTACGGGGAAAATTGCATCAGCGACGTGCCGGGGACGACCGGGTTCGGGACGGAGGTGATTTCCGGCTTACCGGCGAACACCGTGGAAAATAAACCGCTCCAGCCGTTCTACTACACGGATCTGAACCCCTGCAGTGAATACCTCCGCGACTGTGAGAAGTACGACTTCCGGCCGATAGCGGTTGCAACTACAAGTGCAGCAGCTTCTGCAACTTGAACTTCTGTCCAGTACGGAATGTACGCGGAAAACTCCTACAACACGTCGTCGTCCCCGTTCGCCAGCTACTTCATTCCCGGACAGCGGCACAGTGTGTATCCCACGCCGTTCTCCGTGTCGCGGAACCACAAGCTTTTCGCGCAGAACCAGCAGAAGCTGGCCGCCGGGCAGTTTGCGCAAATGATTGACACGGACGTGGCGCTGCTGTTCATCGAACAGCGAAACTGCAGCAGTGTCGGAGCAGTGCTCGGCGGGGGTACTAGTAGTGGTGCAACTACTGCTTCTACTGCTCCTACTTCCCACAACATTTCCCTCTCCTACCGCCTGACCGATGGGTCGCTGTTTCCGGTCACGGAAATCGTGGTTCCTGCCGGGTCCAACGTGGTGCACGTGGACAGTTTTCTGCGCGGCTGGAGCATGTACAGCTGGAGCATCGTGAGCAACTGCGAGGAGAGTAGTGGTTCTTCTAGCAGTTCCACCGCGGCGAAATCAGTCAACGGCACGGACTTCGAGGGGGGTGTCGGGCCGATGACTTTATTGGGCGCGAATGTGTACTCGAACCTGTACTACGCGACCACGACCACGACGACCACGGTATACCCGATTTCCATCGCAGATCTGTACAACACAAATCCGAATGGCGCGCCAACTTCGTCTTCTACTACTGGTACCAAGGGTGGTGCTACAGCAGGAACCACTTCTCCCCTGGTTCCGGCGAGCGCCTACGTGGTGGAGTCTTCGGTCACCATCAGTTTCGGCTCCGCGGCAGCGGACAGTGCCTTTTGGAACGCGTGCGGCACCACCTCCAAGCTGAACGACGCGAGTATTCCCCTCTGTGCGGCCTTTATCACGGCGCTCAAGGCCTCGGTCTGCAACACCGTGAACCAGATGCTCCCGGAGGGGAAGAAAGTGGAGTGCATTTACATTTTTTACGTGAAAATCGCCCTGCAGGTCGTCGACGCGACCACTGGGCTTACGAGTGCGCTGCCGCGCAGGCTGAAAATCGAAGTGAGCATGAACATTGGGGAGGATTTATCGCCGTCGCTAGCTGCTGGTGCTGCGCATATCGAAAATAAAAATGTTGGCAGGTCTAGTGGTGCCACATCGACAGCAGGAGCAGTGCGGTTGCGCCGAAGATTAATAGATGCGGCGCCAGTACTAGCACAGCAGGACATGATCAACATCGTGGACAAGAATCCGAAGAAGATGTCCGCTCTTCAATATACCGGGATGGTGTCATCTTCAACGTCTTCCCTTGCACGGGCAGATGAGGAAATAGTAACAAGAAGTGCTGTCAAGAACCACCTGCTCAGGAGCAGCACTTCTGCGCCGGAAGATGGTGCTCTTCTTGAAGACACGACCACACGGTCGTTAGTACCCGAAGACCACAACGAAAGTGTTACCATGATATCTCCAACGCGGAGGTCTTTGACGGCTGCGGTGAGCATCAACTCGGGCAACGTGCAGGTCCTTGTGGAGTACGAAATCCGGTTTCCGGATCCCGCGGAGGCCCTGACCCCCGAGAAAGCCAACGAAATTTATACACTTCTGCAGGCGGCCGCCGCCGCGGCGGCCGCCTCGGGGACCACCGCCGGAGGGGGATCGATTGCCGGCGGGGGAACGACTTCTACGACGAGCACAGCTGCGGGTGGAAGCACCTCGTCCGGGACGAGCGGTGCAACGGCGTCCACATCTACCACTTCATCCGGAGGGGCTGGGGCAACTACTGCCAGTACGACCGGTGTCCCGAGTTTCGCCTCGTTGCTGGCTACCGCACTGACCAGCGCGATCGCGGCCGCGCCCGAGCTGCAGACGGCCAAGCTGACCTCCCCCGGGTCGTCGATTTCCGTGGAAAAGGGCCCTGACGCCGTGAAAAACTTTACGGTTTGGATTCCCGAGGCGATCTTCGACTCCGTGCCAAACGCCACCCGGGTGGACGTGCCAACCGTGGCTTCGACGGCGGCCGCCGGAGACGGCAACTCCTCCCCAGTCGATGTGATCCTTGGCGTCGTGTTTGCGGTTCTGTTCCTCGTAGTCTTTGGCGTGTGGGCCTATCCGGAAAAAAACCGGGAAAAGGTGCGGAAGTTTGCGCAAACGGTACGAAACCGCATCAGTGGCCGCGTAAATGACGACTTGATGTCGGGAGCTGGCAAGGAGGACGAAGAAGCTGCTCCGGGAGACGGAATGCTCGAGATGGCAAATGCTGGCGATGGACAACCGGAGCTGCAAGTAGAGGGGCAGCAACATGGTGAAGGAGAGCAAGGCGCCGATCCGGATGCAATCAAGTTGGATGTGGGGCAAGAAGAAGAGGCAGACAGCGATGCCCTGCAGCTGAACAAGTACGACAGCGCGCTGGCGGCCATTCCGAAAGCAGGCAAACCGCTCCAAATGCGCAAAAAGAAGGCAGGCGGAGGTGGACCCGTCTTGCCGCCGTCGGCGGATATAATTCTGGACAGCGTTGCGGTGGAAGAACAAGCTGGTACAGGGGTTGCGGAGAAAAGCGGCGAAGCACAAGCAGCGACAGAAGTAGAGGACAACAGAACCAAACCAGGTACCGCAGCGAGTGGAAGCAGTTTGCTCACACCACCTCCTCAGCAAGAGTCAGGGTCGGCACTAGAGCCCCCTTCGCCGCGATCGCTCAGAAAGCCGAAGGCAGGGGCGAAGTAGGCGGAGGAACGATCATCGTGACAGGCTTGGTTGACAGAGGACAAGACTCGTCTACTCATCATCCTGGCTGCGGATACATCATCTTCATCACTCTTCTAGCTTCGCGATGTGGTACGATCTGCATCACTCAGTATCTACTTCAGGCGCGGGCTACGTACTTACTTCCAATTATGTCTCACCACATTGATTTAATCACGATGTCAGTACGAGTGCCAGTTCCTTTCAGTAAAAAGGCTTTTACACGCGCCAGTACTTGTCCTTGCCTTGATGCAAGTGAGTAGGCTAGTACGACGCTGCTAGATCTACTGGCCAAAAAGGTGACTCAATAAGTTGCAATCTTATCGTGTTCTGTAGAGCTAGAGGCATCCCGAAGCTTTGCGGGCGTCGTGTTCTAGTGTTCACAAAATCGTCTCTCGTGTTGTAGTTTCGACCCGTCTAGACGAGGCAACCTCGCAAAGTCGGTTTGTTTGTTCCAGCAGTGGTCATCATTTGCCATATCTTTTCTGCGCCGACCGCGATTCGGTTTCTGTACTTATGTTAAATTCGTCACAGTGTCGCTGTCGGTCATCATCTTGCATATATTGCTGCAGCAACTACAACCAGTGGTCGCATGGTCGTCGCTGTGTCGCAGTTACATCAATTATTTGAAGCGTAGCTACGTACTGTATCTATAACTTTTTGTTTTTTTTATTTTGATGTGCAGAAGTCATCTGACACTGACACTGACACACAGTGTAAATCAAAATCTACCATTCGTGTTTATTAGCAGAACAAGTCGTTGGCTGGTATGCTTCAAGGAGGTACTTAATCCTAATCGGCAAGATAAGTCTTGTGCCCTCGTCCGACCAGAGGCTCCTCCGCGTCATATCGGTTTATTCTTCGTTGGTCGCCAGCACTTTGTTTCGGTTTTATGTTTGGCCACGCCACAAGCACAACCTCTGTTCGTCCTTGTTTCGTGATATATCGTTGACCACAACGACCTATGGAGCCTGTAAGTACGTACACATCGTCCCTATCCTGCCTGTAGGCGTGATCGTGAACATGAGTAGCCTACTATGTAGTTCACATAATGGTAATGCCACCGTGACCGTCGTAACCGTAAGTAGTAACATGGATTGCATCCAAAGAACGGCGAAAGCAAGACAAAGACTTGGAGCACTGCATGCTGAGGATGCTGCGCCAGGAGCACGACTCTGAAATGTACCTAAAATCATCGGAATTCAAAGAACAGGCTTAGCCTATTCCAATTCTTCCGGAGTCGGCTTCATCTTTTCCTACTGTTTCAATCCCCCGTGTAGTTTCTACAAAAATTTACGATGTTTAACGTACCCCGTTGATATCGTTTCAAAACGTAAACATAGTTTATCCATTTTCTACATTATCATTAAGGAGAGCGTGCTTGGGCTCTTACTTTCTCTGTACTACTGGTGCACCCGCACTAAAACAACCCAAAGAAGCTTTTGATTTACCAAAATCAAACTCAGACTCAAACCTCATTCGACCTAAAAGATGCTTGCTGCGGGTGCGGTCAGGGTCCGAGAGGACAAACGGTGAGTACGACGCGGATCCCGACCCGTCGTCCCAGTCCAATTAACTTGAGGGAAACTAAATCTTTCCTGAAGAGTTCGGAAAATCTTCTCCGGGTTCAAGAACCCGGCTCTTGTATGGTTTTTCACGACCTCGTTTCACTTCTACAACGAAGATGATCAAACAGAAGCGAAATAAAGCAAAAGAAAAAGACCGGAAGAAAGCCTCCGGTCGGGCTGCGAAAAATTCTGCTCAACAAGCAGGTAAAAATAAAACGAGCAAAGATGGAAGCGGAACCGCGCCAGATCATGTTCTTGATCCTAATGGACAACAATCCCACAGGAGAAAAGCGGTAGCATCGATCTTCAGCCGCAGCCCTTCCTCCAGTTCCTATGCCTCGTCGTCCTGTAGCTGCTACACAAGCAGCGACACAGGTGGTGCAGATGAAACGGTTCTGGACGTGTACGACATGGAGCACCTCGAGGTTTACCGATTACGAAAAGAGCGACCTCCTGCTGCAGCCGATCCTCCTCGTCGGCAGGGCAAGAAGCCAAAGAACAAACAGAACCAGTCCGGCTCTGCTACTGCTTGTTCATCATCAACATCATCATCAACTTCCTCCGCGACAGCGACCTCTTGCGAAGAGGAGGACGAGAGCAGCTCTTCTTCTGACCCCGTCGCCAGTCCACCCAGTGTAGGCCTGCTTGTTGCGCCGGCCCCGGCATCATCCGATCTATTATTTCACGATCACGTTCTACTCGGAGAAGCAAATTATAGTCCAACGTCGGTCGTGGACGCTGCAGAGCTGGAGCAGCAGAAAGTGATGATGAAAACTCGTGTGGGAGGAGGTGAAGCACTCGAAGGTGACGATTCACAACTCGTCGCTCGCACGGACAGCAAAAGGAAGAAGAAAAAGAAGAAGAAGAACAGCACGCCGACCACCAGCACGACCGCAACGACCACTACAAACGCAACAACTACAACAACGGCGTCCTCCGACGAATCATCATCTTCTTCTTCTGATGAAAAAAGAAAGAAGAAGAAGAAGAAGAAGAACAAGAAGGCAGCGCAGCAGGTCGTTGCTCGTTCCAATGTCATGTACGACCTCAAGAGCGACAACCACTTGCAAAGCGTCGCACGGCAGGGCGGAACGGCTCGCGAGCTGAAAACTCTCCTCCAACAAGGACCACTTCTAGTGCTCACAGTTATACTGATTCTTGCTGCAGCTGTAGGTGCCTGGTTCTTCTTGCTGGGTCACCTTCCGGAGCCGGAACGAGGAAATGTGAGCGGCGCACAGGTCGTGGAGCACGAAAGTCCCGTGGCTTCGGGGACGATGCAAACGAAAGAGCTCCAGCCACAGCAGGCATTTGTGCAAAAGCGGAGAAAAAAGACAAACCTTCGGGGAGGCTTTGCTCCGCCAACGGTACAAGACAAAGTGCCTCCTGCGTCCTCGGACGGTGTGGTCGCGTCAACCCCCCCCTACCAGAAGGACTGCGACGAAGCCACCAGCACACCTTCTGGTGTCAACTGCACCCCGAAGGAAGAAAAGGACCAAGATGCGTTCGGATTTCACGGCGACCGTCCTGCCGCAAAAAAGCAACGCCAGCAGGGCCACAGGGCCAGGGGAGCAGGGACAGAAAGAAACGCCAAAACTAATCCCGCCTTGGACTTTCTCGAGACGCTGGATGACGTACCCGCAGGAGCCTCGGGAGAAGGAGGAACAAGCGCTACTTCCTTTGCCTCGAAGGGGAAGGCAGGTGCGACACCTGCAGGTGGAGCTCTTTCCTTGCGTCTGCCGCACATGGCGCCGCCGCCTGCGAGCGGTGCATCGCTGCTACTTCTCGCCGGTGCCACGAACGGAACTCTACCGGGGGCGGCGGACGGTCTTATCGGGGGTCAAGAAGAAGAAGCCATGACGCGGGTCAGCAAGACGAACTACCCCGTAGCCGTGACATCGTGGCTGCAGGAAGTGCGGGAACATACGGGAACGCGAACTGGCGGAGGAGTACCACAGGCTGTCGCTGCGACCACCTCTACCGTGACCGCGTCTCGTCAAACGACGCTACCGGCTTCGGCTCTTCAACAACAACAACACGCGGTGGACAACGACGACAAATTTGTGCAAAGCAGTTACCTCGCGTGTCCGGAGTTTCTCAACGACTCAGAAGGCGGGGCGCTGCAAAGACCACCGACAATGCAAGACCTGATGGAAGCGAAGATGAACAGTGATGATGAGTTTCGACCGAAAACGTGCCCGAAGTACCACATGCTTTTTCAGCACTTCCATATGGCCTTCTCAAATGTTACATTCTCAATTGTTGCATGAATTTGTAATGCAAGAACGGCAAAAGAAGTGAAAGGGGGAAGATTGCGCCTTTTGCGTTGCAGATTTGGCGCAGATTTAGATGCTGTCTAGCCCTTCGAACATTTGTCACGCGAAGCAGCTTAATCGTGGCGATCTTGCGCACCCCTCGGACCCCGCACCCCCCGGGCTTTAGCCGCGCAGTCTGTTAAGCCTGGAAAATCATGTAACAGCTGGGAGTGTAACGTTTGAGAGTCCCATACTCCAGGGGCTCCGTGTGTGCCCCGACTACTATTTCTCAGAGGAAGCTATGAACGAACCGGTCTGCCAGCACACAGAAACAAGTTACACGGTTGCTTCTCGGGGGCCTTCAGGCTGGTGGCAAAGTTTCAGGTTGCCGAATGATATTTCAGAAGCGACCTATCAAAAATTTAAAGAGCAGGCCGGAGAAATGGAGCGCGCAAATCCTTTGTCGCAATTGCAACTCTACAATTTCTATCAACTGCAAATCTGTCTTGCTCTGCAAATCATATGCTGACGCTTCAAGAAATTAGTCAATTACATGCTGCTGCAGTGCCGGTTTCGTGTTTGCATAACGCTCGCACCAGGAGATAGAGATTCAGACATGCACATGCTCTGGATCAAGGGCTCCTCGATTCCTCTCGCTACTCAAAGAAAGTCATGTATATGTCCTGCATGTTGTTGGGTTTCGGCACCGATTGCGATTTTCATTCTTTCTTGTGCAAATCAGCAAGGCAAGCAACATCATCTTCCCAAATTGAAATTCGCGTACTACTTCTGCTAATCCAAATATATTTGCAGCTGATAGGGTTGAAGCGCGGAAAGACAACAAACGCAAACATATGCAAGCGTCAACAGGCGGGAACAGTTCAGAGCGGAGGATGAATGTGCACATGAAGTGTGTCAAGAAAGAGAGAAATTCTGAAATTTGATGTGGTATGGCTTTGCTCAACGTCAACTCCAAACAAAGGAGGTAAACGGATTTTGCTGCGATAATTCGCAATTGAAGTCTTACGGTGCGCGATGCTAGTGCTGCTGCTGTGTCAAATGCCTCACGCCAGGAGTGTGAATGACCCTAAAAGCTCCTCTCGAAGCTGGTTGATGCCACTGAAAATTTTTGCTTCCCGCCGCCCCGCCCGTGTGGTTGACGAAAGCGGCATTTGTTGTTGCTGCTCATGATGTAGATTTAGGTTTTGCAGACTGCAACACTGTGGTGCTTCAACCGAACCTTGTGCTGCTGCTTCAGCCTAGTATTGTTGACGGTGCCGTGAGCTGATGGTGCACGAGACAACACACCTGTCCCCCCGTACCGGTGCCACCTGCGCACGAAAAAGGGGGAATATAGAAGTGGCCTCCAAGCGGCCCTGGTGTCTGACTGCTCGTAGATAGTGCAACTGTTTATTGCTGACGTATCCGGGTAACGGTAGGTAGTGGGAGGAAAAGTAGGATGGGCGAGAATTGCTTCATGATACGTAAAGGCAAGTGAGATCCTCACCAGACTTGGGGACAGAGCTTTTCTCTACTGGCTACCAAAGGGAAAGCCGTGTTATGTGCCTCTTAGAAAAAGAACCTGCCTGGATGATTCTGTCTTCACGAACAGGAACACAAAGAAAAATGCTCCATTTTGAAAAGTTCCACCTCCGCGGCCTTCCATATGTCACCCCGTCAGAAGAAAGGAGTTCTGCCTGGCGATGATCTTGGGCTTTGCTGACACTGCGTTTGGCTTGGCAGCCGAGATCCAGCGTGATCCTGAACAAAATCGTGATGTACTAGCGAGCAAGGTTGCAACCGTTAAAAACTTGCCTGATCGGAGCTGGGCCAACCTGTTGAGTTCAAGGTTCATGACTCAGGGCTGTCATGCGTATCTCCTCGACAAGAAAACGGCGTATAGCGAAGGTGACGAGGTGGCGTTTGCGAAGAAAAGAATTCCCGAGCTGCTCAAAATAGCAAGTGATACAACACGCTCACTGCAAGATGTTCGACAGCGAATTACTACAATCAAGATGTTCCAAAGAGAAAGCGACGGTGGAATGGAGATGGACACCATTCCCTTTCCCCATAATTACCGCACAGAAAAATCTTGAGTTCTCATTTCACAGAATCATGAAGACGAATAACACTCTTGCATGAGCGATAGCCGATGCCGATCACTCGATGATACGTCTATCACGTGACTGTGACCGCTGCACTTAGATGAATTATTTCCTTGCGTACGGTCACACGCAACAAAACCGAATTGGAGCGTGTCGCTTTGACTCAAGATTTTGATTCAATAGCGGTATCGATGGCGGCGTCAACCTTTACCCCGCCACCGACGGCGTTATGCCGTGGCTTGCGTGGGCGATCTTCTGGAGCCCCAGGAACCAAGCAAATCTGTTCAAGTTGTACCAGTGGGGGATCTCGCTTGGGCGAAAACACATTCCCGAGGGAGAGGACGACTCGGAAAAAAATTTCAGTGTGGGCAACTCAAACTCCGGGGACCTTGTAGAGTGCCCGAACACGGTCACGATTCTGGGGCAGGACTGGTCCCAAGCCTTCGCCGAGCCGCAGATCGCCCAGAACGCGGAGGTGGCTGTCCAAATTTTCAACGCGCTGGCTGAGAATAACCTGAGACACAAGGAACTGGGGAAAAACGGCTGCAAGCGGCGGATGTCCAATACCAAAGTGCGCAATTCCGTCTACTTTACTTCATGCGTTATGTTGCACAGGCGCCATGAGTTCCACAGCTAGAGCTCTTGCGGCCATTGAAGTTGCATTCTTCCTGACTGTATCTATCATTATCTGTCACATGGGAATCTGCAGCACTGTTGATCCGGTGAAGCAGTAAGTAATATGTACTAGACGCAGCTGCTTGATGTCTGTGGATCATTTATTTTTGTCACGCATAGACTACAAGAACAGTATGTGCGCTGCATCTGCGATGCTTCTCCGTCTGCTCTTCCCGTGCATCAACAAATGCGGCCGAGGGCGGCCTTGCGCACTTTCATAATACATGGAAAACCCGAGATGTGGGGGTTTGCGGTGCCCGTTGGAGGCCAAACCGCAGCGGACCGGGGACAAAATCCACCGTCCAGCGCCAACGGCAACAAGGTTGACCAAGAAGACTGGAAGTCGGAAGATTGGCGCGTGGAGAACACGGAGGGCGGCGTGTTTGTCATTGTTGGACTGCTGGAGCATGGTTTCTCCTACCAGGGAACCGTCCGTGTGCCCATGAAAGAAATCATTTTGCCCGAATCTAAGGACGGCACGATCGAGCTCCCGTCCAAGTCGGGTAGCAAGCAGGGGGTTCACGCGATTCGGCTGCCCCGGAAGGACAAGCCCGAGGCGAAAAAATTCTGGGACGCGTTCGACGAGCGGGTACGCACCACGGATTTAGAGTACCACATCATGGAGAAGAATGGCTATCACGTGTACGTTTGGGCGGGACCGAGGGGAGAAAAGCATGTTGCGCGGCATTTGCGGCGCCTGGAGGCTTGGGAGCTGGAAGGACACGTCGATCTGGCCGGGAAATTTTTAGAATCCATTGACAACCATATCCTGAGTAAAAACGTACCCACACCAGAGTCAGGATGGGGATTTTGCAACACAAACGTAGGAGCTTTGTGAGTCACGCATGACAAGTTGCACGATGCAGTGCAGTGCAGGTTAGCAAGTGCAGCCGCATCACAGATTCGTCTGCTCCTCCTGTTCACAGCATTACAAATTCCAAAACACGATTGGAAATGGCTCTCATGGGGATGCGCATTACAACTCTTCCTGTCTTTGCAAATCTGCATTACAACTCTGGTGTGGGTACGTTTTTACTCAGGATAAACCACAAGAGCCTGGACCTCCTCTCTACCACCACGCAAGAAAACATCGTCGAAGTCCTACTGTGGAACCTGATTCCCCTCTCTATACTCAAAACGAAAATATATGTGATTTTGATTTGATGAATGTCGTGGCCTCAAATCGCACTGCAGGAAGCAGGCACAAATGCCACAGGTGGTGTCCGCCGCATTGCCATTGCGCACTCGGTTTCTGGTGTTGTGGAACTTTCATGACAGCCGTCTGGCATAGGCATGCGAACACAGCTACACACAAACGTCCCGACTCATCTGCTTTAAAAATCACTTCCTTGTTCAGCCCCCTATTGCGTGAGAGATATGATTTGCGTACGTGTACGCACTTTCTACCCTCGTCCCCTGCAACGAAAAATTGTCCCCTCGCCAATAACAGGCGTTACCGTCCGCGATTCTTGTCCCATGCGTCCGTACTAACCAACACCGTGCGAACCGGGATATCGCGAGGGAGACCTTGGAGGCCTGGGCCACGTCTGCAGTTGTGGACGCGGCCTAAGGTCGACAGGGGTAGCTGCTTGCTGGGCAGGGTTATGCAGACTCCGGGGGTATAGCGGGCGTTCCCTAAAAATCCAAAACCTGCAGAAGTTGGGCAGCCAGTCCGGGCACTTGCTCGACGCTGGCCGTTTTTGTATGATAAGCGCGACAATTTATGCATGTGTGTTAGGCGCCTGCTTGCCTTCACCGACTAGTAGAGCAGCCCTCTCTGGTAGAGGGATCAACTGACTATGTCGGAGGCAGCAGGAGGACGTCGCTACGTCATTCACTCACATTCGTACGCAATAAATCCGGCATCACATTTAGTTTCGCTTTTGATGTAGGGCGGGATGATTTTTCATTTTGATTAATCATGCTGGCACAGCAGGGGCTGTTGTACGTCTTCAAGGAGAAACACCAGCGGCTTGATGACTATGAAACCATTGGAAAAGAAGAAAAAAGGAGCGTGAGCCTCGTCCTCAGTGGCGTCTTTCTGACTATGGCCTACAATCAAGGCTCCCGTGGTTTCATCGCGGCGCAATATCAGCAGAATTGTTTCAAAGGGGGGAATATGAACTGCAAATATGTCTGGGTCTGGGAGAAGATTGCGAGGTTTGTCATGCTTGTCTGGCACGACTCTGGACTCTGTGTTGCGTGGCCGCAAAGAGCTCCTCTTGCCGTGCATGCAAAGACGCAGTTTCTCATGCGGAGTACGCAATTCAAAACTACGAAAAAACGTGCCATGCTTGGCGGCGCATTACAGTGTTCTCCGCTGTCCCTTCCTTGCATCACAAGTTCCCAGACCCAGACATATTTGCAATGCATAGGGAAGTTCAACCAGAGCAAACTGACGTCACGAAAAGATCCCAAAACCGGGATGGAAATCTACGAGCTTGAGCAAGCGGAAGACAAGAAAGATTCCCAGCGCGGGGTCTCGTACTCGGTGTTCAAGGAGTGCTATATCATGGCCCAGGCATCCAAGGTTTATTTCATTGCCCCAACCGGAAACCCGAGGAAGAAGATCAAGACACTCTTCCACGCCACGCGTGACAACGTGCACAGTTCCTATCAGAGCGTGATAAAGAACATTGGCGCCTTGTCGAGCAACCCGGTCGAGCCGACAAGTGAAGACGTCGACGAAGTGTTCCGGGGAGTGCGTGAGACGCTCGACTGGCAGGTTCTGGCATGGCTAGGTCTGAGAGTGTCCAAGGCAAATAGCCTGCGGCTGCGGGAGCACCCTGTGGACTGGTCTGAGCCCATCATGCAGAAATACCAGCCGGGCCTAAAACAAACCTATGGCGACGATGAAGGCGACTTGAAGACGTTTCTAAAAAAGAAGCGGGAAGACGAGACGCAAGGCACCTTTGCATTGAACGTCGGCTGGTTTACGACGTACGATCTTCTGAACCGCCTTGATAAGATCAGCGATGCTATCCTATTCAAAAACGTCCGCGTCCGGAGTTGCTTCTTGTGCAGGAGAGTTGCATTTTCAGATTCAGAAACGCAAACGGTTGCCGCTCAATTCCTCTTGAAGAGAGGCCGTCATGCTCATCGTGACGACGTACCTGTAGTTCTTCGGAATTTCTTCATGCTGTATTTGCAGCATGATGGTAAGTACGCATTTGACTTTATGATGCGCATGCGACTGTGCTCGCAAGTAGCGCTTCCACTCCATCACAAAAACAAAGATCAAGATGGGAAAGTGCGTAACTCGCAAATAAGTAGAAAGAAACATCACGATGAGTACGTAATCAAATCTTAACAGTGGCTGAAGAAGTTCCATCTTCTTGTTAACTTATGGGCGGGCACGTTTTTCCACAGGAGAAAGATCGTGAAGCGCAAGGCAACCTCCAACGCAGGCGCGGTATGAGGGTGCACATCTTTATTCCCTTCTTGCCCTCGTTTGTAAATGCAGAATACAAAATATACACTGGGCCCGGCCTTGAGTTACGACAAATTTTGCAACGTCAAATAATAATTACTACAATGCGAATGCGCACGAAGAGGCAGCTGTGTCATGAGAAATGGCGTTGCAGCTGTTCACGCGCTTACAAACAGGGGAGGAGGGGGAGTTGTGCACCCTCATACTCGGTCGAACTGCAACACAAGAAGAAAAACGATGACCAGGAACGGCGCACCGCTACGACTTGCAAATATGTCTGGGTCTGGAAGATTGCGCGGCTCGCCGTGCAGTCTCCATTCTTCCCCTATGACGACGTCTGGAAAAATGCAGCACGTAGCGTTTGAGATTCTGGAGGGTCCTCCACCTCCTGATCTATATTATTCGTAAGAACCCGGCTCTCCAGTTGACCAAAGCAAACGCGTTTTTTCAGTAGTCATGCAACAAGAGAGATTCATCTCTGACCCACGGGACGCTTTACGAGTTTGCAGTGTTTTAGAACCAGACATGTTTGCAGTGCATAAGCAAAAATGCCGTCCGACTGATCAAGCAGTGCCCCGGGGGGTTTTCGACCGACGTGCAGCGCGGGGGAGCCCCGTTGGAGGGGCGCGACGCGGAATTGGCAAGAAAAGCTCTCGGCTTGCTTGCAGTCCCCGTCGCCAACGAGCAGCAGCAAGAAGATAAGCCTGAGCCTGTGACTGTGTACTGCATTCGCTTTGACAACCCTGCGTTCCAGAAGGAGCAATTCTTGCTGCTGGGTCACGAAAGTGTGCCCTTTCTCCAGGCAAAGGCTCCTGAGAATCGCTTGGGCTTGGGAGACGTAGCACTCTTCTATCGAAATGAAGAACGTACTAAAGCCCCGCCCTTGCGAAGAACATTTCTATTTCAAGGGGTTTTTGTCATGTGTTGTGAGATTACCAACTTCGGGGTCTTTTATGGAAGCCAGGCCCTAGCGGAATCTGGGCCCTGGGTCGCCGAGAGGCGAAATCTGTTTGTGGAGTTGATCGACCCCCCTTAGATGGTGCCTTTCTGGGTATTGTATATGGACAGGCCCTGCGAAATAGAGCAAGAAGGAACAGCACCCGGGCAACAAGTCCCAGCGGCCCCTTCTGATGTAGAAGCGAAGCTTCCCTCTGTGGCCATCGGTGTTCGGGTGTGCCAGTTCCTTCTGGCCCGTTATTGCCCAAGCAACTGCAAAAAACAGAAACAACACGACCTCGCAAGCCTTGAACCGTCGAGGGCACGTGGCTCGATGGTGGTTGTACACTGTTCCTTCCAGCATTTCGCTGCTGCTCCCTCGCTAGAAATAGAACCCACTGTGGTCCCCGAGTGTCCGCGCGACCGTGTTGGCCACCGCCTCCGCAAGATTCCCGGCACACCATCCACAGCACCGACTCCTGTGGGGTTTGTATTCTGCGGCCAGGTGGGCATCGCCAACGATGATGATCAATATCAAAAATATGAAGATATTTATGATCTATCATCATCGCATGAAGATACATTCTCCTGTCTGTGGAAGACAAGGTGTGAAAATGAAGTAGTAGAGGAAAACGTTGAAGATGAAATAAAGTGATGAAGCCATATTTATAGTAACTACTAGCGCAAGTAGAAAATCGATTCTTTTTGTTCTAAACGACTCGGGGGGTGGGGCAATTTCGCACATGATAGGAGCCACGTCAGTAACGCGAACAAAGCAGCTGACAAGAGTGTTAGTGCCGGCTGTTGTTGAAGAATCGCCAGTTTTTGTTGAATTTGCTTTAAATCGGACCACGAAGTGTCTAGTGGGAAATCGACAAAATGATAATTTGTCATGAATCTTCCACCTTAAAGTTAAAATGACATAGAAAACCAGCATGCCCAGGAATTGGCTCGCTTGATGGCCTCAGCTTATTTGTTGTATAGGGCGCTCGCGTATTGCAATAAAGAAAAATAAACTGTAATTTATTTCGAGACGGCGCTTCTACTGATGTATGATCTACTCTGCTGTAGTTGCGGGCAAAGGCGATTGCTCCAGGCATGCACTCCAGAAATTCAATTTTTGTTGAGGCTAGGTACCGAGGCTGACTGTCAGACAAGCGGGCTCAGCTGCCTGTATTTATATCTGTACAACCTACAACGAAAACTCACACTTTTAACTTTTCAATCAAGCTTTTCTTACGAAACTACTAATTCTAAAAACCTAAAAATTCTAACATAAGAACGAACCTCCTTTTGTCCATTTACGACCATCACCATTCACCAAACCAATATAATTCTTAAGCAGAAAACGCACAAGCAACTTTTTTGATGATCTGAAACAAGTAACAAGCCGCAACCCTGGGCGAAACACCAGCGTCTTTGTATACTTTTTTTTTGATCTAACATACTTAACTACTCCCGTACATGTGGTATCCCGATAAATGAAATGATTTCACCCCAGTCAAAAATTTTGAGATAAAGGAAAAGCACCCAGCAGGAAGTTTAATAACTTTGATCAAGCTAAAAGTGGTCTTATATACATTTTTTTTCTGCATCATGCACTTAAAAGAACAAGCGTCTCCTGAAATAAGATTTGTTACAGTGTCTTTCTATGCACCCAAATATCAAAATCAAAAAGCAAAACAATGCAGATCCAAAACAAAAGCAAATGCTATGTGCAAGTCTAGATGTTATCTGGATTTGGATAGATAGTATACATGCAAAAATTACAATCTTTATGGGAATGTTAAAGCACAAAAGGCACTTCAATAGTACCCATTCCATCATGTAGAGATCAAGTATTTTCGTTTTTCGTTTTCATATCTACTAGACAACACGTTGGTTGGATGCTGTGAGCGACTCGGACTCGTCTGTTCGATGAAGCAGTGCGTGTTCTGTTCGAAGTGTTGGCACAGATAAACTGAAAGTCGGAGTTGTGGTGCGTCATTCATGGCTGGAATTGACCAGGGGCATCAATCCCAAACCTCGAGCATTTTTTTCAATTTCATCGGTTTCTCGTAACAAAGGCACCAGGTCGCCCATCATCTTTGATGTGCCCTGCGCCAGAGGAGTCGGTTCGGAGGTCTCTTGCTGCCGTTGCGTCAAAAAGTTGTCGGTAAACGAGGGAGCTTCACTTTTCGTTTTCGTTTTGGTCTCATTTCGGTCCTCTCGTTCCTCGTGCGGACAGGAGGCTTAGCGTACGTGCTTTCGGTTTCATCCGTACAACTCGTGCATGTAGCAGTTAACGCTCGTCGAGAACAAAAACGTCTTCGTCCATACTGTTGAATAACGCCTCGTCTAGATGAACAAGCATGCCGCCACAGGCGCAGGCACAGATTTGACGCGCTCTCGCCGTCTTGGAACGAGGGCAGTACGTGGTCGGTCGTAGTTGTATTTTTCCTAGCTGCTCGCCTCGTCCTGTATGAAGAGCATCTTTTGAATGGAAAAAAACATCGTGCTTCTTGTGCTTCAATATTACTTAATTTGAGGATAAAAGTTGTTGCTTTGCTTGCGTGGTCGTAAAGATAAAGCATTTTCACTATTCATCACAGGAGCGGCTGTGGTTGTGAGTTCGTCTCACCACCGATAGTTTTCTTCCAACTCTTTTCCCCTTTTTTCGCTACATTAAAGACTTGCATTTCCCCATGACAAGAAAGACGATTCGGCCCCCCGTTTCGTCGCAAAATTAAGAATACCACGGAAGAATTTACTTATTTGATTCGATTACTATGTATGTTCAAAAAAACGCGAAGAGTTGCATATGTGTTTGTGAACAAGAACTGTGTTGATTGTCGAGATTTAGTTCCTAATGCTGCACTAGATGTAGTGATTGCCTAACGCCAAGGGACCTCGTCCAACGTCGTTACTTTTCACGACCACGGGTACTAAGGATATCCTCCTTATATTTTTGCAACGTATAATTTGAAGAGCTGTATTGTTTTTAATTTTCTGTATTCCCCCCCGAAAATCAAAATTTTCAAAAAAAAAAGCAACCCCATACATACACATGTAAACGACGCACGACAAAGGCTCCCCGTCGAAGTCGTTGTCGAATTGAAAAGTTTTGTCCCTATTTTTTACGACGAAATTCATCACATGAGATAAAGATGAAATTGAAGCAGAAGAAAATCATCAAAACCCCCCGGGAGCAACGAGCGCAAGCCACGAGGAGGCGAACAGCTGCGAAGGCTCGACGCGTGGAAAAAACGCAAGAAGAAGAAAAAGACGAAGCAGAGGAAAAAGTCGCCACCTGTGATGGGCGAGCGAAAACGGACATAAAGGAGCATGGCTCCACCGCAAGCCTGAATCTGTACAAGTACTACGCAAGTGCGAGAACAGAAACGCTGAAGCACGTCCACAATACACAATTACCACCAGCTCCTCCTCGGGGGATGGCCGCCCTGATCAAGAGCACGCGGCACCAGAAGCTCTACTTTGCGACGCAGCTGGCCTTCCTTTTCCTGCCACTGGCCGTGCTCGGGAGCGCCCCCGCCCTCTTGCTCTTCGACCAGACCGAGCCCGCGCCTGCACCGGTAAGCTTTTAAGAGGGCATCGGACATCACTGTAGTGTGGCCCAACGAGAGTGAGAGACAATTGAGGTTGCTCATTTTGGTCATCATGCTGCCCGCTAAGGTTTATCAAAGTAAACAAAGAACATGAGCAGGAAGCATGACCAAACAATCCATGCCGTAGGCAGTAACTGTAGCTAGGCTTCTTCCTTCTTTCTTATCAACAAATTATGCTCTGTGCTGCTAGCGCACCCCGAAGATCATCGCAAGCAGTTGACTTCAAATGAAAATTTTCTGTGTGTGACGTAGCTAATCCAGCCAGAAAGAATAAATTAAGTAGCTCTACTTCTTATCTTTGCGATGCATAACAGGCGCCAGCAGCTATCAGATGCAAAAAAACCAATACGCAGGCGTGCCGTTCTAGTTGCAATACTTCAATCAATTTTCTGTGCGCGTTTGTCACTTTAGACAAAAAATAGGACGACGAAAGTGCTGCAGCGACACAGTTCAACATGGAGCCCAGCATCGTGCCAGTTTTTGCTTCTTCCCGCAAAGAGGATGCTTTCGCACGTGCTGCCGAGACGAGCTCGCGTTTCGTTTGCATGGTCAAAGAATATACTCGTGCGTATCTCCACATGTGCGATTGGTTTTTTTCGTCTCATATCACATTGCAACTCCGATGGTGGCGGGCCGGAAGGATGTACTAAGGCTGCGGCTGGTGCAAAGATTAAGATTATCCCAGAAACAGACCAGAACTACATCGACTTCTGAGAAGATAAATACCATATCGAACAACTACAAAGTACTTCTGACAGTACTAAAGCAAAGATACAGAAATCGGCACCGGTGGCAATAAAAAAGAAATTTATGCAATACAACAAGACTTTGAGTTAGACTAGAACTAGACTAGAACCAGATCTAGACCTCGTCGGAAAAGCTGCAATACTAGCACATCAAGGAGTTCGATATTACTTGGTCTTCGTGAAGAGAAAGAGTATGGTATTAATTCTACTCTAGCGATGTTGAACTACTTTTCCTTGTGACACAACGCAGCGAGGACAAGGATGAAGCTGTGGAGCAGCTGCCATATCACAAAAAAGCATGGGGGGAGGGTGATTGAATTTCTTGAAAAAACTCGTTCTCGCAGCTCTACAGAGAACGAAGCAGTAAGTATGATTCTGTTTTTTTCTGTGGCGTCGTGCAACAGCGCAATGTCCGTTCTCTTTTCGAAAAGACGAGAGCGAAGGTCTATCAAGTACACGGTTGATGATGAGCAGGCCAGTGCTGAAATTGAAGATATCCCTTGATGATTTTTGCCTCCTTCTCGTAGAGCTTGTTTTGGCGAGGTATTCACCGATGGGTTATTTGAAACGTATTTCCGACAGACTGCAATTTTTTTTCGGCGAAAAAAAAAAATCGCTAGGCTGAAGAGCCCTGATTGCCTTGGCGCTGGCAATCGGCGTTGTGGCGTTTAAGAGCCGTCGTCGCCTGAGCTTTAAAGCCACTAGCTGTTGACGGACATTGGCCCCCATCGCACTGCTCAATGTTTTTCCGGGTTGGCCTGTTGCGCCCGGCCGGGTCGGGCGGGTCAGGACCTGCTTGGCTTGCCGCGCAATATCGCGCGCAGAGCGCAGCGTTTCCAGGCGTCTTCGTGGCCCCCGTCCTGTGACAGTGCGGCCGCATTGAATTCGGCCTGGCGCACCAGTCACACCGGCGCCAGACGGTCCCGGCCAAGAAGACGCCGCGGCGCGGTGAAGCGCTCTGCGAAAACTTTTTTGCTATAAAACGGCGGCACGGCAGATGTGGCCGCCTCCTTGCGCGGCCCCCCCCCTGGCTTCGCGATGGCTTTGGTGGTTGGCCGGCTTCGGGCCTCTCCCAAGCAAAGGCTGGGGTCTCGCATTGGCAGCGCTGCTTGAGGAGCAACACGCCACCCGCGGGCCATAAAAGAAGAGCAGGCTTCGGCGGCTGGGCATGTTTGTGGGCCACCGCCGTGCCCCGCCGCCTGGGCCCGGTTGCGGCGTTCCTTTTCCGGGCTCTCCGCGCGGAAGGGGGGGCAGACAGTTGCCTAAGAAAAATGCCCCGCGGGCGGCGGGGCGGGCGTGCAGGGAGACGTGCCGGCGGCGGGCCGCGTTGCCTCTTCGCCGGGCGCGTGTGCATGTTTCTGAACTTCCCCCGCACCGGCCGGGCTTCTTGCAAAAGGGCCCCCGTTTGTAATGCGCAAACCGGCCGAACAAAGCCGGCGCGCAGCGGATGGCCCAGCGCTTCCTGTACCATGCCGCTGCCCCGACGCTCCGCTGGAGCATCCTGGCAAGAAGCCTCGAACGACACGGAGCAGGGGCACGCGCAGCCGGGCAGCGGCCACACAGGTCCCTTGATGATTTTTGCCTCCTTCTCGTAGAGCTTGTTTTCGGAGTTCTTTTACAAGACCACACTGTCACCGCCGGGCGAAAAAAATGAAAATCTGACGTGGAAATAAATGATGAAGATGCATGCGATAGACAGACTCGCACTTCTATTAAAGAGCGACCACAAAAACTAGAAGCTGCTTGCGGCGGGCGCCCCCACATCACTTCAAAGAAATCAAATCACTCTGCTCTTTCTCCCGTCGATACGCGAACAACCCCTGCTCCAGCGAAGCTGGAGCAGGGGAGGAGGTGGGCCGGGTTGGGTTGGGGAGCGAGGAGGTGGGAGGACGGCGGTTGGGGAGGAGGCGAACACGCCTCTGGCACTCCGGGCCGGGTTGGGGAGGAGGTGGGAGGACGGCGGGCCAAGCCGCTCCGAGAACGCGTTCTCGAGCCGATTTGGTCGGGGGGCGCAGGCGTTCTCGAGCCGATTTGGTCGCTCGCGGATGGGCCAGAGGTCGGAGCGGCCGAAGTCGGCCCGGAGTGGCGGTTTGGTCGGGAAGCGATGGGGCCCGGCACGCCGGGCCGGGTTGGGGACGAGGCGGGAGGGCGGCGGGCCAGGTCGGATGGGCGGCTGGCTCTGGCACTTCGGGCCGGGTTGGAGAGGGCGACCAAATCGGCGTGAGGTCGCGTTCTCGAGCCGGTTTGGTGGGGTTGCTGACCAAATCGTCTCGAGATCGCGGTCTCGCGCCGATTTGGTCGCCCGCGGGTGGACGCCCCAGGACGGGTTGGGGAGGGCGACCAAATCGGCGCGAGACCGCGACTTGGTGAGGCTGCTGACCAAATCGTCTCGAGATCGCGGTCTCGAGCCGATTTGGTCCACCTTTGGTGAGGCTGCTGACCAAATCGGCCCGAGCCCGCGTTCCCGGGCCTTTTTTTAGTGCGATATCGTTGCCCTCGTTCAGTTTGAGAAATCGCCGGAAGTCACACTGAGTTCGGTTTTGCTAACATCAAATACAAGCACCATACCAACAACTTACGCGCCCAAGGAATTAACAGCTGCTCAAGCTGTAACCAAAGAAATCAAATCGCTCTGCTCTTTCGCCCGTCGATACGCGAACAACCCCTGCTCCAGCGAAGTGTGGCCGACCTCTCCCGGTTGGGTGGGCTTCCTCGGTGGGGTGTTCTTTGGTTCAGGAAATGGCTAACGCAACTCCCCCGGGTGGCCCGGCCCACAAGCGAGCCGGCGGGCGGGGGCCCCGTGGCCCCTCTGGTATGTTGCCCTCCAGCACGAGCCTGCGTGCCTGGGTGGTTTGCCTTCTCTTGTAAGATGTAGGGCGATGTCCTGTGGGTGGTTTGCCTGGGTGAAAAGGCGGTCGCTCGGACTTCGCCGATTACCCGCGGCACAAGAGGAGGCGTCGGCGCCCAAAACCTCGCAGGCGCCCCTGTTCTGTCGTTTGGAGTATCTTCGTTGCGTTTTTTCGTTCTGAGTCGCATTACCAAATCGTTTTCAATACCCTCAAATCCTGAAAAGTCAAATGAAAAGTTTTGGAAAAGTTCGAATCGCCCGCCAATTGGTGCTGTACTTTTGCAAGAAATCAAATCACTCTGCTCTTTCTCCCGTCGATACGCGAACAACCCCTGCTCCAGCGAAGCGAAACCTCCGTGGCCGCGCCGGAAAGCCACGCAGTACCAGCAACGAAGAAAAGGCCCCGAACGCAGCGTGGGCGTTTCTCCAGAAATACGCAGGACAATCATGTCAGTCTGGGTCGGGTCCTGTTGGATGTTGAAGGTTGTCAAGATAGTAATATTTTGTGAATCTACTTCGTCTGAACTCTGAAGAAAATACCATCGATCCAGCTGATGAAGTGAAGAAGAAGATAAACAAACGCTCCGACCAAGACATGTTCTTGAGTTGTTGTAGTAGATACTCATGCTCATCTCTCTACTACTTGCATAAATTGGTAGGTGCTGCGCATCACAAGCCGCGTTCTCGCGTGACCACATAAATCATCAAGCACGTCTAGCGACGTCCCGCACCAAGGTGGGGCGTCAGCACAGTTTTCAGTGGTATGATCGTCTTGAGCCAAACTACGTGTCTCTCAGTTGCAACCATGTCCCACAGGAGCACCCAGGAGACATACATTTTTGTCCGTGATAAGAGAGTCGCGCACGCTTTTGGGAGCGTGTTTCCGTTTCGGGACGCCACCAACAATTTTTTCGTGGAGGAGACGGACCTGCGTCGCACGAAGGAGGAAGTGTCGAAGCAGCTTATGCATGGCAAATATGTCTCGGTCTGAAAGAATGCACTTTTTCCACCTGCAAGAACAAATAGCTGCAGCTATGGTTTATGGATAATTTTTGTACGAGTTACAATGCAATGCTCCAGACCCACACGACCTATTTGCAATGCATACGGCTTGAAGGCGAGAAAACGAAATCTTCGGAAGAACCCCCGCAAAAATTGCTGCCGATGAGCGGGGCTATCAGTAAACGAGCGCCCCCCGGCGTGGTAGAGATATCCTGAATAAAAAAGTCCGGATCATCTTCCCCGACTTGTCATGCGAATTTACATGCTCACGCGACTCAGCCAGGATGTTTGTCACGCGCCTCTCACTGTCAAGCATGCACCTCTTCGACATGAGAGCTAATTCATCTTGTTACTGTTCCTGTTTGAAAATCTGTCAAGTGTTGACCAGGAGCAAAAGAGAATGGGTCTGTAAAAAAAAATGCAATCGGACGAGCCAGGCACGTCTGCATTGCACCGCCAGGCGTGTCATGCATGAGATTCAGAAGTTCCTCTGGGTGCGTCTTGCGGATGAGTGCGTTTTTTTTACTCAGGATAGAACAACTACAACGAAAAGCTTCAGTTTCTCGAAAAAGAGCCTCTCGCCAACAATCTTCGGGAGTTATCGAACTACACACCTCGTCCCCCTGCCCTGATTTGTCGCGCAAGGTACCAAATCCACTCTTTGTCTTTTAGCACTGCTCGCATGAAGTTGAAGTGGTGCAGGCGGGCATGCATGAGAAATTCCAACTAGTGCTGCCCTAAACGGTACTACAACATTCTACCAAGTGTGGACTTTCCATATGGAACTAGCAGTGTTGCTGTGAATGCCATGCATGTGAGCGGGGAGATGAACTTGTGCACTCTCATATTTTTTTCTCGACGTGCAGAAAAACGAAACACTGGGATTTCTGGACGAGAGCAACGACCCACGGCTGCCGTATGTGACCCCTCCTGCTACGCTGTACGTGACAACTCCTCCTCCCTTCGCGATGCTGCAGCAAATGCAAAGAACGACGACTGGCTTGGCACTCCGAGCGGACCAAGATATGTGGGCGCTGCATGGGAATGCTTCAAAATGAGAGAGCTCTGGCAGCACACGGGGGCGCAAGCCTTGTGCTGGCAGTTCAGTTGTAAAACGAAAACTATCTTGGAGGGTTGGCATGCTTGTGAATCGGAACCTGTCCCTCGATGCCATCAACTGAGGAAACAGGATGTAAGTGTATATTTCAAGGGATAACCCGCTGCAATTTACACATATATCATGTTGCTCTTAGTATATTGGGTACAGCGTGACTCTCTCATTTTGATCATTCTCAATTGACGCCCTCATAGATGGTACGATACTTCGATTGATGAAATAAATTTTTCTGCGTCATAAGCATGAACTGTTACTCTGGTGTGCTGTCTGCCGCCTGAATGTTTTTGTTTGCGTCGATACGCGGATTTGATTCCTATTCCAAATCTCCTCTTTCTGTGCGTGCCCATCTTCTCGGTTTACAAGTATCTATTTCCATTCCGGTCAAGAAGGACAATATACGTGGGGAAGTCTCAATTTGTTCCGACGGCCCCGTGAAGATTTTCCCCAGCCTTGCATCCATCGCAACTATGTTTCTGTTTCTTTGTATATTAAAATTTTCCGATTTTTCAAGCGCATGGCTTTTGGTGATCCGTCCCTCAGCCTTGTTTGCGTGCCTTCCCCGCCCGCCTGCCTTCCCCGCCCGCCTGCCTTCCCCGACCGCCTGCCTTCCCCGCCCGCCTACCGGACCGCACCGCTCGTTGCCGCGGCCGCGCAAAAAGGAGCTGCAGAACGAGACCAGGAAAAATAACGAGCGGACCCTCTTGCTGCGAGTTTAGTCGAGAACCTGCAGCACGCAAAGGTGAAGCTCCACCTCCTGTGACAGACTCCTGCTCACGCGAATCAGGGGCATGTAGCATGAGCATGATCGAATGTCGAGTTCCGTCTTCATGTTGTGCGTTCCCGTTTATCTTTGTCGCTCCTTGGCATTTATCAGAGTCAACAAAGATAGGAAACGCCGGAAATCCCGCACTTTCCATCTCCTGGTCCTGCCGAAAATTACTAATTACCTACTAAGAACGATCCGCTTAACGAATTAAGGATGAGTCGTGGTTCTTTTCGTTTTTTGTTCTTTGACCCTCGGTTTGATGTTTTTTGTCTCTCTTTTTCCGCCCTGATGCCTGGTCACATGAGGAGGTGCATCGTAGCTTTCATCTTGTTAAACCAACTATGGAAAATTGCTTGATGTAGAACAATGTGCAGAGTATCGCCCTCGAAAACAGAGGACACACATAGCGCCCAACCTATTATATGGCATGCATGACCCTTTCTTCAGTTTTGAACATGTATGGCTCACAGGATCGACGGGCGCAGGAGCTCCGCCACCTCCTTGGCGAGATTTTTCTACAAGTACAGCACAGGAATGGACATGGAGGGCTCGAACCGGCGTTCGACAGGCTTGCACGGAGACTAATAGCGAAGTCGTTCAACAAGGAGCTTTTCCGGTGTCAGCAGCACAACTGAACAACTTGGAAACTCCAACGGAATGTAAAAACCCGAACAAGCAAACTGTGATTCACGAATCGATACCCATCTGTCTCGAGTACTACTTCGGAGACGCGGGTCTACGAATGAAAAAAAGGGACAATGTTGGGCTTTGCTACTACACAACTCAGCAATATCAGAGGTTCGGACATAAAGCATGGCAGACAAAAGGAAAAGTGGGCCAGCATCAGCCCAGCGACGCCACAGGGGAAACAGGAGTAATCGCGGTTGGAGACGCGGAGCAAGAAAGGATGCGACAAATTGCCAATCGAGCCCTTTATACTAGATCGAGTATCGCGTCGGGCTGGTTCTACGAAGATGTCGAGCCATTCGAGTTCTGCGTCGCCGCATATGCATGTCGCCCCAAAGACCTAGTTCTAGGCGACATAACCTTTGTCGAATACAGCACAGGAAGAAAACATGCAACAAACGCGTGCGCGCCGATTATCTGGTGGGGAAAGACTTCACCAGCGGAGCCTTACATTATGGGAGATTTATCAGACTTCACGCGGTGGAAACAGGCAAATGACCCTAGGTCGAAAAAAGAAATCCCAAATGGCGCCGGCCAGACAGCAACAATAACCATGAAGACATTCGAACAATCAGCAAGCTGTGGTTGGGAAAAAGCGGAGAACAAGGCGCCCAGCGGATCTTACAGCGGGCCAGTTGAACCCCGGTTAGCATTATCTTGAATAACAACTTTTCCTTCCCAGCCTCCATCATGTGATGTTTCATTGCGCGCGCACGCCTCTTAGTTTTATTGCGGCGTGGTCCAAACGAAAACGATTACTCCAGTCGTGTTTTCAACGAGAAACTACGCAGTGCACATAACAAAAAATGAATAATCATGAGCAAATTTTTCATGTGGAATAAAAGATAAACATCGGTGTCCGTGGTCTTCGACGAAGGACACTATTTTTTGTTTGCAAGGTGTGCGCCGGATTAAAAAATAAGAATATGAGTCTGCCATGAACCGATGGCGAAAGCGACACACTGCATGTCCATGGTGCGCTAGGGCTTGCTGCAAAGGTTGTTTTCTTTCGCATGCGCATGGGCGTTGTTTTGGAGTCCGAGAAATCAAGAAAACCTGCTGTCGACGTACCAGCTTGGGATGTATCCAGTCTTCAGCCACGGCATAGTCGGAAGAGAAATATGCATCAGGCAAGCAACTAAGAGTTAGAGTATGAAGAGAAGGACTGCAACTATGGGTTGGACTAGGAGCACATTAAAAGGCTCCAGCATCATGAAACATCTGCGCAGGGAAGAAACCTACTATCTTCGCGATTATTTGTCGCGAGTTTTTAGTTTTACATAGTATGTACTATGCCGCGGCGGAAGCAAGCAGTCGCCCGGCGCCGGGCCCGATAGGTTTCTATTTTCCACGACCGTGGCGGGACTACCTTGCATAGCATGACTCTCGGAAATCTGCATAACCCGACGTGGCAGGGCACGACCTATTGCCCGAACGCTGTGTCCTTGCTTGCGCCGGATTTCGATGACCCCTTTGCTGAGGTGCAAATGCGGACGATGGCGTATCGGGCTGGGAAGGTTTTTTATGCAATGGCTACCCGCGTTGATGAGAATGGAAATTTGCGATCGTCTCCGCCGGATATCAGCAACCACGATGAAAGCTCCGTCACAAAAAATTGCAAAGCGAGACCGGGTCTAACATACCAGTGGGCCCTGGTCATGCCCATCGGCGGACAAACACAAGTCAGCAAAGGCGATCTGAGAGTAAAGAACAATTTGGCGGGCACGTTTGTGATCCAGGAACTGCTTCGGCATGATTTTGAATACACAGGCACGCACAGTGTTGCAATGGCTGAGCTATTCCCGAAGAACTTTGTCGCGTATTTGCCGTTCACCAGTCCCGGAGAGGCAGAAGATCACAGTCAGCAGCCAGATGGAAAGAAACAACCACACTACGTTCGGCTGCCGCCCAGATCCCGAGCGCATGAGTTTTGGGAAGCTTTCAACGAACGAACTGAAACCTATTTGGAGTATCATGCATTCCAGAGGAAAGATTCGGGCCTCGTCGTGTATGTGTGGGGCGGACCGGTAGGGAGACAGCACTGGGACCGGGTATTAAGCAAGTACGACGGTGATGGTGCAAGTTTTCAGGTCCTGAGAGAAGCAGTTGGCGAAGGCGGACGTGTGCATCTGGCTGGACGGGCCATAGAAAACATCGAGCAACACAGAAGCCTCGACCTTTTGTCGACCAATGCGCAAGAAGCTACTCTTGAAATGATGTTGGCGCAGCAGGGGCTGCAGAAGGTACTAAAATACCAGGGGCAGACTGTTGAGCAGACCCGTCTCCAACTCAGCGGTGTGACTTTGACGATGGTACCCAACCAAGCGACCCGCAGCTTTATTACGCAGCAGCACCAACAAAATTGCTACGAGGAGCGCGGTGATTCTCATCAAACAGATACAAAGGAGAATGTGCGACAAGGTGTTTTCGCCACATGCGGAAGGATGTTGGGGGTGGCGCGCAAGATCTTTATCGCACCGACCGGCAATCCGCAACAGAAAATCGCCACACTTTTCCACACCACTCGCGAGAACGTCGAACAGTCGTACAAGAGTATTATTGACATTATGCAGTTTGGAAATCGTGGCGACGGTGAGGTGGAGTTTGTAAGCCCATTGAGCGGCAAAAACGCCAAAAACATCCCGGGCAGCGACGCGGATGTGAAAAAAGTATTGGAAGGAATGCGCAAAACGTTAGACTGGCAGATGCTTGGCTGGCTCGGTTTGAGGCTGTCACAAGCAGATAGCCTCGACCTGCGAGAGGAGGTAGTTGAGTACAAATTTACGGGCACTGCAAATAGTTTTGACGCGCTCCATTACGAGCGCAATATTGAAAAAGCCCACGAAAAAAGCCCGCAGACGAACAGGATCAATCGCAACAAATATTTGGAGAAGCAGAAACAGGCGGAGGTCACGCGTGGTGTCGTCCCCTTCGATGCTCGGTGGTTCACGACGAGGGACACCATATCAAATGAAACCGCCCGGACTTGTCATTGTCTTTCCCATTCTTATCTCCCGTGCGCGCACTCCCAACGAGGATGAGCTCACACTGAGTATATGCTAGAGCTCACTCTCACAGGCGAATGCATGAATGGCGCACAAGGTAGGTCGGCGCTTGAAACTATTTCTGAAACCACGAGCAGCCCCCTCATTTCGCGCAATGGCTTGATGTTGACTACGAACATGAAGCGCGAACGCCCACTCGTATTGCTTTGGATGTTGAGGTCTTGGCCTCTCGCGGCCACGGGTCGAGTTCTCGATCGAGCGTAATCGTGGGCTCTGTGGGTGGCTTTTCGCTTTTTTCTTACTGTCACGACTCCCTGTATCCTCGCTTATCGGTTTTGTGGCGACGTCCCTAACGAGTCCACTCTTGAAAAGTTCAACTTTTTTAAGCCTCCCTACATCCTCGTCGCCATGAGTGAAGTTGCAGTTGTTGGCGCCGCTGCCGGCCCGCCGTTGCTTTTCCATTTATTTTTTTCAGTTGCTACTACGTGTCTGATAGCGTTCTGAATTCTGTAAAAATAGAGCCTGCTAGAAGATAGTCACTTCTTCAGCTACTTATTTTGCTGTCGATAGACAGTACTGGGCCCACTGTGAATGTCTGTGTGTTGTATTGTACGCAGATACCCGAGAGCCCTCGACCCCCATGCAAGAAGCCGATTTTTTTCTTTCCCGGCCTCTCCTCGGTTTCGGTCTTTCAGACTTACGGCTCGTGGGCTTTTGGTAAGAAACCCCGTAATATCTTCGAACAAATAAGCAGTCAGCGGAAAAAAATAGGAGCGTGGGCCGGCAGCAGGCGTGGCGCCACGTGATGTAATATTTTGACATCACGGAGCGCCGCTGCGCGACAACTGCATGCAGCAATCGCTGAACTACGTAGTAATAATAATGAAATGCGAGAAGGAGAAAGAGAAGACAAAAAACTTCAAGTGAATAGTTTGCCCGGCGCCTCAAGCAGCTGACACGGTTCATGTCGAAGGAACAGAACCACGAAGAAGAGCTCTCTATTGACCCTGATGATGACGTTGTCGCTGTCGAGATGACGCCGGATCAACACAATGCGAAGACCAAAGAAGAAGAACAGTCCATCAAAGAGAATGCACTTAAGCTGATTCAGAAGTGCCCCGGTGGGTTTACCACGGACAAGCCAAGCCCAGACGCACATTCCCTTGAAGACCTGACACCGGATCAGAAGAAGAATGTGCGGTGGGCCATACATCAAACACGGACGCTGAAGAACTTCCTGCTAGAAGGAAATCGTGAGGCGCCAGTGTATTGCTTGCCGACACCGCCGCAGGGTGCTGCCCCGCTTCGGCAGTTCCTTGTTCTAGCGCACGACACTGGGATGCAGAAGGAGTTCGATTACACTTTTCTGCAGTCGCGCCCACGCGACGGGGCAGACCCACCGAAGGTTGCAAATTTTCAAAGGTTATCCGAATTGGGAATGCTTTTCGCTTTACTCCGAGCACCTCTCGGCGATAGATAGGACTCGTAGGCATGCTTACCCGTTGGATTGCTGTCATAGCAGACGTCTAAAATCTCAGAAAAAAGAAAGCAACCACCATGAAAGTTTTCATGTAGGAATGAGCAGGCCTCGCCCCGGCAATTGCATTCGGACCAATGCAAATCGCAGTCGCACCTTCACTTTTTTTTTTTTCAGTGTGCACGGCGGTAAGATTCAGATTCAGATTCATGGAGCGGCAAGATTCATGTGCGTGGCGGTAAGATTCAGATTCATGGAGCGGTAAGATTCAGATTCAGATTTCAGTGTGCATGGCGGTAAGACTGACTAATATCAAGAATCGAAAAGGAATAGCGCGAAAGCCCGTACAAATTGCGCAGGCTTTATTCCTATATGCAGTTTGCTTATTCAGGCGCGCGGAATGAAGAAACCGACAGACCAGCACAGCAAGAATTGACAGCATAGAATAGTCGCGCAGCGACCTTCGCGGCGCTCAGAAGCTAAAGCAGTTTGTTACCTGCTCGGTAGCGCCACTGCCTGAGCGGCTGGGGCCGAGCCGCATGTGGCGTTAGCTTGCGGACGTCGGCGGGCAGGATTTCTCTTCTTGTTTTATTGTTAGACTCGCTTGTTAAGTAAGCAAAGCAATTCCCTTCCATATCGGACCGTCAACCCGCTGGAGCGTCCCCCCTCGCAGATGGGATATGGTCTGTGAAGTGTGGCAGCTTTTGGTCGTTGCGCCGGGTCTTTTCGTACTTCGTGGCACAAATCACGGAAAGGCCTCCATGTATGTATCTCATCGCGTCGCTTCCGTTTGGTAAAGCAAAGTCCTGTGACTTTCTCTTGTATTTTGGCGCCGCGCTTGCAGGGACTGGGCGGCACCTGCACTCGCATGAGAATACTAGGCACCTAAGTTATAGATAGAAGAACGAATAGCGCAGCGAATTGTAAGAATGAGCTATAACTGACCCCGAGGCCTTTCCAATACTAGAAAAGAAACCAAGGTAAGCAGTGGGTGCTTAGATCTCAAACTGCCACACAGCGGACGCTATAAGACGCTCCACGACGAAGACGACGACGAAGAAGACGACGACGAAGACGCCCTCGCGGAGTCTGGAGGGGTGCGCCCTGGCGCTGGGTCAGGTGCGCCATCAACCAAAACCACAAAAACCAAGAAGAAAAAAAAAGACGAGAACAGTGCCTGCTGTAGTTGATAACGGCTGCGAGGCTTCTATCGATCATTTACAGTTTATTCGCTCCTGTCATTACCTAGAGGCCATATTAATTAAGACGCTTCTCCTGCTTTTCAGGAGTAGAGGGATGACCGCTATCGCATATTATATTCTTCACTCATTGTCATTTCAAGTCAGCTACCGGCGGTGTGGTCCCAAAGAGTATCTCGCACCACCTGAATCGCAAGCAGCTGAAGTAGACGAATCTTCGTCAATTTTGAGATAAGTTTAAGTAACAAGTTGCATAGTCATTTTTTTCAGTCGGAGAGAAGACTAAGAAAAGCAAGAGCGGGCGTGACTAGGATTTGCACCATTTGCACGAAGTGTAAGTAGAGCGAGAGACCAGCCCGTGCTCTGCTTTCTTATTCTCTCTCTTCTTTGACCGGCTGGCGTTTTCCGATGCATTTCCATGATTTTTGTGTTTATGTCGAGTTTATTTGTCCTACAGTCACGAAGGAGCTCAACACTCGCAGATATAATTGCAGATCGAAATCAGAAAGAGCTTAATGTGTTGCCACAACAAGTTCCGCGACTATTGAAAAGCCCACGCATGGTTTTGATTTGAACTATTTGCTTTTCTTGACTTCGAAGTAAGAGTAACGCTCAGGACTCCAACGAATTTTCATCCTTTTTCAACTTTTTTCACAGTTTGACTTTGACAAAGTGTTTATCAATCCGAAAGCATGACAATATTGCATTTTTTTATCATTCACCCAATTAGTTAAAGTAGTCTCAGATCTTCCTTTATTTTAACAGTTCATAAATAACGAGGTGGCCCCTTTTCAAGACTTTCGTATGTTTCTGCTTTAACATCTCCCAAGAAGAATTTTCGAAATTATCGGCATCTTAACTCGAAGTAAATGTAAGAAAAAGCCAAACCCAAAGAGTCGTATAACAACTAGCTCTGCAGGTTCATCCACATATTTTTTTTACAACCGTTCCTCCAGACTATAGCATCGCATTCGTCTATTTCTACCGACCTCATTTATCATTTTCGAAAGAAAAGACACGGCATTCGTATCTTCAAATTGAAATTTGTTAAAGTACATTAACTATTTGGATAAGAAACCGAACGACGATCTTTTTTGTTTCACACCTTCCTAGTACAGCTCTGCCGTGGCAGTGTTGTGCGCATTAATATGTTTCACATATTCTTTTTGTTTCACCGACCAACAATCTAACAAGCCAGTTTGTACTGCTGTCTCGCATCCATTGTTCACATCGAGGTCTAAGGTCATACATAGCAATGTCAATGTGTTCGACACCAGTCCTGACGTCAACTTGGTTCTCTTATTGTCCTCGGTTCTTGCTCTTATTGGCTGAGTAGAAAACGTCCCGTCCCGTCACTTGATACCTCCAAGTCCCACAAAAAAACTCCGCCTGTATTGAGCTGCATTGGTTGCCGCGCTTCAAGATGAAGGAACTCATTGCGTGGCAGGCTCTGGTTGTATGAGCACGAACGGATCTGGTGAACTCGTGTGACCACATCACGTAGTGATTTCGAAAGCAAGTTCCGCTTGTACAGCTCGCAGCTAGGCTACGAATGTAATGTGGAGAAGCCTCCGAGAGGTGTCGCTGTCACCTGCGGGGGAAAAACATAGAAGCATGATGATAATAAGTATATTTAAGATCAACATCAGCAAAGCAGAAGTCCAGTGAAAGAGGTCCATAATCAGTCGTGGTCGGTTTTTCGTCGTGTCGTTGCAGAAGCAAAATCGCCGGGATGAATAGCAAGCAAGAGCGAACAGAAGCAGAAATACACAAGAAGCAGACTCAGGTATGGGAAAAAAACATTGATGCGGGAACTTTTGATTTTGTTGCACCGTGGTATTTCCTTCATATTGAGCAGCTCGCTGGATTTACCAGGACCCCTCTACTTTTTCTGCAAAACAAGAACGCCCTGCTTCTGCCCGATGATCGAACTCCAATTCGAGCTCGCACCCATTAGAACAGAGATTTTATTGTGAATATTATTCGTATTTAAAAAAGTCGGAATCGCCCTCGTCGAAGATCAGCTGCAGGTCAGGTTTTAGGTTTACAACTTGCTGTTCGTAAAAATGCAATAGCTCGGTCGTCCACGAGCATTGCGTGTCACAACTATTTGTCCGCGTTGGAACAACGACGTAGGGCCACGGGACGTCGACAATGTCAGTGGGTCGTGAAAATCAAAGTAGATGTAGATTTTCGTATTAATATAAAGAGGACGTACTTGTTACTCCACTACTTCGAAAAGTTCCTGCGTTACTTCTACATTGTCTTTACAAGAACTGAAACAGATATCGGTTTTGTCGTGCCGGTCTTCCACATGTAACTATTACTCTTACGCGCGAGTACGAGATGCGCAGCTACCTATGAAATCGCAAAATAAGAACAAGAAGCACCATGAATCTACTATGACCGTCGCCCTGATAGAAGATGAAAAAAAGTTCACGGCACTTTTTTTTACTAGAACGTCGAAGTTGCCTACTCATTTCTTTGAAATTTCTTCTCTCCCCTTCTTTGCAAGGAAGTCGATGTCTCGCCTTCACGTTCGCTAGCCCTAGCGCAGTTTCTCATATTGATTCGGAGAACCGGCCGTCCGCCCCATCATGATCGTCCGCACCATCATGAAGGCTGCTCAAGCTTCCCGTCGCGACCACGGGCGGCGCCCGGCTCCTCTCCTCGTTGGACCGAATAAGATGCTGGTTCTCTTATTTGACTTTGCAATTCTGTGGCTTCCTTTCGTCGCCCTGCTTCTCCCGACGCCCGCGACTGCGAAGTCGCTGGCTGACTGCATCACCGACCTGAATGCCGGTGTGGGTTGTGAGCTCGACCCGGGCGTCCACAAGATATCCTCGCGGACGCAGCTGTCCGGCATCTCCGCGTCCAATATATTTCTGGCGGGTAGTACCGCGACCAACGCGCAGCCGAGCGTGATCGACGGGACGGAGGACATTTCGGCACTGCTGCAGTGGGAAGACTGTTCCACGCTGCCCACCTACGCGGACACGTGCGCTAAGGCGCTGGCCAACGAGACCGCGGGCGCCAAAATCTACTCCGCACTGCTGCCGAACGACAAGCCGGTTTACCAGCTGTGGATCGACTCCACCGACGGCCTGAGGGAGAGCCACCTGGGCCGCGAGATGCTGATTCCCGCCCGGTGGCCCGACCCGACGGCGGACATGGGAGCGGCGCTGAATGCCCAGGCGGACGCCCCAATCTGTATCACCCGCTCAGGCGTTACAGTCTCAAATGTTGCGACGAAGTCTGGCACTGGATAAGGATTTTGTCTTGCATGAAGACATCAAGACATGAACAATTGTAGGGCCTGCCACTATTCCTAATCCTATTCGCAAGACAAATTATTAAGCCAGAAGGTTCTACTTCCCATGTTTGGAGTTCAGAATTTGTCGTGCGTACTCCGGTGGTCAGAGTTATTGTTCTTATAGTGCACTGTTTACATCACAAATAATCTCCTCCGCAGCTGCTTCCATGGTTGTAACTCGTGAATTGTAACACTTGAAGGCGGGCCATAATCCGGGGCTCCATCTTCGACACCGCGCACACTTGGAGCCGCATTATTTACGGCGAACACGGCAAGGAGTTTGCGCACAGCGGGAGCTGGCCGACCTGGGTGCGCGGCACGGACGGCGACGACCCGCCAAACACAGGCTGGGGTTGGATCCAGGACGCGGGCGGTCTGACCCGGTCCTACCAGGTCGAAATATGTGAGTGCACAACGGGTCCCCTCCCGCCCCGCATTTGTCATCCGATGGAACCCGAAACCCAGCATGTGCTACCTTATCCTTATGGCACTGTTTGCATGACAGATTCTGGAAGTCCACAACCAAATACAAACTGTCACTACACTAAAACGAGGTGCACGAAGATGAATTTTCCATGCACACGCTCCACGTGTGCCGGTGGTGTTGCTTGCATTAAGGCTGTTCATGCAGCTCTAGTACAAATAATGAGGGGGACAAGGGGGAGTTGTGCACTCTCATACGGAACCGAGGAAGGTCAGATCGAAACGTTGACCGTGTTACCCTCTGCAAAGGTGGTATCGTGCTCGTACTGACACTGATTGCAATATTGCATGACAACAAATCAGCACAAGCAAAACGTGGCTTACCGTTAAAATGAATCACCCTCGTTTTTCTGTGTGAAGGAAATTGAAATTGATGAAAGCGGTATGGAATAAACATGTATAAGTGCGATGTGTTTTGCAATGCATACGTGTCTGGCCAGGGTTATCTGGCCGACGCCGGGTTCAATGCGACGGGCGCGGTGATCGTCATGGGCTGGGGCAAGCAGATGTCCGAAATGGGCTACGTGCACAACCACACGGGCAACTTTTTGTATTTTAACCGCATCCGCTGCCCCCACCACGGGGGCGGCACCAACCCGCCCTACCAGAAATCCCCCCCCTACGGGTCCTGTGCGGGCAGCCCCTTTGTCAAGTTGAAGAACGGGGAGGAGCAGGGCATGGCGGCCTACTGGCTGGGCAACAAACTGGACTTTGTGAACAAGTACAAGGAGTGGCATTTTCACTCCTTCAACGGATCCAATATCACGGGGACCGGCCCGGGTTACGACGCCGACGAGGATTTCTTCGGGTCGGGCGTGCCGGACCCTGCGCAGGCTCTGGGCGCCTATTCGGGGCGGCTGTTTGTGCGGATGGAAAACCACCCGTCCACGTACACGTGGCACAGCCGCGCCACCGAGATCGGTCTCGATTTTGACTGCAGCGGAAACAAGATGCAGCGCTTCACGCTGCGCAACATCGTCTTCTTCGGCAATGTGCTCAAGGGCTTCAAGTGCCACTACTGGACCGTGCACGACAACGAGTTCCTGTATCCTTCGTTCGCGAAACGCACCTTCCGGCACCAGTCCGGCACCATCGACGCAGGCCTGCCCAACATCGATTTCGCCGACTCCAATAACTTTTACAGTTCGGACTACGGTAAGTGGGAACACGTACAAATTCAGCGAGGGGAAAGCGATGGAATGGCAGGGGGACGAAGTGGAGTGGAAGCACAACGAGTTCGCCTTCAACGGTTTCAACGCCCTGGACGGCGCGCACACCGTGCGCGTGAAGGGAGCGAGTTCCGACTACAACACCATACCGCCCCTGAAATTTTGGTACAACACGTTCCGGCACAACGGGCACGTGTCGGCCGTGTTCGCCACGGAGAAGGCCAGTTTCGTGCAGCGCAACCGGATCCAGCACCAGAACGTGGGCGAGCTGCAGCACGATGGCGAGGCCGTGGGCGCCGGCTCGGTAGGGACAGAGGACAGTCGGTTCATGTACAACTGGGTCGATTACGGCCACCACTCGCTTTCCCTTCGGTTCGATTGTTCCCAAACCGCGACCTTCTCGGACGTTTCCTATGAATTGCAAAAGTATCGTATTCGTATAAATGCATTACAAATTTTTTAGCATGAGAAATAGAATTACTTAAAAATTTGTATATGCGGATTTACCTTAAGAAAAAAATTTGTAAATGCAAGACTTGCATTTATACGAGTGCGATACTTTTGCACAGGATATTTCCCGGAACGGCACGATGATGTACAATCTGGGGTACGGACTCTCGCCCAAACTGATCGTGAAGGGGGAGGACCACCAGATCCACTACAACA